AAAAAAAAAAAAAAGAGTAAAATATTGATAAAACTTACGTAATTTCCGCTTTTGATAATCTGCATTCCCTTGAGCGTATTGCTTCCGTACACAATTACAGCAATCATGAATAACACCAAGCTAGCACCATCGAATAAGGCATTGCTTTCGCTGGGTTTGTAAAGCTTGACGATAAACGCGGCAAGGCCGACCAAGATGATAGCATGCAAGACACGACCGATAAGCGGAGGCGAATCAAATAGCATGTTGTAATGAGTTTCGATATTGGAAATCATGGCCGGCGTGAGCGGAGTAGAGGTCCAAAGTAACGGGAAGTCATAGGACCAGTTGGTGAATAGGATGCCCAGGAGGAAAGACGTCGCTAGAGGTTATTCGAGTTTCAGTTAGTATTGCGTAATATTTTAAACATATACACACGCACGCGATTTCGCGACGGTATATATAAGTATAGATATGGGATTATTGATCGGTACATACGGCAGACGATGAGATATGTCCAGAAGGATGATGCGCCTAACATTTTGACGGGTAATCCGGTCGTCGTTTACTATATTTCGAGATGTCTACGGTGGGGTAGTGATTGTGAGCGATTGAGGGGCTGTTGAGGTTGTAATTGGGGCGGGCGAGATGATACGATCTGATACGATATGAGATGATATCACCAATCGCTCGACTAGCCACGAGTTCCGAGAATTATATAATACGGACCAACCAGTCGACAATCAAAATAAAATTTTAAAAAAGTAAGGATAAAAGACGACGAGGGTCACGAAAGGATAGGATGAAGTAAAGAAGAAGAAGAACAAGAAGAAGAAGAAGAAGAAGAAGAAGAGAAGATGCCAGATAAAACAGACCCTGCCGGCATCCCGAATTTTTAAACTGTAGTAGGCATTACTCGTACCGGGGTCACAGCAGCAGGTCCCTTTTCTAATGCATTGCTAGGCATCCAATTGTCTCGACGGCCGCAGACAGGTCCATACGACGCCGCAGGAGAGCAGAAGAGCTAAGCTCGAAACCGGTCTTGTGTGCCTTGGCGGCGACAGCCTGCTTCCTTCGGCGAACCTGCCTGTTTGGATCCACCGTTAACGTTTGATGTTTGACGGTTACATCATCTCATTGCGCTGCACCGTACAGGTACCGACATACTATACTACCTAGTACAGATCTGGGGAGAAAGTTGTGATATAATTTGACATTTAGGTCTAAAATAATGTCGGGAAGATGGTGGTTTATAATCAAATGAACTGGTATCAGTTTACATTTATATAGGATAGACAGGTACAGGGTAAGTTGTGGGTATGTTGTAGAGATAAGATGTCACGGATCTGGGGAAAGTCGCCTTCACGTGCCGGAAACACCATGCTAACTACACACACATCCACCAGAACTTCCATCTGATATACCTTCTTCTTCACACTCCATTTTCATTGGATGCCCGGTGAACATCCGATCTCCCTCGTCGCCTGACTTCTTCTCTTGCATTCCACCTTCACAAGCCAACAGCGGAGCTGCAGATAGAGCGCCCCGCTTCCGTTCGTTCTCCACGATGCGTCGGGCATCAGACACCAGCAGCATGCACTCAGATGCCGAAGACGACGACAGTAATGGCTTCCCAGACTCCGACGTCTCTAGCAGAAGTTTCCTTCATCCGGATGACACTCCAGGAACCAACAGTTCATCGAGCGGTCGGCGCCGTCATTTTGCAACAAAAATAGCCAAGCATTACCAACGGAGTAAAGAAAGCTTAAAAGAAGCTCGCGAGGACCTTAAGAACAAAGACGAAGAAGGGAGGCCTACAACGTTTGCTGCTGGTCCTACGGAGAATATCATCTCTTACCCGGATTATCGCGACTTTAAATCCATCGGTGGATTTGCAAGTGGGCTACAGGACAAATTATTTGCGAAAATGATAGGAGGGATATTACCGGCTGATGCTGTAGAGCATTACTCCGGGGCGGGGAGTGATAAGAGGAAGGATACGGAGAGACCACAGTTCAGCGTTACGGTGATGTCTGGGAATTTTAGGCGATTTAACCAGAGGTACTTCTTTCATCCTTTCTTCTACTCGCTGAAGGAGAATATGACGTTCTAACATATCTATACTACAGAATCGGCGTCGTCTTCGTCCTCCAACATCGTCTAATCCGCCTTATGACATGGCGAAAACCAACCCATACACTCTCCGCCCTAGCTCTATACTCTTTCATCTGTCTAGATCCCTACCTCATCGCCAGCGTCCCACTAGCCGCCATTCTACTCTTCGTTATGGTCCCAGCATACATCTCCCGTCACCCACCAGCTCCCTCCCGCCTCCCAACAGACCCATACCCATCCCGGGGACCACCAAGCGCCATCCCACCAGAAGTCAAAGCCGTTTCCGAATTCTCCAAAGATTTCTTCCGTAACCTACGTGATCTACAAAACACCATGGAAGATTTTTCGGCCGCCCATGACCAAGTAATCCAAATCCTAGGCCCGCCAACTAACTTCTCGTCGGAGACCTTGAGTTCTGGGGTTTTCCTTATCCTATCTTTTATTACTTTGGCATTATTTATAGGTGCTAGACATGTCCCCTGGCAACCGGTGATGTTGGTAACAGGTTGGGGGATAACCATACTCTGCCATCCTAGCATGCAGCAACCGATCCAAGATGCACATAAACAGCATGTAATCCCCAGCGAAAAACGAGCTAGAAAAGTGTTCAAGCAATGGGTAGCAAAGGATATAATCCTTGATACGAAACCGGACGAACGAGAAGTCGAAATCTTTGAATTACAAAGAAAGGATTCGAACGGCGAATGGGAGGCATGGATGTTTTCTCCACTTCCTTACGAAAAGTTATCAGCCGCGAGATTGGCGGGTGAAAAACCAAGGGGGACAAGGTTTTTGGAGGATGTGATACCACCGAAGGGATGGCATTGGATGGATGAGAAATGGATGTTGGACCTAGCTAGTAAAGATTGGGTTGAGGAAAGGTATTTGGAAGGTGTCGAGGTCGAGATTGCGGAGGAGAGGTGGGTTTATGATATTTTGACTGGGGACGAAGGGTATAGAGGCACTGGGGAGTGGAGGAGGAGAAGGTGGTTGAGGACGGTGAGGAGGCATGTGGTTAATGATAATGGGTTCATTGCGTATAACGATGATACGCATATTGCGTTTTAGGCGTCACTCTCTTTTGGATGTTATGAACTTTTGGCTTTTTATATACCTAATTACTTACCTACTGATACATAAGTGTTCGAGTTAGCGGAACGGGCTTAGCAGTGCCGTTTATTCAGTATTTCGGATGATAATTGAGGCGCTAAATCTGAGGCTGTTAAATGTTTTAGTAGCCATCCAAACGGCAATGCCACAATATGAGGGCACTATACTGCCTCGGGTCCAAAAGCTATTACAGACCTACCGTATGCATCGTATCTCGTAGGTCATATAAAATTTCTCGTAGGTCATATGAAATAATTACTAGTATGTATACCGGCAACTCTCGATTTCGCGATAACCAAAAAACCCCACAAACCTGTGCATAATTAGCTTTGAGACCACCAGATGCCAGTAGGCAAGCTACTCGTGCAACAGAGATCAGTTAGCTAATCAGGTGGAGAAAAAAGGGAACCCTTGAAAAATTAAAGATATTATATTATTCTATTCCATGAGCCCAAGTTGGATTTTTTGAGTATAGCCAGGGTTAGGCTTCCAGGTCTGGGTACGAGGTAAAGGGTTAGGGTTTTAGGGTATATTCAAATGATAGGGTTTTCATCCTAGGTTTTGAGACTTGTATTAACGGTTTGGTCGGTATGAAATAACATAATTTGGGAGCCCATACAACGTCCTACGATCTAATCACACAATAACTGGTCGTGAAAACTTTTGCCCCAAGGCCAAAACTGACGATCTGAGCGATTGCTGATCCATTGGCCATGGGTCAATGAAGGATTCCTTTGGGAAATAAATGGATCGTTGCCCCCTGACCAATCCTTGATGCCTTCATATAAAACTTTCTGAATTATTATAGTCCTATAGCTAGTGCAATATTGGTTCTGATCAACAACACTGTTGACCTGATTTTACAATACCGTCGAGTAGATCGAGGATTCATCTATCGATGTAATGATCTGGTCTCGAGATCATGGTGCCAATGATGTAGCTCAAAGCCGAATGTATGCCAGTCACTTAAGTGTCCATCTATGAAGCTGAGGAATAAGATCTCGGGTCGGCAAAGTGGCGCAAGAGAGCAGTTGACATGATAAACTCATGCGAACCTAGATATCCTCAACTTTGAAAGTACACCTTGTGTTCCATGATGGTGTCGTTTAGTTACAAAGGTATGGTGACTTTCTTCGAATTTCGTCGTAGACCTGATATTAGGATCGAACTTTGGAGGATCGTTTTGGCTGAACGCGGGTATTCTTCAATGTCACGGAATTTGGATTTGGTCCAGCAGTATCGATATTAAGACCTTGATCAGATGAGAACTACACCGCCGGACAGAATTTCGACGGTGAACATTAATTTGAGCCGGTCTAATTATAATTGAAGCCCAAACGAACGTAACTCGAACTTGGGAGGACCGGCGCCGGTAGCCCAAAACGCAACATGATTGCGTGTTGTGCTGCATACACGCATCTGATATGAGAACGCTGGCGGCTGGCGCCGCAACATGCGTATATGATAGCTAGTAGCAACTAACTTACGGTCGAGGATTGAGCGTGGTTAAATAGCAGAATTCAAGGATAAACATCTTTTCGATAGATTCACGGGCTGAGTTTTTTCCGTCCAAGCTAAGCAAGATGCAAAAATCGGCCTGGTGTGTGCCTCCCCGCGCACTATCACCATGCAGTGGTTCCGCGCAGTTCGTTGTCAGTGGCGTAGTTGACAAATGGCGGAGCCTTGCTTGCATGATCTGGCCTGCATATATAGACGGCTCAAACAATTCGAATAAAACGAAACTTTAGAGAACTTGGGCGTAAGGATCAGGGAGCCATAGGCCTATATTTCTAGTCGGATCCTCTGATTTTCTTGTGAGCTCGTTCAGCTGCGGACCATTTACCATTTTCCACGTAAAAAATCGAATTAATCGAATTCTTGGACGACGACATTTTGATCAAAATTCAACATTCTGGACTCGAAGTTTAGCTGAAAGGGGAAAACCATGACTTTTAGTCTAATGTTACCGGAGCCACCCGTTGATGACCCTATGGGTCGGGCCTTTTTTCGATACGAGAAATCGCTTGATGGTGAAGAACGGAAAAAATACCGGCGTACAGCAACGACTGCAGAGGACCTTGAACGTGAAGTGACAATGCTACAAACCAGACACAAGAAGCTCAGCAAGACACTCAAAATCGCCACATGTATTGAGCCACTTGTTTCATTTTTACAAAGGCACAGCGATTCGGTGGACACATTTGTGCAAGCCAATCCTTTCCCAGCTGCGCTGGTATGGGGAAGTATCAAGGTTCTCTTGAATGTGAGAATTCCCTAATCTTGAAAAAATCGAAAATCAATTGTGGCGTCTAACTCCGAATCTCGCAACCTTGTAGTTTGCCTCATACCATATTCACTACTTTGAGAGTCTGGTGAGGATGCTCCAGAAGTTGGGTGATGACCTTGAAATTTTTCGGGAATATGAGGATATCCTAAGAAAATCTATTCCCGTGCAAGAAACCCTAGCCAATGTTTACCTCGATATCTTTGTCTTCCTTGGCAAGGCGAAAAGGGTCTTTCGAAAGAGAGGTAAGGGCTGCCCTCTGTCGGTATTTTCCTATTGGTTCGTAGGATCCCGAGTCTCTGCAGCCTTGTGGCTCAGCTACGGGCGGGTATGATATCAATTACATCATGCGCATGCATCGATCAAGCGACACCATGGATGTGATACGCCAGCCTCTTAGATATCAACGAAGCAATGGCAAATATATATATACTAGATACACGTTAGGGTATTAATTATTTTGGTTATAAATCTAGGGTCTCTTCTCTTCGCTCGAACACTTTGGAAATCATTCGAAGGAGACTTCGGGAATACAATTGCCAGCTTCCAACGAAACAAAGAAATTCTGAAAGAGAGAATCGGTGTTCAAAGTACAAGAGATTTAAAGAATATTAAGGAAGGAGTAGCTCAAATACAGAGTACCCCTCGGCAAGTTACGCAAAACATTACCAATACTTACAACAATATGCAATTAGTGACCATCGAAGGCGGTCCGGTAAGTGTTTCTAATTGCAAACAAATCTTCTTTTTTTTCTTTCCTTTGACATGATTTCTAACCTTATTGATGTACCTAGGGTGCACTAGAGGACTATCGAAAAAAAGTCATGGATTGGGTGTCCAGCAGCGACCCAGGCGTAGACTTCACTCGAGAATCTCAGCGTCGAGTCGAGTCATCAGGACAATGGCTCATTAAACATCAGATCTATCGAGACTGGCTTGCATCCCCCAAAAACCGGCTTTTGAGAGTTATAGGGCGCCCTGGATCTGGCAAAACCGTCATTAGCACCACAATAATCGAAAACCTACAAGCCCAACATCCCAAAATTCTAGCTCGACCAAACCAGATACCGTCTTGTACCGCCTACTTCTACTGTTCAAAGTCGACCGATCAATCTCAATCCACAGAGGTGATTTTCAGTGGACTCATCAAACAAATCCTGTCGCGGTTCGAGCAACTACCGAAATGCGTTATCGAATGTTACAAGAAATCCTGCGGGGCAGGTAGAGCGTCGTTATCCACCGCAGATGATCCAGAAGCCCTCATCAAAGCTCTAGCCGAGGAGTTTGGTACCCTTTACATCGTGGTTGATGGCCTCGACGAAGTATCCGAGCGCGATACTACGGTAAAGGCATTAGTAAAGCTTACCACGACGATTCCTAATATCCAAACCGTCTTACTGAGCCGAGAAATCTATGAAATGACAAGGGAGGATATGACTTCATACCCCATTATCAAACTCGACGGGCTGAATACCAGCGAAGACGTTAACAGATTCATCCAAAGCAAATTAGATGATCTCAAGGCAGGGGATTCGACCAAGGACTTCCCGCCAGAAGTCTTCACCCAGATATCACAGAAGGCAAACGGAATGTTCTTGTGGGCCAGCCTTATGATGGAATCATTAAAGGGAGCCTACAGCGTCGAGAACGCACTTGAAATAGTATCTTCAACACCTGAGAAGCTCGAGGGATTCTACGACCAAATAATGATGCGGCTCATTAACGGACTTGGATCGAATAAGCAATCAATGCTTATAATAGCGAGAAAAGTTATAATGTTCATGTGTGCAGCCTCTCGTCCTCTTCGATGGACTGAACTGTTGTGCATGCTCAATACGTCTGAAGAAGGTGTAAAAGCAGCTAACATGTTCCAGTCAACAGTCTTAAACACCTGCAGCCCGCTCATTGAGCAACAGCCAGGCACAGATGTGATAAGATTCGTCCATTTATCCGTCCGGGAGTTTTTCTTGGACGCTAGCAAGGCTACGCATCTGTTGATCAACACTTCTGGATTCCCTTTTCTAGAAGTCGATGCCCACATGGATGTTGCTAAGATCTGTCTGAACTACCTCCTTGATGAACGCTCTGATGATAAGTGGCGTGAAAAATTGGCAAAGGGAGCAGAAATCCCCTCCCTTAAAGAGTACGCATCTAAATTCTGGGGATCCCATATCATCCGTTCGACATATGACGAAAACCTATCTAGGAAGATGCATATTTATCTGTCAAAACAGTCAAGGCGTGTGGCTTGGATTTCCAGTCAACTGTTTAGAGAATCTTCAGGGTTTCCATTACAGCATCTCATAAAAACACAGAAACAGTTACACGAATGGGACGTCGGGGCAAATTCTGCTAGCGATAAAGTAAAGAAGGAGCGTCTGGATTGGATACAAGATGTCGGACGAGTTTTGATTGATATCGACTCAACCGATGAAAAATCTAAGGACCAGCTTTCATCGGGAAAATCCCGGATTACATATTTCGAAAAGCTTATGGTCATCAGAGATTTGTCCCGAGAATACACAATCCGCCAAAGACTCGACGAAGGTGAGAAGTGGATGCAGGAAGCGCTTCAAAAGAGACGGGATAAATACGGAGAAGAACATATTTCTACCGTATGGTTGTTGAACAGTCTTGGTATAATCTACGACCAGCAGCACAGAGTCGAGCTTTCCGCCAAAACACATGAAAAAGCCCTAAAAATACAAGAGAAAACATGGGGATCTAAGCACTTGGAGACTGTGTGGACAATAAACGAACTCGGAAGGGTATACCGACACCTGAAAAGATACGACGATGCAGTCAATATGCACCTCAAGGCGTTCGAAGTTCTCAAGGAACTTGAACCGGACAACCACTTACAACTTGCCTGGACGCTAAATACTCTCGCACGAGCATACCGCAAACAAGGGTCTACCGACAAATCACTTGAATGTCACAGGGAAGCTATAGATTACCAGAAGGTATCACTCGGAGAGGATCACCCGCATGTTCTATGGGCAATAGCCGATATTGGTCGCTGCTACAGGGACAAAAAGGAACTTGAAAGAAGTGCTTACTATCATCGCATATGTCTCGAAGGGAGGAAAAGGGTGCTCGGAATGGATCATGCGGATACGCTCTGGGCAATGAACGATTTAGGGCTTGTGCTATCCGAGGACGGACACACGGAGGAAGCAAGGAAGCTGCATGAGGTAGCTTTGGAGGGACAGACAAGACTGCTTGGGGAGAACCACCCGCATACTGTTTGGAGCAGAAAACAGATCGAAAATTTGGACACGGCATGGGAAAAGGTGGATGTTAATGATGTCGAGTGAGGTGTTCATCGGAGTTTTTAAGGTTTCAGTGTTTTAGGGTTTTGCTTTTCGTGATTTCAGAGGGGTTTTCTTTCGGAGTTTTGTTTTTATTTCTATTTTGATGTTTTGTGAAATTTGCGAGCATGACAGTGGTACCTCTTACCATCAATCGAAGCCAGTTAGTTAGCCGTAGGTTCGGCATATATCATATCTGCATTCGAATATTCCTGAACCAGATCCTTGTTAATATGGAACCCTTGAAGTTTCCAGTGGCCAACCTGTAATAATAATACGTAGAATTGTAAATCGTCGACTCCATAAGTATACGTATCTACGGAGCGACTCCATAAGTATACGTATCTACGGAGTACCTGGTTCGCGCCGGATACGAGGACGATAACATAATATAGCTATAGTACTTCAGACCTTTGACCAGTCTTCGGCCTCACGATAAGGCGCTTTGAACTCAACCACTCTAGACCTTGATTTCGGCTGCTATTCCTGCAGAATCAAAGTTTTTTCTAGCCGCTAATGTTAACACGTGCCATTAATCTGATATTCGCCCTGCTAAGCTATGCATGAGCCAGATACCATGCCATGCGGCCCCTCTGTGGATCCATATCCAAAATGCAACAGCTCTTAGCTCAACGCAAATTAGTCTCGACACAGACTAGCTCCGATATATTAACCTTTGTTAAGTTTATGGGTCGGGACGTGGCGGGGTTGAAGAGAAGCCCCCGCTGGATGTTTAGTATGCATGGTTTGACTCCAAATTTCCTAGTATCATCTCTGCATTTGGACATAGCTTGTGGGGGATAGCTGAGCTGGCTTGCATCCATTTCTATAGAAGCCCTCAGAGGCTGGAAAATTCCGACGATCCTGGTGGTTGCATGCAACTGCCTAAAGTCAGCCGAGATCTATAGCTACTAGTATCCAAATACACTAGATACGACGCCAAAGCTTTGCTGCAGGGAGAACTCAGGAAATCATTGCATCCTTCGAATTTATTGTCGCACGGAAAGAAATCAGCTTGTAAGCTTGTGAAGCATGCGGTTTCATATGTATCGTACCGAGACATGTCGACAGCTCATCGTCCGGACCTGGATACCATGCCGCATATATCGAACGTCATACTTTCCCTATGGCGACATATCCGGATATACATCTCCCCCTTTCCAGTTAAGTACCTTGACTAGTTAGTCGACCTTGCGCCTCGTGCCCATAACATCGTTATGGGGCATATAGCTGCAGCTGCAGTTGACAAATTGGCATGCTGGCACCACACAACTGTCCTAAACTCAATTAACCCATCACTTAACTGGTTAGAAAAACTTAAAAGAAGAGGGCGATGCATGAGCTGGGTCGTCCCTAAGTGTTCGAATCCTACAGAGTTCCATCCTGCAGCATTGCAGCAGCAGCATCTAAGGCAGTTAAACGAGAATGTTCTTCACATATACATAATGCAACAAAGCGCAACACTCGTGAAGCGAAGGCTGGCCCGCCTCGCCGGGTGGGAGGCACGCTAGTACTCTAGCTTATCTCACCCGATGCGGGCAACAAAGCCTAAGGATCTATGTGAATCATCGGGATACCTACAAGCGAACCATATCGAGCTCGTAGATATCGATTCGGAGCGGGGGGTCTACACTGCGGGCTGACGAGCATATGAGACCGTCCTAATATATATCATCCTTGATACCTACAGTGAAACACAGATGGTCACCATCGACAAATATTTCACATCACATTATCACATTATGCCCATCATATCACATTTTGGCCACTAGGTCATACAGAGCCACGTTTTTGCCTTAGAAGAAAACCAATCCTCTTCACATATTTCCTATAGCCCAAGCTACAGATACCCAATCGCCAGAGCTGGGCAAAGTCACGATGCCTGCACGCGATCTCGCAGAAGATCTTGCCAAGGCGATCTTTAAACGGCTTCCTGGAAAAATTGCTAAATCCCAAAATGTCGAGTTTTTGGCTGAGAATTATCTCTCCAAAGAACCATCTCCTGGTTTAGATCCTGAAATTTCTAGAGAGGTGCGGCTAGAAACCATTTTTGATCGCTATATTAGAGATTTGGATATCTATCTCCCAAAATATTTGGATGAACTCCTCGATGAAGAGGTTAAAAGGATACCAGTACTTCCTGAAGGAGTGGAGGTAGAAGAGGACGAAGAGGACGAAAAGCAAGAGAGGAGCGAGAATGCTGATTTAGAGTGAGTGTCATCGCATATTTTAATATCCGATTAATATACATACTAGGATATAACTAATTATTTCGGGCTTCTTATAGATTGGCACCTGTACTTCATGAGAAAGACAGCGAGTTCAACTCCCAACCTATTCTACATACTACGAATAATCCGGGGAGCTTTTCGAGCCCGGGTACCCCTACAACTAGCCCAGCACCACCCGGAACATTAGATTCCCTTACAAATCATACTCCCGCCGGAGACTTCCTCACATCTTCGAATAAGAGTAGACCACAGAACAACCAAACCACCCCTGGGTTAACGAAGGAAACCTCAGAACAGAATTCTACACCCGGCGGCTCGGGAAATTTCAATCAGGCTTCAGACACCGAGTTTAGTGACTCAGATAGCGCTTTCTCTTCACGACCCAGTTCTGCGGGAACCTCTGCAACAAGTCTATTTGACCCCTTTGATTCAATCCTTGATGCTTTGCCAAAAACAATTGAGGGGTCGCCAAACCAGAATGACCAATCTGGTTCCACAGACCAGCCTCTTCTATTCCAGACTACAAGTCCGGTAGAACTCCCAAGCACGAAATTTGGCGCCGACTCGCAGTTAGTGGGGCAGGCTCCTCAACTGACTTCGAATACAGACCTGATTGATCCCGTCAACATCATAAACCAAAATGAAGTTCACACGCCTGTCAACTCTGTGGCTGGTCCATCAGAAGCAAAGAGTTTTCCTGGGAGTTCGAATCCAGACCATGAGAATGAGATTGCAAAAAATGATTTGAATCAGCATAGGCCTGAAGATAATCCCATCAATGAGGAATCTTCTTCCCCAGTTCCTCTACCAGAAATCGGATCTCCATTCGATCAGCTTAGTAGAAGCACTACTAATACTACAAGCACTCTATCTCGTCTTGGGAACACTCAAGTTCCTGGGTCGACACCTGAAAATTACAAACCAAGGGGTCAATCAGAGATCCTGAATTCTAAAACCACGCCAATTGGGGGGGCCTCCGCTCCGACAAGCCTAGCACCAGAGCGACCTTCCCTACAGCCACAAATTTCTGGGTCAGATAGCCCAAATGATAGCTCAGATAATAATTATCAGCGAGACCCAACTTCGACAGAAGTAAAATCAACTCAGCCTAAGGTCTTAGGTAGCCCAGACCAATCTCTTCCCAAAGAGCAACCCGAGACCATTTTCTCCCCAGCACTCCCAACCCCGGAGATGGTGTTCGATAAACCAGGGCTCTGTTCTCCACTATCTGAATCGAGTGCTGAGCCAGATGATGATGATGATAGAACCCTCAGTCCCAGTTCGAAGACACAGATCTCTAGAGCCCAGACACCCATTCCTATCGGAAAAGCAACAGGTTTGGGCCTGTTAACTCAAGACTCTACGGAACTTCAAACACAGCAAGACCCAGTTTATATTGTCGGGTCAGACCAAGAGCCTCTTTTCACGCCACCCTACTATCAGGATGCTCAGGTATCTTCACCCCAATTCTTAGATAACCCACCATTGGTGGTGCCTCTAGGAGAAGAGAGGGTGCTCCCAGCTGCAATTCAAACATCCGAGGAAGCAGGCTCGACATTAAACTCGGAATGTAATAAACCGACGGGAGGTCTCGGCGTCAAAGACTTGTTGAACATTAGTCCTACAAAGTCCCTTGAAACCCCCCAACTACCCTCGATTCACAATATTACTGCGGGAGGTACAAACCAAGAAAGTTTAGATAGGGAAGGGGAAGGTAGCCTTTCAAGTAAGGAACTTAGAACAGCGGCATCGCCTTTGAATCCATCAAACCTCGAACCCTCGCAACCAAAAACACCAAGTCAAAAACAAGTCAAAGGACTATCAGCGTTAGCAGAAACCATGCTCGGAAAAACTCTAGTTCCTGCTAAAGCTCAGGTTGAAGGACTGAAGTCCGCTCTACCCACTGCGCCGGTCCCTGAACTCCAAAACTTTCCTACATCAGATCCGGAAGCAGAAACACCATCGGTGACTACTGTTTCTCCAAGCCCAGGGGTTTCAGCTGACTTTGATACCAACGATGAAAGCCCAAATAATAAAGATTTGTCCTCCGGGCTACTAGGCAAAATTTCTCTCAGCAATATTCTACCCGATTGGCGTTTAAAAACTCCTATTCTACCGAATATTCTACCCCAAATGCCAACGGTCTCTTTGTCTTGGATAGCTCCTGTATCACTTACTTCGAGGTCCGATCTCACGGTCAAGAAGAGTTTGGTAACAGACGAACATACAGCTATTTTAGATGGTTTGAAAGGAAATCAAGTTGGCTTGGGCGTCCTCCAAGGAGAAAATTCAGATAGTGAAAATAGTACCGACGAACTTTATGAAGACACCATCTTCATTCTACCTCCAACTCCAGGCGGCTTTCCACCCATGGAGGAACTTTCCGAGGAACCAGTCACAGAAATCCTGGAAATGACAACCTCAGAACCAGATAATCATCCAGATGCATCGTCAACCGAACCCCCTCCAAGCGATCTATGGGATCAAGTAATATCTTTGCTGAACACAATAATACTTCAAGCATGGATACCCTACTTCGAGTTTGTCAGCTACTTGACGTTTTCGTTCAAAGCTCTTAACGACAGCCACACAGAGTTTCCAATATTCAATTCCCTTATTTTAGACTCCTGGACTCCTGGACTAGAGCTGCTTCATTGTATAATATCTTTACCACATTTGTTGCCGGAGCACATCGTTCCAGAATCAGACCGCTTCACTCAACCTTCTATCGAATTCTGGATTCCAGTTTTAGAGGCTGTGGACCATATTTTGGCAGCCCTAACACGAGTTCCCTATCACCTTCTTTTCTCTTTATCAACCTACAAGTCACTCGCTTCTCTCATACTCGAGCTCTCGTTTACTATCGGAAATTTACGATACTCTTCTCTACCGCCTGAGTTTGTTGCTCAGTTGACGGAAATCCTGCCCTCCTTTCCGATTACATCTTGGCTTAAACTTTATGAAGAGGCATTTTCGTCCCTTTTCCAAAAGACGGCAACGAAAGACTCTCCTGAAGAAAACTCCCTGGACCCTCTTCCATCTTCTTCATCTCCCTCGTGCCCCCACGAATCCTTTTCGGTCTGCACCTGCCAAGTTGTCAAGTCATTTTCACCCCAAACAAATTCCGAGTTTAACTTTTACATCGGGTTTCGGTTCAATCCTCAGCTCTTGCAGAAGGCTGGATGTGCCAATATACAATGCTCCTATTCCCATTTATATCTCTACTTGATCCTTCTTACATGGGTCACTGAGCCAGCCTACATTGTAGGCTCTACTAAAAGCTTTGGGTCTAACATCTCCCTTTCTCTTTCTATCTTCCTACCAATACTTCTTCATTTCAAGTTTTCTCTAGGGTTCCCTTTATCTGTTCTTCATTTATCTTACTCGTCTTTGAGACTTCTTCGGAATGTTTTGGTGTAAGGCCTGTCCTGTCGGGTTTCATTTTATTTGTATTGGATATTATATATGTTTTAGTTTGTGTATAGTTTGACAAGTCATGCAAAGAAGTTGGATTAGCCTTTAAGCTTTTCACGCTACTGTACTTGGGTTCCAGTACCAAAGAATCAATATTATATATTATCTACATGTATGCAGGCGAGTGTAGGTACCTGTACTTCTAATTATATATAGAGGTCGCTGCCAAACAAGGGCAAGGATTCACCCTTGATACACTATGCAATAACGTTTGCATGAGCATCCCATGTTGCTAACCAATAAATAAATTGATTGATCAAAACCTGGTCAGGCATCATGCTGGAGAAATTTTACTTTGGTAGGCTTCATATCACTCTAGAAAATTGCGAATTTTTCGTTATTTGCTTGCATGAATATTCGAATAAAATACAGTTTCCTCCCATTTCCATTGCAAATTCCCTCTGCAAAGCCCATCTAAGGCCGAAGCCGACCTCTACACATTTGATATCAATCGTATCTCCGTGGGAGTTCCTACAGCGTGCACTGCGCTTCAACTTTTGAGCGTACCTCAAGCGGGTATAGACAAAATCCTAGCCAAAACTCCCATAACATTCATAACTAAATACTTCAAACAATAACGAATATGAACATCTCCTAGTCAGTCTATTTAGTCTGCTGGCCAAGAGCCGCGAGGAAGACTTGAAGTAACTAAAAGATACCCATTAGCTCATATATTCAACCTTTCGCTCCTGAAATTTCCAATATTTCACCATCCTTGAGATGGGATGAGACTTACCTTTTTTGCATAATCCTTGTCATTTTGGGCCTCGCCCACTATCGCAGCTCGCTGCATTATAGCCGAGTTATCGTCCAGTCTATCCATATTACAATATACCCACTCCCTCAGTTCTTTACTCCTTTTAAGCCCGGAAAGGAAAGCGTGGGCGTTTTCATCGCTGCCAACTCGAGAGATAATGAAAATAACAGATGCTTCACCATAGTCCGTCACCTCCCTAGATCTTTTGCACCTGAGAACCGCTTCTTTGAAAGCATCTTCAGGTTCCCCGAACGGCTATAGGCTTTCGTCAGTATAATCATAGAATAAAGAGTTATCTATATGGGGATTTAAACTTACCTGCCCATCTGTAATCACCACTACAATCAAAGGCTTCACGAATGTACCATTGCGAACTTTATCCATTACCATTGGTTGAATTATTTTTTCCTCGAGAACCGTCCCTAATTGTGTCCAACCACCCCAGATGTCCTCTACCTCCACAAATCTTCGATAAATTACGTCCCTGCTCTTCATATTGTCCCAGCCACACCAGTCGTTTTCGTAATTTAAGAATCGAAGTGATATTCCAGATGGCTCAATGATAGTTGCCATCTCGGAAATTCTCCCAAGGGCATCTTTCAACGGAGTAACACGGTCCTCCATCTTTTCGTTACCATAATACATCATTGAGGAGCTGTCATCTAGTGGCTCGAACCATCTTGTTAGTGTCTAGAACCTATGAGCCAAGGGGCCGGCAAAAGGAATAACTATTGAAAATATACGTACCGCACAAGATCGCAAAATCGTACAATGCGAGTTTCGTGACCTTCTTCGCGTCTTCAGGAGTTATATCATACTTCTTCATTATGTCTTTCGCCTTTCGAGCTGCAGTTCGCATCATCTCTTTAAAATTCGGGGTGTTGGGATCAAGAAGCCCCTTGAAATTTCGCCGAATGAACTCCTCTGCATATGCTGCATACTCCTGTTCTAGATCTTCCTGAGGCGGGAGACGATGTGTCATATCGGGCTCCTGGGCCCCGTTGTTGCCATGGACCGACGACCCGGCGCTTGTTTCAGAGCTCTTTGATGATTTACCATCGTTCGAAAACACAGTTTCGACTTTTGTGCTCATTGTATCGTTGCGTGGCAACTTATTAGAGGGAATCTGTGAATCCGCATGTCCAGATTTTGACGTGTCCCCAGTGTTAGGAGATGCGGGTTGATTCGCTGGAGCTGAGGGGCCGGACTGGGGCAAGGAGCTTGTAGCACGATTATTTACAGGGATAGATGGACTCGGTGTACCCCCTGATGGAGGAGATACGTGCGGGTTAGCTTGATTTTGAGGGTCTGTAGTCTGATCATGCCCCGGATTAGGGGGTGTCGATGTATTCCCAGGAGCAGTGGGTGTAGTTTGGTCCGCAGGACCGACAGGATTTCCTTGGCCTTGTTCACTCGTAGAACTTGCAGGTACTGATGCCTGGCCCCCAGAAGTTGTAGGAGCAGGCGGATTTGGATGCGTACTCGGCGCGTCTAGAATAGAACAACAGTTAGTTACTTAATCTCATTGTTGGACGGTTTATAAATTATCTTCACATAATAAAAAGCCGACTTTTCTTACCTGTTGAGCCGTCAGCGGGCCCAGAACTAGAAGCATTCTGTTTCTGCCTCTCTTTCACAATTTTCTTCTCTTCCTCTTCAACGATATTGACAGTCTGCTCGAAGGTTTTCGGGAGGTCTCCTTCAACTTTTTGAGTCAGTTTATCAGCCAATCTTTCTATCATTTCCTGATATTCCTGCTCAGACTGTGCGCTATTGTACAAATCCTGTAATTTCGTAAGGTCGTTTCTGTCATAATTGGCAACATGTGCTCTGATAAAACCCTGGATATTTTTGACCTTGAGAAGCTGCGCCAAATCGTACTCAAGATGCTCTTGGCTTTTTTTCCTTTTCAACGTTGGCTCCGGCATTTTGATATATATTTCAAGTTAAATATATAAAAAAATTAAAATATTTAAAATTGGGGAGAGTCTTAAGTTGGTGTATGTAATTTTTTCAATCGACAATTATGTCTAAAAAGAACAGGCAATGCGCATGTGGCTCAGAGTCTCGATCGAAGAAGCCCCAGGCCTCCTCAATTGATCAAGTACGTTCGATACTGCTATTGCGACTTTACAAACAACATCGTGGGAGACTAAGGAGATATATATCCCACCATATGACATATATTCGAAAATAAAGTTCAGGAAGACCTAAGTCTTCGAGTCTCACAACCAGTTGCTTGGGTTGCTTCAAGGATCCAATATCCCTAAACGTCGTGCGGTAGAGAGTTCCAGGCGTACAATGACAGCAAGTACTTAAGTCCCATGGGATAATCATGACCAAGTACAACGACTATTCACTCGCAAAATACAACACGGGCAAACTATTCCCCCTCCTTTACGGCGGGGTATTGTCAGGCCTCATCGACAATCGAGCTTAGAAAGCTACTAGCTGAAGCTCAATGACGTGGACGATTGGAGGCATTCGACGTGGTCGAACATTGCATTGTGCATTGAGCTGCATGCAGCAAAACGCAAGCAAGGATTCAAAAACTGAAAAGACTAGACCCCGCCCTGCATCGCCCCACCATAATGCGTAGGATATCCCCTCGAGGATACCATAGTCTCGTCCGAAGGATCATAAGAGCTAAAGTGAAAATAATTTTGCAACTTTATCACGGGCGTTCTGCGAGGACAACGGACAAGTTTTAAACTCAATTCAACGTTCAAGAAAAACGCTCCGTTCAGTACGAATACGCATTCTGCCGAAGTAGGCGCCTTGAAAATCCAGGATAAACGAATGCGAACCATAGAACAGATGCAAGAAGAGTGAATGAATGAATTGAATGAATTGAAACTACGAAAATATGAAGTGGGACTGAGACAGATGTATTCTAAATTCCAACGGACTTACTGATATATAGGACAACAGTACCCGTAATCATATAAGTACTTAGACATAAAGCGCCAAACCTAGTGGTATACTCGGTGACATTATACCACAGTCAATTGTTTTTTTTTCCTTGTGTTATCTATCAATACGTATACCAAATCTTCACGCTACTATACTATCATGGCTGCAACGAAGAATCGAGGCACTTATCGGGCTGTTGGCCTAAATAAAAATACAACAAAGAGTGAATTCGAAAGTTTGTTGATAGGGTACCTAACACCAGCAGAAAAGACTACGCTCAGGATCAGCAAGCTATGCCTTGCGCCATACCCAATTGACCACGGACGAACCCAGACAGCAATATTCAAATTCACAGGCGGCAGCCCAGAATTCCTGAAAAAAAAGCATATCAAAGACAAAGAAGGGGCAACTATCGAGATAGACTCGGATTTCTGGGGTCTGACACAACTGTACCATACAGAAGGAGAAATTCAGATCGAGTAAGTCTCAAACAGTCCTTGATTGAGTCATATATACGGTTTAATATATTTTATTGAGTAAATTCTATTTACTTACGATGTGAATAGTATTGTGGCACTAACCGGACTGAATGCACACGCATATGGTTCATGGAGTGGTGCAACTGATGATGATACGAATCCTATGTGGCTCCAGGATTACCTATCTAAAGATACTCGCCTGGGGCCACACTGTCGAAGCATGATATACGGTTACAATGCTAAAACGGCAGCCAATGCTTCCCATGATACCAATGACTACGTCAAAGGTTTTCTTCACGAGCTCAAGAAAGCCCGCAAAGAGCCTAAAGTATGTTTAAACATCTCCAGTGCGGGTATAATATAAGGTCCCGTGCTAAACGCAAGCTAATGCTGAAGAAAATCGCAGGAAAAGAAAAGGCCATTGGTACTACTCGGTCATAGTTACGGTGGCCTTATAATTGCACATGTGAGTAACTTGCTTCTTCCGTCAAGAGTCCTACCTTACTAACATGTATTCAGGCTTTCACGAGGGCATCGTGGGATCTAAGATATAGATCTATTTACCACTCAACCATCCGAATTATTTGTTTCGGTGTACCATATCGAGGTATCAGCCTCGAAGATGTTGAGCGACAAGTCAACTCAAACCCCAAAAAATTCAGCCAGGGTATAGGGTTGTTAAAAGCCATAGCCTACGAGGCGGGTAGAATTACTGCGAATACAGAACAGTTCCGACATTTACTGAAACAAACGAAAACCCGGCTGGTGACATTCTATGAAACAGCCCATACTCGCAAAGTCGAACAGGTAATACAATCGCCCAAACAGTGTTCTATTCGAGTATCTAGCCTCGAAAATACTAAATCTAGATACATTTACAGATAACAAGGGATGGCAAAGTTGTTGAGGGCGAATTCAGTCGATGTGGAGAGTACACAATAGTGGTATCGAGAGATTCAGCCGTGCTCGGGCTAGGCGAGGATCTCGAAGAAGACCACCCCACTGAAGGCGACCACTCCACGATAGTTAAATTTACGAGTGAAACGAATAGCACTTATACCACAATTACCGATATACTACGGACTCTACTCAGAGACGGTGAGAAAGAGGTCAAAAAGAGAATAAGTTGCGTCTCCCGAAGCTTTATCACCGTGACCTTCAAACAAAAGTACTGACGAAATATCAAAATAGATGCGACCGAAGGAGAGGATAAAAGACAGGATGAAATCGCAGATGCAATTGGAACAATTTCTCAGAACCCAGAAGAAGTAAAATACATGTGCAGCCAGATGCTTCGGATTGCTGCCGATGCTGGTTTACATAGACTAGCAGAAAAGCTCTTGAAAAAAGGAGCTGACCCCAATATGCAAGCCCATGATCCTCAGTATAAGAAGTGCCGGGAGGATAGTCGTTGGTTAGTGTCGATATCCTCGTGACAGCTCAAAGCTCAATCATGCAGCCACTTGAGTTCTGCTTTGCGGTTATACTAAGCTAATATATATCAATTCTTGACAATTTAGGCTGTTTGATAGCGCTTATGACCCAGAAACCGGAGAAGAAGCAGCGAAGGTGGCGAGATACCAAAATTCTGTAGCGGAAATCCTTGAAAGCGATGTCACTGCCCTTGCCCTGGCTACGAAACGTGGAAATACCGGACTTGTCAAACTGCTTCTCAAAGGAAGCGCCGACCCTAACCTTCAGTGCTCCTCCTACCTAGAGGGAAGAACCCCACTTCATGAAGCCTGTAGGAGAAACCATTCCGAAATAGTCAAATGCCTCCTCAGGTATGGCGCAAATCCGAATGCAAAAACCGGCCTTTTTGAGACGGTTCCTCTCCATGAAGTGGCTGAGTACGGCGGTTTTGTCGCTCCTACGCTTTTGGTCTTTAGGGCCGATGTCAATGCAAAGAAACTGGGGACCGGAGACACTCCGCTTCATATCGCTGCCCGGCGGGGTCACGTAGGTGCAGTATATGAATTCCAAAAGCATGGAGCTGATGTTGCTGCCCGAAATGCCTCCGGATCAACTGCTCTCCATGGAGCTGCTGAAGACGGACGCATATCAGTCGTTCTGAGTCTACTAGCAGAACCCAGGAACAGAGGTATCGTGGATATCCAGAATAATGAGGGAGAAACGGCACTTCATAAAGCCATAGAGTCTGAGGAGCTGGAAATTATCAGGATGCTCCTAGATAAAGGTGCAAACAAAGGCATCGTTATGAAAGACGGTAAAAATGCTTCTGAGCTCGCCGCGGAAATCGGAAATGATGAAGTTGAAGCCTTATTGAAGAAATATTAAACTTCAAATTAGCAAATTTCTTTCTATTTATGAATTCACACTCGCATTCAATTCTTATTTCCAAGTCAACTCCATGAATCCACTACACGAATACACACAGCATGCATAAGTTAGCGGATGGATGTAGACAATTTTGCCATATTGGATCATCCTTCATAATCTTTTAACACAGTTTCGATTTTGAATTCCAGTCTTTACTCTATTTTCCTAGAATTCTCAGTAGCTATGCATATATTTGAACTCTTAGTATCAAGCAACTTTGGTGATAAAATTCTAGAAGTGAGAACCGTCAACCCCTTATGATCGGGAATATTTCGGCATCTCATCCAATCTTACAACTGCCCAGAACGTATTACAAACGTCGATAATACTTCCATGGTTGCAGAATTGCGGTATCGGTATATCCGTGATACCCTTCAACAAAAGGGTACCCCCTCTAACGTTACAATGAAACGGATTGTGCTTAGACCAAAAACACCGGTAGCTCAGCCCCGTTAGTTCCGCACGCCCTATATTGCCGTAAGTGTGCTGTGCCTCGAACCGCTTTTATCAAATGAGCTGCCCCATATATGTTCAAAGAACTCTTCGCGCATTCTCGAATTCTCGTCAAGAAGCTACAATCGATACGACCAATGTTAAAATGTTAAAATGTTTAAATGAATCAAGTCAGCCTTACTCGGCGATTTTAACCTGGTAAATGAATTAGCTATTAGAGCCGAGGGGTTATAATACTTCGACTTTCCGCATTATATCTCTTCCCGGATATATCGAATACCATGTTTAAGGTATAGCTCGATACTGATGTTGCAGCGGCCCGCCTGACACATTGATGCTTCGCCAAACGAGGAAGCTCAAGAGCCCATGTTCCTTTCGAAGCTTTCTGGCGTCCCGGTCCAGATCCCGGATTCTCAATCTAGTCTCCGCGGCGCGCAGTACAGTCGCACAAACTTTGAAAAATAGCCGAAGCGTCTATGTTTATGCCTTTGAACACAGAAATCTCACAAGGCTTATAAGTTCATCCCAAAATGTGGGAAGTGTGTTGCATTACACATGCCGCATCCTACTTCAAGCTTCTAATCTCGAGATAGTAAGAACTCGGCAAGTCCGCCTTCGAATGCTTGTTCATTAACCTGGCTCACATGTATACACCCTTGGTCCCGCAACCTAGCTATAGACCTTCGAGAACTCTTCGATTTATATCCATGCATGTGTATGTACATGTGCACGTATCGTATCCGTATTGATGCCGCTCTATCGAATCGTCGACAGTATCAACTGCCAAATTTAAACTAAGGCAAATAATAACTTCTCTGTTCGATGTTCGGCATATATCAATATAGATGCAAGTATATTCTGTGCCATCGATGTGCATATATATGCATATGTATGTACTTAAGTCTATGACACCTCTGATCGGTGAGACAGAATTATAATTTCCGGACTGCGGACAATGACTAATTAGTCTCTCACTCAGTTAAAATACGAAGTTTCAACAAGGAACCACCCAGACGCGTGAACGTTTGGGGGGCAAAGCACCAGGCCTTCTCGCGTCCGAGAGCTCTCATTGGTGCGATATCAGGCCTAAAACGTCTTAAGTGGAGCCTCATTATCCTCGCCAATGCAAGGCACCAAGACTTGGGGCTCTAATAGGAAATTGAATGTTCCCACACACCCATATCGTGGAAGGTGTACCGTGTATGGTGGCGGCTCCCTTTTTACCCAAATTGCCTATTGTGCATAGTACATGCAATAACCTGTAATACCGACAGCGTTAGCAGAGAATGACTCCGCGGTGGCCCACCTATGATGTGTCGCTTGCATATTGCAAGTGGCAGAAAGGAGAACTTAAAATGCAAGTCTTATATAACGGCGCCTCCCTTCCAGACTACCGCGATCTTTTTCCTGAATTACCTAAACCCACGACTTCGGTTTTGACATTCTTTACCTTTTCTTTTTCCGTTACTTCTTGAAGTAGAATTCTTTTGATTTGTAGAGGGGTAGTTTCACCTTTCTATCGATCAAATATCCTACTTCGTCCATTCCTTACAGAGGTCCACTTCGCAGCTCTATTGCGGCTTAAGATCCTTACCAACCACAGTCACTCTTTACTTACTGTTTTGTTTCACATTCAATTTTTAATAGCGATACCCAGACGTTATCCATAAATATATAAAAATCTCAAAGAAAAAGGGAAAAAATGTTGTTCAAATATATCGCCTCCCTCGCCGTCCTGGCATCTTCCGCCGTCGCACAGACTGAATACACAGGCGGGTACAATGCGGCTTTCAAGAACATGACCGCTGTCTATTGGGGTCAGAACGCCGGTGCCATTGTTGACCCGACCAAGCAATCCGACTTGCTCACGACATGCAATAACACCAACATTGATGTGGTTATTGTCAGCTTTGTGACCAAGTTCAAAGGAAAGGCGGGGCTTCCAATTGTAAGACATACGCTCTAATTTATATTCATACCCCTGTCTCTTTTTTTTTTTTATGTATATGTACAGCCCATTGCGCAACGGCTCCCTTGCATCTGCACGGAAGTGACAGGTTTCTCGCGTTTTGGGGAATCGATCTGCTTGTTTCCGTTCCATATCGCTGGGTGCGAAATCGCTAACTCGGATTGGTAATGTCTCTGTAGCTCAACCTGTCAAACCAATGCGGCAATGTCTTCCCTTATGCGGAAAACCCAAAGAACGACACGGATATCCTGAACTGTCCTGATATCGGAGAAATGATCACTCAATGCCAGGGACTCGGAAAGAAGGTCCTTTTGTCGTTGGGCGGATCGACTTATAATAATGCAGCATGGAAAAGCGTTGCCGAAGCTCGTGATACCGGAAACACTCTTTGGGCTATGTTCGGCCCTCCCGGTAACAATCCATATAAATATCGACCTTTCGGTAACGCAACTGTTGATGGATTCGACCTGGTAAGTTGGAGAATAACGAATTGTAATATTCCATACTTTGAGACAAGCTTTCTAATGGTATCTATTCTATAGGACTTCGAATATGTCGCCAATGCGCCTTTCACTGACACCTTTGCCGCCCACATGAAGGCGAAATATGCTCTTGACAAGAAGCGTCAATACCTTCTCACCGCTGCCCCACAGTGCCCCAGCCCTGACGGCGCTCTCGACGTCGCCCTTACCAAGGTTGCATTCGATGCCATTTTCGTCCAATTTTACAACAACCTCTGCCAGACCTCGACCTGGGCCAAGGGTAAATCCCAAATGAAGAACACCTCCTTCAACTTCCAGTTGTGGGAGAACTGGGCGCGAACTTCCAGCGCCAACAAGAACATCAAGATCTTCATCGGTTTCCTCGGTGGCGGTGTTTCAGGTACTACTGGATATGTCAATAAGAATGTTGCCCAACAGATCATCGCCGATTCCCTCAAGTTCAAGAGCTTTGCCGGTGCTATGTTCTGGGATGCATCCATCCTCGGTATCAATACTGGAATCTTGCCAGCTGTCAGGGATGTCCTGACTGGCAAGGTTGTCATCAAGAAGCGTGAGATTGAGGAGCGTGAAATCAAGATCCCCGTTGGAGGCTCTTCCATCTATGCCGCTGAAGATTATATCGAGGTCAAGGCACCAGCTGAGGCTACTCGCAGGTTCAAGAGACGACACGTCCACCACCGTCGTGCGGGCTTCTTGTCCAACTAAGACACAAAAAGAGGTTGAAGACAGAGTTTTACGAAACTTTTTTTTGTATATAGGTTTTGTTTGGGCAAAGCTATTCTGGCTATATTTTTAATCAAAAATTAATATAATGTATTTACTTCATAAAAGTGATTTACAGATACGTACCTAAATACGGTGATTCCAGCTCTATCGATCTTTAGAATAATCATAATGTCGACCGAGGCCGGGACTCATCTACTTTGCCTTTTGCAAGTGATATAGCCGGTGTTACCCAAATTCCACAGCTACATTTCATTCCATGCCAAGCGTAAGAACCGATTTTAGAGCTACACTTAGGACATTCAAGCTTGCCCTCCATCTCTCCCTTCTCGAGCTCCGGCCTCATCCATACAATTGGGTCGAGGAAATGGTGCTGGCAATTGTTTTTGTTTATACCAACGGCGTTAAGAATACGATCGCGGGAGCTGGAGGCAACGGGTGGACTAGCAGCATAATGGTCCACGAACGAACTTGAAAGCGCAAGAGTACGCCTGCGTAGAAGTTAGTTATGTGATATATACGAGAAGGGATACCGTCGAACGACATACCTGCACTTCCTACACTTCAACTGCATATCCGATCCTTCCTTAGATTCATCCTCCCCATAATGATTGATGGTTGGAGCTTTATGTGCCAAACGACTCAGCTCGACTTCTTTCCTATACAAGTATCGCTGGTACGCAGGCACATCGTCAAGATTTTGAATCGCCTGCTCAAGATTCTCAGAATAGATGTCAAGTTGCTTTCTGAATGCGAGGTTTGGGCAGATAATTGGCCGTGACTGTCTGAGGATTTCCAGGGCGATCTCTGCTGGTATCTGCTTTTTGTAGATTAGATATGCTGCACAGATTGTAGCGGATCGAGATATGCCCATCGCACTGCAAGGAATAGTTAGTCATTGAAGAAGACGAGATAACTGCAATTCACAACTTCGTACCAATGCACTAAGACACTTCCACCTTCTTGTATAGCTTTATCGATAAACGCATTCGACGTTTGGAAATATTCAATTAGATTCTCGTCATCGTCGTCATTAACTTCGATGTGTAAATGCTTTCCAGCAGATGCGAATTTCTCGACCTGGGTCTGATCCAGTCGGCCTCTGAGGACGGACACAACATGGGTAATGTTCGCGGCTTCCAGTAGATCCGTACGTCGCAGCACGAACATGCTACAAACTGTTAGCCATATAAACTAGCATTTACTTTTTATTCTTCCTAAAAAAAATATAAAAAAAATAGAGCTCGCAAACGAGGAAAAGAGAAGACAAGGAAAGGAAAGGGCATCGACACTAACCCGCTGATATACAGCCGAGTATCAGCTATTTTATCCATGCCTCCGTGATTTTCGCGGAAACTTCGAAGTTTTTTGAGGAGTTCGCCAGCAGATGCACCTGTTTTGAGCTCGAGACCTTTGAGATTTGCGGGATTGAGGGTCATTGTGATCGAGACGAAAGGACCGGCCGTCTGGGGTTGAAGGTGAGATTTTGTGTGACTCGATGCGGTGTAGCTGTTGCCAGCCGAGGTTTAGCCGGCCTAATCCTTGGCTAGCGTCGTTCTTCAGGGTGCTTGAAGTCGGGCCGCGGGCTTTTTTATGATGCAAAATGCCGTGGAAGTCGACGTTTTGGAGGTGATGTCGATGAAATACTGGCACTGCTGTACATGCATGTACCTGCCTTTGTATCCTCATGGTTTAACACCACGTGTGAAGGGTTATCAACCCGGAAGTCGATCGAGAACATCGAGCATGAGGGATTGGCTTCAAAGTTTCAATGGCTTCGCACCTTGCTCGAAGCAACGCCAAGACATGGAAATCTGGTTATCGGATTACGGCATAAGGCCCTGTGCATACTTGCAGAAGTTAACATCACTGTTTTAATTAATCAATTTCAGCTATAACATGCACTAACTACCTACTCCGCACCGATGCGATAACGCAGGGCCGGAGACTCAACTACAATATCGCATCATACTATGCGACCCCCCAACTATCACGAGGAATGTAGGGCCATTTGCATTCTATTCAAACTTGGCAAACATTAAGCACAGGTTTAAACCTAAACACGCGCATAGGCGCAATGGCATCTTCGGGGAATACAATTCCTGACCTCGAGCCGTCGGCATCCGCGATCATATCAAATCCAGGGATTGATACTCCAGAAGCCCAAAACCCCCCATCTCAAGGGTTTAGAGTCTCTCACCAGTATTCCGGCGTTGCAGAAGTCGATACGCCTGCTCTAGTACAAGACGAGGTAGAAGATAGCCTTCCGCATCGACATTCTTTTCTTGAAGATGAGCGGGCAGAAGAGCGGCTGGAGGCAAGGGCTCAAGCACCAACCCCTCTTACGAGGAAGAAACAAATCGATCTTCTCACGACAGTCTGTTGGCTCGTTTTCTTCTCGATATGGGGTGCACTCGCGCGTATCGGTCTATCAGCCTTGACCACCTATCCGGGTTCTCCTATTGCCGGTGTAATCTGGGCTAACTTTGCTGGTTGTTTTGTTATGGGATTTATGGCTGAAGAAATCTGTTTCTTCGCTGGCCCACTAGCGCCGAATGACCATTCGAATGGCAACGGAGCAGAAATGAAACGAACAGTAGAGGAGAATCACTGGAGCATTGATAAAAAGGCTATTCCTTTATATATCGGGATCACAACGGGGTTTTGTGGGTCTCTCACAAGTTTTTCAACCTGGATGCGGGATTCTTTCTGGGCGATGTCGAACACTCATCCAGCCCATCCAAGATACAGAGGTTACAATGTAGAGGCTCTGCTGGCACAGATAATCGCGACAGTTGCTTTGTCCGTTGGTGGGTTGAAAGCTGGTGCGCATTTTGCACTGTTTCTTCGACCGTTCATACCGACGATGCCAACTAGCTTCAGGCCACACCTTGATATAGTTGGGATTATTCTTGGACCCGCTTGCTGGATCGGTGTCATTATAATGGCAATATTTATTCCAAAGTGGAGAGGCATTCTGCTTTTTTCAGGTGTATTCGCCCCTCTTGGAACTCTCCTGAGGTTCCTGGCATCAAAAAGATTAAACCCCTTATTACCATCATTTCCTCTGGGAACTTTCAGCGTAAATGTTAGTGGATCGATGATCGATGCAGCTTTTATCTTACTACAAAGTTATAGCGGTGTTAGTTTTGTTGGTTGCGAGATATTGCAGGGACTGGAGGACGGGCTTTGCGGATGTTTGACAACCGTTAGCACGTGGGTTGTAGAAATTACAACATTGAGGCGTATGTTAAAAAACCCTTCGGTTTTAGACACTCCCTGCTGATAGAATGTTGGTAATCGTTTTGCTAACCGCGATGTTGGTTTGACAGGTAGTCATGCATATCGATATGGAGTGACGAGTGTTCTATGCGGCTTTGCCTCGTTTGTAGTCATTTTGGGGACATATGTGAGTTGCTCCTTTCTAAGCATTATGCAATAAACATCGAGAGTTCTGGCATCTGACTAACGTTATACCAGACCTGGGATCATGGTTTGGATCCGAGGAAATGCTAGGTTCTAGAATAGAAATGACCTTTTTCTGTCTCTTTAGATAAAATGAGACATCCCGAATATAGATTTTGAGTGTCGCCACTGAGAACTGCATAAAAAATTGAGGCTCAAATAAACTATTAGTAGTTTGATAGTATATGTTATAATCTCCATGATCTCGCGGAGTCCGAAAATAAAGTTAATCAAGACAAAATGATGTCACGATGTATGGTTTATTCTCCGGGGGGCGACATTCTAGAAATAAATCTGATCTTGCGGGATCGGTCGCTTGTGAGTAGACGATACAACCTCAGCCCATATTCTTAATTCTTTAAGTTCACTCTGGGCTGCACCGATTGGAATGCAACAGCTGGCATAAAACCCTTCAAAAGTTATTTTTGGTATAGAGTTTGACCATTATGGGCATCGACACCGAAGATGGTTGGCTCAAATAGGTTCCTCTAAAAAAAATTCAACTGCGGCTGTGCACGCCCGCGGCCGCCGTGGTTGCCAGCCTTAGTTGTCTGTCCTGCACGGGCATAACCCACCTTCTTGGATTGTTACATCGATATTTCGCTTGCTGCCATGGCATTTCGCACGACTTGCCGGCGACTCCTATTCGAGGCATTTTGTCCCCGCCGAATTAACCGATTGATGAGCTAGTACAGCGTATGTATGTAGGAGGGGGCGGGGAGATTGTGATCTTCAAGAATCTCATGATCAGTTCATGTAAAAAAGTTTCCCTGCACGATTGTCTTGGGTGCAGTATCTGTAATCTTCGGTTCTGCCATATGTCTCATACCCACCGCGGCTTTTCCTTTCGAAAGGGAAAGAAGTTCATGGGAAAAAAACAGAGAATTTCTAGAATTGCGTCGGTTTTGAGATTAGACACGCTCAGTCACAGAGCCAAACCACGATCCGGCGAATCACCTTCCTAGACGAAGGCAAGCAGTAGATCATGCGGGCAGGGTCTAACTTTTAGACTCCACGAACGCAGTTTCAGTTGCCCGTTTTCTTCGCGTTGATCCGACCCTCGGGTTTCCAACCAGAACCCTTTTTTTCTTTCCCTTCTTGCCCTGCGACTTTGTGACATTGTGTTCTGGGCGGATGCAGCCTTAGGCTTTCTCGCAGCAAGGGTTGCTTTCGGCCCATAGTTTGGTTGCATCTGTGTCGAAAGAAGCAGGGGCTGTGAAAGGAACACCGTTGGGAGACAGCATTAAGGGGTGCAGCTAGTATTTGCCAACACCCCCAAGGACACTTGGGACGGCCAAAAGCGTAGACTTTCGAGCGAATCAAGATGAAGACTCTCAGTCTAACATGGTAGGAAGAGATTCAGGGGCGTCTATGTGAGAGTGGACTAATCCGTCGAATGTGTACTGTACTGTACATGTCGACAATCGACATTCAATACATCGAGCGTCTGTTACATTGCATAGAGCAGATGGATGTCAAATCAATAGTGACAATTAGCAAAAAATTAGTACAGATTGCTAAAGATACAAAATACGATGGCGTAGGGATGCATAAGATCGTATCATACCTAACAGAACTATGTACTATGTACATGTACTCGGTAGCTGCCCAAAAAAGAAAAGATGGATCACAGAAAAAGAAAGTTTTGAGGTTGCGACGATTAGTGTGGTTAAGCCGCGCAGTTCGAGTTGGTCGCTGGTGTTTCGACACCTTTGCAGGGCACCGCGCACACTCAGAGTCCTCTGACAGGTCGGGGACTCCACTCCACGACAAGGCCACTCCACTCCACGGCCACCATGCCTCTCGTTCATCCCTTTTTTCCGTCGACCGCTTAAACCTATATTAAAAGAGTATCGCCAGTTTCTTCCTGCAGCTTTTCTCTCTCAGCATTCGTTTAGCCCTTACTTGCATACCAGGAAACGTCACAACTGTGTGCTGTTTTATACACCTTCTTTCTATAAACCAGCCATCTTTTCTAGTCTCTCGTTAAATCACGGACATTTTTATCCACCAAAATCAACCTTCCTTTTTTCTTTTTTCATCTTCTTATCTGGTCTATTTGTTTATTATTTACTCTTCAGCTGCGTAGCTTCCATTCGTTGGTGATATATTTCTTATACATAAGTTAGTTGTATTGCTCTTGCAAGATATCTCGAAAAACTTCCAACAACCTCAACAACAATTAGAGTAATTTCGGACATCTCTGGATTAGATTTTCGACCTTCATCAATCATTCCAACCACTCTACGACTCTTCAAACTATCATGAAGCTTACATCCGCTTTCCTCGTCGCTTCTGCGGCCCTTCCTGCGGCTCTTGCGCAAACATGGACCGCTTGTAACCCTCTCGAGAAGCAGTGCCCATGCAACCCAGCCCTTGGAAGTACCTACTCTTTCGACTTCACCAAGGGTGAAGGTTCCGAGCTTTTCCCAGTCGCGGACCACTTCCCTGTCAGATATGAGAAAGATGGTCTCCATCTTCCTGTCAGGAAGAAGGGTGACGCCCCAACTATCGCTGGTCTCAAGTACATCTTCGGTGGTCGTCTCGACTGCGTCTTGAAGATTGCCCCAGGCAAGGGTATCGTCAGCTCCCTGGTCTTCCAATCTGCCGATTTGGACGAGATCGACTACGAATGGATCGGCAGCAAGCCCCTTGAGGCTCAATCTAACTACTTCGGCAAGGGTAATACTAAGACCTACAACCGTGGTGCCATCCATCCAGTTACCGATTCTGCCAATATCTTCCACACGTACTCTATCGAATGGACAAAGGAAAAGATCACCTGGTATATCAATAACGAAGTCGTCAGAACCCTGACTCCTGCCATTTCTGCCGATCTATACGCCAGCAACAACTACTACCCACAAACCCCAATGGAGATCAAGATTGGTGCTTGGGCTGCCGGTGACCCATCTAACGCTGACGGTGTCATTGAATGGTCCGACGGTCCAATTGACTACTCCCAGGCTCCATTCGACATGGTTATCCAATCTCTCACTGTCACTGATTACTCCAAGGGTGCTACCGAGTACTGCTATGGAGACAAGAGCGGTTCCTGGGACTCTATCCAAATCTCCACTGATCCTTCCAAGGGAAAGACCCCAATTAAGGAGACCACCTCTGCTAAGCCAACCAAGACTGCCGAGCCAGAAGAGAAGACCACCAGCGCTGCTCCAAAGACTACTCTCGCCACCTCCTCCAAGGCTGACAAGGAAACCACCACCAGCGAGAAGGAAGAGAAGGAGACCACCACCTCCAAGCCACCAAAGAACACTTCCACTGGAGAAATCGCCCCAGCAATTACTCAGGGTCTCCCAGACTCCATTGGAGGAATGGACGGTCCCCAGAACAAGGGTGTTTCTTCCACTGGCACTGTCGATGCTCAAGCTGCTCAGACTGGTGCCCCAACTGACAACGTCCCAAGCTCTGCCTCGAGCATTAAGAATGCTGGCTTGAGCCTCGTTGTCGCTGCCGTCTTCGCTGCACTTGTATTATAAATGTAATGATACAGAACGAAAAAAAAACAAAATCTACAAAATCTTTGGACGAGAGAACTTAGGGGTTGTTTTATTTTTTTCTTCTCTTGTATGTAAAACATAGCTTTCATTTGTAATAACGGTGCATGTGGAGCATTCATTGCATAGCACGACTGGCATCTTTCTTTTTTTCACTTCTTGAGGCGGTAGAGAGACGGTTTTTTATTTCTTCATGTTTTTTGAGCGTTTTCCTGTCTGGTTCTTCTCGATATCCATTTGTTTCCTTTACTCTGCATTAGAGATAAATATTATACCTATTATATTTTCTCACTCTAGTGTTTTAATATTGTGATTTCGTGATATTGGTAGATTGGCTAGGACTACCTACCAGCCTACCTCATAGTCCATATGTTTACCATGTCGAAATCCAATAAGGCGGCACAGAAAACATGCAATTGTTTGCAAGTCCTATGCAGCCCTAAAATCCTTGGTATATGTACTAAATAGGAGTTACATCGCTATGGTGGCTTCCGTCCTTGTCTTTGATTCGTCATACGTCAAGCTGAAGTATCTTACAGCTCGTCCGTGCCTTAAATTCTATGCATGGCCACGGCTAGCTGTTCCGAGGGCTGATGTTTTTTACAATATAGGCTTACCAACTTTTGACAATTGTTCTTATCAATTAGTCTAGTTTGGCCTCGTAAGCCCGGTTTACAGTTTGTTAATTTACAGAACGATTGTTTGATTGCATGATGATATCGATGTGGGTAAATGCCGGCCGCGGCGAAACATTCTGGTTTGCGAACTAATGTAAGTAGATAACAAGGAACAAAAAGAAAAGGAATTCTAAATACACTACATATTGCTAACTAAGAAGCTAGCTCATCTCAAAGCTTTGGGAAGATTGTGAAATGATAATACAAAGAAATCATAAAAAAAGAAACATGTGAATAATTGAAGGGAATTTGAAGTTCAAGGCCAAATAGTCTTTGTTGGTTCCTCTACATTAGGTTCAGATACGGAATGTCCCATTCTTACAAGGGAGACATGATTGATATCCTTCGGTCCCTTCTCTAGAACCCGATTCTTATCCCAAATGGAAACCCCTAAGCTCGGCTTATCACTTGAAACATCACGCTTCGAATTCTTTCTGTTTCCAAAAAAGGCAGTATCTAAAGTGCCATACCGAGCTTGAAGTTCATCCAAGCGATCTTTTGACTCCGGGCCCTCCAGATAGTATGGTTCCTCGGTCCCCGGAACAAGATACTGTCGGTTTCCAGAATGTGATATTTTGGAGGGTGGGGCTGGAGAGTCCCCGTTTCGCAAGGCAAGGTCGCTGTCCCAGTCGGAGAGCGTATACTCGAGAATAAAATTGGGATCAAGATCGAATGGCGTGAACCCGAATTCTTTCCCATCGCCATGACGGTATACATAGCCTTCATGACTCTTTTTTATACCTTTGGGGATCTCGTCAAGAGTGTCTTGGATCTCTGCATCTGAGATAGTTAGGGGAATATTGGTTGGTTGTATTAGGGTTGCCGCACAATAGCATCCTATATAAGTAGATGTTTTGTATCAGCTATCCGCCCCATATATATGTAACTGGTGTCGATATCTGATGCAATGGTATCCTGACTACCCACCTGCTGCAGTCCGGCACGTCTCTGAAATAAGCGCGGTGTCACATCGCCGTTGAAAATGGATATCAGGCCGATAGTTCGGGTTGGGAACAACGACACCTTGATAAGAACAACGGCAATTCCTACATTTAAGTTGATATGACATGACTGCAGACGCTTGGTTTGCAAAACCACTACGTGAACGCCAGTTGGGCCATCGATTTGCGGGTAAGTATATGTTGTTGCTATGTGGTGTGATACCCAGCACCCATCGTGCGGACATACATTCGATCCTATAGCCTGTGGAATCGTAGAAGTCGTATACGGTCAGTGGAGGGTGGTCATCAGGGCCGTAGGGGTGTTCATCATCTGGTATGTTGGTGCCGTCGTCGCTTTCATAGTCGCTGCCATAGTCTGTGGGAGTATTTGTTCGTCGGCCCAGTTCAACTTTTACTGGGGTTCCCTTGATGTTTGTCCAATTCAAATAGGGCTGATGGCTTGGTGTGAGAGCTTCGAAAGTGGAGCTATCAACCACGGCGGGTAGCATTGTTTCGTTCTTGTCTAAGGCTAGAGGTGACCCCACAACAAGCGTGATAGAAAATACAAATAAAATGGTATAGAGGAACAAAGACCAAGTTCGGTCTGTGATGATATTTTCGAACCGCATCTTGGCGAATTCTTGAGGGGGCGTTTCTAGGTATCCCTGGCGGTAGGTTGGTGAGGTTATAAAAACCGGGGAATCAGTGTATCGTGTAACGTTGTCAGACCGTGGCAGTGTGAATGTTCAACTGTATATTTCTAAGCAAGGGAAAAGTCTAGGGTCATATTCTAAGTCGTGGTAGTAGTATTTATGTGTGCAAGCTCTTGGGATTGGGTTAAGTCTCCCGTGCTAGATGTAATGCTAGGTGTCTTCTCGGCTTATACTTTTCCTGCACGTATGATGCTCCATGTACGTACAAGCCTCCATGGAACGGCATCATTTTTCTATAGAACAAAGTCCGGTTACGGGACTGTCTCCATTGATTGTACAAGTATTCTACAAATACATCTAAGCCCGGGTGCCTGCGCCGCGTATCGAGCTACATGTATACAGTGTATCGATATAAAGTTGGCGTGCACTTTTTCGTACGTTTCGTATTATGTGAATGAGGGGCACAATAACTGGGAATTTGGTTCGCTATCAATTCCAACCGGTGACAGGATTCACGGATCCGATAGTCGAGCCAATTGATAATAAGATATGATATTGTATTCTATATTATTGTGGGAAGCTTCCTTGTCATTCCGACCAATTGGCATACTGTTATATTATTCGGAGATATGCCTATCCATTGGTTAGATTATATCTACTACGGTATTGAAAATCTAACAACTAGGCTAAATATTAATATATCGTGCAATTAATTTACAAAGCTTGCTCTTATATTGTCCTAGTTTGTTTGTGATAAGAGGAACTATCTACTGTGCATGCAATGTCTAAGTAGATGTCGGACCGGTGCCACTAATCCTAACACCAACCAAGTTAACTCGATAGCCCAGTTTACTATGATTTCAGACATTGCATTTAGATATTTAAATATTTTTAGGCTTGATTGAAAAAGGTATTTACTTTTTTATGCAATAGTATCATTGATAGGTTTTAAATTTTGCATGATTGCATTGAGATCGATAGCATTCTAGACACTTCTTACACCAGATTCCAAAACCAATTATCTGCGCCACCCAACGATATGTGTTGTCTCATGTTGGATTTTCGTTCCAAAACGCAGGGCCAACTGCGCCCGGTTTCCAGATTTAGGCCGTCCATCCCGCCCAGCCATCTGACGACTGCCCCGTCGTCATCACCACCGCTTCACATCAGAACTTCATCTTCATCTTCATCATCACTTCGCGAACCCTATACAAAATCTGAACCCGATACAACGACTTAAGAAGCCCCTGAATTCTAAGAGAAGTGGTTGAAATCTACTCACCATGGGGGCCCTTTTGTCGCTACCCTTAATGGCTATACCCAGCATGAGCTCCGTATGTCTCCGCCGACCGCTATCTTCTTTAACCCAACAGGCCACTAACGTCCAACGTCTTCGATACATGTAGATCATCACTGTTGGAGCATCTTGCTGCGGTGCGGCGACTTGCTCTGCCATCTTCAACTCTTGCGGGAAATGTCACAACTCGACCGCCACCCGTATTGTCTACGCTTTAATCCTCGCCATAAACTCGATATTCAGTTGGATAATGCTCACGCCATGGATAATTAAGAAACTCCAAAAGTTAACGCTGGACTACATGACCATAAAGTGTCTCGGAGAGGACTGTTTTGGTTTCGTGGCTGTACACCGGTTTAATTTCGCGTTGGGACTGCTCCATTTTGCACTCGGTTTGATGTTACTTGGTGTCAGGTCCACCAAGAATGGCAGAGCGTCGATACAAAACGGATTTTGGGGACCAAAGATACTGGCTTGGATTGGACTTATCGTTCTCACCTTCTTTATTCCCGAAGAGTTTTTCATCTTCTGGGGGAATAAGGTCGCATTCGTGGGAGCAGCACTTTTCCTCTTCCTCGGACTTATCCTGCTTGTCGATCTAGCACACACATGGGCCGAGACTTGTCTAAGAAAAGTGGACGAGACGGATAGCAATGTGTGGAGGTTTATACTTGTCGGTTCCACGTTGGGGATGTTCATCATTTCGTTGGTCCTTACCATCATTATGTACGTCTTCTTCGGGAAGGGCGATTGTAGTATGAACATCTCGGCTATTACTATCAATATGCTTCTGGCGATTGTTGTCAGTGCAATGTCAATCCATCCGGCGGTCCAAGAGGCAAATTCGCAGGCTGGTCTTGCGCAAAGCGCCATGGTCGCGGTTTATTGCACATACTTGACAATGTCTGCTGTGGCTATGGAACCAGATGACAAGCACTGCAATCCATGGATTCGAGCTAGAGGCACCAGGACAGCCAGTATTGTTATTGGTGCATTGCTCACACTCCTCACTATTGCATATACCACTACAAGGGCTGCAACCCAAGGTTTTGCCATGGGCAGTTCGGGGCCAAGCGGCTACGCTGCTCTCGGAGATGACGAACATGGACTTGTTACCCAGGAGCCATCAAGACATGCCATGAGACAAGAGGTTTTGAGGAGAGCAATCGCAGAGGGAGCATTGCCGGCTAGTGCCCTGGATGAAGATAGTGACGACGAGGCAGAAGATGCGGTCGATGATGAGAAGGGACGGGTGCAGTACAATTATACACTGTTCCATTTCATCTTCATGTTGGCCACGGCTTGGGTTGCCACTCTATTGACGATGAGTTTGGAGGATAAGGAGGGCGATTTCACACCCGTTGGCAGGACGTACGGGGCTAGTTGGACTAAGATTATCAGTGCATGGGTCTGTTATGCACTGTATGCATGGAGCCTGATTGCTCCCGTGGCGTAAGTGCTTGTTACCAATCTATTGTAGTTCTATGAAGTCATGAGTATGCTAACGAGGTGGATATAGGCTTCCTGATCGATTCGGCTAAGCTGTGGGGACCGATCCTTTCCTTCTTTTGCGGCATAGTTTTTCGGAGCTAGCGGTGGCTTTACTTTGTAGATGAGGTTCTTTGAGACTAATGGGTTCTGGGGGGTCTCTACTTTCTAGCTTTCTGTTTCTGTTTCAAACATCTTTTACTCGTTCTTTTATTCATATACTTGGGGTTTGGTATCAATATGCATCTGCCGGTCGTCTATTCACTTCGACAGGATATAGTTCTGTTTAATAACTCCACAAATAATCAGTACTAGTTATAACTTACCTTCCTAAATGCGTCTTACCTCTCGTATAAGTTGAGGGGTCCCTCGTATTGGTACATTTGTACAATTGTGAACAAGATAGAATTTCAAATATCGTCGTGAACCTGTACATGCACTCAAGCTTGCATGATTAACATAAACCGGTATATGGGTCTATAGATCTGGAATGTATAATATACTTCAGCTTACGAAAGCTAAGGCGCCACACACGGCGAAATTCCAGCGCCCAACAGCCAACGGCGATACAAAATTCCTGTTGGTCATGAATACAGCGGGACAAGGCCATTACGCGTTTGGAAGTGGCTTGTGCAGGCAAAACCGACAGGCATTACCCGGCGATGACCATGCAGCCACAATCATGAACTATGCTAGGTAGTTAGTGTATTTAGACCACGGATAGTCTCTCCGAACCCAAATTAAAAACCATCCGTTCTTGTTTTAAAATAGAATAAAATCTTCCTAACTTTGAGTGCTTCAGAGCGTTGATAATTCGGGCCTACCAGACCAATTCGGAGACATTGAAATTAAATAGACCTGGACCATACGTAATCCTACTTCTGCTAGCTAGCTTCAGACCTGGAAAGGCGAGTTAGTCATTTTGGGAGGGACAAACAGGGCCAGGCAAGGCAAACAACCCCGCCATTCTTCCTGCCACACCTTCGATTCACACACCACACAGCTGCCATCTTATATCAGCCATCGGCCATTCCATCATATCATCATCTACCAAAAACTTCGCAGAGCCGCTTTTCTATCAGATATCAGTCCTATCGTTCTAATTTTCGTCCTCTGAAACTCCCGGGGCTCTCTACGGCATCCTACTGCCTCTTGTTAACAAACTAGATCACCGACTGCCTTCCTTCCATCCCCTCTATCGCTATGTTCCGCGGCACCAACGCCAACCCTTTTGACGATGTCGTCGGTACGTTTGATCCGCTGTCTCTGCCGGCGAGAGATTTGATCCTTTCGGGCGCCTGTTCTGCAGAAAAGGAATGTAAAGCTAATACAACTGTTTCCGATAACATGTAGCCAAGGCGACCGACGAGAACCTCACTTCGGAGAATTGGGAGTTCATTATGGAAGCTGTCGATAAAGTCGAAGGTGGCGGTTCAGATGCGTATGTACTCGATATCATCGGGGTTCTCTATCGCAGCTCCGTTTTGCATATCCTGGAATGATGTACGCATGTAACTGACTGTGCGAATGATGATAGTCCGAGAGAAGTCGTCGGTGCTCTTATCAAACGGCTAGCACACCGGAATGCTCAGGTTCAGATATACACACTTGAGGTACACATATGCGGTATTTTGCCATGAAGACGGGATACAAGGCTAACACTATTACTGTAATTTATTAGACTGCAAATGCGTTATCGCAAAATTGTGGTCTTAAAGTACACCAGGAACTGTCGTCGAGGGCCTTCACGGATGCTTTGATTCGGTTAGCTGGTGATAGAGTATGGGTTCCGTCTAAAGACCCTTCCAGGCTTCGATACACTAATTTAATACCTTTCCTTTCAGAATACACATCAAACAGTAAAGTCCAAGATCCTGGAGCGTATGGAGGATTGGGCCGAAATGTTCAGCAAAGACCCGAATCTGTTTGTTATGGAACAGGCCTACACAAAACTAAAGTCCCAAAGTGCGATTATCTTCGTCCCTGCATATGCATGAAATTGGCTGGATACTGATGGTAATACCTTAGATCCTAGTATACCAGCTCCTTCGAAGCCAACTAAGAACGCCATCACTGATGCCGACCGACTAAAGGAAGAGGAGGACCTTGCCCGTGCCCTTGAAATCTCGCTACAGGATACTAGGAGACAACAGAACTTCCCTGCTGCATCGGCATCCTCGAATTCAAATGCTGTTCAGAAACAACCTGAACCAAAACCCGAACAACCTCCTGCTAACTCTACAGCTGCCACAGTATCCCGCGTGAGAGCTCTCTACGACTTTGTACCTACAGAATCTGGAGAGTTGGCATTTAGGAAAGGTGATATTATCGCCGTTCTTGAGTCGGTGTACAAAGATTGGTGGAAGGGGTCTTTGAGAGGACAGACGGGTATCTTTCCGCTGAACTACGTCGAGAAGCTTGCAGACCCTACTGCTGAAGAGTTACAGAGGGAAGCACAGACAGAGGCTGAAGTCTTCGCACAAATCAAGAATGTGGAGAAGCTTCTGTCGCTATTAAGCACTTCTAGTGCAGATCAGCATATCCAAGATAATGACGAGATAACGGTAAGGCTAGTAGTGTAAATCCTAACGAGCGCATAATCTGACTATGGGTGATCGCAGGCTTTGTATCATCAAACACTCTCCATCCGACCAAAGTTGATTGATCTCATCAGCAAGTACCAACAGAAGCGAGGTATTAATCTCCGATTATTTCGTGTTTAAAAGGGTCCCACTAACGCAAGGTATCGCCACTAGACGACTTCCAGGCCCTCAACGAGAAATTTGTTAAGGCTCGCCGTGACTATGAAGCATTGTTAGATACATCCATGTCCAACCCCGCAGCGCACGCGTACTCACGACCGCCATATAGCCAAGGATATGGGCCCGGTCCAGAATACGGCGCACCTCTACCCGGACCTGCCGGAGGCCCCATCGGAGGACCACTAGGGGGACCCATCGGAGGGCCAGTTGGCGGTCCACCTGGTGGTCCTCAGGGGTTCTATCCGCCCCAGCCGCAACATCAAATGCACCACTCCCCTCCACCACCTCTCAACACAAGTGGACCATACGGTCCTCCTGATGCCCAACAGGGCGGTGTTCCATATCCAGTTTCAACAAGCCCTATCCCTCCTGCTGGGTCGAACCCATCAAACTTCTATGGCGCCCCAACTGGCCCAATAGGAGGACCAGATGGCCGTAAAGCATCGTCGCCACAAGCTAATCCCCCAACAGGCCGTGATAGACACCCTTCGATAAGTGGTTACCATGATACAGGTGCACCACCTCAAGAGCTTGCCACATCATCCTACGAGTCTCCTCAAGACCCAAGCGGTCGCCCCATCTCCCCCTCTCACGGCCCTCAAGCCTACAAGAGCTACTACACATATAACCCTCCCACAACCGCAGCTACATCGCAAGGTGCAGGGCCTAGTGGCCCTAGTGGCAACTTCCCCCCTAGCGGTGGTCAACAACAACAGCAGCCGCAGCAGCAGCAGCCCAGTTATCCTCCTGTAATTACTAGAACTTCCCCAACTACTGTTAGGGACTCAACTGATACATATCAACAGTACCTGAATAACCGTCCACCGAGTTGGGTCGATCCGAGTACAGGAGGGCAGGGAAACCCGGCAGATTACTACAGAAATAACGAGCTGTTCTTGCCGCAAGGTGGTTCTGGAGGAGCTAGGCCGAGAGAGGCTTGAGTCAGGTAGTTTTTTTTGGGACAATGGAGGAACATTGATCGTACGCCGGTATTTTTTTTGCTATGCTCACTCTGCAGTAGATGACAATCGTTTTCATATTTTATTTCTATCGTTTTTTATCTCTCGTCGAACTTGGCACTCGCACTTTAGGCTCTCTGACTAGTTCTTTGATTATTGGGGGGGCTGTAATGGTTTCCATTTTCTTTTGCTTTTCCCTCTTCTATTTTTTCATATAGCGCATTATTGCTGGATGTATGCTGAAAGCAACACGGAGACTATTTCTTTCGGTATCAATATCACGCATGTTAGGTTTAAATTCAATAAACAATGATAGTGTGTTCCCATGTGGTTAGGAGAACTGTATAGGTATTTGCGTATATGACTAGTATGATATCAATGTTATAGAACCGTTGATCAATTGGCGCCTACGAGGGGCCTAGCGCCATAGACTGACTTACTTACTCTTTACTTCATTATTGAAGTGTATACAGAGCCGCTGTGTTCTAGGCCATCTACACAGGGGCAGGCTACTGCTCTTGTTCAGTGTGAGTTTTGTGCTGGTTCAGTGTATGGTCTCCTGGGCAGACGCTCTACCTACCACAGTCTCAAATTATACAGCGAACTCAGATCATAATATTCATCTATTCTGAGATTTAGTTGAGATTGCATCTACATTTTGCTAGAATGACATTGCGAAGCTTAGATCCTTGGGGACTTTGACAACCGTGTGGGTCCTAAGGCTAGGCAAGCTGGTCCAATGGTGTAATCTAGACACCAAAATGATATTATGCATGGTGCTAAACTTTTGGGGGTTAAAGGCTGTCGATTATTTGCGTTGGTGCCGTTGTAAGGAATCTTGTGTCACTACCATCTGATACGTGCTTCATGCAGCTCAACTAGCTGCAGTGATCCGACATCCGACCTACCCAGCATACTTCGAAGTTACCTGATCTAACGGTATACCGCCACGCTTACTCGGCCGACGTAAGGCTCTTGAAATGAATTAATCAAGAGCTTAGGGGATTATTGGCAGAACGGTATATGGGAGGTGCAAGGTGGGTCTGGACATGACATGAGCTAAATCAGCCTGGAGGCTTCATAGCTAAAGTACGTATAGTCTTGATCTCCCGCTACAAGACCATATTGTTTCAACTGGGTCCACTTCGAATTCTAACTTTCGTATGATAGAGCGGCTTTATAGCTTTAGCTTATCTACTCAAGTATGCATCACAATTAACCTTGAAACATCCCGGAACATTGGATTTGAACTATCATGATGAATGGCATTAAGGTGTGGCTATTGCATCACTGGCCACGCTACCGATCTCAAGCCGGGATCCGGCACGCATCCTCGATGTCGACGACAGTCAAGCCGTCGCCAACGTTTGGTGTAGCAATGTCTACGTCATGATTTTTTTTGGACGGGGTTGGCTCTCTTTACAGGGATCATGGTGAATTCCTGCAAAAACGTCTGCCAGAACATGGTGCATGTGGATCGCTGACTTGCGCTTGGTGGGCTAAAAAGCCAAGTTTTCTGGCCGGTCTAATTTGGGGAAAGTGGCAGGGGTTGAATTGTGAAGAACGGGGATATCGACGATGTCACCTCAGCAAAGACCGAATCACAACGGCGGCACAAGATTGGGAAATTTACTCATTTCCAAATGGCACAAATCAACATGTTGTCTGGATTTTGGGGTGACCTGCGATTACTGATGAGCCGCCGCGATATCGATAATTCGACCAAGCTATCAAGTGCAAGACACATCGTCGATGGTATGCATATGCAAGATGGCCAAGTTGGAGCGAAGGTACCCAAGATGCTCTTCGTAGGCTTGTCAATTCGCGGCCCCCATCGCGGTGGTGTCAGTGATCGAGGAATTTATTGGCTGCATTTCTAGCATGGAAGATTGGGAGAATTATATGCAGGCGACATGGGATGGGATACGGACTAGTAACAAGGGTGGCAGGCAGGCTTGCAGCGATATTTCCGCTTGCATTCGCAAAGGAGTTCAATCTTTCTGGGTTTTAATCCTTCTTTCTTCCTCTTGGGTTCTTCACTTATCTCAAACGGCCTTTTCTTCCTCTCGATGCCAGTTCAGCTGCGGTTTTCGACATTCGCCTCAGTCGCTCGTTACTAATTTTTTTGAGGGAGCTTTGAGTATTTCACGTGGAACGAGAAGGATACCTGTTAGGCATTGTCAGCAGCGCATATTGCCCGAGTAACAACAACAACAGTGTCTGTTTACAGCAACACATCATCCCGCAGTGTCGCTCAGATAGACGGAGTGGCATAAATCCAGCATATCAGACTGCCACGCCGGTTCTATATTAAGAGTATTTGCTACGGGGCGGGGGAGTTTGCGGCTCCGAAGGCGTATCTTTTTCTATCAACTCCTCAATCGCTGTTTTTCGACCTTAAGTTGGCCGATTCAGTTATCCACGCCATTTCGCTCTTACTAGGCTGTTGAGTGCCGACAGGAAGGCTGAACTTGTTCTAAAATTATAATCGGGCTGGAAATTTTTTTCGAAATCGTACAATAATGACTGGAAGACACTCACGGGATCATTCCCGCGAGCACTCTCGCTCTCAGAACCGCCGAAATTCTACTCGTCAAAACTCCACTCGTCGAGAGTCCCGCGATAGATACGCTGCGGTTGATACAGAGGATTCGGGGGCAGAAGTATCACCTCAGCCTCGCCGAAGTTCTCGTTCTCACGGTCGTCATAATTCGTCACATAGACACTCCCGATCCGGGGGAGTGGCAGGAGAAGACGTAAGGCGATCCAGAACCTTAGAGAAGTCACAAAGGAGACCCAGACCCCCCACCGATGGTGTTATTCCATTAAGTGAAGAAAGCCTTGCGGCTTTTAATAAAGAGGAAGAGCATAGACGCAACCGTCATTTAAGCCGAGAGGAGAAAAGGGAGAGGAAGGCAATGGGACAAACAAAAGAACAAAGAAAGAGGAGACGTTGTTGCATTTGTAAGTCCTTTATTGAAAACACTTTGTCTCGGGTGGAACGGATACTCATATTTTATATTTAGTGTGCCTCGTTGCCTTCATTATCCTACTCATCATTATTCTTGTCCCCATTGGCGTATTAGTGATTGGGAAGAACGATGGCTCGCCTGCCAATGGAGGAAATAAGAGCTCAGATGGAAGTGGCGGCGGCACTGGTGATGGATTAGGAGGCTCGCCAGATGTCAATCCAAATACAATCCCGGTGTGTATCTACTAAATTTTATCATCCCACAGAATACTACTAACAGTAGCTTTCTATCCAGACCGCTGCTAAAGGAAGCTACTTGGATCCATTCACTTGGTTCGATACGCGAGACTTCAACACTACCTACACTGGCGAAACAGTTGGAGGTCTTTCAGTCATGGGCCTTTTCTCGAAGTGGGATGATAGCGCCCAACCAAACCCGAATGTTCCACCACTTAACGAAAAGTTTGAGTACGGCAAGGTCCCCATGCGTGGTGTAAATGTTGGAGGATGGCTTCTACTTGAACCGTTTATCACGCCATCGTTTTTCAAGAAATATGACCTCAACTTAGGTGTGGTTGATGAATATACTCTTTCAGCACACCTAGGCGCTAAGGCTACGGCACAAACTCTTGAAAAACACTACGCTACATTTGTTACCGAACAGACTTTCAAAGAAATCGCGGAGGCTGGATTGGACCACGTCCGAATTCCTTACCCTTATTGGATTGTTACTCCTGAAGCAAACGACCCATACCTCCCAAGAGTCGGCTGGAGATATTTACTTCGGGGTATTGAATGGGCTCGGAAATACGGGTTGAGAATCAAACTCGATCTTCACAGTATTCAAGGGGGGCAAAACGGTTGGAATCACAGTGGTCGTCAAGGTATTCTTGGATGGGTTAATGGGACTTCCGGGGAAGTAAATGCTCAGAAGAGCTTGGACATGCACGATCAGCTCTCGAAATTCTTCGCCCAACCTCGATACAGGAACATTGTTACACTCTACGGCTTGGTCAACGAACCTAGGATGACAGCTTTGCCACTAAACGAAGTTCTTAATTGGACTGCGAATGCGTATGATATTATTCGTGGAAACGGTCTGAACGCTAAGATTGTCTTTGGCGATGGTTTCCTAGGCCTCGAAAATTGGAAAGGAAGATTGCCCGGCCTCGAAGGGCTTGTTTTGGATGTGCATCAATATGTGATCTTTAATATTGGTCAAATCGCGCAGACCCACACCGGAAAGATCCAGTTCGCCTGTTCGGGCTGGGGCGCGGCGATGTCACAGAGCAATGACCCAACGACTGGATTTGGACCCACTATGGTCGGAGAGTTTGGACAAGCTGATACTGATTGTGTGCCGTATCTGAACAATGTTGGTACAGGATCGAGATGGGAGGGAGACCTCATTTTCCCGGATCCCAGCTCGAGTGTGACCACACCCAGTTGCCATACTGGTGCCAACTGCTCATGTACTATTCCCAACTCCGACCCGAGTAAGTGGTCAGATCTTTATAAGCAATTTTTACTCATGTTCGCTTCAGGTAAGTCTAATAACTGTCTTCTTTTGCCCTTGGCGCCCATACTAACTTTTTGATGCCACAGCCCAAATGGAGTCGTTTGAACTTGCTTGGGGTTGGATGTACTGGACCTGGGATACCGAGGATGCCTACCAATGGTCATACAAGAAGGGTATCGCAGCCGGCACCTTACCTAAGATTGCATACGAGAGGAACTTTACCTGTGATGATGCCATTCCAGATTTCCAGTTGCTGGGATTATCTGAAGGGTACTAATGAATATACGCTGGACTACGGTTCTCCCCTCCCCCCCCCTTTTTTTTTCTTCTTCTTTCTTTCGTTTTCAACTTTAATGACGGCTTGTAATATGTGGATCATTCACTTTTTCTTTGGGTTCTTCCTCGTCTCGTGCGTTGCGGAAGCTGCTGTGCTATGGGATACCAATGCATGTGCTCCCTTAACCCCCTTATCTTTCTGAAAGTTTTACCCTATTACCGCCAAAGCATACATAGAATCGTTTTCTTTACCTCTTATTTGGAAGATGAAAGTTTGAAAGTTCTCATCATCTACTTTTCCTTTTAAGGCGCCTGGGAGTTCACCCTTCTTCACGCTTCAACCTAAATATTTCCTCAACATGCAACATTTTTACAGCTTTGTTTGTATATCTTCATACACTCTCATACATACATGTTGTCCTCCCAAATCAATATCCTCGAACTTGTTTCACACATTTCACGTTTCACTACTCTTTATGTCTTTATGATCAGTTGAAATAATAAAATAATTCATCTTTTATTTTGTATGGAGTCGATCATACTCATGGGTTAGCTGTAGCTGCGTAGGCGATCCAACACGCCAAGACCATTTGCTCGTGCTGGGTGACACAAAGATCTGCAAGTTGCTGTGCCAACCTAATCGGGAGGTCACACGCAGAGTTACCGACTTAATCTCCGGGTCGCCAGGGGGTGTGCTTAGCTTCATCCGATAAAGCCCCAGCCTCCTTACCAAGATGATATCACCGTCACAAGCTTAGCTCCTTTCTTCCTTCTCCTTCTCCTTCTCCTTTCCTTCTCCCTCCTATCTCGGTTTCTTCATTATTGATCTTGTTGATAACAGTATTCAAGATGTATGTCAAATTCAATCCTTCTACCCTCCTTCCTTTAGGACTCCTTGTCAGTTCGGCTCTCGCCTCTCCTACGTTCCCTCAGCAGCAACCGCTTGGCCTTAACGATGAACTTTCGGCCGCCATCCGTATCCATTCCAAGAAGCCATCAGTAGACGCAGGAAAGCTTGCTGCTACTATAGAAACCGAGAATCTTCTTCGAAGAGCAAAGGACCTTTACACCATCGCCAAAATCTCAGAACTGGAACATGGCCACCCAACCCGTGTGATAGGATCAAAGGGACATGTGGCAACCGTTGAGTATGTACAAAGGGTCCTTGGAAGTCTCGGTGGGTATTACACCCTCAGAGAACAAACTTTCCCAGCTTCCAGCGGTTATATCTTCGAATCGCGATTGGTTATTGGGAACGATGTTATTGAACATCGGGCTATGAGTCTCACACCGCCGACCAAGAATAGACAACCTGTTTCGGCTAAGGTTGTGGCGGCTAAGAATGATGGTTGCTCTGAAAGTGATTTTGGGGAGGACATCAAGGGCTCTATTGCTCTCATCGAGCGTGGACGCTGTCCGTTTGGTACAAAGTCAGAGAATGCTGGGAAGGCTGGAGCTGTTGCTGCTGTGATTTATAACAATGAACCTGGTTCCTTGAGTGGAACTCTTGGAACCCCATCGGAAGATCACGTCGCCACCTTTGGAATTGCTCGTACAGCTGCCGAGCCAATTTTGGAGAAGCTGAAGGCTGGGGAGGAGGTTGATGGGTCTGCATACCTTGATTCCGAGGTGAACGTCATCAAGACGAAGAATGTTATTGCTCAGACCGTTCTGGGAGATCCTGAGAATTGTGTTATGCTTGGTGGACACAGTGATTCCGTCGGGGAAGGACCAGGCATCAATGACGATGGATCGGGATCGATGACACTACTAGAAGTTGCTGTGCAGCTTACAAAATTCTCGGTGAACAACTGTGTCAGGTTCGCATGGTGGAGTGGAGAGGAAGAAGGACTTCTTGGAAGCACCTGGTATGCGCAGCATTTGACCGACGAGGAGAATAAAAAGATCAGGTTATTCATGGATTATGATATGTTGGCGAGTGTTAACTTTGCATATCAAATCTATAATGCTACTGATGCAGAGGGAGACCCGAAGGGTAGCGAGGAGCTTCGAAACTTCTATATTGAGGGGTATAAGGGATTGGGAGTGAACTATACTTTTATCCCATTCGACGGAAGGAGTGATTATGTTGGATTCATCGAAGCTGGTATCCCTGCCGGCGGTGTTGCCACCGGTGCTGAGGGTATTAAGACCCCTGAAGAGGTTGAAATGTTTGGAGGAAAAGCTGGGGAGTGGTACGATCCTTGTTATCATCAGTTGTGTGATGATTTAACGAATTTGGACGAGAAGGCTTGGAATGTTAATGCTAGGTTGGTGGCGAAGAGTGTGGGGAAATATGCGGAAAGTTTTGAAGGGTTCCCCAAGAGGGTACTGGAGAGTGATGAGGTTAAAGCGGAGAGGAAGGAGAGTGCGAAGAAGTGGAAGTACAGAGGAAGCAAGTTGGTTATGTAAGATAAGGTGCATACTATTAATTACGGAACAGGAGTAGTCATGGTACATTAGATTGCAATTGGAGATATAGATACCTTGGGCATACGGAATTTGAGTAGAATGCATCGAGTCTTCTTTCTTTGCTTGCGTGCATGTAATAATATGGTCAACGTTCTCAATGCGATTTGTAGATCACAGTATTGTATCGTAACCGTGTTCACTGCTTTTCATGTGACTTCTAGTACACTAGTACTATAGTAGCATCCCTTGTAAGTTACCTTGGGTTCTCACACGTAAAAGTACAAAAAATTGTATTGTTTGTATACACTTATCACGTCTCCAATAAAATACAGGCATTTGGGATTGAGATTTAAAATTGAAATTGCTCGAGGGAGATAACGGTTGACAACACCAAGATAGTGTAACAAAAGTACATTTTGTATGACGGATGTACATATGATTCACTAATTTATGTCGCCGTGTGACTGCGGCCATGCAAAGCACATCGGTTCCCCTGTTAACTTGCCAAGCAGTATTCCGCTAGCATCCACTAACACGCTCTCACATGACACCCTGCGACCTGGCTTAACGGCCATATTGTATTGTCACCGCGCGCCCCCGGCCTCTTTTATCTTAGCTTGGAGATTAATATTGCTGCTGTATATGATGTTGGTGCCTACCAACATTGCATTGCTTCCTAATAGACGAACCATCCTCCAAGCTTCCATTAAAGTTACAGCTCTTTTCAAAAAAAGCTTCTATAGACCACATTGATACAACAAAGACGTCCCCCCAAAGATGGCATCCCTAGCTTCTTTTCCACAAGAACTTGTGGATATGATCTTTTCTGACCTCGGACCAACCCACCTTGGAAAAGTTAGGTTGCTGTCTAGATTCCACAACGCCAGGTTCAAGAACCTCTTCTGGTACCTTGTTTTCCAAACCCTTCAAATCGACCTACGACCATCATGCGTCGAACGACTTATCCTCCTTGGAAAAGGACCTGAAGTCGCATCTATGATCCAAAACATCATTGTCCGGCCGCAACAAGGCCAGGATCTCAAAGTCTCACAGATCACGCCCCTGCTTACGAAGGCGTTCGCTGGGCTACCTGATATCAAGAGTATTGATATTCAGGTTCCGCGCGGAACCAATGGATTTGATTATTGGAAACCGATTATGGATGCTGCCATTAAGAGTAAAAGGGGGACAGTGGAGTCCATTACCGGACCGAAATGCGGGATGCAAATGTCGAAATTAAAGTTTTCGACAGCACAGACGATAGCTTATCAGAATGCATTTATCAATCTGAAGAATTTGGATATTACGGTATCGGTGCAATATGAACGGCCTGAGCTGGCGGAAAAATTTTGGGCTTGGATTGAAAGGATCGGAAGTCAGATGGAACGACTTACTATCAAGACCACCCGAACGTCTCATAATATGCCCTCGCCGAATGACCATGGAGGGTTTTTACCCAGGAATTTCAGTTTACCGAAATTGAAGGCACTCAAGTTGATTGATGCTGCTGTTACGCCGAATGATTTCAAGAAGTTTTTTGGGAATGTTGATATGGAGGTTGTCGATATCTCGCAGTGCCGAATGAAGAACCCGAAGGTTGATTGGTTCAAGATATTAAAACACCTCAGAAACGGCAATCTCAACAAAATCAGGGAACTTCGGTTTTCGATTAGCTCGCGCCACGGAAGCGGGTTATACGACCTACCGAATCTACTGATCGATGTTAATAGTGATTGGACAAGTGAAGGAAATAGTTGTAAAGTCAAGTTACACTCCGGACTATCGGGGTTTTATAATACTCAGAAGAACCTTTGGGACGAACTGGGAGCAACTGATGATCAAGATGACTTCTGGGGTTCTTTGACGAATTCGAAATGGACGTTACCTAGAACTACGAGGTGGAAAAGACTTCAGATCGCAACTGAGGAATATAGATTTGCGGTATCTAAGCTCGTATCTGTGTTCTCTTCGGAACACGAACCGCAAGAAGCATTCGAGGTACAACAGGAGTACGATACGAAGGTCGCTCGTCTCCAGGAAGAAGAAGAATTGGATATCGGAGTGGGGGAGGATCAGTGATTTTTCAAAGTGATATCAGAATTGTTATTTCTCTATTTGATTGGGTTTGTAGAATCTTAGAGGAGTTAGGGCAACCTAGAGGAGGAATGGCAAACCACTGTTGGCCTATTACAGCCCTCCCTATAGAAAGATAAATACATGAAAAGAAGCCTTGGACTCCATGAATGGTTCGTCAGGGCTGTTTTTAGTGAACAAGGGTTTCCTAGAACGCCGAAGGTGAATGATAAAGACAAAGAAAGATAGGGAAAGAAGCACCTATGAGTTTGTATTTAGTCGAAACCAAAACCGAAACTTTCGGACAAGTGTTCGTAGACCTCCTTATATGGGCGGTCTCGGTACATGAGGTCATAGTCAATTTTGTAACCATTCTCATTAATACCGATGTTGCGATGAGTTCCATCGTCAGCCTCGCCATCTTCTTCTTCCTCCTCGTCATAATCATAATATTCGTCGTAGTAATATCCATTCTCGTTGTAATATCTATCTTCTTCGTCGGAGCTATCTTCGCCATAATGGCCATATTCGTCGTCACTATCATCATCCGCGTATTGGGATCTGAGAGCCTTGTAGAGAGCAGCAACTCGAATAGCAGCCTGGGTACAATTCTCCGCGGTCAACTTCTTGTTGCAAGCATCAGCCAACTTTCCCAAAATCCATTCGTAACCTCCTTTGGTTTCCATCCAGGCATCGGCACTATACTTGTAGACCGTCTGAACTTCTTCCGAATATCTTCTGGCTTGCTTCACCGGGCTCTTCTCAAAGAAACATCTCCAGACAACATATCGGCCCTCGAAAGCCCTTCCGACGATTTCGAAAAGGAGATCGAGGTCATCTTCCAACGTCTCGATGAGTTTGTCGTAGCCAGAAACGGTGTCGATGAGGCGAATGTCCTTTCTGTTTTCCATGATATCGGTGGTGTGGAAGAAAGGCTTTATCAGGTAGACGACGTCGAATGGTAACTTGGTTCGAAGAAGCTGCAAGTTACGCAATTGCTTGATATCGGCGAGGAGTTTGAACTTGATCAGAGCAAGTGGGACAAGGAAAGAGGTTGGGGGATCCATGTCGGCTTCCTCGAAAGCGTCAAAGAGATTCTTGCAAGGTTCGAAAGCATCCGCATTGCGAATGTCAAGGAAGGGCTCGGGTTTTTTGGTGGTACAAACGTATTGATCGCCGTTAACGAGCCAGTACTTGATGAAATCGTAAGCGTTTTGCTTATTCCCAACACGGATCATGAGGTTGGCGGTGATGCAACGGATTACCATTGGATCACATCGTCCAAGATATTGAGTTTCAATGGCTACGTTACAAGCATTGACAACTGAACACTTGGTGTTGACTTGGAGGTAGGCACGGATCAAATTGAAGCGAGCAAACAGGATAGCATGAGCTTGCCCTGTGCACAAGCATTTGTTCTCAAGGCTCGGAGCTTTGCCATTGTGGATGCTGGCGACCATACCCTTGATACTTCTACGCTCAGGGCAGCCCGTGTTATGGGTGAAGGCCCTTTCAGCATCTTCCACGTTCAATTTAGCAGCTTCGATCTCGAGACAGGCTTCGTTGTGCTTTTCAGCATGGCGTTGACGGTGCATCTCGGAGCAGTAGAAGACAACCTTGCACCTCTTGCAGCATGCGTTGGTTGCACAACCGCAAACCTTACACCTGTCTCCTATAAGCTTGGTACGGACGTCCATGTTTCTTCTTTGTGGGGGAAGAACAAACGGGGTTTTGAGTTTGATAGCTTCTGGTAAAACCTCTATGGAAGAATGGCACATCAACTTGATGTGTAGACTTTTAGGAGGATTTTTTTGTAGAGAATGCTACAACCGTTAGTCCAAGGAGCTCACGGGGCAAGGTAAGGTATCCTAGAGACGGTTTACACTTACAAGTGACGCGGCGGTGAAGTGAGGAAGGAAAACGTTATTGATCAGTAGCGAAGCGGGAAGTGAGTTACGTGAAGGCAATTGAAAGGTCACCAATGCTACTGGAATCCTTACAATGCCTTCAGTAGTTCGGAGATGATGATATGACTGTAATAGTGATAGGGAGACGCGGTGGTTTGGTGTTGATTTCGAATGGAATGGATGCCGAGCTTAGAACGTTGAGGTGCTTGCCCTAAGTGTCTACGACAGACGGTGTGAAAGTCACGTGCCCATCTCGGCCTCAGTCTCAGCTCTGCAACCTCTCCAATGGAACCTATAGACACCAACGCAATGCCTCGTTTTGAAACCGATCATGGTTCTTGACCTGTTGAACCGAAGCCTGAAGTGTCGGCTAGGGGAGTAACACTATAGTACTACTGGATCTAACGGGTAACGTACAACTGGGCTTTTGAATTAAGCTTCGATGTTTACATAGAGCCATTTCCGAAGCCTATCCCTTCACAAAATATGTAACCAACTAGACTTTATCTAAAATGTTCAATATAATTAATTTGAATCTTCATAAAAATACTGGGTATCCGCTCGTGGCTTTTATACAAAGCCGTGATATTTATATTGACAAGCAAGGATGTTAAAAATACCACAAAGAACCGCGTTGTCCCACAATCCCGTCCAATCATAACCCCTGAACCCCAGTCGATCGATATCTACCCGCAAAGGGCAGGTGCATCTATCGATCTCTCACTGCATACCCGCCGAACTCCGAATTCTTTCAATAGTGACTCAAAAAAAAACCTCCAAGATCTCGCGTTCGCATCCTTTTCCCTATCAAGCCCAAATGTTGTTAGATGCCTAGTACAAATACAAGCTTCCCACCTCTTTTATTACATAATCACGAGATCCTTTTTTCCCCTTCCTCTTCTAGGGTACACAGCCTTTCGAAGCTTTCTGGCAGTTCGATATTACCAGGCCTACGTATTGGGCACAAAAACGTAGGATATATATAACCTTCTCCTCAGCTTCACGAGGATTTTAACCCCCTTCCCTCTTTTCCCTTCTTTTCCTCTTCATCCCGAGTATACTTTCTTTCATATTTTCTAAAAGCTTCTTGAGAGAGTTTGGTAGACGTTTTCAAAAAAAATACAACGAAGTCAACACGGTCTTTGGAAATTGATAGGATATGGCTACACAATCAATTGATGCGCTCGTTCGTGAGCATAAAACCAATCGAGCAGCCTTAATCGCGAAGGAGAAGGAAAGGCGTCATGGTATGCGGTTATAAAGATATCCCGTACAGAAATTAAGTTATAGATATACATACTCACTGCGCCCCTAGACTATGAATTCCGTAAACGAATGTCTCCTTTAGCCGTCGAGGCCGCCGCGGTGGTTCGTGACATCCGCGAAACTGAAAAAGTTAAAGTATGGTCGAAGGTAGCAGAAAGCCACGAGGAAGTTTATCCGGGAATGGCTTTTACACTTGCGAAGGAACGAATGGAGAAGACACTTTTGTGGAAGGTTGTGAAACGCATGCCTAAAGGTGCGCTTTTGCATTCGCATTTCGATGCTATGTGTGATAGTACGTATCTCTCTTTGATCCAAATTAGAATGATCGGGTGTGCGCAATACAGGTTTTAACCTCAATCCACATATAGTGAGATGGATGTGTGAAGCTGCCATCGAAACTCCCAACGTCCTGGTCAGCGTCCCTAAACCGCTTCTAACACCAGAGGACTACGCTACTGCCGGTGCACCAACCTTCAGAATCGGCGAACCAGACTCAAACTCTATCCCATTTACTTCTTCTTCATATGAACCAAATACCCTAGTCCCCCTCGCTTCCCAAATCACACCTTCAAACCGCGAGGATTTCATTAACTACTTCATTCGCCACACTACAATTTCCATCCCCGAGTCTTTAAGCCAACACCATGGACTGCACAATATCTGGCGCCGTTTCCAAGCCGTCTTCGGCGTCATCCTAGGAATTAGTCAGCACACTCCTTTCTTTCGGAAGATGGTAACTCGCGTCATGTCACAACTTGCTGCAGATGGTGTTCGCTATGTTGATATTCGTACTGTCTTCTTTGTACCCGAAAACCCGGAAGACAGACATAAAGGTGCATATCAGCAACTTGCGGCTTTTAAAGAAGAGTTAGAGGCTTTCAAGGCTACTCCGGAGGGGAAGAATTTCTGGGGTGCAAGAATCATTTGGACCACGCTCCGAATGCATTCTCGCGAATATATCGAGGAGAACATGAGATACTGTGTGGAGGTGTACAAGAAGTTCCCAGATATCATTGCTGGTTTCGATCTAGTCGGCCAAGAAGACCTTGGTCGCCCATTGGTAGATCTAATCCCTGAACTCAAGTACTTCGAAACCCTCTGCGCTCAAGAAGGTGTTACGATTCCGTTTTTCTTACACGCCGGAGAAGTCAACTCTGATGGTGATGTACACGACGAAAACTTATTTGACGCCATTCTCCTGGGTACCAAGAGAATCGGTCATGGTTTTTCGATGTACAAACACCCACTTCTTCTTGAAGAAGTCAAGGAGCGAAATATCTGTCTCGAGGTTTGCCCGATCTCAAACGAAGTTTTGAGGCTAGCTAGTTCGATATTATCCCACCCGCTACCCTCATTCATGGCAAATGGGGTCGCAGTAGCTCTTGCTAATGATGATCCTGGTATTTTGGGCCAAGGTGCTACGGGTATGAGCCACGATTTCTTTCAGGTGCTTCAAGCATTCGATAATGTTGGGCTGGAGGGGGTTGGAGATTTGGTGGAGACGAGTGTGATGTTTGCGGCTTTTGAAGGCGAGGAGGTTGGGGTTGTTAGGCCTGGTGGGTTGAGGGAGAAATATTTAAATGAATTGAAGGAGGAATGGGAGGAATTCTACAAGTGGATTATGGAGGAGATTAAGCCGTTGGTTGCGTCCTTGTAAAGCGACAGCCTGGTTGCTGTGGTTCTCTTTGCGGAGGTGGTTTCTCTTTCGGAGGACAAACGTTTTTTTTTTTTCCGGAGTTTATTCAACATGATAGGAATTCGGGACGGCGTCTAAGAATCTTCAACAATTACACGGGGTAGAAGAAAGCTAGATTTTAACACAATCATGGTTATGTATGCATGTACTATATTCAACAGAGGGTATTAGAGTCCGGCGGGTAGGAGGGTGTTCAACAGTAGATAGATTGTAACTACCACCGCAGCAACCGCTTAACCGGGTTCTGTCTCTTGTTCATAGTTTATAACGTTTATATTCGATATCGGAGGTGCTATACAAGGAGCTATACCACATTTAAGTCTTTCCTTCATGATTCTAAAGCCAATGTATCAAACCTTGTGTGACTTGCCATCAATCGTCGAACAGGCCTCTAACCTATAGAATAAATGAGCATCCAAATCACCATAGCATATATATAGCTCGAGGCAAAGGTAACTTACCACATTCTTCCGCTGAGTCGCTTCTACATAGCTCCCTGACTCCTCTGCCCGTCCCTCCCGCTGCTCTTTCTCTTTTGGAACGACCGCCTTTCCTTTATCCGCATTGACCGCTCTTTCCTGTAATTCCACGAATGAAACCCTCTCAGAACCCAAAGAGGCATCCCACCCAAGAACATCCTCGTCATCAAGGTCATCCAATAATGCTTCAAACTGTTCGTCACCGGCTCCTGCTGGTGAAGGTCCAAAAACGTCGTCGTCGTCGTCCATAATAAACAAACTTTGACTCTGCCGAGGCTGTAACGACCCTCTAATTCCGGTTGCAAATGAAGATTGTCGGGTACCCGAGATCAACGGTGAGTCCTTACTATTCGGCACCGCAGACACAGATCCGCCAAAAGGAGTAACTCTCAATGGTGGCGGCGGCATCTCGATCTGTGCAGATTCAGATCTTGAGGTATCCCTCGCAGCAACCACAGGCTGTAATGACGCCGTCGGCGGCACCGCAGGTGTAACCGACTTTCTAGAAGCAATCGATTGTTCCCTCGTCCTCGCTACACTCCCAGTTCCACTGCCAGGAATGACACTTCTGTGGCTCATGATCTTTGCCACTGGTTCTGCTTTCCCAGCTGGTCCCGCAGCGCCTTTCTTCCGCGTCATAAGCGTGAATTCGCAGAACATACCGTTCTGGTCGTAGGTTATCTGCATGGGCTGTCCAGGTTCGCCATATACGGCTTGTATTTGTACATGTTCAAAGGTGCCCGCGTGGGTCACTATTGACTTAAAGTCTTTTACAGAGACGGCGATAGAAGTGTCCGTGGCCACTTGGAATTCGTTAAATTCAATGAGGTCGAGTTCAATGGAGGTTTGTAAGGGCGTTTTCAGAATATCTACGGGTATATATTTGAGTATCAACGAGGTTTTGGTAAGAGGACGAGGAGGAACGATAGGATACTTACGTGCACCGTCGATTATTTTTAGGGTATAACTCGTAAAATTAACCCGCTCTTCATCATCAGCCGCAATCTCTAAATGCTCTGTTTTAGGCCCAAAATGTTCCATCCATTTCTTCAATTCGCCAGCTCTGATGGCCCACTTGTTGACTGCCCACTCCTTTAAGAAACTAGCATGTATTATATCCGCTTCTTCGTATTGCAGGCGAAATGTTTTCATTATACCTATAAAGTTTCCAAGGATAAATTAGAGGGGGGGCTTCAGTAGCTCCTCGTGGGGAAAGGATTAGTCTACCTTGTCTACAGAATAATTTGACTACAAGTCGACATTGCCCTTTATTCGGCTTCTCTTGCAGCACAATCTCGCATTTATCGATTCCTCCTACCATATTCTCATCCCTTTCCTTGTTGATCGGCTCTTGGACGTATCTTCCGCGGAAAACGGGGAGTAGCGCCTATCCAAGCTCAAGAAAAACCAGAATATTAGCATGCATGCTCCATCTCAGCACCGGTTGATACTCAAGAATAAAATTATATAAATCACAGTGATCAATTTTATTTTAAAGTGCTTACCTTGACATTCATCTTGCACTTAAAAGCCCCTTCCTCCGACCTCTGAGACACCTGACTGCCGCCATTACTTCCAAATGACAGCTTAGCAGGATCCGGTACAAAATTATAAGAATCACAAAAAGTGTCACCGGCAAGACATATTAAAATATGAGCCGAGTGAGTCGGGTTCAGAGTTCGTAGGTTAAGCTATATACGACGATTCAACAACGGTTAGTCTCGCAAGAAAAAGAAGAAGAAGAAGAAAGTGTTTAAACAGCTCCATAAAGCAGCTGAATAGTACCTTGTTCCTTCTAGCCTCCAAGGTAACCGAATCTCCAAATTTTGATAAACAGGTGAGCGCTTCATGTAACCTGTCAACAGCCAACGGGCTAAGAATTATTTGCAGTGTCGACATATTTTGTTTATCAGTGTTTGGATTCCGCGTTGCGAAACGTTGGAAACTGGGAGAGAGGTGAGTAAACAACGCGCGAGCTTTTGGTTAAAATCTGCTCAGGCATAGGCTTGATGGATGAAGCATATGAAGTAGCGATGGGATATTATATATTATTAGACTAGATCGAAGCCATGAAGTTTCCAATTGACGTGATTAAAACCAAAAGGCATTGCAGTTGTGGTGTTTAGTCATATGTCCGCAGTTCGACGTGATGGATGCGAGGCGAGTTGAAGATTTGGCCGTGGGTTGGCAGTAAACTTATCTTGTCATGACTCTAAGCATGAATTTGAATCATTCGGAACATTGAACTGCGAAGACCACAATCGCAACTATATAATTATATTACTCCGCATTATGGGCTTTCAATTTACTCTACGAACTTCTTTCTAGGCTTCTCTGGTATCATGATAAGAATAGCTTGCTGCCCCCCCTCTTCCACTCCATGAACTTGACTAGTCTCGTGCGTACCGCTATAGAGGCACTAAAGTATAGGTTGATACTAGATTGCAGTGATATGGCCTAGCGAAACAGCTACACGTCTTATTTTATAATTACAAACTAGCTCCTCGGTATATTTTCGATTTGCTTTGTATTTTCGAGCTGCGAACGGTCTCGTAGCCGCCTAGCTGATCATAGAAATGACAATATCCAAAAGGAAAAGGGTGAAGAAGGAGAAGTAAGCTATTGCTGCCAATAAAAACGCCTTGAAATATTTGAAGACCAAGAGAATAAGAAAAGAAGAAAAAGGGTAGGAGGGAATTTCTTGGTGAAAGCCACAGGCATGGACAGCGGATCGATGCTATTTGCCTTTTTATGCACCCTTTTCTTGTGAGGCCCTGTGGGTATCCCGCTGGAAAAAGAAAACGTAGGAGAACAGTACAGAAGGTACGGAGGGGGGAAAGAGAAGTGAGGGAAACTCGTCAAAAGTTAAAAAAAAAAAAAGCCGAATACATATCCACCTGCGACTCTGCTTCCCCGCGTCTGTGACCGTCAAAAGAATTTCAAAACGAGAGCGAAAGGACTGAAAAGTTGCTAAGCTATGCCGGAGGTTAACCCCTTCGGGCAAAACGTAGACTATACTTCCATCGTCCCTGCAGGATCCTCATCAGCTGAGTCGTAGGAACCCACGGAACTCATTTCGTCATCACTCTCGCTGTCCTCACCCGTTGCCTCCATTGCCTCTTTTGTTGCATATTTCCCTACATATTCTGATGATTTCAAAAAAATAGAAAAAATAAGAATACAGATTAGCCTGATCCTAGTACAGTTGTTAAACTTCGAATAGCATATTGACATACCCTTAACCCTACTAGCGTAGGCTTCCTTGCTTCTCATAATTAGGGCGGCGGCTTCACCATTGAGCGGGTCATTGGCATTCGGGTAGCCTAGCAACTGGGGCAGAAAGACTTCGAAGATGTTGATCATATCAAACATGGGCGACCAGGTTTGATTGATAACATCGAGGCATACGGAGCCACTGCTAAACATATCGAGTTACGTTAGGCCGATGTGCACGAAGTACAAAGGGGTATAGCGGCAGATTCGACGAACAGTTCATCGATATTTGGGTGAAATATCTTGTTAACAAAACCGATCGATGGTGATTTGTACGGGTACTGATCCGGTAATTCGACGTGGACTTTCCATATTCCGCCTTCGAAGGGAGCTACAGGAATTACAAATACGCATCACGTGAGAAAATAGCTCCTAAAGTTGATTGGATAACGGGTCCGACGTACTGTCTTTAGGTCCATTAAATCGGACGAAGAACTCTTGCCTACGGAGATAATCGGAATATGAGTTATCGGGTTTTGTACGGTTGGTGTATGGAACTTGGGGCGTACACTATATAATATTGGTCAGCAGGTTCGGTTATCGATTAAGTTGAGCGGACGAGCGAATTGGAATGCGGTGTAAAGGTGGGGGGAACCGTACTGTTATCATTGACCAATGTGACTTCATAATCGCTCATTAACCTATGGAAGTATCACGACAGTCAATGCTGGTGTTCCAGGAATGCCGAGGGAAATCCGTTTTCGGGGCAGTGGCAAATTCCAGTAAAATCCGGTTGGTAAGTACGTACAGCCTATAGGCGTCATGTTAGCAATTTGTCCAAATCATCATCGACGTTTCCTAGATACGAAAGTAATCCCATACTTCATGACCTAGAAAACATAATAAGATACGTTAGAAATCTGAGACACTAAGTTCTTTCTTCTGGTATTTTGGAGTTCGATATAAACGAAATAAAATGTTTTCTGCTCACATCTGTTTCGATTCGTCGTCTCGGGGAGCTCATCGTGGATGGCCTTCTAAGAAGTAATTCACCGCCGGCTATGAAATTTAAAAGGTTCGAATAATACGCCAATTCCGGGTCAGGTAGCCTTATATCTTCCCGGTAATGGCAAAATCACAGTAGTCGTTGAGGTTTCCGTCTGCTTTATTTGGCTGGAGTTGATTATCAAAACGTGGAGTCGATCGACTATCCGGCCGAGCTAAAGCGAGGATGCCGTGAACCGCTAGATAGGACAAGATTGATTCCGTCTTGGCAAAAAGGTAAAGAGGAAGTATTGTAGGATACCGTATTCGGCTTCACTATTGACGAGAGGACGAGGGATGCTGATTGCTTGCTTTGCTGGCTGTTGTGAGAGAAATGAAGAGGAAGGCGAAGGAGAAGCAGTGGTGGAGTGATGTTGGTGGAGGAGAAGAGCTCGGAGCTGGTTGTTCTGAGGATTATAGTTTCTGTAAGAACCAGCGGGGTTTGCCGCCTCCAACAAAGCGCCCGCCCGCATGACCAATTCCATTTGCATTCACAACGACCAAACTAACCTTCATTCCATTCCACTGCAGTAACCTCTACAGCCCGACCCAACCGATCGACTGGCAAGAGTTCCCTGGCCTGGCCCGCAGCTCTGTCCGATTCCAGGCCTAAGCATGCCTTAGCTAGTCCAATCAACCCTGGTTGGTGGGTCCCTTTTCGGTTGATTGTCTTTGTCATCACCCTTCATCAACAAATAACATCAGTTCACGAGTCGCGATATCAAGCTGGAGGACCAACGTCACGAACAACAGAAGCAATCCGGGATGGGTCGTTACCTCCCTTGGAGGGACGGCCCAGCAGATGAAAGCAGGCCGAGGAAGAGGATAAAGGCAGGACCGAGCACTGATGACTTAAGAGCAAAGAGGGAAAAGCAGAAGGATGAAGCTCGAGAAGACGAGTCAGTTTCCCACTGAATAGATATCTCTTCTATCTAACACCGAGATCTAAGAAGCTAACAGCTTAAAATTCTCCTAGATACATGCATCCTGGTATTAAAAACGATGATCAATATATCATGGTTGAAGACGAATTCCTTCAGATCGCAAAATCGTACACCGCAAAGCTTCATTCTGCCGAACTAGCACGTCTTCAAGCTCAAATTGCACTCCGAAAGTCTCAAAAGATCGCAGCTTCCCAGCACTCCCAACCGAGAATACCCGGTTCTATGCCGAAAAAACGACAGGTAGTCCTTCAAAGACGTGCCCATGATGCGGCAATTAGGAAAGCCGCTGGTATCCAAACAGACAAAGATGCAGAGGGGGAATCATACAATCCAAAGTTCTCGTCGCAGTCGCTCGGTCGTTTGATGACCACATCTGCTGTCCGAATTGACTCTACACTTCCCTTGCCGCTTACTCCCGGGAAGGCAATCAAGCCAGCAACACGTGCGGCGGCGGGTTTCACAAAGGCGAGTTTTAAGAAAACCACGTCTTCGCAGATCTCACCATCGCAGTTAAAAAGCAGCCAGATTGCCAAGGAAGGGTATAACAACATCTATGGAAGAGAGTCTTATGACGAGGATGACGAGGATTTGGATTTAATGCCTAGGCGATCCAGCTCGATTCGTATACCACCGAAACTGACGCCAATCGAAAGACCAACAAGCTCATACGCTTCAGATAAGAGGATCTCAATTTCAAAACAACCTCTACGACCAACTTGTGATTCTAAATTACTTAGCAGCAGTCCTCAAGGCTCCCAGAGGCCGTTTTTGCTGTCGTCATCCCCACCCCGGCAACTTTCTAGAACATTCAAATTTTCGAGTACTCCTAAAACATCACTCACTCAAAACCCCAAACCAGGATTGCCTATAGCAGACTCTGACTCAGATAATGACTATGCAGATGCAGAGCAAGCAGCACGCTGGCGACATAGAAGCTTGCCAAAGCATATAGCCGTTGAACCGATTCACGCACCTTCATCGACCTATAAATCTAAACCCATAATACCGAAATCTTCAGATAATGATGAAGACGATGACTATGCAGATGCCGAACAAGCAGCTCGCTTCCGAAGAAGAAAACAGTTTGCAGAAGCCCAAAGATCGGGTGCAAAGAGCTAAAATTTACTATTAGGTACATCGAGTCTAGGTCCCAGCTTTATCTGACACAGAGCGAAATGATATAAAGCTCCTGCTTTATACACCCCTCCCATAACAGCCAACGAAATTACAAATATGTAGATAAACTATATTACACACGATATTTCCCAATGATAATATCTAATTCCAAGACTCCAAGCCTCTCAGGGCCGGACTCCTCTTCCTCTCTGCACGTGCACAAAGCTTTCCGGAGTTAAGCATCCCTACTGCACTGGACCACACCCTGCTTTTGTCTCACAACGCCATCTTCTCAAACCCGACCTATGAAAAACCACGATCTGGCTTGATGAGATATAAAATTCATCTCCATGGGGACCCTGGTACTTGACAATAGCTGTTTTTTCCTTTCGATTTTATAAAGGGTAAAAGGAACTTAATTGTCTCTCACTCCGGGATTAAACGGACCTCTCGCATGCAGTTAAGTATGCAACCACCCGTATGAAAAGGCGAAGTGGCTTGATTGGTATGATGTCACAATGTCTTTGTCCTCAGACGAATCTATGTAGCACTGTTGTTTGAACTGAGACGCAATTACAAAGTGTATTCAGTAAACTCTTTTTTTTCCCTTATGAACATAAATGAGAAAAAAAGGCCAAGTTAGAATTCTACACTCAATATTGTCTTAGAAACATGTGGATAGCAAAGTAAGCTAGCTAGATGAAACAAAGAAAAAAGAAAAGTTAACCGGAGGCTCGAAAAAAAAGCTCTTTCCGCGCCACATGCACATACGCACACCAAAGTACACCAAGTACAGAGGTGCATGTACCCACGGCAGCTAGCTGTAGGGGGTATGTAATGATACCCTACCATGGGACCAAGGCGTTTTCCCGCTTCAAGCTACCCGATCTAATATTAAGCAATCTTTGATATCGAAAGACCACCTAACGAAGGCCCAACGGTCCTGGAGTACACGGGCAAAACGCATACATTGCAATAGTTATACACACCAAACCAGCAATTTGAATGCTATAGTTTTAACAGTTTCAAGTCAATTGGAAGGAAAGGAATTGAGATTCAAGCTTTCGATTAAAGTGTGTTTTTTTAAGATCTTCATAGTACATAAAAGTAGTCAGCAGTATATATGCGTTATACAAAAACGAGGCCATCTGCGTCAAGCCTAATGAACCAATATCAGCAGCAATCGTAATCGACAATAGTAGTAAAACAATAGTATAATATAACAATGCCCTTTCCCGCCAGCTCTTCTTCCTTCAAAGAACTCCAGTTCTCGCCAAGTATATCTAGGGAAGAAGCAATGAAGAGAATAGTAACACGAAAACCAAAGGGCCGCTCTGCTAAACTTACACGGACGAGAAGGAAGAATGAGTGAGGAGAGTAGTAGTAGTAGTAGTAGTAGTAGTAGTAGTAGTAGTAGTAGTAGTAGTAGTAGTAGTAGAAGTAAGTATTTAGAGTGCCAGTACCTGGAATTACAAGACCCTATACTGGTGAGGTAGCTATAGTGTGAAGAGTACAAAGGCAAAAGAAAAGAGACATAAACCAGCATTAAAGCAAAAAGGTGTTCCAACTCCTTTAGTAATGTTAACAATGAACCTGCGTGAAAGAGCAGAGAAGAGATAAAGCAAAACAATTTAATGTAGTTAAACAAGTATAGAGCTCGCAGCGTTCGTAGGGCGTAGGCAAAAACCAAGGTTTGTCGATATTTGTGGATCCGGAAGTTCGAAGCGACAAATGGTAGGGATAAGCGTGCGAGTCCGAAGAAGGTAAAAATCGGTGTCGGAATGTTAGGATAAGAAAGTTGTCGGAATTGTAGGGGTGGGGGAAAGAAAGACGTGGGTGGGTTTCTTTCTTCTTTTCGCATGATTACAATGATGCATTTCAAATCGTAAAGCCGTGCCAAATAGGAAAAATGAAGCAATAAAAGCCATATAAAAAAAGACTGCGAAGACAACAACCAAAGCACAAAAACTATATATCGGTATCGTGAACAGCTCATCGTCGACGAAAGTAATTTGTCGGAGGGACTCGCAGGTACCGATTAGGCTGGCAGCGGGGACATGTAGGCACAGAGCATGGCATCTAACCTATGATCTGGCGAGCGCCCTCCCGTCCTAACACGCCGCGTTCCTGAGGTTTGGGGCTAGCACCCCTGCCTTTCCTCTTCGATAGAAAACCGAGCATACCAGACGGTTTCTTTTGATCCTTGCTCATCGATGTTTGTACCGCTTCCTGATTATTGATGTTGCTCCATGATCCCGTTGGATTAAGGACCACTTGAACGCCACCCGTCGACGATTGCGTCCTACCATTACTTGGGACGGCGTGTCCAGGCAATGGTGGTACGGGTGGGACGGAATTCGGAGTTGTATGTGACCTGTGCAAGTCATGCATCGAGTTGCTGGTCGGCGGCCGGCTGGGTTCGTCCTTTGCATTGACGGTCGTTGGTATCGGCGGCGAGCCACTTGGGGATGGCGAAACAACTCTTGACTTATCGTTCTGACAGTTTTCGCCTGATGTCGCCGCTCCGATTACAACCGGTCGTGGTCGGTCTTCAGAGGCTGGTTTCACCCAATCTGGAACGGGGCCGACCGATTTCGTGACCGGGTCTACTGTTCCAGGATATCTTCTGGACAGGTTAGCATTAGAGATAATCGTGACTTATAAAACGGGAAGATATAGAATACTTACTTGTCATATTGCGCTAGAGTATAGTCAAAGGGCTCAAACAGGGTTTCTATCATCCGATGGAGCTCCTCAGTCCGGACTTCCTGGGGTGTAGCGTCTTCCTTCAACTGCTCCCGAGGTTTTTGTCGTCTCGCCCTAGCTTCTAATGGTGCCTCCTCTAATAAAAGTTCCTCCAAATCGTAAGTCGCATCAAAGTTAGTCTTATCGCGGGAAGGAACGAAAACAGGTTCGATTTCCTTCCGCATCAATGCCTCGAAGTCGATCTTTTCGAAGAACGGATGGTTTTGGAATGTTTCAAATCCCGCTGCTCCCAATCGATATTTCGGGTCTGGGTCGAGGAGTGAGCGGATAGCACTCATGCATTGTGTCGAGACTGGCGGACTGGTGACAGGGTAATGCGGGCTCGCTCGCATAATCTCCTTTGCTAGTTCTTCATGGGAATCGGATATAAACGGTCGCTGTGACTTCTGTTAGATTGAAAAACTGCAAGAGGGATAGTCGTAAAACTTACTTTGCCGTAAATACACTCATAAAATACTACACCTAAAGACCACCAATCTACAGCTATCCCGTACCCCTTTCCAGCATAGACTTCAGGAGCTAGATATGCCAACGTTCCCGACTTGCTTGTTAAAGGCCTATCTGGTTGGATATCCGAAGCGACGTTCTATCAAACATCATTAGCCAATACGTCCAGAGTTTTGATGGGCATGAATGAAATACTTACGAAGTCAGCAAGGTGAACGTGTCCATCAGAATCGAGAAGTATGTTATCAGGCTTGACGTCTCTGTGAACAATCAGCCTCTTGTGGGTGTAAACCAATGCACATGCGATCTCTGCCATCCAGAATCGTACGGCATCTTCTGTAAACGACTTTCGATTTATGTGAAATCTTAGATCACCTCCATTCATCAAATCAACAACAATGTACCTAATTGACTATTAGCAATCTCTCCTGAATATTTCCATGGAACAACAGCTCGACGTACAGATACTCGACATCTTGAAAGCTGTATCGTAAATTGCAAATAAAGGGATGGTTGAGATGCTCCAGCATTCGTCTTTCACGTATTATGTTCCGGACACTTTCTGACCTCACAACTATAATAACAACCAGGATTAGCATCGCATACATCTGATGCAACACAGTTAGCTATAATGCTTACCCTCATCTTTTCTTATGTATTTTAAGGCAAAGGTCAAGCCTGTGTCCTTCCGTTCAACGATTCGAACCTTACCGAAAGCTCCCTTACCAACAACTCTAAGTAGTCTGAAGTGGTTCAGGTTCACTATACAGCAAAATAAAAGATCAGCAGCCGTTCTGTTTCGTCACTCGCCATGATGGGCGAAAATCAGGACAAGGGTGCTTGCAAACGAAGCTTGCGAGCAGAAACCCACAAACGGGTAATATGGAAGGCAAAAAAGGGACATACCTTCATCCGTGAAGACCACGGGCTTGCCGTTACTATTACCCATTTCTACGACGCCAGGATGGCAAAATTGCTGGCCAGTTTATCTGTCAATTGGAACCGTGGGACGGACCAAGTCGAGATGGCAGCAAGAGGGGTGGTTTGCTTCTCAGAGCCGGGTTTTGAGGAATGTTTGCTGCCCAAAAAGTTTGAGAGTTGATGGCCGAAACGATGGAAATATGGGAGCTTCAAATGAGACCAGAGGTCCTTAATGTTTCGGAAACTAAAGCAGAGGACCAGGGGTCTGTTCAAAAGAAGAATGCTGAAATGGCCAAAGATTCTGTATCGTATTTTTGATGCGAACGAAGTCCGATGGCGGCGATTCGGGAAGAAGGAAGTAGAGGGAGAGAGAGAAAGAGAGTCGAAGTTAAGAGAGTCGAGTCGATGTCCGCTGGTGTTTCCTGAAGCACGGTTGTTTGATGGATGGATGGATGGAAGCCACCTCAAAGCTCCAAAAGCACAAAAAAGAACACAACGAAAACCAAGGGTATCGGCAGGCCAGAAGGTGGGCTGATGGGGACGGGGAAGGAGTGAAGAAGTCCTCGTGGTTGATTTCGGAAGAGGGTTTTCGGGTGACGATGATTTGTGTCGAGGTGGTGAAGAAGAAGGTTTTCGCCGGGTAACAACGCCGAACGCACAGCAGCAGTGACTCGCAGGAAGAAATGGCGGTGATGCTGGATATATTAATAAAACCCGACGCAGGAAAATTAAAATCGTCAGAGCTGCAGAGCAGAGGCAGGCTAGGCAGGATATTAATGGAATCCGATGGGAGACTGATTCAAGGAGTAAAACGTCGAATTGGTCGAACAATGCAGCCAGCAAGCAGCAGCCCTGCAATAGTTGAATTGGATTGATCAAACTAATTAGCTTGGTCCAGTTTCGTACAGTTCTGTTCTTCTTCCTCTTATTATTATTCCCGGCGTTGTTTCTCCGACCACATTTAGCACTTCGCCTTATATATACGACAATGTTCTTAATTGGGCAAAGGAACGAGAAAAAAATCCGAGAGGAAAGACGAAGGGACAGGCTAGGATATGGAGCCGAAGCTGAAGTTATTTCCCTCTGCGGTCGACCGTCCTTTTATGAGCGGGACCGGGCTGACCTGGTGTGCTTCGAGAAGTTTACTCGAAATAGAAGCAGGAATGTCGACGAGAACGTCAGTCAGTCCTGCTTAGGATAAGTACGACAGGTGTCTAAGTACTTCTGTCCGACTCGTTTTTTTTTTTTTTTCTGATTCGAATCAGTCTCTTGTTTTGTATGACCCGATGCTAATGCCTTTTGATGAGGGGACGCAGACTGTGACAGTCCCCTGCTCGCTGCCACCAATTATCAGATCCTGGCTGTCCTCCCAGGGCCTTCTTTGGACAGATCCTGACTTTCTGCTGCCCCCAGACTATCTGCTGCCACTTGCCACGTTTTTTTCTGTTCCTGTGTTCCTTGCAAATTGCGTCCAAGGAAAGGGACCAGCAACTGGGAACTATTGTTTGCTGCAATCCAAAACGATCCTCGCCTCGAGCGTTTTTTTTAGTCTGTTGGTCCGTTGGTCGACTAACAACGTTGGTTGAATTGTCTGATATGTGCGAACGAACGAACGAACGAATGAACGAATGAACAAGTCAGTAACACATGAGGGGAGGGAGAATCCTCGGACTGGCGCGATGGGGATGGGATGAGGATGGGATTGAGTTTTTGAAATGGCAATTAATTCGGATTCAGGGTGAATGGATTAATAACTGATGAGTGACCGATTCCAAGCCAAATAGACGAGAAATCTCCAGGCAATTAAGGCACCTCTTGATGGGCTTGGGTGGGCTTGACCTTGACCCTCCGCCTGCAGCTGCTTTGTTCTTAGCTCTGCGGGGGCCAAACCGAATCGCAGTTGATTGATAGCCCCACAGCCAATTCGACTCTTTGGACAGTGATGGGAGATATGCTGAACTGAACCAGCTGGGTGGAGATGGCACTAGCCCAACTTTGGCGCCGCCGCAATTGGGAAGATGTCGACAAAACGACTAAGCAATTACAGAGCCTGTCTTTGGTCGTCGGTTTAGGAGAAGGGGCCAGCTATCGTCACAAAAATGAAACGCCTGAAGCCTAACCAACAGAGAATTTTATATTATAACACCGACGTGTTATATATTGACAGGAAGATCATGTAATCTTTCGCGTGGGCCCTCTCGCGTATCAAAAATAGAACCTCGCTTTTGAAGCTGAGTGTGAACGGGTTTAATTGATCTGTGATGCCGTTGGAATCCGGAGACCCTCATGCGCACATGGCACCCTAGCAAGCGATGGAGCTACCAAGATAAAATTGCCTGTTAACTAATAAAACTTCGGCTTGAAGCCACCAGTTTCGGATCTCCCCATCGATGATGAAAGAGTTGTCATAGTCAATCCACAATCTCTGCGCATTATCTATCAAAGACACGACACGTGAGGTCAATTAGACATCATCCGAGTTCTCTCATGCCGATGTTAATTGCCAATGTCCCCTCCAAAGATAACCTTTTCGGCCCTAGCTATCCCCACGAAGTTTTTTGTGACAATATACGGAGTATCCAGTGCAACTGACTTTGACGCGAGAGGGTGTCCAAGTATCCGAGCACGTTTCTAGGGTCCTGGAGCCAAAGGTCCCGCCGAATCCACAAACGAGCTCATTCACATTTCACCCAAGACCTGGCGCACAAGCGTCAACGAAAAAAATTTTCCTGCAGGCAGCTATGATCGAGCGCAAAGGCTCATTTGTTAATCAAAGTTGAACCGAGGATCCCCAGCCGCGTGTTCTGGCACCTCATAGTCGGTCTAGATTCCACGACCAGGTTTCCCTGAGTCGGGAGGGTTGAGCGGGAGCCCTAAAAACCACGCTTCTTCGGCACAGCATGAGCTAGCATTTTGGTGTCAAGATATCCGAGCTAGCTAGCAACATCTAATCAGGATACGACGAAAATCATAGAATCCACATTCTTTTGATCGTGCAGCAGACTGCATCGTGACTTCGGACTGCAGATTGCCTAGTTGCATATATGCGCATAATGTAGGATGCATGTTACACAGGCACCCTACTGGAGTCGACCGAGCCAATTGCATGATTTCCTCCCGGTCGAAATGTTTGCCTTCTGGTAGACACTTACGAACGCCCCTCGCCTCTGGCCGATTTGATCTTTCAGACTAGGCTCAAGACGCCGTAAGGTTCATCGCTGTCGGAAACGTGCGATTTCTCTGCTTCCCCTATAGAAACCGACCTATATGTGTTAGGATGCCGGACTAATTTCCAAGCCCAACATGACTAGACTCAATTAATAGCGAAACATTTTATAGTAGCATCGTTATCAGAGTTTCGACGGTATTCACCATTCCACATCCCATCAAAGTGAGCTCATTGATTGGGGGCGTCTCCCCTTTCCGCTTGGCCAAACTCCGCAATGCATCGTTGATCTGTACAATTCCAATCCTGCTGTTCAATATATTGGATACATGTCGAGAAATTCGATTCCGAAAGTCTGAGGTAATATTTCTCTCATCAGATCCGCAAAAAACCCCATTTTATCTGAAAAGACGCAGAAATCAGCATTTAATATGCCATTTACGGCTTTCGTCTGCCGTGTCTGCAGTTACATGCAGCTTTTAATCTTGACTGATGCAGCTTCTCCAAATCAGAAAAAAAAAAAAAAAAACGCCACCATATGAAATGCGCATTACCTACATTCAACACAAGGCCTGCTGATCGAAAAGCGTGTTTTCCACGTGCGCCCAGGTGAGGAACCTTCCTTCCTGCAGATTTCCCTTCTCAGCGGGGCCAATGACAAGGGCCAGCAGAATTGGATCCTGGCCAAGATTTATGAAACGCGGATCGAAAGCTCCCTGGCCACAGTGTGCCAACTTTCTCCACAGACATCGGCTGGACGCAGCTGATTAGCCGTGATGCAGGTTACCTGCAAAAAGCTGCAGCTTCACTTCCTGTCTCGGGGAATACACAACCAGATCAAGGTATCAGCAGAATTCCTCATGACTCTTGCCTTTTCCTCAGCTTACCCAATGGAAATCCTTCGTCACAGGATTGGAGGAAGTTTTTTGGATCAACAAACCATCCTCAACCAATCCCTCGGAATGTTTGCCCGTTATGCATCTGCAAACGGCACTATCTCATGTGGCCGGCTGCAGTCTGCGTCAACCATCTCTTGGGAAGATGGTGGAATCTTATTCGAACATTCGAATCGGATGGGATGGCTGCGGTTCGTCGCGGCACCATACTTCGAGTTACTTTGGTGGTCTGTTTGCTCTTTATGCTGTCACAAGTTCCTAGCGAATAGTCCTGTCTCGTTTAGGCGGACAAACGCTTCGTTATCAAAGCTTACTCTCGAGTCTCGAGATTCAATTGGCGGTTTGAGCAAAAATCTCGCAAAGTCGGGTTTTCCGTTGATTCTAGGGCGTGGCGCTTGATTGCTTCAAACCATTGAACCAATCCGATGATATCTTTCTGAAGCTTCCGGCGTCTGCAAGCTCAAACTTACGTTTATATTCCGTGTAACTATACCTAAATTTCCAACGTCAAGGGTAAGATTACCGTTTTGATGCATGTGCAAACACGAGATTCCTATACCACTCCCAAACCCTTTGAACCTTTTTAATATATCACTATCATGGTCCCAATTCATTACTCACTCACATCTCAGCACACTCCTCACTATGGGTTTCTTCGATTCCTCCCTGACGGCTATTGGCCGGCTATTCCTCGGCAGATACCGAATTAATTGGATCCGGGACTTTGGATTCTCCAACACGGCATTGACCTGCAAATGCAACAAGCGTTTCAAATTAACAGGCTCGTTTCCAAAGCTGCAGTTATGAGATCATTTTATTTGCCGGTCTGGGGATATATTCGACATGGATTACGAATCTTTCTTTAGGTTATTACATACATATATCATGGCTTATATACCATTTTCGACGTTTAAGATAGGGGATATCGTTTATTGACAGGTTGTGGCTAAAGGGGGAGCAGCTCATCCTCTAGCTTTAACCAAAACGCTAATTCCCTGGAGAGAATTTATTTTTTGACAGTTTGTGTAACAAAACTAACCAGTTGCACATGCATATAAATCCTAGGTAGCTATCGTGGTATTACTAGTAGATTTGATCATTTTAGGATGTACCCGAGGATAAACCATATTACAATTTAACCCAGGAACAAAGCTCGGTCATAGCACCAAATTCTAAAGTCTCGCCCGAGCGCGAACGAGTTTCAGATGCTCTGATAACTTTCAAAATTAAAAGATCAGCTTCACGATTTGCTTCAAAGGATAAAGCCGCGGGGTTTTATGGACTGGCTAACCATCTACATGGAGTTCTAAGAATAGCTCACGACTCGAGCAAAGGTCCGAGCTTGGCCAATTGGTACTTGCCGAGTTTTCTAGATCAATTCTAGCTTCATCCTCAGCCGTCGACTAGAACATTACTGATATCACAAAAATTCTAGAAAAATATCTGTAGGAAGAAATAACTACTAAATAGCTTCTAGCCTACAATCTACCTCAGATTGCATGGACATTAATATTCTAAGACTCGAGTGCCAATTGTTTCACCTATCAATCGATTTTTCCCGTGTACCACCCTCCTTACATCCAAACCGCATGAATCTATTCCTCCCACGTTGGACCTGCATGCATTAGTAGATTTTCTCCCCATCTTACTAAGAGAAACATTCTCATTAGATCCGTTTCTGTTTCTGTAGATTTTCGACGGGAAAGCTAAGAAGTCACCCCCTGGCAATGTTGTTTGGAATATATTAAAAAAACTTAAAAGGGAGAAAATTATTTAGTGCCCTCGTGACTATCGTATAGACCTGCATCGCTAAGATATCTATACGGGTATATCTACGCGGGCTTGTATCCTCTTGGTTCACTGGGCATGGGCACCTACCCGTACGTACATGTACGTAAACTTAAACATTCCAGCAACATAAGTTAACACAACAAGAACTCCAAAAATTATATAATTTTTCACCCGAATACCTAGTCGAACCTCGTATTCAACTTCCATAAAGATCATAGGTTATTTCATAATCGGTACCGACGGAGTGGTACGGATGGGCTAGGAATATACTTTCTAACTGCTTTGGGGTATATGTATCCTTTTATATATAGTATACAACCAAAATACTCTCCGCTGAAGTATATATACTTACAGTCTAGAGACAATTCGAGGAGCTCGGACCCTCCCATACCCCTGACTCTGCCTACGTCGGCATTGGATTCGTTGGAACGGGTGTGCATGTTTTTACCTGGGTTTGGTGAATAGTATTTCTTTGGGCAGATGTTTCGGTCTATGCCGCCGCGATCGCAGTGACGTTTACCCCGCATGAATGGTAATATGTTGGGAACTATATCTGTATAATTAACGGGCACTATTTGTATTGATCAATTGATCCCATGATCTAGATACATGGAATAGAATATCAAAAAATTGCGTAAGTTACAAGGGCATATATGTGCGTATCGTATCCACTTTAATATTTTTGCGCCGGTGGAACCGAGGTTATGATTCTATCAGTCATGCAGGCTGGATTTTTTGATTCGAAATTTCATGGTCATTTCATTGTTAATTTGGCCGAAGGTATATATATACCTATTTACGCGGTGAATTCAGGTTCGGAGATATACCTACTTGTGTACCTGTACGTGCGATTTAGTATATAAAGTTAGTTCGTTTTATAAATTAATTTAATTCTATGGAAAATGAAATAGCTTTTTTTTTTTAAAAAAAAAAAAAGCCTCTGATGATCGCGACTCATTCAATGAAGTACTTCCAAGTTAAACAAACTGGCTATATTATAGATAGCCAATCCCGCTACGAGTATACCCACGGCTTCATATTCATATTGCATATACGATCTCGATGAGCCCGCTCAGCCGTGTACACGTGTCAGAGGAATTTGTCTTTCTATTTCAAAAGGCGTATATGCAAATGCCTTAAAGCCACCATATCGATACGTCGCATCGTTACAGGTTCTGAAACATTGCCTCCTGAACCGGCCGGTATATACTGTAATATCAACATTTGGCAGTACAGCTTGGCTTATTCCTTGACATTATTGCATTTTCACATGGGATTTACAATAGTCCCACATGATAGATGATCGAGTCATGATCGAAGCTTAGGTCTCATTCATTCTGAGTGTATCTAGGTATTTTCGCTGACTTAGAATATAGAGTTAATGCTGAAGTTTTGGGTACTATCAAGCAGATGAGGGTAATGGTAGTCTTTATTACTTCTATGGTATATCATTAATGCCAAAACAAAATACTAAGCTAAGCTAATATGTACAACGAATCTAAAATGCTCTAAATGATTATAAAAAAACCCAACCCAAATATGTACAGACACCGCTTCGCCAATCTAACGATGCAGGACAATTACCCAAACGAATGTGAATGTGAATGTGTTATCGGTCGTTCAAAGCAGACAAAATATGTGTTTGATGAAGCCTAAGCTTTATCAATGGCCTCAATAGTCGGCGACGGTTTCCCAGATTTCATCTGTAAAGCCGTCATCGAATCGACATGTGGGCCTTCGTCAGATCTAGACCTAACAGGTCCCAAGCTACTTAAGCTACCGAACGAAGGTTGTCTTGACTGGGATGTCATAACAACTTCAACGGCTTCATTCTCATTAACAGGGATGCTGACGAATGGAATGTATGTCAAGGCTCTTCTCCACCTGGCGATTTTTCTGTATTGGTGGATGTAGGCTGTTTCTTTGGGGTCCTCCTTGGGGAGGTGGGTCTGTAGGTCGACTTCGTTCGCCTTGACAAATCTTGCAGTACGGCGGCGCCAGATCATGTAGGCTGTGACAAGAATGAACCAGGCTGGGATTGGAGTGGCGGCATTGAAGAAAGTACCTGCGCTACCAGAGCCACTGAGAGGAGAAAGTGCGACGTAGACTTGTCCACCGAGCTGTTTTTATATATGTTAGCCAACGCACAATTTACAACAAATGCCATTTTAAGGGCGGAGGGGGTGTATGAGAACTTACCAAGAACCAAAGGATAACGCTGCCGATAGCATCCTTTGGCAGAGGAAACCTCATGCTGTACAAGTAAGGAGTCTTTGAGTCGGGGTCTCCCTGAACAGCGATGGCGCGACGGTACATCAAGTGAATGCTGAGGATAGAAAGCCAGACAATCAAGAACACCATACCGGTGTTGTTGGCGAACCATTCGAATGCATCATTCGAGAAGGCAGCGATCATAACGACAACAATACCGCAGGTGTACGAGAACGCAATGGCACGGGCTGGTTTTCCTTGACGATTTTTATGCATAAACCATCTTGGTGCATTACCGTCTTCAGCCATGACAGAAAGGACCTGACCACAGACATACATGCAGCAGTTGGCAACGGAGAGAACGGAGAGCAAAATGTTGAGGTTGAAGACATGGGCGAGGCCGGGATAACCATAAACTCTGAGAGCGTGGACGAAGGGGGAGAGAAGGACGTCGTGGCTTTCGAGGGCTGGATCATCGGAGCTGAGGAGAAGAGTGATGCAGAAGAGGGAGGAGATGTAGAAGAGAGCCATGCGGAAACGGTATGTGTTCAAGGTTCGAGGGATGGAGAATCGTGGCTTGTGTACATCACCAGAGGCGACAGCGCCGATTTCAACACCACCATTGGAGAATGCAGCCAGAATAGCAGCGTTGACGAGACCTTTGATTCCCATATTGAATGGCCCAGGCTTGTTATAGTATTGGCCAAATTTAGGAGTCTCATGCATGTTACCCTTCTTGAAGCCGCACATCATGAAAATTGTCCAGATGATGAAGCCTGTCACAGATATGACACGGAAGCTGCCGATAAAGAACTCTACTTCTGCGAAAATATGGGGCGGGGATGCATGAATGGCCAAGATGACGGCGAGGAAAATCAAAGCTACGACCCAGAATTGTACAGAGGGAAGCCAAACCCGGACGGTATAGGCGATGGCATTGGATTCAGCTCCAAAGGTGAACATATCTGGATGCATGCAATCGTTAGAGTTCAGATTCTTATCTATACTATAGATAGATCGACGGGCTAGGCGAACTTACAGGCGCAGAAATAGATGTATCCGAGAGCGAAACCATGGGCGGGGTGAATGAATCTTGAGGCGTAGCGAATAAAACTACCAGATACCGGATATCTCATGGAGATTTCGCACATAGCACCTGTAGACATGGTTAGTTCTGCCATAAACTAAGCCATCAATAATCGAGAGTCGCGAAAGAAACTTACAAGAGACGAAGTAGAGAACAATGGTCATGAGAATATTGTTGATAAGGAGCGAGCCGGGACCACCAATAGCCAACTGTCGACCAGATGTGACAAAGAGACCCATCCCAATACCAGAAGTCAAGTTAATCATTTGATGGTGTCGGAAGTTGAACGGTTTCGCCTTCTTAACGGTTTCGCCGTCGTCTGAGCCCGAACCCCCCATACCGAGGAACGATGGTAGGCACTTCTTCCACCGTGGCGAGCCATCAGCTGCTTCTGTTGTTCCAACTACATTTGAATGGGACGACTGAAGGTCACTAAGTGCCTCTGCTTTCGAAGATTCGTCGCCATCCCCACGACTAGGGAAAGTAAATGACGAAATATCGTTCGTAGGTTGGCCACCTACAACCGCTTGTTTTTCACTCGCCATACTGGGTATATATTTCGATGATTCTTTGGGAGTTTAAGGTAGAAAGACCCACTTGTTCGACTCTTGGGAGATATCGAGGGGGAAGTGAGGGGTTATAAAAGAGTGTGAGATATATATGAATGAGTGACTAGAGGTGAATAACCTGGTGATAGACATGCGAATAAAAAATAGCGGAATATGACAGGATATATACACAGGAACTCTAAAATAAGCTTCCTTGTGTGTTCTGCGCCTTCTCGACACCGGGTCTCAGTGTTCCTCTCAGTTCCGAACCGGCAGGGAATACTTGTCTACAATGCGACCCTCTGCACTAACTCTTCTACGTTAAATCGCAATAGTGAGACTAGGGAAAGAACCTGGAGATCCCACCCAATGCGGTTTATTCAGTTAGTGACGATAAGCTGTTATTGCTCCAGTAATTAGATGCGCGCGAACGACAAGGCCAATTGAAACCTTAATGCCTATGATCTGACATATCATTTTACTCGGAGAGGAATAGAGCAGTATGCAGGACTATCACCACAAGGAGTTCTAGAAGGCCGGAATTGAAACAAAATCATTTAACCCTGACACTATAACACTGAATTCCGATTAATTCTCCGGTGGGAACCGTAGCAATATGTCAATTAGGCACCATGACGATTCGCCTAGGAAGCCTGGAGAAGAACGTCGTCGCTGTTTTTGCAGGTCAGTTGGCTGCCTTGTGGGGGTGTTCCATGTGGCACCTGTAACCAGGTTTTGGTTTTGGACATGCATACGGCCCTTTAGCTAAACCTGGTAAGCCGGCACACGACTCAACTTTAGATGGAGCGCTTACATCCCTTAAGCTTCCTGGCGACGGAGAATAGTTCAATTTGCGAGACAGAAGTGGGAAAAGAATCGAAAGTTACCGCTGGGTTGATTCAGGCGCACATACTTGTTTTACCCGCTGCACTCCCTCAAACAGGTGACTGTCATGAAAGTTGGTGAGGCAGAACGAGACAATTTGAGAGTTTAGGGAAGGTGAACAACACAAGGCTTACCGCTTATGGTAGTGCATGACCAGCCCAAAATCCAACACCAGAGTTCCCCCTTCCGCCTCGACTCCCACGCGACACTTGGCTTCATTCGGATCCGCATAATTGGGGATTTATTCACAGGTGATGAATGCGAGAACCAACCATTCTGGACGCCTCTCGTAGCGGTAGCGAGGGCTGGGCATGACGAGGATAGAGCTTAAGAAATTGCCAATGCAGAAACTTCCTCATGCCGCAAAGCGCATTGGAGGGACATGTAACGTCGTCGATATTAATATCTTCATTCATTTGAATTTCAATTATTCGCATATTGTCTCTATATTTGGATCCGCTGCCGAACCGGAGTCTGCCGGTTCTTTTAGATACCTAAGGTATTTAAAGAAGGTCGGGATGTCCTGATGTTTACATTGCTTCTCTATCTATTGTCGACTTTGGATTTCTGTTCCTGAGAATACGGGGAACGGAATCCGCCTACGATGGACTTCGAGTTCTCGGCTAGAATCCTCTAGACACTTCTCGCGATTGTGTCCCATTCGGTCCGCGGGATATAAGTCTAGATCGGGTTCTAGTGGCGATGCCGAATCAGATTTGTGGGGACCCCGTTTCCGTGTGGCCGTCGGTTCTTATTGCTACGGCTGCATAGCCGATAGATGTATACATAAACAGGTGGCAAGAACCACGATCAGCTTATCCGAAGACATTTGACAGCCAGGCCGGATAACATGTATTATGTGGGAGGGGGGAGAAAAACATCATTGCGAAGGTCCGGAAAAGTATTCTTCTACCGAAAAAAATAAACTGCGGACACGCCGAAGATACTACTATACTTGCAATGGGAACCAGGCGAGTATACCTTTACATCGGACGGGACCCAAAGCATGTGCGCCGGTAATGATATAGCAATAAGTCCGAAAGATTTTCACGGCTAGTGCACTTTCTCTAACGTCTTATCAGCTTGCGTCTTTTTTTTTTTGCTCCCTTCTCCCTCTCCTGTAAGGCTGCATGTATTTGAGATGAGTCGTCGTTCAGCCAAACCACTAGAGCTTCCAACTTCATCCGATATCTAAATTGAAGGGGGTACAAATTTCCCGAGATAAGAAAGTCATGCCGGTCTTTGGAGGTGGAAAACCTGAAACGTCCTTGAAAGGATCATTTCGATATCTCGTACAAATCCATCCCTGTATCAGGTCATATCATCGTAGTCAGAAAGGAAGTGGATATCATTCTCATGCAACACGAAAACTGCAATTTTCAAAACGGTACCATTTTTTTTTTCATTTTCTTAGAGATCATAGATGCTTCCCGAATCGAATCGCGCGAATTTTGCCATATGCATCAAAATTTTTCTTATTTTTTAATTTTTTTTTTTATGATATTATAACGATGCCATTCCTTTGTCAGATTTGTATGAGTGATAAAATAAAAAAATCCTGCTTTTTTAAGAACTTGCATCCTTTTTTCTAAGAAAGTTGCGTAAGAAACTAGCAGAAGCAACTGAACGATTACATGAGAATTATTCCGTTCTGAGGACAGGGCAAAAACAATTATCCGAAAAGGAACGAATAGAAAAAAAAAATTATCAGCAAAATGGAGTGTTGCCGACCTGAGACTTTTTCCCAAGGCCCTACGGCCGCTTCGTTCACATGCTCGTGATCATGGGCGGGCCTGTTTTTGGTAACAGGCCGAAGCTACCCACGGCCACACACCTAACCACTTTCGAAATTTCAGATTACGGGCTGAGAACCAACCAACCAGATTGCTTGGAATTTGTCTGGCCCAGATGGCCATCCGCCTTAAAAGCCTCACGCGGTATTACCCCAGATTTCGGCTACTCACGCTTTTCACTGATGCAGTCGTTCGCGGGCATTGCACACTTTGCACAGCTAGCTGCACAGGTGGGCTAGCTGGGCTGGGCTGGGATCGGGAACTGGTCGTTCTTAATATATCCCTCATGGACTCACTAAGCTCGAATCTGTTTCGGTAAATCCGTCCTGCTACATTGCACTGCAGCTGGATGGTATCCTGACTTCTTGATTGGGTTCGTTGATTACGACTTCAATGCTTTCCCATGTAATGCTATAATTGCTTTCTTCTGATTTCTCGGCCTCTTACCTGTCCTATCCTACGCTATCTGTGTGCAAGTCTGTGAGGCCGTGTGAGTGTAAGGGTTGGAAGCTTAGCTTTGAAGCTTCAAGGATAACGCTCGTGTGACACTCTAGAATACCACACAAGAAATATGTGAAAATGCAAGTTGGACCTGGATGTTAACATTCCTTGCCTAGATTTCACGATGTTATGATGGAGTTCATGATCAGAATGACGTTTTTTTCTCTTAGCGTCCGGATGGGCAAACGGAACCTCATGATCGATTTATGAAGTAACATTTGTTTGAAAGAAAAAGAGAGACTTATCTGTGATCTAGTCAGGCAAGTGGAAGTTGGTGATATGACGAAATGGTCGCCAAGGCAGGCGACAAACTTGAGATTGAGATTTTTTTCGGGTAGAAGGACCCGCTTAGAAGGGGGGGATTTTTGAATTTTCTTGCTTTGAAGCCGTTCAGCTTTGATGTCGATTGAAATTTTTTTCTGTTTCTTTCGTGCATCATGCTATGTTCTTTTACCCTTTCGGGCTTTTTTGCCATTAGTTATTACCTACTGGTATACTTCACTTACATATGTATTCCAAGGGGGGGGTATAGGAGGAATGTCCACATGGGTCCGTTCTCCACCCCCTGGTCAGTGCAGCATTGAACCGATCAGAAGGAGCATGAGCATGTATACGGCTAGGTTGATTGTGTTCGTACTATGCAATGTAGATAGCAAAAAATGAGTATTTTTTCTTTCTTTCTCGGAACGAGGATTACCCCCTAGCTGGCTAGCTGTTTCTGGGAGTCCAACAGATAGCACAGCACCGCAGACAGACAGACAGACTGACAGTTGTAGTGGAAGTGAGGGTAATACCAACTGTGGTCTTTTTTTTTCTTTTCTTCTGTGTAGACGATACGATATCTCTGTCCACTTGCACTTATCCCCGCTTCACTCGTACTCGTACCTATCTCGCGACCATCTCCTTCAATCTCAAACCCGTCAGCGTTAGTATCGTATCAAGCAAAAGAGAATCAAATCAAAGAGAATCAAATCAAAAGTGAACCCGAATTTTTGCCTCCTTGCATTCGTGTCTGATCCTTGAGACCGAAGGTCTAGCCTTCCACGGTCATCACTTGTCCAGCCAGAGAAGATTCCGAGTCTCTCCGACAGTCCTCCAAGGTACCGTTCTCCCACAGAACCTCCTTCCGTATCCTCCCGTATTGCGGGGACACCAGAGCTAACGGTGATGGCAAAAAACAAAAAAAGATGAATCGGGTACAGTTCGCTAGCCTTTCCTTTCGTGATTCTGCGCCCTGGGAAAGGATGACCAGTCATTGGCCCAGACCTGGGAAGTCGTGCTCTTCGGGTACCTCCTCGCCCTCTGTCCGATGGCCAGGTTCGGTCGAGCCATGCAGGCACTTCCATTTGTCGCATTTTCGCCCACACAACGCCAAAAATGGCAGTTTTCGCTAACCTGGAGGTTTGGATGTCGCATGGCTTAGAGTCTTCTGTCGATTTTTCGGAACAATCCAAGTCATGGCGAGAATATTCTTGTCCTCAGGGGCCACAAGTCGGGTCCAACCGCCGGACGAGGCATATCTGGATTCCTCGATGCAAATGTTATAAAGTTCGGCCATTCTCCCCTCCGATGTTGATGCTTCTGTCTTTGACTTCAATTCAAGCGATCAACAGTTCCTGATTGCATCTTTCTCACTACCAATCTTGTTCCTTTTCGACTCGAACAAAGAATTATCTAAATAACTATTTTTATAATCATCATCATAGCATTCCGATCCCGAATCATCATCCAGCCCAGCGATCTTTCTTAAATAGCTTCATCCGACCTTCAATATTCAAAAGATCTACTTCTGCTGAAATCTCTCAACTTCGACCACTCGGTTCTTCTTTCTATCACTCTTCTTCTAAGAAATTCAAACAACCTACTTCCTCCGGTCCTCCATACCGTTCTCATCTTTCTTGCCAATCTACATTCCACAAATACTTCAAAATGGTTTCCTCCAGAGCTGTTAACAAGACAACATTACACCCAAAGGGTGTTGCGTAAGTCACACATTCCTTTCCAAAAATAGATATATACCTACTTGTGGATATACATATATATCGCTCAAAAGTATATTGTGTATGCATGATTTCTAACTTGGTATTGTTACACACTTTTACAGTCCTGTCACAGAGCACACTGAGATTGAGGAGGAGCTTCACGACAAGGCCAACATTGACTACGACCGAGTTCAGATCATCTCCAACCCTGCCGTCTCTACCCTCTACGAAGATGCTCTCGTCTTCGAGAGTGGCACTGCCATCACCTCCTCTGGTGCCTTGAGCGCTTACTCTGGTAAGAAGACCGGCCGCTCGCCCGGTGACAAGAGAATCGTCAAGGAGCCATCTTCGGAAAATGAAATCTGGTGGGGCCCAGTCAACAAGCCCATGGACGACCACACCTGGGTTATCAACCGTGAACGTGCCATCGACTACCTCAACACTCGTGACCGCATCTACGTCGTTGACGGTTATGCCGGCTGGGATACTCGCTACAGAATCAACGTCCGTGTCGTCTGCGCTCGCGCTTACCACGCCCTCTTCATGAGAAACATGCTTATCCGCCCAAGCCGAGAAGAACTCGAGCACTTCCACCCCGACTGGGTTATCTACAACGCCGGCAGCTTCCCAGCTAACAAGTACACCACTGGTATGACTTCTTCGACATCCGTCGCTCTCAACTTCGCCGAGAAGGAAATGGTTATCCTCGGTACCGAATACGCTGGTGAGATGAAGAAGGGTATCTTCACCGTCATGTTCTACGAAATGCCAGTCAAGCACAACGTCCTCACTCTCCACTCCTCCGCCAACCAGGGTGAGAACGGTGACGTCACCGTCTTCTTCGGTCTATCTGGTACCGGCAAGACTACTCTCTCCGCTGACCCGAAACGTGCCTTGATCGGTGACGATGAGCACTGCTGGACCGACTCTGGTGTCTTCAACATTGAGGGAGGTTGCTACGCAAAGTGTGTCGGCCTTAGCCGCGAAAAGGAGCCAGAAATCCACGGTGCTATCCGCTACGGTTCCGTTCTCGAGAACGTCATCTTCGATGAGTACACCCGTGATGTCGACTACAACGACACCACCCTCACCGAGAACACTCGTGCCGCCTACCCACTCGAATATATCCCCAACGTCAAGTTCCCATGTATCACTGACGGCCACCCAACAAATCTCATCCTCCTTACCTGCGATGCCTCCGGTGTTCTCCCACCAGTCTCCAAGCTCGACTCCCGCACTGTCTCCTACCACTTCATCTCTGGCTACACTTCCAAGATGAGCGGTACCGAGGAAGGTGTCACAGAACCACAGGCCACCTTCTCCGCTTGCTTCGGACAACCCTTCCTTGCCCTTCACCCAATGCGCTACGCCGAGATGCTTGCCAACAAGATCTCAGAACACAATGCCGACGCCTGGCTCGTCAACACCGGTTGGGTCGGTGCCTCTGCCGCCGCTGGTGGTAAGCGATGCCCACTCCGCTACACTCGTGCTATCTTGAACGCTATCCACGACGGTAGCCTCAAGAACGCCGAGTACGAGAACTTCCCAGTCTTCAACTTGGCTATCCCCAAGACCTGCAACGGTGTTCCAGATGAGATCTTGGACCCACGCAAGGCCTGGATGGGAGATGCTGAGAGCTACGAGAGCTCGGCTAGAACTTTGGCTTCCAAGTTCATTGAGAACTTCAAGAAGTACCAAGAAGGTGTTACCAAGGAGGTTTTGGGCGCTGGACCTCAGTTGTAAACTTTCTTCTTTTCTTTCTTTCTCTTCACGGGCTTACTTCTTTAAACCTTTCTACCTTACATATTTCCCCCCCTTTATTCTCTTTTTTTATATAAGGATACCAAAATGCTCTAATGTCTTGTTGTAATACGATCCGGTTTCTTTGAATGGTCTCTTTTGTTGGATTTCACACCTTGCATCAAAGGCGTTGAACGACTTTTTCCCCTTTGTCTTTTTTCAGCGAGTTTCTGCTTTCATGTTTTTCCTTTACAAAAAAAATTAGATAGATTGCATGCTATGAACTGAATATTATTTATTATTACACTTGAAAAAACAATTTCCCTCTCTCTAAATCCCTTTAGTGAATTGTCATGGACTAGATTACAAGGTGATAGATACGAATAGTGACTTGTACAATTGTGACTTGCAAATGGTGTGAATATGTATGTGATCAAATGCGTTGGCAGATGTTAACACCACCAATATTATTAATATTACTACTAAGTTTCCTCTTCCCTCAAAGGGGACTTAATAGTATCTACTAAAAGACTAGACTTTGGAGTCTTTGCGAAATTCGGTGTGAAGCCGGATGAAAAAATTAACACAAGTACCTCTTAGCAAGCCATATCACAAGATTTCCCGCTTTTTTTTCTCCCTATGATAAGGAGAACTGGAACGGTCCTTTAGACCGAAACGAACGGGAACCTTCCTCTGCTTACTTTAGAATTCTTTGATTCTTTTTTTTTTTAGAAAAAAAATGCCGCAAGAAGTTCCCGCTTATCGAGTTAGTACGACAGCAACTTGGAAGAAATGAGATAAGCCCTCTTTCAGCTGTAAATGCATATATGCCTAGTAAGTATTTTTGATAGTCAGTACATAAGCGGAAATCTTTTTTTTTTTTTTTTTTTTCTCTTGGAAAGCTGCTTCTACCGAGGTAGTCGAAAAAAGGATTACCCGACGAAATTAATTAAGTAGACTACACAGTAGAAAGAAAAAAATGCAACACTTGGATGAATGGATATGCATAAGCAAGTACCTTTTCCATCCATCGAATCGGCTTGTAAAAATAGACTGGGGTTGCATTGTGGTGGAATGTTTCGTGCATTACATACTTAAGTACATTTGCACTCGTATGATGGGTAACTCAGAAAGACAGCTACACAAGTGACTTTTACTTATCTGGAAAGGTTACACAACAGCAGCAGCAGCAGCAGCAGCAGCAGCAGCAGCAGCAGAAGTTCGTTTATTTTTATTCGGCAGCTTGAGCTACGGGGAACATGGGCCATGTAACATGTAATAATATGTGCATACCAGGTTTTGTCGATTTTTTTTTGGTTGGTACACGGGAAAGTCGGCCAGGTTATGCTTTTTTTTTATGAAGGAGCTCACCGCTCCCGCTCCCGCTCAAAGAGCTGCAACTACAAAATCTTGCAGAGCTTCGGGAGAGCTAGGCTGGGCATCTTGCATTTATTCGCGTATCTGGATCGTTTGTATGGTATGGGAACGGGAGCTCGGGATTGCTAGGTTCTTTTTTTTTTTTTTTTTTTTTCCCCCACCGATTTATAATTATAATTGGAATCTCGGTGGTCTGATATCAGGAGAATTTTTTTTAAGGTAAGCGATATCGATATCGAAAGCACGGGCCATAGGTAACATGCCTGGTGGGGGTTCTCAGTTTAGCGTTTTCTGTCTGATGGCATTCTTTTTTCCCATCTGTCCTGGTTTTTATATCCGGGGTATAAGATGTAATGCCAGCGATTAAAGCCTTCACACAATTGAATTCAACGATACCATCATTCATTTACAACTTCCAAGTACTCGAACAAGACCTCCTTCGCTCCATCCCAAAACAAAAAAACCCCAGATCCCGCTGCATGGCTATAATACACCAAATTCCTAATCGTTCGTCCCTAATTACCCTTCCAAAGCAGACTTCCCTGATTACAATTAAATCTCCAATATCCCATTCTCGTCATAATCATAATCAACTCCTTACCATTCCCATTTCAATATCACTCAACCTACCCCTCCTCCCTCTCTCCTCTTCTTCATCATCATGATCCTCATCTTTTACGCCCTCGTATCCGTTTTCTTCTGATGATAGCTTGTAAGGTTCGTTACATCTCGCGGACCTCAATGGGTGGAAGTACCGACGGTACGAGAAATAGGCGCAGAGGATTCCGATCCAGGAGCCTACTGATACGTCTGCGTAGTCGTGACGGTAGTCTTCGAGACGGGAGAGGGCTATGTAGCCAGCCAGTACCGTTGCTCTGGTATGGAGTTAGTACGGATATAATAGATTATAGAGGATAGGGACAATGATAGTAAAAAGGAGGAAAGAACATACGAGAAAGCAGCACAAGTTCTGACCAAATCCGCACCAGGTCTAAATGCGAAGAATTGGCCTGCAAGGAAAAGAGAAAGGTAGAGTAGGCCGGCAAAGGCGGTAGAACTGTGACCGCTCGGGAAAGAACGAAATCCATCGTGGAGAATATGGTGGTTCGTCTGGTAGCAGACCTTGAAGGTAACTAGTTCGTTATGTGGGGTGTCTTCGCGCTATTTATTATGATTCCCACGAACATCATGTCTTTTGCATTAATAATTTAGTACTGCCAATTGATATGATAGTATTTTTTTGTGTTCGTAAGACGGGGAGGTGGTGTGGTGTGGGAAGGGGAGAAGGGAGGGAGGGAGAGTCGTACAGGTTGACAACGATCGATTAAGTCCGGTCTAGGCCGTCCGACGCCTTGTTTTATAAAGTCGGTGATAAAGCTTGCGAGTAACAAACTATTCCCCAATCCTAATAGACTCGATTGTAAAAAAGGTCTCCCCTTTTGTAGGACTCCAGTCCAGGCGACTATGGTGCCCAGTGGTACCAGAACTGCAAGAACGAGAAGGTATGGAACCGAAACTCGTTCTATTAACGCGTGAGGGTATTTTAGACGTGGATCATCGATTGTGAACATTCTATGAAATGGTTCGGTGACCATCAGAGCGATATTTGAGGCGGCTAGAAGGAGGAGGCCGAGATAGTCTCCGGCACGAGACGTCTGGGAGAAGTACTGTTAGTTCCTTTTAGATGATGTCTTTTTTTTACGAAGTCAAGGAAAGTATATATATTACTTACCCGCCATAATCGCGATGCGGAGGAGAAGATGGAAGGAGATGAAGGCATGGAGGAAGAAGAGGGTCGGGAAGGGGAGGAAGGATTGGAGGAGTGCGGGGAGGGCATGGTCATGTAGGTCCTCATGTGGTGGTGGTGGCAGAGGCCTGGTTGGGGTTGCTGGATTTGGATCTGGCCTGGCCTGCAGTACAGTGTGGTAGGAGAGGTTGTGCGATTGGGAAGCTCAGCTGTGCCTGTGTTTCTCCGCCTAGTTAGCGTCGTTCATTTCCTTGCCTTTCTCTTTTCTCCACACTTCTTCCCTGGATTTCCCCCCAATTCAATTCAATTCGGTTCATCACACACCCCGCGATACTACCGATTCACATCCATCACCAACGGCCGAATAATATATAGGATATCGAGAGAGGGGCAGAGAAAAGGATGGCAGAAGAGCAGGATAGTCGAAGGGCCTCGTTATTTCCAGCGCCTCCGACCTTTTATACACACTTCACACCTGCGAATCAAGAGAAACTAAAGGAGTTTCAGGCTGCTGCAAAGAACGATGAGGACGAGAACGCGTCGAAGGAGTTACCGGCAGAACTGGTGTGCTTGATTCCACCGAAGCCGCCGACAGAAAAGTACCAAAGTTTTGGACAGATTTGGACTGTACGTTTATTCTCACATCGATTTGCTGGGAATATACCCTTGGCATTTATATCGAACGGGATCGAGCGACTGAGCGACTGACTGAACGGAATAATGAATAAATGGAATAATGGTGAATAGCTACCAGAACGACATCCCACACTTAAAGAACTCAACATCCCACAATTGTTTCCGGAACCGAACAACGAGAGTTACAATGTGGATCGGGCACAGGAGTTACGACGACTGAGCAAGAGTTTACTACTGAATTACCTGGAACTGGTGGGAATCATGGGCATGTCGCCGGAAGAGGTAGATATTCTCTACATACCTAAACTTACCTCTTAGGTAGATCCAACCAATTTGGGGTTTATCGGTGGCTGATAGGTATATATATGCAAAATAGTACGCAGAAAAGGTGTATCATCTGAGAATCCATTTGATCAACATCCACGAACTTATCAATAACTACCGACCGCATCAGGCGAGGGAGACCTTGATTTCCATGATGGAAGAACAACTGGAGAAGTCGCGACAAGAGACGGAGGATAACAGGAAGGCTTGTGCGAAGCTTAAAGAGCTGTTGGGGTCGCTGAGTACCTTTGATGCTGGGGGACTTTTGACATCGGATACCGCTACTTCTGCTGACACTGTCACCTCTGCCACCTCTGCCACCGCCACTGTAACCACTGCTACCACTATTCCGAGTGGTAATTGGGAAGAGAAGGATAGCTCAAGCTGGGAGGCACTACAACAGGCAGGTCTCTAAGAAGCTGCAACAGGAATATGATATAACAAGATATTTGGTAGGTAATAATATGGGGGTTGTACATACAGGCGGTGTGGATTCGCATATGCAATGGAGATATGCCGATATAATATGATACCTCTTAGCAAGCACCTTACAGTGGGGAATATGGGGGTATGAGGAGGAAAGTATGGTAATGGTAATGGCGAAGAGGGTGGGTTGGTGTATTACATAATCAGGTACTTGACTCCCAAATAGTAACAGCCTAGGGACCCCTGTCCTCAACAGCTCACCGAACAACCCATTAGCCAATAGAAACGGACCCTGAAATTGCGTGATCGAACTTCATCCTCCTTTTGTTAGCCATCGGCGCGCATTCCATCGAAAAAAAAAGTCCGTCGTCGGCTCTGGCCCTCAGTACTCGGTCGCCTCGCTGACCAATTTGCATTGATTGTGTGGGCATTTGTATGTGTGTGTGCTGGGACAATTGGGTGCTATCCTCTTGCCCCCCGTGTCGAGGTGCCGTACCAGCCTGCATATATCCAGGCCACTGCGTTACACTTTACACAGTGCTCAGTACACCCTCTATTTCCATGGTACATGCTGCTAGCCTCTGCTGCTAGTTAGTTAGCTGGATGAAAATTTAGTATTATATAAAGATGGCCTCCATCTCTCGCACTCCATCTCCATCCCCCTCCCCCACCTTCGCAACAGGCCTGCGCACCGGCTCCTTCTCTTCTCTGCAGACTCTGTCCCGACCCGGTTTACAGCATTCTCACTCCTCCTCCTCCTCAGCTGCTGCGAACCTGTTACTCTTCAATCCAATGTATCTGCAAGCTCCCGATGCCCCGGCACCGGCCTCGGCCGGCCCTGTCTCCATCACCAACGGAGAAACCTCCAAATTCGCTCTCTCCCAAGAACACAGACCGGACCAACCTCAACTGTCGATTCTAAACGGCTCAGCTGCCTTTCCCTTCGGCACCCCTCACGATGTCTCCAAAATCACCGGTCAGGCTTACTTGACCTCCCAGCAGCTTGTCCAGCATGTTGGTTATTCTCTCTCTGACAACGTCTTCTCCTACTCGCCGGAGACGTTCGACCTCGATACTGCTGCCAAGGAATGGTCTGGTAAATCCCAGGCCAATGCTTACGGCAGGCCTACCACAATCACCAGCTTAGAAACTAGAACAGGAGCTGCTTCCGTTCTACTAGGTTATGTTTTCTCTAACGACAGGGAACTGTCTAAGAGAAACATTCCCCAGACCGTCATAGCATCCACCGCTACTCTCCTCGAAATGCGAAATGCTCTCGAGCAGCTTTCCATGCTCTATGCTGTCTCTAGCCCTTTCGTTGCTCATGTCGCAGCCGTTGATTACTCTCCCTTCCAGTACAATTTGGTTGCCGACTATACCTCGGCCCTACAAGTCGCTCAAGATGCCGGAATTGGTCTTATTTCGTCAAGATCAGCTCATGATGCCCAGCATATGGCACTTTTCTCAACATTGGTGTCTTCTGTACTACCTACTGTTCACATCTACGACGGTGTTCGAGCTGGACGGGAAACCGCCAAAGTTGTCGATGTCTTGGATCAAGCTGGTATCTATCAGACTTACCAGTCCATTCTAAATGAGCAAAAGACCATTGGCAAGAAGGTTGATCCTGAGGCTAAAGTTGCCAAGATACTCGAGAATCTCAACTCTGAGCTCGGAACTTCCTACAAGCTCTTCGAATACGCTGGACACAGTGAGCCAGAAGCCGTGCTTGTAGTATTCGGATCTGTCGAGTCTTCGGTTTCTGCCCAGGTTGCTACCCGTTTGGCAGCCGGTGGCGAGAAGATTGGTGTGATCTCCGTGCGCGTCTACCGTCCGTTCTCTGAGACCCACTTTTTGGAAGCTCTTCCAAAGTCCGTGAAGAGGGTTGCTGTCCTCGGTCAAGTCATCGATCAAGCTGCTGTTGACGATGCTTCCGTTCAATCCTCCCTATATGCTGACGTTCTCGCTGCTTTGACTATGGCCGAGGACTGGACGATCACTCCTCCGGTCATTGACGTCAAATACCCCAGAGAGCAGGGTTGGGTGCCTTCTGATTTTGCCTGGATCTTCGACCAAATTGTCAAGCAAAAGTCTACTTCCATCTCGCCACCAGAGGAAGCTCTGGCAGCAGAGGCCTCCCATATCGCTGGGTTCGAGATCTTTGAGGCTGAAGCCGTCTCTCAATACGTCTTCTGGGACCTTGATGTTTCTACCGGCGAAGAGGCACCAAGCAGCATTACAAGGCTTTTGGCTTCTGATAGCTCTCGGAATGTTACCTATTCCTCGATCTACGACAATCTATCGCAGGCTGGCATTACCTACAGCTGGATCAGGAGCGCTAAAGAGACTGTCCAGGCTCATTACGATGTTACACAAGCTGATGTGGTAGTTGTAAACGATTCAAAGATTACTCTATCTTATGATGTTGCTTCTGGTGTGAAGACCAGCGGTACACTTCTCCTTCGAAGCCCTATTAAGGATGAAGATCTCGAGGCTAAGCTTCCGGCTCAATTGAAGAAGGCCTTGGCGCATAAGAAGGCTAAATTCTACATTCTCGACGTACCACAGGATGCTGGTCTTTCACCCGAGAAAGAGAACTTGCTCTTGCAGCTCGCTTTCCTCCGCGTCTCCGGTGAAGTCGACAAGGTTTCCGCTATTAGCGAAAAGCTTGCCAACATTGATAAGGGTGTTGAGCCCCAGACCATCCAAGAGGTCGCCGCTCTTATCGATACCTACGTCCGCGAAGTCCCCGTCCCAGAATCTTGGCTCGAAACTGAAGTTATTGGGGAACCTCTTCCATCCTCCTTCGACCCCAATAGCTTCGCTATCAACACCGCCAAATCTGAGGAAGATCCCAAGTACCTCCTCAAGAAATCAATCCACTCCGCCATTATTCTTTCCTTCCGTGAGGCGTTTGAACTCCAAAATGCTCTCCGTCCTGACCTCCCTGTTACCAACTTTATTGTGCGTGTACAGGAGAACAAGCGACTTACACCCCTCTCGTATGATCGTAACATCTTCCACATTGAGTTCGATCTTACCGGGACCGGTATGACATATGATATCGGTGAGGCGTTGGGCATCCATGCTCACAATGATCCCGAAGAGGTTAACCAGTTCATTAAATTCTATGGACTTGAGGCAAACGATGTTGTCGAGGTTCCTTCGAGGGATGATCCTGATCAACTAGAAATGAGAACTATATACCAGGCGCTCAGTCAGAACATTGACATATTCGGCCGTCCACCGAAGAAGTTCTATGAAGCCCTCTCGGAGTTCGCAACAGACGAGAAGGAAAAGAAGGAGCTTCTTACGCTTGGATCTGCCGAGGGAGCCGTGGAGTTCAAGCGTCGTGCGGAAGTTGATACTGTCACATATGCTGATGTACTCCTTGAATTTGGGTCTGCACATCCTTCCTTCCATGATTTGGCGAAGATTGTATCGCCTATGAAGAGAAGGGAGTATTCCATTGCCAGCAGTCAACAGGTGCACCAGAACAGTGTGCATTTGTTGATTGTGGTTGTCAATTGGGTTGACCCGAAGGGTAGGGATAGGTTTGGACAGGCGACGCGGTACTTGAGTGGATTGAAGATTGGGAGTGAGGTTACGGTTAGCGTTAAGCCAAGTGTTATGAAGCTGCCGACGGAGAGCACGAAGGTATGTTGTATCCTTTTCTTATATATATCTATATCTATGTCGAAGGGGCAAGGACTAATTGGTTTCGTTTTATTTTAGCCACTTATTATGGCAGGTTTGGGAACTGGACTTGCGCCCTTCCGAGCCTTTGTGCAGTATCGCGCATGGCAGAAGGAACAGGGTATCCCCATCGGCTCCGTATTGTTGTACATGGGTTCCCGTCACCAACGAGAAGAATATCTTTACGGTGAAGAATGGGAAGCCTACGAAGCTGCAGGAGTGGTTACGTATATTGGAAAAGCGTTTAGTAGAGATCAACCTGAAAAGGTTTATATTCAAGATAAGATGAGGCAAAGTCTTGAGAAGATTGTGAAGGCATATGGTGAGGAAGAAGCCGGAAGCTTTTACTTGTGCGGACCGACTTGGCCGGTGCCTGATGTGCAGGAGGTCTTGATGGAGGCTATTGCGGTTGAAGCTACGAGGAAGGGGGTTAAGGTTGATACGAGAAGAAGGATTGAGGAGTTGAAGGATGATGGGAGATATGTTCTTGAGGTTTATTAGTCGGGGAGGGAGCTCTTTTCTTTATTTTTTCTTTATTTTTCGTATTTGGAGGGGTTGGGTATATAAGTATATATTAGTAGAAATGGAATAATTTTATATTTTGGTTGGTTTATTATAATTAGGATGTCCGCGTGAGAATTAATTGTACGTATTTTATTGTGGTATTGCCTACGGATGTATTTGATTCTAGACCTAGTTTGCCGTAGACCTTGGGCTCTGCCTATCATGGCAACGTTATAACGTTATTTCCACCCGGTGCATGTTGACCTTGTGATTTTAGAGACTAGAAGGCCTTAAGGGGGCTGGACTTCGATAATATACCTAGTAGGTACATATAAATAGAATAGGGAACACACCTTTGTAGTGGTCCTTTACATGCCTCGTATACCAAATGCTACTGTACTCTCATATTGAATTACATTAATTAATTGATTTTACACACCTATATGTAGGTAGCTAGTTAATTTCGAAACGAAGGATGGGGGGATGCATGTTACTAGGAGGGCGGGGGGTTATCTTGATCATAAGATCTCGAGGTGTCAGTATGTAGAAGCTGCATCGATTTATGGGTATCGATGTTGCAAACTATATAAGATGATCGATAGGTATCCGTGAGGACCGAATACGAGGAGTTATAGATAGTTTTTTAGTGAAAGGAGACTAGAGATTGCATATACATATCGAAAAATGAAAATTAATACTAAGTTTAAAGTCGAGAATCCTACTATACTTCTGAATTATCGGGGTCCATATTGATCGTTTACCTCGAGGCCTCTTTCTTGGATGGATGCAATTTGAAATTGTAATTGGATTGATTGTTTTAATATTATTCCTGCGCGTAATTTTAAATTTATGAATATATAGCACTACTTCGCGAACCCTGTGGCATAATATTATATATATATGGACCTGTATATTTATAGAATGCATGTAGGAAACTGTGAAATCCTGGAGGAGGAACGTTGGACATTGGTTACGCTAGAGCATATTATAAGACGTATATTCTTTTTTTCTTTCAAATTCCAAATCCTTTGTTTTCATGCGGTATGTACATATAGGGCATAAACTATAATATAGTACCGTAACTTAGTACTAGTGTTAACTCGCCATCCATTGGGCACAGCTACGAAAAAGAGTTTATGCATCAGCCGAACGCTTATTTACAAAATTTCGGAACAGAAAGCGCGAACATAAAAGAGACTCGTCAACCGGTCGCTCGCGGGGTGGAACATTTGAAATTCTTTTACATAGAATTTATATAACTCACACGGTATTCGGGCGTTAATATTTGTGGGGATCTGTCGTGATATTTCTCGGCAAATGACATGAAACTAGTGGGGGGAAGGAAGCTCGAGAATCGAGTCGTATGCCGCTATGATGTTGACATATATTATATTGTTGGATGCCTATTGGGAATAAAATCACGATATCACAATAACCCTTTTCTGTCCCCGTGAACTAGACCCACTGAGCGCACTAGATTTCTCACTAAATAGATGGCACATAGAATCACGAGATCGTGTCTTAAGATCTTGTTCGCGGAGTATATCATATGCATATGCTAATACTAAAAAGACTAGATTCGATCCCAGCGAGCCGACAATGTAATGCGCACACGAGTTGATAGGGGAAAAAAACATAGCAAAACTTTCCCGTCGCTCGAGTTAAACGGGGAGCAAAAAAAAAAAGGCCGGGGAAATGGCTGAGAGTAAATGATATGAAAGCGCGCCATCACCGAGTTCTCCAATGAGTTTATGAGAGAGGTCAGGCCAGTTTTGTCCGTGTCTTCTGGGGGTGTTTGGGAGCCCGGTACTTTTCAGCCCCCCAGTTCCATCCCAGGTACCAGATCCCAGGGTCAAGGGTCCACCCGATTCTCATATCATATCACGGATCCGCAATCGAGTCGTACGGATCGATATCTCGCGAAGAAAACCCCCAACCTCTTCCATAAAAGCAGACGGGGAAAAAAAAAGAGAATCAAGAAACCAAAAAAGTCTCCTAACCCGGATAAGCCCCTGCTTACTATCTTTTCCGACGTACCGAGGATGCCGGATGATAGCAGTTTCTTTGATATTGAAACGGGGTTGAAACAGTTTTTTGGGTTCATTTTCTACCCGTTCAAGCGCCTTTGGGATTTTTTAGTCCGGAGTGGAACTGGGTCTGGTGGGGAAAACCTGCTTTTTTGGAACTATCTGGTGTGTGTGGTATTTACAGCGGTTAATATGTTGATATTTTGTGTTGCACACCACCTTGCATTATGCCTTGAAGACACTCTTGGACGAAACTAAAACCGACGGCTTTTTTTATTTTTTTATTTTTTCATTGGTTTTTGGGGGGCTTTGGTCAAGAAGAAGAAAAAATCGAAGGGCACGAGACCCCATTCTTTAGATCCGTGGGAACGGCAATGAACCAGTGAGATTGATGGCAGGTACACCAGCAACTTCCTTGGTTTTATCTGCAAGTTTATACCTATGGGTCGTCCTTAGCCGGCCAAGATTGCGCTGGAATTGGAGAGAACAAGTTAGGAACTGACTAGCTCAAGAAACCCGGCACGGTGACTCCGATTCTGCGGAAGGAGAAGGAGAAGACGCACTAGTAACTATATGTTCACAAAGCTGAGGTGGAGAACGGTTCTTGACGGGTCGGAGGGCAAGCGTAAATGGGTAGATTGACTACAGAGTTACGAGATAAATATGTTAGCCCTTGATCCTTAGCAAAGCTTAAAGTTCGTTTTTCAACGTTAAGGAAAATTTTAAATAGAAAATAAAGAGAAAGTTTGGCGGCGTACATGATGTAGAGAACGCACAATGGTATGGACAAAGGGATAAGCAGTCGGACAGTTCGGAATGGTCAGTGGAGCAACCCCTCTCTCCCCCTTCCCTCGTCCCCGCACGGCACGCTGAATAAACCAAGTTTCACTAGAATAAATTTATTTTGTTTTTCGCTTCTTTTTCACTTTTTTTTTGGGATTTTGTTTTTTAAGCTACGGGTAAAAACTTCATACCGTATCTCCATATGGCCATGCGGATGTGGAACCAGACGACCCGGCGTCAGATTCTGATCCTGCGTCCGAGGACGATGATATAGCGCTGATAGTGCTCACCCCTATTGTGTTGTTTCCTTCTTTGAGGAGGATGGAGCGGGTGCCTTGGGATGCGTCGAGGTTTCCGAGGGCTTCGCGATAGTGACCTGAAAGGCGGGGTAGGTACTCGTCGTTCCTTTGGGTGATAATAGATTCGATTTGCTCAGTAAGCGAATCTGGGATGGGCAGCGAAAGTTCGTTGCGAATAGTGAAGTCCAGTTCCAGGATCGTTCTGAGGAATTCCGGACTGTCTGCCACCATGTACTCATTGTGGGTTTCGAGGGTGCGAAGCCAGGTTACTCGGTCTCTCGAAGGGTGGTATTTTGGATAAGCGGGGACTGATAGTTGTAGCGAATAAGATCCCGATTGTTAGTAGGGAAAACAGAGAAGAAGGAGGGGAAACTTGGAAGGATAACTACAGACCTTTTACTCCCGTTCCTCCGTTCGAGACGACCTCCCAGTTGGGAGAAGTCCGTAGAGGTAGACCGGAGATGGGCCTTACGGTCTTATCTGGAGTCCATTCGATTACAGCGTGGTATTGCTGGTTTCCAACCCCAACTCCGGTCAGGGTATGTCTGAACCAGAGGAGCCACATGGATCCAGAGATGTCGTTTTCATTCAGCAGCCAGTTTGAATAGACCGCTCGTTGGATGTGAATATAGGCTCGAAACCATCCTCTAGGTGACTCTGAAAAAGCTAAATTCGTAGGCCTTAGAGCTAGGACATCCATCATCGCAGCGTGATTCTGCCATTTTCTGATACATTTCGATTGCCAAATGCCGTTCGAGGAGGCTGCGGAAAGAAGTAGTCGACTGGAGAGCCTCAGGTTGAGAAGCGAGCTCAATTCCAGGTAAGAGAATATCTGCAGGCATACTGTATATATATAAAAATATTAAAATTCGAATCGTTAATATGTAAAGGTCTTGCTTGCAATGCGGGTAGTGGTTTGTTGGCCAAAGCTTGCTAGACTACCCGCTGCACAGCCCCAATGTCATCCATGGGTCTAAATTTAAAGGATGTGACAGAAACGAAATAGGAATAGATATGAGGTATATCTAATATCTGGGGAAACTGGAACTAATGGTGATAAAGACTTACTTTCAACTGGAATGCATTCAAAGGCTGCTGCCATACTCCGGGAGGCTGTGCAAAAAGTAGGGACCAGAAAGGGATATGGTGATTGACTTCTCTAATGTTTGGATCAGTTAGAGATTTAGAACTTGTAAAGGTATTATTATAAGGTGGGGAGCCCAAGAGAAAGCCCTTTTTCGGTGCTCCCCTCTGCAAACCTCCCAGCTGCAAGGCATGGGCCTGGTGGGCAGGTAGGTTATGCGCCGAACTAGTGCTATTGTATCCCAGTCAGTGCACAAGGGTCTGGCTCTACTCGAATGGATGCAACAGTCCACCACCTTTTTTTGCTTCAGCAAGCCCCCATGGCTTGTCGTCATGACACATGGTCTAGAAGGACTGATTTGGGATCTCAACTGCCAGTGACCTATCTCAGATGATAGACGAGAGAAAGAACGCTGTGAGGAGGAAAAAAAAAAAGTACATTTGCATGCAAGATTCCAAATCCCCCTTGGTTCGACAAGACCTAGGCAAAGCACGATGGTTCCCTAAATGGGCCATGACCGAGACTATCAATCGGTATTGTGTGTGCTAAGCTGGACCGTCATTCGCTGCCCATCGACTAGACCACCCTAAACCCTCGTGCGCTTGGGGTTCCAGCGGAACCTCATGCCCAAGAAATGAGAGTCGCCCTATTACGCAGAGTTTTACGGACTTTTATTTTCCGTTATATTGCGATGCCTTTGCGAAATGTCCAGCCTGGCCGCTCGGTTCATTCTATAAACAAGCGGAGCCGAAGGTTCGGGTCATTCTCTTGGTTTTCGCTTGATCTGGTTTAAGAGTGTGAGACAAGCCTGTGTGATTTATCTTGGTGTTGAACCGTCAGTTTGGGCTTCACACCATTACTTCTTTTCAAGCTGACGCCGGTGTAGGACTTGCAGACACACTGGCGCCAAAGGCCCTTTGGACCTAGGATCGTCAGAGATTAATTGCCACTGATGGGGGTGTTCATTTGAACCAACTTGAGTTTCCAGGAAGTAATTCTAGTAAAACTGCTTGCTTTCGTTTCTAAAACCATCCCGTCTCAACATTTTTCTTTCTTTCTTTTTTTCTTTTCCTTTCTGGAGAATTGTACATGCCGTTCTAGCTCTGACGTTGGAAGACCAAACGGGTTGCCAGCTTGGGGACCCAGGTCGTGGCGTCCAGTAGGCTTTTTGGGCCAAGACCGCCAACTTGTGTGCTTCTTCACCCGCCATCAGTGCCCGCCACGAGGATGCCCCGGCTTCCTTTAAACAGCCGGTAACTTCCCGAGTTCCGAGCGTGGACTAGCGTTGGGGCAGAACTTTCGTCCAGCATGCGAGTAGTTGTTTGATTTTGCATTTTTCATGACGTATAGATTCTATAGAACAACCGGCGTCTCCATTTAATTTCTTTGAACAGACGGAGATTTGCACTATTAGGCTACTAGTGTGAAATGCTGAACTAAGGATCTCAGTCAACATTATCGATATGGACGGATGGAGAAAGATAGTGGACACCGGCAGACGGACAAGATCAAGATGTCGAGGGATGAAACATATGTTTCTTGGCCTGAATTCCGAACCACTCTCGTTGATCCATTCCCTGTCAACGGCGACTGTGTGGTGCCGCTTATTTGCTTGTCAAGTGTGCCGCCCAGCTTTTGGAATCTTTGAGACCGCTGTACCACCTAGTTTTTTCTGTCGACATTTATCCGAGCGAAAGTTGCCCAGACCTGAAGATGTCTGTTAGTAAAAAACTAAAATAGCAAGGTATTCCGAAGAAGCTTACGAATCACCTGCTTAATCTAACTTGTTTTTGGAATGCATTTGGTATTTCAATAGGTCCGTACGCAATCCTGCGTTCTTGGCTTCAAGGTTTGTTGGACATCGTCGGTGGCCTTTTTACAAACCAACTGGAATCGATCCGATTAGGCTGCTATCTTTAAACCGGTGGGTATCAATTCCCTGAAGGAACCAACCGAGGAAGATCCAATCTATCATGGAGGGAGAAGGAGCTTGCGGCGTTGGGGCTGACTTTGTGAGATAGCTGTTCATGCCAAGAGTCAGCCCATGCAGATGTGTGGAGGTCAAGCTGACTAACTGGACGACAAGCAGGTCAAGGATGGGGAGATTCGACGGCACGGGATTGAGATGTCGGCGGCATGTGTCTTTACGAGGACAGAGCTCCTGCAATTTTGCGTGATTCGCTACGAAATGTCACGATAGAGCTCTTTTTAGGCGCTACATTATAAACTTCAAGCAGCGGTTCGTCAGATGGTTGGTAATTTTGCATCTGTACAAGAAAGACAATGGCGTTTATAGCGAAAGCCCCGGTGGACAAATGGGACATTGCTTCCCGATTTGGCCCAAAGTTTTTTCCTTTTCTTTTTATCTTGAGAATCGACAAGCTTGCGAGTATGCATGTCTGTAACCTGATTACGCAGAACCTGGTTCAGTATAGATGGTTTTCCTTACAAGGTTTGTGAGTTTGCCAAGGGAGACTATATCTCTAGGCCCTTAGGCTAGATACGGATATCCTACAATAGCTACGACTGGCAGTCGTGAATCTTCTATAATAGCTCTCTATATTCGCAAAAGAGTTTCTTGACTGACCGGGGAGTAGTGGATAATTCCGCGAAATCCAGATATCGATACGACATTGACTAGGCTGCAGCGCATCTGATCATGTCATGTCAATTGACCGCTCTTAGGTCTAAAAGATTCGGAAAGAGTATTATTACATGTAGTTAATTAAGAAATTAATGAAGCATCAAGAGTCCAATATCGGTCTGTGAATATCTTCTAATGCTCCTGCATCAATCACTATGCAAGTTCCAGATCAAGACGAACAACGCACGCACTTGCTACGAATTTTTGCAATTTTGATACTTTCAGGCATCGAATGAAAACGTAGAAAGGGTGATTGAAAATGTCTTTTTATGATACTTACGTAGACCCCTGATTAACATTCTTCAAAGCATGCATTCGGCCGGGCCTCTGAGCCTATCGACCCCGCTTTTAGGATTGCTATTACCTATTATACTTCTTGATATCAGCTGACGGGAAGGTGGGAGAGGGAAAAGGGTTGAAAGGGCTAGTTCAGCCAATGAATTCTCTCCGATAATCCAGGGATCGATGAAAAAGCAGCCACCCCAATTTCTCCTGCAGCCAGAGGCTCTGGAGGCGTGCATATGCGTCGAGCGACTGAATTATTTCAAAATGTAAATTGTAAATTGTAAATTAAAATTAATTCTTTTTGGATTTGCTCGCTCCCGTGAGCTTAGAAGTTGTCGTGGACAGGAATCCGGTGCAGGAGGGTTTGAGGTAACACGAAGAATTGTTGCAGTTTGACTGGGTACAACGCAACGCCTAATTTCCTCACTTTCAGCCAGCGTTCGAGTGTCTCCACCGCTCGATGTGTCGGTGTGACAAAGCTTCTGTATTACAATCGAGAGCCTTCCGTTCAGTTTGGCAGCTTGGCCGAGTGGTTATGGCGCAGGTTTTAGGTCTTCACGACATATATTCACCTGTTTCTTTGATTCGTGGGTTCGAATCCCACAGCTGTCAGTACTACTTCATTTTTTTGGTTTTCATTTTTTTTGCGTCTCGGTGTTCTGTTTTATCGACCTTCTTAATTTGGTCTCGAAACTTACCGTCGAAGGTTAGTCGAAGGCTTGTCACACGCTAGAGCCGCATCGTGTTTTGACGAGGTGGTTCCTGGGTTCCATACGATTGCCCTCGCTCTCTCCAGCGCTAGCGCTATCGGGTTTGATTCCATTTCTTCAACAATCACATAAAATTCAATTTCAACTTGAATTCGATATTTTTGCGAAACTTTTTTTTGGTTTGGCATTTTTTTTCTTCTTTCTTTGTTGGGCGGGCCTGGCGAGCTGGTTTGACAGGCCTTCATCATTGGGATAAGCTAGCTAAGCTTCGCAGGCTTGAGACCTGTGCCAGGGGTGCTCTTGATCCATGGAAATGTATGATATAAGGCGAATCGAACCAGGAAAACGTCCAACTGCACCATGCGCTTCTTTGATCCAAAGGATCAGCTGAACTGCCCAAAAAGGCCGGGCATCCAGCAGCCCAACGGCCAGATTTTGACTAGGTACGGCCTTGTCATGCGTGGAATGAGGCAGTGCTCGGGAGCAAGATGACTGGTCCGCCCGCACCAAGCTTATTTCAACCTCATGCGACAAACATCGTGGGTCCTGGCCCAGGAAGAGCTCGAGAACCTCAAGCCTTCTTTCGGACTAGCGATATCTTGCATTCGTCTGATGTTTTAGTTGGGGCGTGCCTTCGTGATCTCTGATTTGATGGTGACGAAGTGGTGGGAAATTTTATAGTGCACAGCCACACCAGTCAATGGTGTGGCAAAATATGTGGCTGGTTAGCGTGAAATACGTAACTTGTTTTCGCGCCCAGCTTAAGCTTAAGGAAGGCAGCATTCGCATTTTTTTCAACGTCAGCGCCATGGGACCGCTTTAAAAGCAATGGCAAGAACCTTGGGAATTTCTACTCACCTTTTCTTCATGCTATCTGGTTGAACCGAGCTTTCTCGACTTCTCGTCCGCCGTTTCTTAGATTCCGTACATCGATATACCACAATAGGTGCCGAGGCCAGGCACCTGAAAGGGCAAGCCGCAGATGCGCTTGTTCCTCATCCCGCTCACCCCTCGACGGGCATTCGTTTACGGTCATCACGTAGCACAAGAAGTCACCAAGAAGCGGTCTCTTCTCGATCGGGCGATTACGTACGTTTTAAGTGGCGATTTTTCCGGCATATTTTTGGAGTTGCGCCGTGTATTCTAACTCGATTGGTTGGGGCTGGATAGGAAGTCAAGTGACATTTGGTTGAGGTGGGAGAAATATGAGAAGGGGTGGCAGAAACAGCTCACAGTTCATGGGAATCGGGTATGCGACTTTCAGGACTCAGTATTGTGAATAAGACTCGGGTTACTGAGGGTTTCGAACGTTTGGGATAGTTACTCCGACGGATACCGTACCAAGAATGGTAAATACATCAATCTCGCAGACGACTCGGACGCAAAGCGAAAAATCCTAATACTCTTATAATAGGTCACTTAAATCAATATCAGCCCTGCCTCGAAATATTCCCGACAATGAACGTCAGAAGATTCCGGTCGTTTATCCTCCCTCGGTGATGACACCGGGCGAGATACCAAGGCTGCTACATAAACTAGGAACGGAAAACTCCGGAATGCACAGACGACTCTTGATGTGGTGCTTGATTGGAATGCCAATATCTGCGCCATTCGCATTAGTGCCGATGTAGGCTGGCCCTTGAGAAGAACGGCCTATAGCATTAGATTCGCCGGAAGGCTTGCTAATAGGTTTATGGCAACCAGAATACCGAATATCCCGTTTTTTTATCTTGTATTTAGGGGTATGTTGCTCTGCCGGGGTCGAGTTCATGCTTATTTTGCTAACTCATTTGATTGTAGCATATTCGCACTGGAGAGGTACGGGCATTACTTCTGATTCAACTGTCGCCAGCCCCACTAACTTTCCCAAAATACAGCTTTACAAGGAGGCCGACATCTAGAATTTCTCGTCAAAAATAACCTTCTAGATCCTCAACCTGACACACAACTCGACAGGATTTACAAAACCAAAATAGAAAGAGTAGTTGAGGATGTCAATATTGATAAAGAAACCATCCAACAAGCTGCAGAAGCAGGTGTAATGGATGAAGCGGCGGAGGAGCATCTACAGGAAGAGTTTGAATTGATAGGAGAACCCACTGCGAAAGAGGTCTGCAAACCTTTTGATCATTTCAGGCGAGTCTACAGACTCAGCTAACTCTACTTTTAGGTTGCCGAGGTTCTCAAAATACCGCAACTTGTTGTTGAACTCGAAAGGGCGTGCGAACAAGTCCACGAGCAAGTGGAGGAAAAACGGAAGGGGGTGAAGAAGGAGCTGTAATAGTTATAATAACGAACTCCACACAGGCGCGCATAATCTATAGACTAAAAGTTAACCTAATAAAGCCTAGTTCCATGGACTGCTTCGATATAGTATCAATATCTTTGTACATGTTCTGGCTATAGCATCAAGCTACCTCCCTCCTTCCCTGTCGCCGTGAATTTTGGGGGTTAAGGCTCCGTCGAAGAGCTTTTCATAAGAAACGTACTATGATTTGAGAATGGGACCGCCCACGACTGGCAAGATTAGTATATTGCCCCGCCATGTTCCCATAGCAGTGAGGAACTAAAGCCTTTTGATAATTTATAAATATTAATAATTGTGATATTTGGATATAGGGATTACTATGCTTCGGGGTAGGTCTCGGTAATAACTTTTTTCTAGTGTGGTCTTCTTAGAATACGGAATATAGAGATGTCGTTTGGGATACGAGGAGATAACTCTAAATTTCACTAGCCATGACTATTGATCAATTGAGCGTAAGAATGAGTCGATTTCCCCTACGCGGGACTAAAGCCGTACTAATATCTCGCGCAATCCCCCACGAGGAAGCCCATTGGTATAGCGTGGGTAATTGTATCATGGAAAAGCACCAGTTGATTCTTGCCAGACTTTAAGCATGTTAAGTTGTTTCAAATTTACAAGACGTCTTACTTCGTCCCTTTGAAAGCTTTCTTAACATGGGAGTTCTATCAAGGGGGTTCACGGCCGCCGTATCCCCCCTCTCTCTAATTTTTTCATTGTTGCAGATATTGGTTGTACACGGACGATCAATCGAGGTGGTCCAGTCTCTACGGGAATTCGACCTGAAAAGTGGACATTACGGAGAAGTTCTAGATACCATTACAGCAAAGTTTTTAGATAAGGATTTAGCTTGGACAAGGGATTCGTGTCTAAATTTACCCATCTCTGACAAAAAGTGGGTGGTGGATCGGATAACTTATAAACCGTCAGATGCCAATCGTGAGTTATTTCCCGAGGATTGCTGTAATTTATATTTGTTTCTTTTGACCTTGAACCCTACTTCAGTGCAATCAAGACTGTTTTGAACTACGACGTCGTCTATGATGCTGATATGAAAGTACAAATGATTATATAGCCGACTTCCGATGGTTTCTCCAATACATCGTAGTGTTTTCTGGATTCAATTGCAAGACCAACTATCACGGTGCGGCAGCGCCACCTATCAGAATTGATATTGAGAATATTGAAGAACCTTCAGCTGTGCCCCTGTGGCTACAAAGACAAAATTATCCCTACTTCGGGATGATTGCTGATCCTGTAGTGGAAAAGGGGACAATCAAAATTAAAGATCCGTACAAGTTACTCGGGAGGCCAATGACGGCCGAAGAAAAGGCCGAAGCATCTTGGGCCAAAGGACAAGGGTATCTAGAGAAGCTTAAGTCTCAGAGCCTCAAAGAAAAAGAGAGACAGACTCGGGAGATGTCGGAGGAAGAAAAAGAGGTTCTAGAGATAGAGGCCCGGCGAGAGTTTTTAAAGCTAGAGCCTGTCGAATATGATATCTGGCCTGATTATCAATTCTTTGGACAAGCTAGTATCCGGTTAGTCCACGATGACGAGCTTTTTCATGTTACTTCTGATGAGGAGTGGACGAATCGGGGTGACCTTGGGGAGGAACTGGTTCCAGTAATCACTGGAGGGGACTTTGTTGATGAGAATGGTAATTTTATAGCGGGGATAGATACAAGTGATAATAGATAAATCAAGCAAGATCTAGAGTTTCTTATAAACTAGGTAATCATCGGAATTTTCTGATGTTGTACCATTGGGATAGTCTGCAACATCAGTTGGGTAAGCTAGCAATGAGACAAAGTCGTGGTGGAACACTCCAACGTACAGATGTGGTAAAATGGGAAGATTTCGTGTTGTCGTATGGTTGGCCCAGATTGTCAGCATGCATCTCGCCAATTGCATTGCCTCTTTCTTGGACTGGGATGCCGCTGGCTGAATGCTTGCCTTGACAGCTTGTCAATCGGATTTTACCGGCCGGAAAATATTAGCTCTCGAAAATTTCACATAACTTAGCACTCCGACCTATATCGGGTTTGACCAGGGTTGCTGGCATTGTCAATGGTAGTTATAAACTTGTTATGCAGCCCTGTCTATCCGGCCGAATTATAGATTGTTCATCCATCAGAACCCATTAATACTATGATAAGCCCACACAAAGGAATTCTTGCTCCAAGGCTCGTGCTATTTAAGAGTGTGGAACGAATTTTAATGTTAAATTACATCATTGAAATGTACTTCAAGCCGCAATTTATTTAGGAATCGAATGTAATATCGTATATATACTAATAGGTTAAACGGGCACAAACGATTTATGCGATAGTTCCTTTTATCCTTCTGAGCACAAATGGGTGGGATAATAGGAACAAGGATTTGGGCAGGCGAAATGCGCATATGCGGTTTCGGATCCAAGATATTCCAGTGGGTAACCGGGCCGATTAACTCACGATAACAGGTGAGATTTTGGTTCCTGCATAGATTCATATCCCGCCTTGGTAGGTAAGCATCGCAATGTCGGGAATGATAGCGCCGTAGTTATATCGTTCCCCTTGCTTCCCATCAAAAGCTTCCTGTTATATCGAGTCAAGCGCAACGTTGCGCAACTGCCGTCGCAAGGGACTGGAAGAATGGCAGAATTATCGGACGGTCAGCCTGCATATAAGCGGTACCCTGGTATGGGATTCTATGAGCTTAATCGCGTGATCTTTGTAATGCTTCAATTTGAAAGGCCTATAACCTGGCTTCCTACTGATATCATTTGCCGATGTTCGTATTGAAGCCTGGTATTTATTGTATGCGTATCTGGCTTTGTAATACCAAGTATTCAGTTCAAGCTTATATTCCTCTATGATTAATTAGCGAATTGGAGCGACTAGTCTTTCTAACCCAAATAGCCCAGTCGATCAGCTGCGCAGCTGGAATCTTTGTAATTTTCCCGGAGTCGGCCGAAAGCTCGCCATCTGATATTCTCATTTGTAGCTGGATATATACTCCTATATAACAATGGAGTGCTGAACATTAAATTAACACTGGAGAAGTATAAATACCGATACTTGCCAGCCTGCGAGTCGATAGAACCAGAGCCGCAACTGTATAGTCAAAGATATTTTTAGGTAGAATTCAAAACAAATAGCAGAATATACCCAATTTTAAAACATGAAGTATCTGGCAGTCTCAATACTACTAGTTGCCTCCATTGTGAGTGCCGTTGAGCTTCCGAGAGACACAACTACATTGGCTACTGTCAAGACTACACTATCTGCTAGAGGATCGTCCTCTATAACTACCAAGACGACTAAAACTAAAAAGTCAACGACCTCGAAAACTACTAAAACAAAAAAGACGACTACCTCAAAGACAACCAAAACCAAGAAGACAACGACTCCAAAAACAAGTAGTCCCGTGACAACTACCTCGGAAGCAATCAGCTCTACTACCACTACTACAACCCCAGTCACAACGGAAGCTTCTTCTACGACGAGCTCTAGCTCTATTCTGCCAACGGCCACCGGTTGCACAACTCCTCTGTGGAGTAGGTGTGGCGGTGTGGGGCACACGGGATGTACTACTTGTGTAGGTTACACGAAAGGCTCAGCCTTATCCTCGAGAGGATAGAGAACTTTCGGCTTTCAGGCTCGGTATATGTCAAGGTCAATTACTAACGGAAAAGCAGGCTTCCGGGAAATGCATTGTTTTTAGTCAATACGACTCATTCTGCCATCCAACCGAAGACGTTCCTGGATGCAGAGTGCCTACTGGTGGGCAATGTGGAGGATTCGGCTACGCTGGATGCACCACTTGTGTAAGTTTGCAGATGTATCCCAACAGAGTGCATGAAGTTCGGACTGCAAAAACAATGCGATAGAAGCTAATGACTGGGGTGTGATCCATAGCTTGGGGGAGTCTGCAACGTAGTCGACCAATACCAATCTATCTGTGGATTACCTTAGAATTCTAGAAGCCGGGTGATGAATGCATTTTTAGAGATTTAGATGGTCGTATTGTACTCAGCCCCACCCAAACTGTTTTTTTCGAATTTTCTTAAGATATATACTTAATCAATGTAAAATTTCAAATCTCTCGAGTGTTATAGTATATATCCCGACGCTCAACATGAAATTTTCAGGCCAGCCCAAACTTTAAAACTGTAGAAACAATTAATCATTCTAGAGTTTAAACGTTTTTGAGGAATTTGGCACTAATGCACCTACACAGCATAGTAGGCGAGGCCAAAGTATCCGCTGGCGGACAGTTGCGGGGTCGAGTAGCCTAGTTAACCCAGTACCCCCACAATTGATTTTAATCTAAGCTGCTGTAATCTCTATGCGCAGATCTGAGTACGAGACCAGGTACATGGGGTGCGCATATGCACTGTTTGTTGGAGATAGCTAGGAACACATTTATCTGGTGGTGCGGACTCAACAGGCCGAGCTTCGCCTAGGCTGAGTCTACGAAGAGATGAAGCAAAATTCAGGCACTGAAAGCCCCAGCTCCGCCTCAAATTGCATTGCTGCCGACCCTTCGAGTATTAACGTTAGGACATAAACAATGCTCATCGAACGCAGCTGCAGAGCCCTAGAACCGAAATTTTCCATGCGACCATGAACGCATTGACCAATATTATATTGGTGTGACTAGATTGCGGTGATGTCGGAATAAGGATGTTCGCACAAGGCTCAAATATACTATAGCTATAACGTTATAACTAGAAACGCGCAGGAAAAAAAGAATAATAGTTTAAAGATGCCTGTATAGGATCTTCCGTCCGATCATGAAGAGCATGCATAAAGGTATCCTAGAGTGGATAGGGCGAAAACTAGCGGGATGTCCGGTGACCCCCAATGATCGTAACGGTCCTTACGAGTATCCGCTTAGAATCCTTGCACTTCTAGTATTATATAGTCAAGGCCAAAGTCCCTTCTGTGGAGTTCCGTAACACTGCATTCACCTCTGGAATGTGCATAATGGATATGATCATCATATGATGGTATACGAGCCTAACATCAAGCTGAGCTCGGGGTATCTCGACATGGCGACGTCTTGCCCAACAAAAGATGAGGATTTGATATTTCTCAACTAGGCTAGGTTGCACATGAAGGAAGTATAAGTAGTTCCGATAGACCAGGTTTTGGAAATTGTGTAAATTAAATAACAATAAAGAAAACCTAAAGGTTGAGGGGCTTAGACTCACTATCGCCATTGACCACATTCGCAATCTGCCTTATTCATCTTCTATTCAATTACCACGGGTAGTCTTTAATCTTAGTACGGAGATAGAGAAGAAAGAAGGGAAGAAAAAGAAAAAGAAGAAACAAGCAAGTTTTGTGAATAATTTCCGAGATGGCCGACACGTTGAAAGATCAGACCATATTTGTTCGCTACGTCCCAAGTGAACAATGGCTAGAGGGACAATTGCGGAAGATATTTCCATCAGAACCTTTCCAAGTTAATGTAAGATTCGTTACCCGCAACTAAGCAAATTGAGCAGCATAATTTTGAATTTACTATATTGTTCGAGTTCTGAAAGCACGAGATCATATACTATAATTATGTGTGTTGTTCGTGGTATTCTAACACAAACCCTGGATTACATAGGAGTCGCAAGTCGGCGATCGATGGGTTTTGAGGGTTCCTGAGGAACTCACGAAGGTAAGGAACAAACTTCGCCGAAGGCAATTGTCTAGTGATATAGGAACGTGTCAATATAACGTCAAGCTATCGACCTTCGCATACTTCCATATTTTGCGGCGGGATGGCGCGCTAACTAAATAATGCGGAGCCGACGTCTTGTCGGTTTTGGCTGGCTTAGACCCAAATCCTTGAGCTCCAGAGGGAGGCTCAGAGAGCAAACGCTGTCTAGGGCATTCTTGCCCACCTTGTTTCAAATTGGTCACACTTGTGAGAGAAGAGAGAGAAAATTTTATGATGATCCGCTGTGCATGCATGATGATGTGTCTGCGGTCGGGGTTTGGCTGGTCTCAAGGCTGGAACTTTGGCGAGTTTTATGAGTTGGTGGTGGTGGCATAAACGGTGTACCTAACTATCTACCATTTCAATTTGCAAAAAATTAAAGAGAGCCTTTCAATATATCACAAACCTTCAAATTTTGAGATTGGAATTGTACTTGCATGAACGAGATGTGAAAATTCTTAATAGCGACTACTCAGCCTGATATAGTTTCCCTCAGTTAGGAAATCTTGCGGTTACATCGATCCTGAACTCTCCTTCTTGGATATATTCCTTTATGCTTGTGATGTGGCCATGGCCGCCTTGGTTTGGCACGATGGGATGGCGATGGCATGTATGTAAGTACCTATTTGATAGCTGTCAAAATTTTCGGTCTAAGCTCCAGTACCCCCCCATCAATTGATCAATGGTATGTGACTGGCCTGATCGATCGCATTAGCACTGCTACCTTGATTCAAATTGTACCAATATATGCCGAATACGTGGGCATGTACAACTGTCAGCTGAGTTATCCATAGCTAGTCCAAAAGGTTTGTTAGGTATATATAAGCCAGGGCTTGGAATGAGGTTTTCTTGACATTCTTCGACATTCAAATTCATTTACTATATATGCCAAAACAAGACTCCTAACTAAAGCCGTAAAATATACCTATTTCTAAATCTTCACCTCGAGAACGTATACCTATTACAATTAAAAACTCGTTTACCTATTATTCTTAGCCTTTGTTAATTCCAACCAAATCGTCGATTATCTATAGATGAGTGAGGAACTAAATGACCATGAAGGGGCTAGTGATTCTGGTGGTGAGAGGGTTTGGCATATCTGGCCGAGGGACTGTGCTAGAGAGGACCGTCTTTACACCGCGGTAGATGGAAAGCAAGATTCCAACTTCCTTTCCGACATTTCTCAAGACCGACTCTTCTGTGATGCGGCGGAAAACCTTGTAACGGCAAATGTATACACTTCGGCCGGCTGGGGTCGAATGTCTTCATCAGAAGAGGAAATCGAAAACGTGCGAGGGAAAAAGTCTTTGGTTATACAATCCCTTGATGATTTGGAAACACATCTCGATGCGCTTCAGCTGGACACACCTGCTCAAACAATATCTTAGTAAGCTTTCCTTTCGTTAAGTCTTTTGTAGCAAAAGCCTTCTAGGACTGGGCTAGATACATTTTTTATTTAACTCTTAAAATAACGCGATATTATCTTACTGACATTTTAACGATTCTCTAGCTTTATCGACCCGGAGTATTCTTGGGGGAGGTTACAAGTTTCCGAAGAGGTAGCCAGAAGGCTATTTTCGTCTTTGCCAGTTCACCAGCAATTTATTTCGGTTATATCGACATTCGGGGAGAAGATTAGCCCCGTAGAACAGAGCTACTTGACATATTTCGATCGAATCCAAATCCTGAACCCGTTCAGAACCTTTAGGAACACGGATTCTACGATATTTACTCAAACATGTGGATACGGTATGAATATGGCCTATCTAAATCTCAAAAATTGGGTTTCATTTTAAGCGAGTATATTTCTAACTGAACGCACTCATGTTGCTAGATCTCGGATATTTATACAAGTATGTTGATTTGCATGGGAGGGAGCGGCCAAAGGATCCATTCGCCATTAGGCAGACAGGAGTATATCATAAATATGACCCTCAAGCTAAAAGATCAGTTTGGATATTCATTCAACCTTCGGAAAGCCTAAAGGAACGGCTCGATTCTCTTTTCTCTCGATACAAGGATAATCCTATCGACCTAGCACTCCAAATCGAGATCCATTTTCTGGTCCTTACCCACGCAGCAAAAAACTGGCGGCCGTATATAAAGTATTTGGAAGATACTTTTAGTAGAATAGTATGTATTTGGCGAAAGAAACCCTCCATTTGCCACAATTTTTCGAATTCCACATATCTAATAGCAAGATAAGACCGAAAAAGGATTTTATTCGAACCTAGACCTAGAAACCGATTCCTCGAGCCCTAAAATCAACTTTGGTGATGTTCGAGAAATTCACTTTTTCATGGACAATCTTCGGACGATATTACAACTTATTCAGATGGATTACCAGATTGCCAAGAAAGTACAGCAGCTTCTAAGACGGCTCCGCAATCGATGGATCCAGGAAACAGCTTTAAATATTCTCACACCGCGGCTGGAAGATGTTTGTGACCGATTTGAGCAGCACCTTTACGATCTTTCCGGCCACGAATCAAGACTGAATATGCTTTTAATGAGAGCAAACGATATATCTAGACTAGTACGTTGCAACGGCTTGATTGATGATCTGGTTATATAATTCTACCATATATATCTAACCACTATACCAAATTTAGATACAGCAAATAATCGATTACAGGACTGGGCAATTTAGCCAAGCAACAAATAACAAGCTTAATAGCCTAGTTTCGAACGCTGTTGGTCAAGGGGAATCTATTCATTCATTAGCTAGAAAGGGAGCAAAGGATACCAAGATGATGAAACTTTTCACAATATTCACTGTGATATTTTTACCGGGAACATTCATTGCGGTATGATAGATATATCCGAATTCTAACTCGTAGGGCATTTTTTACTGACGAATAGATTTCAGTCCATTTTTGGGACAAATTTCTTTGCTTTCAGCACCGAGTCGAACCACCTCATTGTTGCGTCAAATATATGGATATATTTCTTGATATCATGCACGATTACCTGCAGCTTAACAGCTGGATGGTTTCTTTACAGACGCATAAAGCGAAGATCACGCTTTAGAGTGGACAAAGACGTCACTAAAACAGTTGATGGTGGTACAGTCGACGAAAAGGTTTGAAAGCGCCCGAGAGACTATTTTAACTTGCAAGATGTCATTTTTAAGGGCGGGAGCTAAGGTTTTTCATTTGAAAGTTCATTTGGCCGGCATTTTTTAATTCAAGTACTGATAAATATCCTGAAATAAGCGATCACCTTAATAACCAGATTGCAGTTGTTACACACAGGATCGATATATTGTTTTGAGTTATCTGAAAGCGCAAAAGTATATGAAATGAGTCTGAAACGGGGTACATACATAAAAAATAAATAAAATAGTAAGGTGACTTATTCGAGAGAACAATGAAATATCGAAAAGAAACTGTATAGAAATTCGAAAACAGAATACCCGAAAAAGAAGGGAAATGCAGTTGCGGAAGGTGCTAAACATCAAAAAGATACATAAAACAGATACAGCCTTCAAGCGTTCAAAGAAGCAAATCCGTAGGGAAACATACTAAACCAAAACTTGCGATAAAATCAATCCTTCAAACAAACTTCCAAACTAAGAATTAAACCGTACATAGCCGAAGATACTTAACTATTCGGTAGACAAAGTTGATATGTATATATACATGGGCGGGTATCGGCAAATGGAAGGAGGCCGGTTAGCGCTTGCGCTAGATAGCGTCTCAAACAGATCAAAACAAAGGAAATTTGATAGGGTAGACCTAGTAAAGCGAACAAAAGAAAAATGATTTTCTGTGCTAGAGTTGGGGGCAGGATTTAGCTCCGGAATATTTGATAAGGTAAACGCAATGATGGAGGTGGAATTCGAGACCTCCTTTATGCATACGGAAAAAATATAGTTTTGTATGCATATAAATATTTATACTGACAGAGTATTTAAGAGGAAGGTCGAGATTCGGAGATGATATTGTAGTTTCTGTCGTAATAAGAATGCCTGTTCGTTGTGAATTGGGCTTGAAAAAGGATCGATTTTGATGAAGTAACCAGTGCTTCATGAATTCATGAGTAGATGGGGTGCTTTCTGAGCTTCTCGGACTTCGTTTATCTCATGAACTAGATGCTACCCCATTCTGGCTCTGTTATCATGCCAGAGCCTAATTTTTTTTTTTTTTTTTTTTTTTGATGACTAGATTTAGGAAGTCCTGTTATACAGCTAGAATACCAGATTTTTGCTGTAGGGGACTTCTGTCCCAAAACCCTTCGTCCTATAAATATCAATCATCAAGATATTAGTAACAAACTTCGTGACAAAGGTATATTGCCTCGCTAGCCTTGGCTTTGGTATGGTAGTAGCTCGGCGCGCGAGGAGCTAATGTATACTGACATTTTTCAATGACTTCGCTTTTTGAGCTGCCTTTTGTGACGTCTGGGAACGAGACCACTTTTTGAACAGGCGACAAATTGAGGAAGTGACGTCTTATAATAATTATAAATTAGATGTTTTGTTTTTGCAAGATGCCTCTATTAATTTCACGGAGTATCCTCATAAACTTACTTCTCATCACAGAAAGACAACCATGACTCTCGGCGTCCTCAGCACTCCCTGTAGAATTCTTTGTGGAGTTTTTGCAGGGTTCGCCGTTTATGAGACTTGTAGAACGCTGGTTCCAGACTTCCCCACCTAGGACGGCCGGAACCGAAACTATTCCCTCAGCAGCTAAGGGTTCGGGTGGGCGGGGGCGTGGGAACTGCGACCAACGAGGTGTGCTTCCATGTATGCTGGGGTCCTTGACTACCGCACTGCAATGAGGATGAAGTGTCAGCCTTTTGTATTCATATATGCATAGGTAAAAATATCAACGTATGGCGGGTATGCATAACCATTTCCTTACATTTTTCCATTTGATGGAAGTTCCCGGGGGGGTGGAATTTTCCCAGTCCCTTTCAAGTGCTTGGATGTGGAGCTTATTTCGCCTTTATTACATCCAGCCAGAAACTCATTTTGGACTTCTTCTGACGATGTTCCTCTAGTTTGTAGAATTGGGTTTCGAAGGTCTGGATGGTGCGGCAAGCACTGGAGGATTTTGTTTGGGAGACCGGATCCCTGGTTTAGGCGAAATTGGATGTTTGGACTGATCAAGTCCCTGATAATAGTGGAGATTCCATGGTAGTCAATCTTCTGTTTGGATCTTCTCTGAAGCTGGATACTTTTGCTAAATACTGTCTGCAATGGATATATAGCGAGTTTGTGGAGTACTTCTTCAATTATATCCTTGTTGACCAAGGTACCCGTTTGCTCACACCGCCGATAAAATGCACCTTGTCGGATTGACTTTTCATCTTCCTGGAAAAGATACATGCGTAGCTCAGACCGCTCCCACCCAAGCGTTGCATATGTTGCCGTCTCAAAGCAAACTTGGCCAAAGCAATAGATATCATAGGACTTCAAACAGTCTCCTCTTGTATTTGCTTGGGATTTGAATTCGCTGCTGAGTGTTCGGGCGGGTGGATTCCCAGTCCTAGTTTCAGTGAGTATCTCCATAATATCTTTAATTTGCTCCGGGCTCGCATGTGCAAACTCTTCTATCGAAGAGAGATCTGAACCTGAGACACCTGACTCGCCAAAGTCACATATCTTTAGGTCACCATTTTCGAATACTAGCAAATTTGCTAGTGTAAGGTCTAAATGATGGTGGCCCTTGCTGTGAAGGAGCTCCATAGTGGTGGCAACTTTTGCTAGTTGGTACCATAAATTCTCTATCGGAATTTCTATATTGGGTCGTTTCTTTTGATCGGTGCATGTGAGGTACTTGTCAAGGCTGCAAATGGCACGAGGGTATACTATAAAAAAGCTCTTTCGATAACGAAAGGCCGAAAGCGGGGCGAGGATATTTTCTGCTGAAGCTTTTGAGGTTATCTCGAGAGCTTTATTGACAGAAAACCATTCACGGAGTCCCTGACAGAGGTCTTCTTCCATAAATCTCTTAATAGCGAATAGGTGGGACTTTGAAGTGTAAGACTTGGTTAGCGTAATGGAAAAATGGTAATATGCAAGGATATACTGATGATATTGACCTTAAAAGTTGTGGTTTGGGGAAAAGCGGTTGGTGGTGGTGGTGGGATGTTTTCAAGGCCTTCAATATCAGCGAAATATATCAAAGCCTCCCCTATCGCGTTATCATCCCGCTTAAGGATTTCAACATTCTCCGAAATTGGAAGACAATCATGATCCTCGAATCTATGTAATGCACGTGGCTGAGATAGGAGATCTCTCATGAAATATCGTGGGTGTGAAGACTCGAGTGCCCGATATTGTTCATGGCCTAGAATCCCAGTTCTTGATTCTCGTGCGCGCTTTTCGTCATAATGGAGCACGAGATCAACACCCCCAACAGAGTATTCAATTTTGCAAATATCCCCTTCGCGGCTTCGGATTTTCTGTTTGGTGTCCAGGACTTCGACTCCGAAGCGGTCCAAAGAGGACTCGGTCAAGGCATTGGGGGAATCCTTTAATTCATTGACCAGTAGATACAAAATATACCAGGGAGCCCCATTTTCGATAAGCCAGACAAAACTTGACAAGTAGGACTCCAATATAAGTCCTTTCAGGGGTGAGATAGGAAAACTAGCTTTCGAAACTGTTGTAGTAGTAACATTAAACATTGCGCTTGACAGATTTAGTTTACAAGGTTCACAATTGCAGGTAGGAAATAACAGGCCTCGAAAAGTATCATCATCAAGATTTTCAACGAACTTGCGAAGTTCGGATTTGGGGAATGAATATTGTTCGTATTTGCTTTGTTTCTTTGAGGGATTGTATGCAGGGTCATATGCGTAGGGCTGCCAGGTCCGAATTCCCTTGATTGGGAATCCTTGGTCGCGGGTCGATCCGAGCTGCTGGATCAAACCCTGAAGTCGGCATTGAGTCATGGTTTAGGTAATAGATACGTATATAGTCTTAAAATAAGAAGAAGAGTGATTGGTAGAAAGAGCTGTGGAGATGTCTTGAAGTTATTGATTACTGAATTCGCTTTTATTAACTCTATCTGGACAACATTGAAAGGAAGATTAATATATATATTTGTATATCATTGGTATTCAAAAAGTTCCTGAATTATCTAGCGGTCCCCGATTCCTCCTCCTCACTGGCTCGGTACAGTTGTACAACTGTCACCGAACGCCTTGATAGGACTTCAAGAACTCTACGGGCCCCAGGCATTAGGCCACTGCGCAAATACTCAGCATCATAGCCGCATGCACGAACTTCCATCAGAGCCAGGCAGCATTACTACGTGTCAAAAGAATAGTGATTTTTTGGGTAAACCAAACGCCCTTAGCTCTAACGTGGGCCAAGGCGAAGTAAAGTCTAATAGACTTAGCACTCAGAAGCAAGAAATGTTCATATGCTTCACCGAAGCTTTCGGGTCGGGCCTGGCAGTTGGCGGGAAAGAGGAACAACATTGATACTGACCCCCAATAGACGTGGCAGTCTAGACGTCTATCGATCAATTCGATAACACGTTGAATCATTTACTATTTAAAAAAAAAAAAAAAAAAAAATTCGTTCCGCAATTCTGTAAATGCGTTTATGATATTCTAATGTTCGACCTCATCCGCGAACCTCGCGCAAGCCTTACTAGTTAAAAAATCCCTTTTTATTTTATTTCTTCTTTTCCCCAGACATCTTGAATCCAAAAATAATTCTTTCTAATAGCAATTCCTTACAAAGAACCTTTGTGACTGTGACATGCATTTAAAAAGTCTCTTGTTACTAGAGTCCCCTAGCTATCTAGAGTTTGGCAGAACAGTTTTATATGCCAAACAAAAAAAAAAAACCATAAGGCGAATGTGTTTCTTCGCCAGTAGTAAGAAAAGTTCATGCTTCATAAATTCAGTAGCAATATCTACAGCTCCCGCAGCCCCCCAGATGAATCGTGTGTATATTGCCATGTCATCTCTCCATTCCCGTGGATTCGTCTTGAGTCTAGGTCGTTGCCAGCATGCACTCCCAGTATGCTGCCAACAAATTTTGAACTCGGCACGGCCTCATAAACAGCAAAGCTGTCTGATAATCTAATTATTTTGCCTTTGCTTTTCTCTTATTTTCTTTTTCTTATTTCTTTCGCATGCGCATTTGTCAATAGGTTAGCCACGATCTTAACCTTGTCAGAAAAAAGCGGATATTATAATATTATAAGGTGTAGTTAAGGCATATTCGACGCAGCGTTGTTTGGGAAGCCAAGTTAACCTGGCCCTCGCGGGGGTTTTGTCTTAAATGTGGCAATACACATAAGCCACTTTGATCCTGCGCAATACGTGCATATCAAGTTTATAGGTGTATCGGACTAACTACATTGACTTATACTACGAGAAACGCAGCTAGTTTCAAAGCCCCTCGTTTCAGAGTTTGGATGCATAGACGCTTTGAATATTGAAGTCTTGAATAAATACCTGTTCCCCCCCAAGTTAACCAGATTCCTTCTTTCCCAACTTTTTTATCCCAACATAATTATAAACAGCCAGTTCATCCCACAGATACGAAAAAAAAAAAAAGAAGATGACATGCGGCCGACAGCAAAAGCCGCAACAAAAGCAAAGTATTTGCAAGTCTAGCCACGCTGTATATGCTATATATGTATTGTCGTACAAATTTACCACTGCGAGGCGCCGGCTATATGAGAGCCGGCACCCGATATAGTCTAACGACTGGCCTGAATGGGAGCAAATATGTTTATGAGAAGAAGGATGAGGGTTGAAGCATTTCCCGGTTTCTTCCGCTCAGGAACTGGGCTTGAAGGGAATTAATTAATAGAGAGTGGGGGAAATATTCCACGGCCACATTCCGATATCCTCCCGCGCAGAAGGGGTTCCAAGCATCACATCAAATATTTGTGTTGAACATCAGAGCTTGTTGGATTTACGGGAGCTAGTGAGACATTATAGGGAGGGTTTAGCAAGATGGCCGGTCTAGATCCTTCCCATGCTTTAAATTTAAGACTTCGATGTCAATATATATATATATCTCTCCAAAACTTTTTTTTCGGTCGATTACGACATATATATAAAGAAGTGGGGTACGGCTCTAACCTGAGCCGGCCCGCACCTTTGATGTGACCAATTGAATTGCGTGTCTTCCCTCATCTCAGCTCTCTTCGTGATCATTGCATAGTACATACGCATACGCATGCAAGCTCTATGCAACTCCTTTATACTCGTCCTACCCGTCTTACTACTGTAAAAAATTAGCAACTACGGCTGAATTAGATGCAGAATGAAAGCCACCGAGAAAAAATTTTCCCTATTACGAGCACTCGAGTGTCTTTTTAAGGCTGCTCTACTCATCTTTCTCCTAAGAAGACGGTAACGGATGCAGAAACTGAAGCCGAGTTTTCCTTGGAGCAAGGGTTGCGTCGGTACTTACATGAAAATTCTCATTAGGATATCCGGATGTGAATGAGCGTCAGAAATTTCGGGTTCACACAGCATTCTACCTCGACAGCTGCCCTTCATATGCTACATTAGATGCAGCATGCGCCGAACTGGCCTTGCATGCTGCTGCGTAGGTCTCTTTCGAAATTTAGGCCGTTGTGTATTCTTGAGATTCTTGCTATGACGGTTATCCATTTTCGAGGTTTTAAGACATGATTGTATACTAAGAGCGGTTTGTCGAAAAGTACTGCGTTAAGTCGCTCGTACTTGACGAACGGTTCAGGAAGCTCCACGGAGAAGCATCTGGCCGATTCATCAACTTAAGTTTGCAAAGTAATAAGGAATTATGGGAAAGAAACTTATTGTCCCGACTTTGCGGCCGGTCGGGTCATATGTGCGTTTATGTTCGTGATAATAGCCAAGGTTTGAGGTTTCTTACTTGCCTCTGTCGTGCATGATGTGACCCACGCAAAAATGATGTAGCGATGCGGTTTGGGTACTTTGGCGCGATGAGCAAGGAAGTACATACACACTCCAATCAAGCCTATGGTATGTTCAAGAAACATGTATGCAAGTACTTACTTAAGCAATTACGCCATATACCTAGGAACCACTGAAACCCACCTTGCCCGGCATTATATAACATAGTATCAGGCACAAATATCACGGTATCGTAATGTACTTAGAAATTACGATACTTGTAAATTGCGATAAGTTTTTCAACCGTGTTAGACGATGCAGTGCACATAAATGTCCTGCAGCTGGGCTCCTTTCTGACTTGGCCGACACGTTCGTGGATATTCTCAAATTGGAGCGCAGACTGTCCGATCCTAATTTTAAATTTTATCGTAGCTGGCATTCTGTAGACCGTTTCGAGATATCCCAACCCGGTTGAGTATGCTGTTTCTCGAAGTTTCTGCGGCAAGACAAGGCAGAATGTGAGTCGTGTGAAGATTTTTTTATTTTTATCTATCTTTCGACACAACCTGTTACAAGATATACCACCTGATGCAGATACATAAGAATATCCGCAATCTATAGGATCAACAATTAAGTGTTTCAATTGCCATGCACGCACACCCGGCGGTCCATATCTCGGTCCTTTCTTTTTTGACGGTAAGGTATCGGGACCTAAGACGGCACCGAGACTAGGACTGCATCCTACTATATTAAGCATAATTTATGTATTATATACATTATAGTAGTCTTAAATAATTGCTTTTGAGCCCGCGCGGGCCCAAACTATATCATACCCCCTACTTGCTGTCCTAAGAAAGAGCATCTTTCTTTCCCAACGAAGAAAATTTTTTCAACAGCAGATCTACGCTCCGCCAGCGCTGTGGCGCGCAAGATTTAGGATCGCCGACACTTACAGCTGGCTGGCCCTGCGGCTGCCAGCTCACATCATGTCGAGGAAGCCTTTGTTGCTGTCCTCCTTGATCAAGTCCACCATTCCCTATGTCGCACGGACCCGATATTAGCATCGCGGATGACACGTCTACATCTTCGATAGCTCAGGCCGGTCTACACAGTTGTCCATTCATCCGAAGCAAGGCGAAAAATATTTTCTTCCTTCCTGGCCTGAGGCAGTGTGCAGCTTCCAAACTATCCAAGCATCGACTGTGATCTGGCAAGAGGGTGTTCAACTATACCTCAGGCATGATAGGTGTCCCGTCTTCTCTCTTGACGTATCTAAAGGGCATCTCTGTTGTTTCATTTTTAGAGATTTTCAATTCTGGAAAATCCACGAAGGGGACCTTATCCAGCGGGACTGAAATTTGCAAGATGTTAGCTCTGGCTTCCAAATAACAATACACTCCGGCCACAAATCCCATTACAACGCCACTGACGAAAAGAGTGGATTCCTGCTTTTCTTTCACTCGTACCACACACAAATTTCAAGTGAAGTCGGTCTACCAATGGTATCCTTAGGTTACCTTCCAATAGCCGCTTGTGTGACCACGGGAACCGTTTTTCCCGGACTAACACGGCTCTGCGGGCCCGGTCCGTTACATATATGTAGGTACCAGTCCAGCCAACCGCACGGAAGGGTGACAGGCATTGCAGTTCCAGCCGGCAGCCATCCTCTCTTATGAAAAGAAAATGTCTTTCGCTACACCAGTCCATAGAAACCTTGTAGGTCCAGTGGGGGAAAGTTACTTACTCTTGTCTTCGACTACGAGTCTCGTGACTCTAACAGCGGTATCAGTTGTCATCTGTACCGGTCCAAGTCTTCTACCAGTAAATCCGTATTTCCGGAGTTCAGCAGTGCGGTCTGTGAAGTAAAGGCGTCAGACAAGGTTCCCATGTTTCAGACAGACGGGCGTGATATCATATGATCAGGCCTTACCCCTCGGCGGATCATCTCCTATAGGTCATGTCGTTAGTGCCTTAATCTTCCAGGAAACGATGCACTGCATGAACAATATGTAACAGAACAAGTACTCTTATTATTTTTTTTTTTGCAAATATAACTTCCAGTTTGAAGTGACCGTAGAAACCCTTCTAGCTACGGATTTGTTAAAAACCCGAGCTTTCTAGATATCGTGGATTTTAAGATACTTTCTGCACAGTTGTGAACGCCACTGCGCCAGTTTTATAATGTTAACTCCGAGGCTGACTTTGACTTCAAAGTATTCCCCTTGTATCCCCGTCTTTTGTACGATATCCCCCCAAATATTGTTTATATCGCTTCTTGTATATATCCCCAAGCAAAATCCACCAAAATGAAAAAGAGGAGAGCCTACCAACCCAATATCCCCCCAAACACAAACCACTTAAAAACCTCCCCGTCCTCCGGGCACATATCCTTCTCCGCCCTGGGATCCAACAAACACACCTCCTCAGCCTTCAACCCATCCAGTCTATTAACCTCTTCCATTGTCGCATCCAGATTTTCATGTCCTTTTAGTTCCTCCGGTAGGTTTTCAAAAAGTTCACGAGGGAGCGAGGTTAGATGGAATGTTGGTTCGTGGTTGGGGTTGTTGGAAGAGTTGGAGGAAGACTGAGGACGGGTTTCGGTGGCTATGGTGAGGTATTCGAGTTTTGACCAAGCCTCGAGTTCGACATCGAGGTGTTCGACGACGTAGTGCCTTGGAGTCGTCATGATTTCTTGAAAATGTTCAGATATCGAGGTTAGCGTTTTCTGTGATCGATGCTGATATCAGGTACTAGTGGTGTTGGAAAATTTCTGAACGTGGGGTTAGAAAGAAGGTTAGCTAGCGGGATGGATTTTAGCGAAGAAACTCTTCTGCCGCTGTTCGACAATGGTGATATCACAATATGCTCAAATGGATTCGATGGTGATGGACGAAAGAATTCTAGATTAGACTACCCGTAATATCAAAGTACAAAAGCCATGGATACATAGAATCGCATGAAATCACTACAATCATATTCCAATCTTCTCATGTTTTATCGCTCTAACAGGCACTTTCATCATAGGCTACAGAATCACAAGGACAAGGACAAAAGAAAGGCCGAAACTAAGCATAAAAATGAGAAAGAAGCAAAGGGGTGTTACAAGAATAAGGTGCTGATTAAGTAGGAGTATTATCTATGATGATAAAGTCGTCGTATCCCATCCAAAAGTGAAGAAATATCGGTTCTCTCCAAAGGGAAAAAACAAAAACGTAAAAAAAGCCCGCTTCGATCGATAGTTAGTAAGCCTCATATCCGTCACGCCGTTTGTATGTCATTCCTTAATTCATTTCGTAGTGTGTTATAAGAGGGTAAAGCTAGCAGGTTTAACAGGCGCAGTTGTCGTTTGCAGTAGATCCAGTCTCGGGCTTGATATTGACATCGATCACTAAACACTGTTAGCAAGCAAGGCGAGGGAAGCTATCACGAAGAGTGTAGACGTACTCTGCTTCCCGGCATCATCACCTAGCGGGCCTTCCATTCCAGGCAGAGCTTGGGCAATTCTCTTGAATAGCGTTTTGACATTATGTCCGGCCTTAGCGCTGGTCTCGATGAACATGACCTTGAACTCCTTTGCCTTCTTCTCTCCCTCCTCAGTTGTAACCTGTCTCTTGTCGTTCAAATCGGTCTTATTCCCAACCAAGACGATGATAACATCGTTCCCCCGCTCGCCCCGTACGTCGTCAACCCACTTAGAGGTGTTCAGGAAGGACTGTCGGTCTATTCGATGAAGAAGGTGTTGTTAGTATCCGAAAACCAACGGGAGTGGGTAAATTGAAAGTCGGAGCAGGGTGTGTGGGCGCCACGAACTTGTGATGTCATATACAACGACCGCGACACTCGAGTCTCGGATGTATGATGGAATCAAGCTTCGGAATCGCTCTTGGCCGGCAGTATCCCAGAGCTGCAGTCTGACGGTTCGGTCTTCCAGGTACATAGTCTATATTTCATCTCAGGGTGTCAGTCTCCTAGCTGACTCGAAAATGACGGGGAGTATAGGTAGGCCGGGTAGTTTTACTTTCGACAAAAAATCGATACCGATTGTGGCTTGGTACATGTTATCGAAGGAGTCGTACATGAATCGGGTTATCAGCGAGGTCTTGCCGACTAGATGTTTGGAGCTAGGGTCAGCTTATATTGGAGCTATAGAAGGGTCTCCGGAAGCACGACTAACCGCTCTGTTCACCCAAAAAGACCAACCTGGCGTGGAAAATTAGTATAAGACGACATCGAAAGGATCTAGAAAGATGGTTCCGCGGTATAGGGAAGGTCTCTCGTTACATACTTGAACTTCTTCAAGGGATTGGAATAGGAGGCTGCGTTGGATTGGGTCGCCATGATGTCTACGGGTCAAGATGAATGAAACGTGGTAATCGGAGGAGATAAAAGGACACAGATAGCCGGATATGATGGATGTGATGGTTGATGATATGCTGGTAGGAGGTCGTAGACGGGTCGTGACGATGACGATGACGGTAGTGATGGGTCGAGCAAGGAGGTTCAGGGAGAAGACGGTTTATAGTTCGATTCAGTTAAGGGGAACGAACACACAGACAGACGGACAGTGCAGGAAATATGGCACGTTTGGAGCCAGCAAGCCTTCTTTCGACTATTCGAACAAACAACAGCTGCGCTTTCGGCTAAACCACCAACCAAAGAACTAGCAGTTCCTGAGGAACCAACTAGGTAAAGTGCAAGCAAGCAGAAACCGACCGACGACAAACAGAAGATACTAACAAACCTTCTAGAAGCATATGCAAGTCCGATCTCCCGTTTGCCCAAGCCGGGATTTTTTTTCTCATCCATGGGAGGCTGCATGTCACGGTCTCCCAGGCGGTGGCAGGTCGGGTCGTTCCAGTCTGACACTCGACGCATAGACGTCGGTACGACATGGACAGACGTGGACGGTAGCGGTACCACTTCCATGCAAAACTTATATATTCCCGAATGCTGGCCCCGGGTCAAGGTTCTGCTGGAAATTCAATAGGGACAGTATCTTTCTTGAAGAATGTTTCTGCATATTGGCGTTCTTGGCTTCTATTTACTCTCATATCCGCTGACAGTGCAGCGATGCCGGAAGTATCCGAAGATATTCCACATTGGCTGGGCTTTAGCCGTATCTGCTATTGCATAATGCTACACAGGAGAACCAGGTACGTATACGGTACTTAAGTACCCAATAGGTTGGCTGAACAGCCACATGTATCTAACGTGTGGCTAGAAACTGAATAAATCATCCAGGCCGTGCTGTTGTAATCTGCCTGCTCAACACCATAGTCACTGATAACATCAACCTTCTTCTAACTCAATTTCGACACAGGTAAGTTTTGATTCTGTCCCTTTTTTCTTCCGAATTTCCCGCTAACTGGAGCCGTAAAGCCCTTAGAACGATTCTGCAATTCGACGCTGACACAGTTTGAGTAAATAAGATTAAACAATTATATTTTTCTTATTATAGGAGAAAGCCCCTTACAAGAAAGTACGTCAATGGCTATTTTGTTCGGGATATGGGTATGAAGGGCTCCGGCGTCAAGAACGTCAGACGGGAACCAAAGAGAAGCGGTGTCATCGATTCTAGCGTTGTGCAGCCTTGCAGATGTGAGAGACTCGCTGTATTGAACCATGTACAGTGTTAGAATCCTTGAATCTCGGTCTTGGGTATGTGGGATTTATACCGAGCATCATTGTCTCTTCTAAAATTTTCGAAAGCCTGCTCAACGGCTCGGTCAACTGCCGCGGTGACAGCTCGATCAACAGCTGCAGTAACAGCACGATCAACAGCTGCAGTAACAGCTCGTTCGACTGCTGCAGTGACAGCTCTTTCAACGGCCCCGTTTATGGTCTCCTCCAACCTCCGCTGTAGATCGTCAAACCCCTGCAAGGCGGGCATGTTTCCCAGTTTTCTAATCTCACTACCGAGATCTTGGTGAAGTTTTTCTACGCGCGCCGCATCGAAAGGTGCAGCGGATGGTCCAGACATTTCCCTAAGCAGCCTTGGCAATCACAAGGTTAGCTAAGTTCTACGAATTAAAACTCTATCCATGTACCGCAAGTGCAGATCTGAGGAGGCGTACAGATAAACACAATATTAATCAAAGTCTACGACACATATAACTTCCAAGCACCGGTGCGAACAGTCGTAAAGACACGCCTACACGTAAGTCCGATATTATGGAGAGGAGGGGATTGTTAAGTCGGAGTAGCAAGCAGATGAAGCAATTTGAAACGGATAGTATATAGGCACGTAGACGGATATAAAATAAAAGACGAGAGAAATATATAATAAAGGGCATAATATAAATAATAACTAGCAAATAAACGCATTCATAAAACATACCGGGTAGGAAACCGAATGGCCTCGAGACCGGGCTTATGGGAGTAAGAAACTTTGAAAACTTCTAAGAGAGCTTAGGCTTTTACAACCGTGTGGAACTAAACTGTTTAAAACGCAATGAAGGCGACCCTTCGGGCCCTACTATACAAAGACAAATATATAAGATTAATGTCATATCTAGGCCGGGAAGATAAGGCCAGCGCTTCAGGTACTATCGATATATCCATTCAGCTAGCAAGATAGATCGTCGTCCAAGCCCTCGATACACACGTGCGCGCCATGTCGGCTTCGAATTCACGGGCACTGCAAAATCAAATCATTCATGATACTCATCTAACGCCGCAATAAGTTTTCTCGCAGGCCCCAGCTCGAGCCAAGTAGTCGCGAATATCGCAGTGAAATTAGCATTATTTTTCGACTTTCCAGTACAGTGGAAAAGCTAAGTGAATTTAGAGTATTGCTAGTTTTGGAGCGAGCAAGGATGTTTTTAAAGATGGGCAATAGTGAAGTCAGTACTTATATGTACATCTATAGATCATATCAACAATAGCTCTAACATGTTCAGAGGTATATACCAATATGGCCCCCTCATTGAAATTTGGGTTTTCCCGTGTTCCACCTGGATTGATTCGAAGACGGCTGGCTTCGAGGATGTCATTATTTGGCTCGACGCATGCTTGAAAACCGCTATCCCTATGAGGGACTAGGGTCCCGGCTGCAGTTTTTCCGGTTCGTCTGATGTTTCCCAAGCTCTAGCTCCAAGTACGTGTAGGACTTAACTAGCTATGGAATTTTAAGACTTCACGATTGCAAAAGATTAAGAAATAGAAATATGTAAGTACCATCGAAGTCCTTGGTACTCCAGCTTTTAGCCCCACAAGACTTAGTCGAATACGAGGGCCAGTTCAGCGTTTTCAAGGGAACATATGGAGGGAGGAGTAACAGCTGTCTGGGGTTTGACGGCTAATTAAGAAAAACTAGCAAGCTAGGAAGGAGCTTTAGCCGATTGAGGAGGCCTTTCATACCCCATACGAGTAATATACGGAGTTACCCCATCCTTCTCCTTCTTTGTAGTCTAACTGCCTAGAGTGAATTAAAACCACCATGGCCGACATCCCCCGACCTTCATTCTCCGCACTTCATCCACCGTCTATGTTTTCATACCTTTGTAATTTTTAATTTTTTTTTAATTTTTTTGAGGCAAAGCTTCGTGCAAAAAAAGACTTGAGGCGAAACGATTCGGTTCCGGTGTACCAGGCTATACTTCTTTCGCCCCCAACTCAACCTGCAGCCGCCAGGTACCTGCATATCTCCAGTCACAAACCCGCCGCCCACACCAAGCAAACGTCAACCATTGTCGTGCAAGAAAAAGGCACACCTCCAGCTCCTCCAAGATGGCGATGTTTGTACTACCCCCGCCGCCTCGATACCCGCCCACAGGGTTTTCGCTGGGCAGTCCCTACGCAATGGGTGGTGCTCCGATGCCGGTTATCGAGACGTCGAATAGTATCACTCACCCGACCGGGCCAGAATACACTTTCCATACCGGTGAAGGTATGTAATTACAACCTCCCCTGAACTTGCGATCATGTTCGCTTGGCATAGTTAGATGCCATCCCTTAAACTTCAAAAACTAGTGACTCTAGCGACAGTGCGCTGATGTTTTTCCGTTCTATGCGACAGGTCAATATACACTTCGTGAGGATATCCACCTTGCAACACCTCCTCCCCATCCTTCAGAGCCTCCGGTTGTCTCCCCGAACCCTCTGGCAATACAGCCGGCTCCACCGAGTGCCGGAACAAAGTTCTCGACTATAGTAATCAAAAGCGTACCGGGTACAGATCGCACTTCTCAACTCTATCGAAACTCTGTACTTGCGCAGAACGGCGAACTGGAAGGCGAACATGCCAGCGAACCTAGAACTTCGATATCCACGGAAGAAGAATCGACAGATGGAGGATCGAAGAGTGGAACGGATACAGCTGGAGCAAGCACCGTGGCTACCAGTATGGTACACCTCATGGCCGACAAATTTGGTGGCGAGAATGCAAGCTTAGCCCATGCACCGACAAAGGACAACAAGAGGAAGAAGCCGAAGAATAACATCCAGAAGAGCAATTCTTCGTTCGTCTCGAGGGTTATTATGCACGAAGCGCTTACGAAGAAGCTTCAGGAAACAGGAGCATCCGAAGACTTGTTTGTATTCGCAAACATTAATCGGGCCTATCATTGGCTAAATCTTTCAGCGAAACAGAATAAGGTACTTGGGCGCACAGGGTTGGATCCGCTTTATAGATAGCTAATTACTGCCGGGTATAGCAAGAATCTTTGTCCAAAGTCCTATTCACGAAGAGCCATCCAATATGTCATGATGTCAACCACTTGACCAAGGGCGCAACACATATAGATATTGTTATGGGATTCACGACAGGAGATATTGTCTGGTTTGAGCCGATGAGTAACAAATACTCTCGTTTAAATAAGAATGTGAGTCCATTTATCTAAGATACCGCTGTCGGCTAGGGAAATTATTAACCTTAGATACAGGGCGCCATCAATAGCTCAGCCGTTCTCGATATTCAATGGATCCCTGGAAGTGAGAACCTATTTTTAGCAGGCCACGCTGACGGGTCATTGATCGTCTACGACAAAGAGAAGGAGGATGCGCCGTTCGTTGCAGAGGAGTTCCTTGAAGAAGGAGAAGCATCAAGGAAGCCCATTTCTGGATTCGTCACAGCCAAATCGGTCAACTCGAAAATCCAGAAGTTCAACCCGGTAGCATATTGGAGCGTCGCACAGCAAGCTATCAATGCCTTTGCATTTTCCCCTGACCATAGGCATCTAGCAGTCGTTTCGGAGGATGGCAGGTTGTGTATTATAAATATACTCAAGGAACAGTATGTTGCATCTTTGGGCACTGGCGATGAAATTATCATGGATTAGCCACTAACAACCTTGGTTAGACTTCTCGACGTCTTTAACAGCTATTATGGAGGACTTCTCTGCGTCTGTTGGTCACCAGATGGTCGTTACATTCTTACTGGAGGCCAAGATGACTTGATATCAATCTGGTCGTTCGCTGACCGAAGAATTGTGGCGAGGTGTTCGGGGCATCATTCCTGGGTTACCAGCGTCTCATTCGATCCTTGGAGATGTGATGCCAGAACCTATAGGTTTGGTAGCGTCGGAGAGGACGGAAGACTTCTATTGTGGGATTTCAGTGTCGGGATGCTGAGTAGGCCAAAGGCCGTATGTTGAATCCTCGGCTATCTTATACCCGTCGGAAATTATGGCTAACAAACGACGTAGACATCGAAGCAATCCCGAGGTAGTATATCGTCGGTTCCACTGAATGGAACAGGAAGAAGGGCCGATGGCCACCCAGCTGGAAGGTTGAGATCTGAGTCTGTTGTCTCAAAAGTTGACGACGACGGAGTGGTTCACCATCCAGTTGAACCTCGAGCAAGAACCTCGAATTTACCTGCGATTATGGTATGTCTCCTTTTTATAACTTTTCAAAAGGGCTATCTTTCTAATAATTTTCTTCGGAACTCTATAGTCGAAAGTAGTCGATGTGGACCCACTCTGTCAACTGGAATTCCGAGAAGATTGCATTATTACGACATGCAGGGAAGGTAAGATATATATCCCCAACGCTTTTACGGTGGTGCAGCCGATAAGGTTGCATGTGGTGGTTTGTGATTGTGTTACTGGTTCTGTTGGCCAGGCTTCGTACTTGCCCCACTCATACCTCCCGATAGCTCCCATTGAGGTTTTTCCGATTTGGGGCTGAAGTGCCCACAATTATTCCGAAAGATGTATTTCTTTGCCAGCATCACTAACAAATGCTTCACTTTATAGGACACGTAAAGACATGGGACCGACCTAAATCCAATCTTTCAGTGGTTCCAGAGGGTCAAATGGCTTAGAACCATCTATAGCTATAATCATTCTAAAAACGGAACAAAAAAATTTGGCAAGGAGTTTTAGGGGGGGGGGTTTCTGAGGAGGTTGGAGGGTTTTGCATCTATTCGTTACTACAAAACTTCTGCGAGCATTGCGTAAGTCATAGGTTTTTCTGATTGAACGGGGGAAACTGGTAGAGGCGATACGGAGGTCATCATAGGGATAATTACGATGCATAATGCATAATGAGCGTTCGTTCTTAAAAAAAATCCATACGATCATGACAACGGGGTTAATGATATTTGCTGTTTGATTCCGGTTATTCAAAGTTCTAAATTACTTTCAATCCTCTCTTTTATTGTACGCAGGCAAATGTACCTAACCGTGGTAAATCTGCATCATTATTGTGTTCTTCACCTCTTGTAATGCATCGCATACAGCACAAGGCTACATGTACAACAGTTCCATAGGACTATGGGTTACGTAGACGACCAGCACTTGGAATTTCGAATTCAGGTTCGAACGACAGTTTCACTTCAGCGCTTCACCAACGTCCTGAAGCCCGGATCCATGGATCGAAATTTCGAAGCCCTTGTCCTTATAGCTCAGGGGATAATATTAATATTGCGTCTCCGCCTATCATCAGCCTGCCCAGGGATTCGACGACAAATGCACCCCACAACGCAAGTTTACGACAGCTAGCACTGTCGAATATCGGAGCTGGTATTCATTAGAACCTTCGGGAACGAAACCGTTTTTGTCTCACGATGAAGACAATTCAGCGCCATGGCCTGACCAGAAATTGAAGTTGAAATGTTCGAGGCAACGTTATGGTACCCCAGAGATCTCGGCCGGGTTCTCCAGCAATGTCGCAGAACGTGACTAGGTACTAGGCTACGAGTCATCAACCCAGATCGAATCAAATTAATTAAGCACTCAGCTAGGTAGCCTCGAGGTCCAGGCGCACTCCCAGCTCATAACATATACATGCATAATGTATGCAAACACCATGCATGTAGGCGTGCTTGGATCTTCGATTCTCAAATCTCGACAATCAAGCAAACTTGTGGGACCAATTCGAGATATTATGCATACCTGCAGCCAGACCTTAAATGGTATTGATAAACGAGCCGTCGGAGCGCACCGAAAATAAATACTTTGAAGACCTCGTGATCTCGAACATCCTCGATTCCTTACATCTCAATATCCATTTGACTTTGTCCTTTCATCTTGGCGGCGTTAAATCCAGCTTTGGACCCACAATGTCGATGTTTTAGGTTCCTTCCGTCCCAAAATCCCTATGATCCGAGGGCTTTACTTGAAGGGGTTAATACTGCATAAGCAAGGATCGGTCCAGGCTCCTTTGGATGGAGATTTATTGGGCAAAATAAGTCCCGATCTTCAGGTCCCCACCCCGGGCCACCAGCAAAGTCCTGCAGATTCTTGGAGCTCACAAGGTCTTTCTGAACAAATGGGAAGCTGGCTGACGCAGGTGGCGTGCACCTTAGATCCAAATCGTGCACCCTCCTGTTCTTACGCAACGCTTTTCTCGAAAAGGTTACACCGACATGCGAAAAAGGGAACAACAATGATTGCGATTGGGGTTTGTTGGTGCAGGTGGGTTCCTGGATATGGGGTAGGTGATTGGTGCCCTTTCGCGAATTTCGATGTCTAACCATTGTTGGATCCGCGAGAGACAGCAAGGGGATGACAAGTTAGGATAACTCGAATTTAAGTGAGCGGATACACCGCTGGCGTTTTCACTTTTTTCAAATTTTCTGGGATAGAAGGGCTTTGGCCCATGGGTATGGGGATGGAGGACGGAGTATATTGATCAGAAATGGGATAGTTCAGTTGAAGATTTCGGATCGCAATGTAACCGGGAAGTGCCCTCACGATGGTATTGCTGTTATAAATTTGCGCGGCCCCAGGCACCTGATGGAGGAATTAATTATAGGTTCCTGAAGATCACTCTCTGTGAAGCATCTGGGTATTTTGCCTGTTCCCGTGATCAAAAATCTAGAATTGATCACTTGGTATCAATTACCTCCTCGAGTCTTCGAATATGGATCATTTCTCGAAATCCAAAGTTTCTTCCGTGCTGCTACTGGCACTTGCCAGTGTTGCGAATGCTGAGAATTGTGTATGCGGCAACCAAATACATCCTCGAGCCTAGAAAATTTCTAACTAACGGTCTTACTTTGCAACAGTGCGCCAAACTCAAGACATTAGACTCCTCGAAGACGTTTTACCCTAATACCTACACCTACGGCGCTGCCAATGGCGCAGGCGGTCTTCTCCCAATTCTGGGCAACGTTCTTCAAAACGACTTTCCCTATTGGGGTATGTATAGCACCTTACTGGCCTTAATCAATAATTAATATGTCTAACGATACTAATTAACATGCTCCTGATACAGCAAACCAAGGGATAGCCGCTCCAGGTTGCGTCTTCACAGCAAAATCCACCGAAGATGTCTCAAACGCTGTAAAAATCCTACATCAATACCAGTGTGAATATGCAATCCGCTCGGGTGGCCATAATCCCATTCCGGAGTGGTCGAATACATACGGTGGTGTTTTATTAAGTACATCTGGTATCGATGATGTAGCTTATAATCCAACGGAAAACACAGTTACCTTTGGAGCGGGCTGCAATTGGAAAGATGTTTACAATGAACTAGACCCCTTGGGCGTTGGTACAATGGGTGGTCGAGATAATACAGTGGGGACGGGTGGGTTTTTGTTAGGCGGTGGTATTAGTTATTATTCTAATTCGAAGGGATGGGCTGCAGACCATATTACTGCTTATGAGGTTCGTTGATAATGACTGTTTTTGATATCCGAGACTTGCATTTTATTAACCTCTTATCTTGATCTCAGGTCGTATACGCCAACGGCACTATTGGCACCATCACCCCTTCTAACTATCCAGATCTTTTCATTGCTATGAAAGGTGCTGGATCTTCATTCGCCATCGTTACACACTTCACCCAGGAAACCTTCGAACAGAAAACCTATAATGCTGGTTTTGTCTTCTACCCCCCGGGATCCATCCCTAAGGTCCTTAATGCTCTCTACAACTATTCCGTAGACGGCGCCATCGCTCACCCAGAATCGCACATAATCCCTGCTTTCTCCTCCGTCGGTCCAGATCTGGTAGTTACAGAGATTACCCTCGGCGCTTTCTGCTTCTTTTACCCAACCAAACTTAAAAATTTTCAAGAAACGGAAGTATTCAAACCATTCACGAAAGAGATACCTTTCCTAGCCAGCACTAAAAAGAACAGAAAAGGCATAAACAGCATCTCCGGTGAAATAGCGGGCTACAGTGGGCCCGGAAAACGTCAAAGTTTTACCGATATGGCCATCGTACTCGACAGTGCCGAAACCCTCAAGGTTCTCTGGGACGCATATCAAGATGTTGCAGAACCCTATAGACTTTGTATCCAGGGATATACGGCATCTTTCATCTTTTACCCCTTGACGAGCACATTCGTTTCCCAAGGAACTGCGGGGGGTAAGAAAAATAGTATGGGACTCGAAAATACACCCGCAGGGCAAGACGGCAAGACGATTATGATTATTAGCATAAACCTTACTTGGTTGTTAAAGTCGCAGGATGCATTGGCGGCAGAGTGTGTTGGTAAGGTGTTCGCGAAGTTGAGACAGATCGCAGAGCAGAGAGGGATTTACCATCCGTTTTTGTATATGAATTATGCCAACGGAACGCAGGATGTACTCGGTGGATATGGAGCGGCTAGTGGTGATAGACTGAGGCAGGTGAAGTTGGAGGTTGATCCCACGAATGATTTTGGAACTTTGGTGAAGGGGAGGTATAAAATACCTGATGCCTAAGTAGGGGGTGTACATATGGGTTTATATAGATAGTTATGGTGTATATCTCTGGTCTGTCGTACCAGCACTGTGATATGCCGGTTTGAGACTGTAGATACCAATTTGTTATAGTCGTAATATTAATATAGATTTATAATTGAAAGAAAGGGCCATTGTATAAGCCTAGATGCGCTGCTTAATCCAACTTGTGAAACCACACCAGAGTGTGACTGTGTAACAGCATTAAATTGCAGCCTTGACTCTGGCTCCATAGAAACCGTATTACCTAACAGAAATCCAACAAAAGCAGAACAGAGCCAAGTGTTGGAATTGCCTGTCCCGGGTTCTGCAAGAAAGAACTTCACAAGGCCGCGGGGCGCCATAATGCATAAGGCGATAATTGGGCACATTGTTCGCCGGATTACGAAACACGGTAGCTAGATCGCACGGAAGCCGCTAAGAGAGAATCAGCCTCGAAAATTAAATATAAGAAGTCCATGTCCTTATCATCCCCTGGATTCAGTTTTATCCTAAGTATCATTAAAAACTAAATTTTATTGTTTATGCATAGCGCGAGGTTAACCGATTAGCCCGGTATAATCCGTAGAGATACATATATTCTCAGCCCTACGCTTCAAATATATCACCTCTACCATCCCACACCTTCCCCCCTTCGTAAACGACTATTACAATATAACGCAAAATACAGATAACCAACAGAAAATGCCACAGAATGCCGCTAAATTTAACTACGAAAATGCATTCCGAGCGACGGCAACAAAAAAAAAATCAATTGCAGTGCTGGCCCGCGCACAGCTGTTTTATTCGTTGTGTCTATACGAGGCGGCAATGGATGCTCGTCGTTCCTCCAACGCTGCATCTTCGTAGGTTGGCGGACCCTGGTAGTGCTTGGAACCCCAGATGAAGTACCATCCGGCGGAGATGAGGGTGAACCCGACGAAGACGACGGAGGCGTAGTTCATGTATTCGAGAGTGATGGGGATGAAAGATGGCATGCAGAAAAGTGGAACGGCGAGTAAACTCCATCCTGTTATTGAATAAACGAGTTAGTAACGATATCCCTAGTGTTATTCTGAGAATAAGAAGGCGGGTTTTACCAATTGCAATACAATTACAGATGACACCAAAGATTCCGAAGTCATAAACACCAGCCGCGAGATGCTTCCGTCCGCCAATAAGGCTGACAGCAATTGGAACGGCGTAGCTGACGGTCAAGAAAATAACACCGGCGCCAGAGAAAGCGTTGAAGGCAGCGGTGGAACCGAAGTAGATAGTTGCGAGGAGAATTTCTACGACCATGGCGAGCATCATAGCATTCAATGGGACATCCAACTTAGGGTTGACGACTTTCCACCATTGGGATCCGGGAATAGCACCATCACGTGCGAAAGCCCAAGTAGCTCTGGAAGAAGCAGTTGTGCAACCAACACCGCAGATGATAGCGAGAACCATCAGTGGAATCAATAGACCGAATGCACCGCCGGAACTACCAACGGCCGAAACGATAATTGATGGCAAGGGTTGACCGGAAGCCAGGGCACCGAGGACACCAAGATCTGGGATAACGAAAACCAATGGGATCAAGAAGACGAGACCACAGATAGTGTTGAGAATGATAGTTCCAACCATAGCCTTAGGAACCTGGGTGGATGGTTGGCGGACTTCCTCGCACATGCTAACCGTTTTACATTTGACGTTAGCGGCAACACTCAACAATCTAACATCCTGGATTAGGGCACACATACGAGATAATCATGCCTGTCGACGAAGTAGCGTATCCAGCATGGAGCAAACCAATCATGAAGGACCATCCAGGGGTCCAGCCAGACTGGGGGGCAAACTCGGTGAACACGAACGAAGCATCATGTCGACCATTCTTAGCAATTGCGAGAACGCAGACGATGAGAGAAATGACACCGGCGAATGTCCAGAAAATAGCAAACGTCTACAAAGCCAAAGAAATTTTGATCAGGTTAGCCTCGATGCACTCCACAGTGGGGCCGCTGCGAAACACTTCGCTAATTACGTAAAATCGGCGAACTTGTTGGGGGGAAAGGAAGCATGGAAGTTCTAGAAAAATACATACATCAAGAATAGGCAACCATCTATTTCCAAGGGACGAGATAGAGTTTGTTAGGAAGGTGATGGCCAAGAAGATTAGGAAAACCTGATATTTCTTTGCATCAAAGACACCGACGCCGGGCTCTGTTTCAAAGACATTGACACATGCGACGAAAAAAAGGGTTGTTCCGAAGTTGACGGCTAACGTAATTGTGATGTTTCCGGCGACATAAGCCCAACCACAGATCCAGGCAGTTACCCGCCGGCACCAAGTAGGCGAGAGCATGAAAGTCTGGTAATACACTCCACCTGCCGTCGGATACACCGATGTGATTTCACCGAGAGAAATTGCAACGCAGAGAATGATCAACGAGACACCAAGCCATCCCCAGATGATTGTAACTGGGCCACCACCGATGATGGGATAGTACAATGTTGTAGCAAGACCATATGGAATCGATGCAAGGACGAAGGACATGAAGGCTACCTGCCATGTCGAACGGTTTCTTGTCAGTTCAGGCTGAAATCCCAGGGCCTCCAGCAAATTATCGGCTGAAGCAGTTGCACCGTCCTCCTCGTTGGGTCCCTTCTCTCGGTTCGAAACGATGGATCCCTTCTGTGGGTAAACAATATCCTGGGGAACGACGTCCCCGCCAGTTACTGTGGCCATTGTTGGATGAGTGTCGAGAGCGTATTCCGAACGTCTATTCTATCGAATCACAGAAGCACGCGGACAAGATACCTCAGCATATGCAATTGTGGAAAGGAAAAGATATATAATTATTCAAAGGGAAAAAAACCGCACACAGACTTCATATCTTGGGTGGCCTAGCTATTTTAAAGGAGATGACCGCTGGAAGCGCAGGCACCGAGGGTGCTAAGATAAAATGATTGTCGCGTGCACTTGCTTGACAGAATGGGTCCAGGTCTCACAACCACAGTCAATGATGCAGGGTGGGGGCCCCGGACCTGCAGCTTTGGGACTAACCAGGCTCATGCTCGCACTAATTGATAAGTGCCGCCCACTAGAAACGTCCAAACGAAGCTGCCAGTTCGGGTTCAGCTGTAAGCGTGCATATCAGGCATCTACTTTCTACTGCCCTGTTGGCGTCACTCTGCGCCACCAAGACTTCAGGGACATGTGAACCCAGAAAATCATCAAACAGCTCGGATCCGCCTACGCACAAATGGGAAATTATATATTTTTCTGTTTTTCGACCAGTTTCACATCTCAATTTCCGGAGAAAAAAACACTTTCCTGCCTAATGGGTGTCTCTGGCATGCTCCAGAATACGAGAGGACTTCGAACTTCCTGGTAGCACAAGAAGATCTTTTTTCCCACCTCCCCCCGAAACCACGCGGGCCACGGCACTTTCGCTAACAGACCAATGGCCATGGGCAAAAATAAAATGTGATACTATGCATGCCATTATAGGGCCTTGTCAATAAAATGATCTGCAACTCCAGTTTTTTTTTGCAAAAGCTTGTCAAACCCTGTTACATCGACCTGGTCATGCGACTGGCTTATCTTCTTCGTCTTTGGAGAATTATGTATGCCATGCGTCCGACTTCGATCGGGATGGGCAATTAATCAAGGCTTCTATATCTTTTGCATGTACGAGTGCATATATTTGAGGAAACCTTACCCCCCCAAACTGACGGAGCTAGGAGACTGATAGGAAATGCAATCCCCAACCATTTTTCTTGCAGCTCGTTTACATGCACTGAGTGCGAGTATAAAATCACCTGATACAGTTATCGCCGCTCCCAAGAGTCTTTCAGACTCCAATCGAAGGCCGGTTCGGACACACTACATGCTTTATTTTCGTTGACTGAGCATGTGAAGGTGACCGAATTTGGCGGAATGGCCGAGAAGCACAGACCACAACCCCCCCAATCTCACACTCCCAGACCCACTAGTGAAAAAATTTAGAATACTATTACGCTGTGACACTTGAATTCGGCGTTTTCGTGGGATGGATTTGACAAATACTAACGTACCGATAGGCTTAAGGTTAGCTACTTTTGGTCCTGGGGACTGGGGACTGGGGAACTCTGTCGGAGTTGGGGTTGGCGGAATCGAAAAAGAGAAAAAAACTTATCAACCCTTGCATATATTTGAGGCTAACACATACTACTACTACGTAGCTCATCACCCTCATCGAAACCTTCAAAGGAATATTAACTTCTTGACGTTAGTCGGTCCCACAATAGCTCCTGGGTAAACTCAGCACTCAGACGACAATACAACTGGCTATCGCAATTCTACAAAAACTGATATTCAGCAACACCAATCAGCGTACAGGCCAAGATTTATTATATTAGTACAAATAAAACTTAACTGGGTGGGACCTGACTGATCGCTACCACCGATATCTTACTAAAGACCTCCCAACTGCAGTGTTACTATTACCCAACAAACAACTCACAACGGTTTAGCTAGAAGCGTCGTTGAAGATATCGATAACGATACCGCTTGTGTCGAGCCTCAGGGTTCAAAAGTACAAGCCACCCATATACTACAAAAACAGGGTTCCCCAATCGACAGAAGCAGTCTAGCTACGGTATTCGGATATTTCATATTTGTTCTTCTAAAATGTCTCATTCTTAAATTCCAAAATAGGACTCTCTCAAATTGGTATCCTGGTTCCAGAAGTTGATAGGGAGATTGAACATCTCGTACCTGCCCTTTTTGGATCCCGCCTTTCATAGGATTTCGAACACTGCTCATCCTCACACCATCGAAGAATCAAAAATAAAGATGAAGAAAAATCGCAGAAGTAGTACCACAGCTCCTTCAAAAAGGTCTCAGATATACAACCTATCCATGGTCTCGAAAACATGCCGACTGAAACCTCCAAGAAGCTTGTGGCACTTTAGATGACATCGATTCGTGTTACCGAACGTCTTAAAAATCTTGCGCAACTGCCGATGGCCCTACAATTCAAAGCCTCTTGCGCAATTGCCTACTAGGAACAACTAATTACATCCCAATATCGCAGGTGTTATAATAAACACTATCTTTTTGCCAGTTAACTCCATTGCTCGGATAATTATGGTTCCCGAATCCCAGGATCTGAGACGGTGGCAGATATTGGCTAATTGGCACGTTTGAAGCTTATGCGTCCAAGAGATCTTGAGTGTATGGAACTAGAAGGTAGGTTTAGTCGCAAGAAATGTGAAAGGAACAGATTTACCTATTTTTATACTACGCTCGAGCTCTTTGTAGATCTGTAGTTGCATGGCGATTCAATTGGCAGAGACAAAGACACGCGCCTCCTCATGACTACTGCCGTTGAAAAATCTTTTCAGGAGCTAATGCAGTAATTGATTTGGACCAAAATCTTACATCTATACAGTATAATAATAGAATCGTCGAGCCTTAATTCGACATAATCAAAGTAATTTACCAGCCAAGTGGACACATAAATAGATATTCAATAGTCCAACAACGCCCATAAAGTACCCAATGAGGTATCATTTATCATGAGAAGACCTTGAGACCGACAATTGCTACTTGGCATAATATAAGGCACCTAGGCCAGAGAGTCCAAACGTACTCTTAGCTAACTTGTGCATGCTGTCTGCCAAGTCCTTCAATCGACGACGCCCAGTTGCGGATGTATAATAGTTGTCCAGATGGACGTAACTTTTGAGTTCGTCACTTATAAACCATTACTGCCATACATTGCTGACCCCCTATGATGCGTCTGTGTAACCTAACCGTAATCGATGCTGTCATAATACCACGAGGCATGTCACACAGACTCTTGCAGATCAGGAGCCGAGAATATGCAGATCCGCATCTGTATCCATGGCAGAAGCGGACCATGGGGGGCCAGTAAATTACAACACGAACAACGCGTGCACTTCCATAGCATCGGGTGCGAATCGGGTTATCGAAGTTTTAGTTGGCTATCGAGTGGACTGCTTCTTAAGGCATTAAAAGAAACTTTTTTACAGGCATACCTCGGTAGCTTGTCCTATTCCTGGCCAAGGTTCATGTATTTAACTACTTTCGAGGTTAACATCTAGGCATTTCTGTATATTTGTTGATGCATCTTGATGCATCACCATGGTACCAGAACAGGATCTTAGGAGAGGCATGAAGAACTGATTGCAATTATCTAGGATAATTCTGGAATGGTGTCTTTATTTGCTAGTACCTTGAAGCCAAGTAATATAAGGGCGATTGATGGCTTTCCAGCTCAGGTGGTCGAGGGTGAAAGTTCTCTGGCTTCACTCAGTAACAATCTCATCTTGACGAGACCTGTAGGAGGCCTTGATGATATTCTGATGAACTCTTGTGGTGGACTTCAACAAATACTCATAAACATATTAACTAGTCCCATTTTAGCAACCCTCTTAGAGAAATATAAAATATGTAAGAAAGATACTAGAAGATAGATTATCTACTATATCCTAAGCTGCAGCATTGGGGTTTAAAGAACTACCACCCCTAGGGAATCGAAATGTAGGAGTATCGGATACAATTATGCAAAATATGATGTTCAATCAAAGAAATCCAATTGGCCAAATGTACACGAATATATTTTTGTTAGGAAAGAAGCGAGAGCGCTGTGAAACCTTGCCAGATCTGGCGGCCAAAAGAGATAAGAATGAGATGTGAATGAGATGTAAATGAGATCATTGTTTTTCGTAACACAATTGCAACAGTACTACAGTAAGGATATGCCCTTTTTCGGTAATAAATGGGCCTACCTCTAAACTACACTCCTCCTGCCCGTGGCCCATCACCCAACTAGCTTATGGACTGGCGTACATACTGGTTTATAGGCTAATTCATAAGCTAGCCTACGTGTTGGTTCACAAATCGGCTCACAGATTGACCTACATGCTAATTCATAAACTAACTCACGAACTAGCCTACACACTAGTTCTGGTTAACAAACTGACCCATAAACTAGCCCCACGCGGTGATTCTATCTAACCTACGTACCAATTCACAAGCCAGTCTTATTAATTTATATAAGACTAACATAAACCAGCCAACCAGCACCTAAGCCAATCTATAAAGCAAGCAACCAACCAACCAACCGACACTCTAGTCAGTCTGTAACCCAGCTTGTGAACTAACACAAAAGTCCGATAAACCAACTTGTAGGCCAGAACCAGCGCATATGCCAGCCTGTGAGTCAGTCTGTAAGCCAGCCTGTAAGTCAGCTTGTAAGCCAATCTATGAACTAGCTTATAGGCCAGCCCATATACCACAGGCAGAAAAGGTATAATTATGACCCACTTCTTTTAGTGTGGTACTGAATTAGATATGGTTAGAGCCAAAGAAGGCAGTTTTTCATTTTCATTTCATATGATCATTCCGGTCCCTTTTGACCATCGTAATAGAAAAACTAGGAAATATCTATTGTATTGAATTGATTTGATATGTAGCGCCCACGCCGGTGAGGGTATTAATTTAGACCAAGGAACATCCAACAGCGAATGAAACAAAATCTTTTTTCAATCATCAACGGCTAGGGAGCAAGTAAAGAGAAAAGGAGTTTATAGGCAGCCGACTTGGAACTTTCTATGAAGCTTCTATCAAGTCTCTTCAAGTCCTAGCTACCCGATCAATACCTATCGCCTACTCCAGGCAAAGTCAAAAAGTAAAAAAGAACAGCTGAAGACCAGACTTTACGAGACCAGACCAGACCCAAAATCTTACACCCGTATTCTGTCCATAAGCTGGAAAACGCTCTAGTGTATTTGAACTAGCAAAGGAATTGTCGATAATAAATCTTTAGCTAGTAAATCGTGCCGACTCGCCCAACCAAGGAACAAAAGAAATGATGGTCTAAAGGAAAGGGTATAAAATACGCCTTTTGTAGGCACCTGAAGAGCGAAACCAAGATATTCAAGGACACATAACGCCGTCGGAAGATATTTTAAAGAAATAATTTAAATAGGTGCGCATTTTCATTGATACCTTGCGAGTTCAACCCGTTTTCTCAAATAGAGCAGCGTACTCTAGTAGTAGTCTGTATTCGTAAATCGTCATGTCTATCGGCCGCAGGGCAACTTTTACCCAGGAAGTACTCTCGGCCGCAATTTCTTCTGCTTGTCGGGCACCTTCGGTCGAGAAAAATCTGACAAGATCCTCAATTTCATCCAACCCGATAGTGACGGGAATGTAATGAACCCATGGAATAACGCGTTCATCATGCCATTGCTCTACCAGCGTCTGTTTGAACACAACGCTGTTACTCTGCAAGAGCCGATAGAATCGCCCCGAGTAACCATTCCCGTCCATATCCATGACGAATTTGTACTTGAAAGATGCGTTTTTGTCGGCTCTTGGTGGAAGCCCTAGGGCCTGCTCCATGGCCTGGCATATATCCCAGTCGCACTGTATATAAGCCGTCATACCAACATCAAAAAGGTCGGTATTATTTCGGACTTTTAGCATGAACCGAGCTCGGTGATTTGTTTCCCATTTCATTTGTGGGCTTGCATATGTGCCTGTATTTGAGCCTCTCCAGTACAGCTTGTTCTCCTTAGAAGTAAAATTTTGGGAATCGACATCGTTTTTGTTTAGAAACCCTTCATTGTGATAGTCGTGCCCAGGAACTAGGACGTCGCGCATCGTGGAGACCCGGGCCACTGAGAACACTGGAACTAGACCCTCTGTAGCGACGAAAGTGCACGGCGAAGTGAACATTCCATACTGATCCTGATAGGCCGGGTTGCGACATAGATCTAGGGAAGTTTTGGTCGACTCTAAGAAGTATGGGTGTTGTTGCTGTTCTAACTCGCCACTATCAGTCTTTTGGCATAATGCTGTCAATCTTTCCCAGGAAGGTCGCCGCCCATAATTGTGAAAGGTGATATCATCTTTTTCTGGCTGAGACCCTAGAACTCGCGGTTCGTCGAGCTCATTCAGTAGAAACGTCATATCGGGAAGGTTTTGCAGAACGTCCTTCAATGATTCCATGATTGGTAGGCCTGCCAATTCTGTAGTTCCATTTTTTATCGAGACAGTTTGCAGCCGTGAGCCTGCCCTACGTGCTGATTCGATCCTGGATTCGAGGTGTTCCAGCCCTAGTTGTCGAAAGGGTTGTAGTACCTTTTCAATAGTGTCGAAATCATCAATAATGGTGGAGTTTTGCTGCAAGGCATACCGAACCCAATCTGCGAAGCCAGAAGGTGGGCTCCTGTTATACCGAAGTTTATAGTTGGTGATAGCTTCCTCAGGGCTCTTTGATTGTCGCTTTAACAATTCCTTGTATCGGAGACGCTGTTCGTGTATTAACTGATCGATCGGGTGTTTTGGTGGGTCTGGAATAGTATTGATATGAACGATTCTCTCCCGTGAGAAGACGTAAAAATTTCGTAAAGGAAGGTTGTGAAGGAGTATTAACACTGTAACTATGATGGCGATAACCTTGGTGGTTGGGGAGCGTAGACTCCGTCGCCATAGTTGTGGGTGTACACTCATGTCGAGATATTAATGTTTTGGACCTGCAGACCCGCTGCCTGGAAAGGTAACTGCGCCCAGGTAGAGCCAGACAAGTCCCTAATGTCGTAGAAACCCCAAAATAGATTTAGACTAAATCACTCCTCATAAAGTTAAAGTACTTGAATTCATGGCTTGAGTGCTGTGGGATTCCGGGATCGAGATGATATATGATAGTAATATTAGAATGATAAATTTAGTGAAGATATAGAAGCCCAAAAGACAGTGCGAGAAGAACTGGTAAATACTGCCCAATATAAGCTCGAAGGATCCCAGGAATATTCGAATCCGATAACCGGAATATCAGTTGGGGGTTCCGCCACCCCAGATTTATGCATGAGCTCCACCCATGTAACAGTGCTTATATTGCCCGCCCGCACTAATCTCACTTTCCCATTTTCCAAATCGGTAATATTTCCAACAGTCTCGAAACCACATAATCGTTTAGAAATCTGATGTTTCGTTTATTGTGTACCCATTCTCGGTTTTTTTTCTCTTGCTGTTATTATTTTTGAGTTATAATTGTCGGCAACAGAACATGAAAGTATCAGGCTAGAAACTTGTGTCTACGTATAGTATTACGTTGTTGGAGTCTGGAGTAGAAGTATCTCCCTTCAGTCCGGCTTCCCGGCACTATTTTTACCTTGGGGTTACACCAGTCCGGCGGAGCCAGGCTGGCTAATTAGTTTCGGGATTGGCGCTCTCATTTCGTTAGTCTTTTCCCTCATAATAACACAACCTCAATTGCCACCCCCTGTTTGTACATAGAAGAAAACGTGCAGGCCAGAAATATATTCAATGGGTATATAGCTGTGCACTGCCCTCACGTTGGGGAGCGGCTCAGTTAGCCGGGTCCTCTCCGGTTGGTTTCCAAAGGCCATGTGTATGCTAACATGTTTAAATATGTTGCAACATTATAACGTTAGCACTGACCGTCGCTTCGATCAAACCCCTTAAACGGATTGGCGACTCGTAGCTCGTATATTTCCGTCATAATTTATATCTGTCTTTCATACTTACGCCGTAGCCCTAATTTTTGGGGCACACGAAGCTTGTATACCTGAGCGCGATTACGTAGGACGAAATAAGTGCTTTATTACCTAGGTAATTATATTTGTAGTAGTGGTTATCAGTTGTGCCTCCAGTGCCTCAACTTGGCTTCCACATTGGTTCTTATTTTTTCTAGGCGGCGTTTACGATGCAACATTATCAACGACATTCTCTCCATTATCGATATATCTGGTTGCAGCCCGTGCCACGGATCCGCTTCAATGTTTTAATTGCCCGTATTACCTTTTTGATCAACCGCCACCTAGGTTTTGGGTAGGTTCGTTTCCATTCCATTTGCCATACATACTAGTACTATGAATTCCACCACAGGGTCCGTATACCGTATATTACGAGATTCCTCTATAGATCTAGCGTGGTGGCTGCGTCCTAAACTTACCTATCGGAGGGGGAAAATATTCCTAACTTAAATGTTTTTTCCGCCCATTATCGAGGCCTTTCTCATGTCACCACGGCAGGTCTCCCTTTTTTGTAAGTGGGGGAATCCAAAAGTTAAAATGCATGCATATGGGACGACTTCTTCGAAATTGAGAGTCGACAATGATGACTTGAATTCCAATCTGTACTGAAACGCTGTCATATGCATAGAACCTGATCAACTGACAGTTTGTGTTCCCTTCTGAAGCTTCTGGGTGTCCTGGTATCCTGTGATACCTGTATACACAACCTCGCTGAGACCGGCGCGATTGTATCACGGTTGTGGGCAGTGTACTACCTCACCCACTAAACCCCAATCAACTTCATTCAATATTCAGTAGCCTTAGGAGGCCCTGGGTTTGCGATAAGACTCGAATTACGGGCCGATTAGGCGTTTCAATTTTAAGTCAATCGTTGTAAATAGATTTCAAAAATATATTTCGTAGGTATTAATATTAAAGTTAACGAGCCAAACAAAAAATAAAACATATAAGGGGGGCATTCCTGTAGCTCTGAATCCTTTAGTTAAATTTATAAGTTTATAAATTTATGCTTATAAGCTGAATGGGATGACAATGCCTCCAAGGTGGAATAGAATTGAAGGAAGTTCACCATTCCAATATTTCTTTTCTACTAGTGCCCTTTCCCAAGAAAACCCGCAATACTATTGCTGTAGAAACACACATATGTAGATACATGACGCTCAACCAAGGCTGGCCTTGTTCCCAGAACTGGACTACGAGTTTCTATTTGAAGATTTGAGGGCAACATGGCCCGGCCAACTGTATCCATGTATCAAATGGTACTAATAGCGACATTTTCGGCCAATTGCAACTCAGCCTTGAATGTCGAATACAGGCATTCTTGAGGCAGAAGGCCAAATCTTCTTGATTTTCGAATTTCGGCTTCGGAATTTCATAATCAAGCTGTATTCTACACTTTCCAATCTCATTCTAACGGCTTCAAATATACTTGCCTGGCTGCCCGATTGGCCAAATCCATTTCTCTTGTTAGTCTCGGATTGCAGACGCGGTCCACACTTTGTTCTCTTGTATACGTTTATGAGCGCGGAGGCCGAAACAAAGTCAGGTAATGAGACTGTTATAGAATCTACGGGAGAGTCTTCCACCGGGTTTCTAGCGGCATTTATGAATCTAAAGCTCGATCATATGAAAATCGCAAATTATGGAACTCCTTGTTTAGTAACCTATGCCCCTATGAACTTAGCTATAGATAGTTTCGCACTAGCTCAGGAGCATACTTAAATTACCAATAAAAAACAGCTTTGGGTTTATGGGCAGTTATATTTGAAGACGATATATATCTTAATGCCGTCGATCTGGAATTTGATGTTGGAGGCTATTCGATATTATATAAGTTTATATATATCACCTGCCCCTTGGGATTATGAAAAACACTTGTATGCACACCTGAGGAGTCTGGCAACGAGACAACTTGTATATGTCCATCTTTCGAGGCTTCTCGGATATGTCTAGTTTGCAATGCAAGTATTCTCTGTAAAGGATACAGTCCGCGAATCCGTGCCATGAATATTGAACACCTGATTATACTCATAGAAACTCTCAAGTTAATTAAGTAGAGTCAGAATTTCGGGCAAAGTGTCCAGTAAACCTGAATCTACAACTATGGTATTTTGTATCCATGCACGTAGCCAAGTCTACATTTCAATATATATCTCGATCCTCTGAATACGAAAATTAGGGCTCTAATGATGCATTTACGGGTTGATTGACTATGCCACAGAGCTCCTCTACTTGAAACTTACAGCCCTAACAAAAAATAACAAATCTTAAACCTATGTTCCTGGTGGATCGTCTCTGGACTCGGAACTGAATCCCGAGTCCCTGAAGCCGATACGGGATTCCGAACTACAAAATTTTGCGAAAACTCGGACCGAATTCGGCATCCCGAAACGACCATACCGAGCTCCTCTTTCCCCACCAGTATTAAAGTTAAACCACTCAAATTCGGAACATCTCGGGATGCCGAAAAGATAAGCATGTTCTTCAAACTAGGGAAATGATAGGCCCTCCTAACAAAAAAAAAACCTTCCTGTAATTTCTGGAAGTTCCACATTGATAACCCTCCAACTCTAATTTCCTTATAGTTCCTGGTATAAAATTCCTTTTTACTTCTAAATACGAATTGGGTTTCTTGTGATAGCATGTGAAAAACGGCTTGCGGATCCTAACGACGTTACATAAGAAATACGCGAACATCAAGCTTCAGCTTGTCTTAACTCGAGCTGCGTGGCTCTGTTGGTGAATCCAATTGATTTGATCACATAAGCTCAAGAGCGCTTCGATGATAATGCTCATCGACCGATCGCAATGATCATTGGATCGATTGGATTCATCGATCTAATATTTTTAGAATGTAGCTGTCGTCAAATTTGCATGTGAGTTCCGACAAAAACCTCAGATGTGACGTCGACCAACTTCGTCGACCGAAAAACCACGCCACCAGCGTGTCTCTGTTAAGTATGTATGCCGCCCCCAAAGGAAAAGAAAAGCGTGGGCGTCATTGCAGCGGTAAATCCTAAGACAGCTATTAATCCTTTGTTCTCGAACGCCAGTGGAACATGCAGTCACTTTGCTTCATTCAACATTTTCGTCTTCCTTGCACGCACTTCAAACTTCAACCTCGTAAAAAAAGAATTTTATATTCACCAGCTGGGACCCCCAATAACTTAGGAGTGAGCCGCCGCACTTTTCGTCCAATCATTCATGCCATGCATGGGGTAATGTACTAAACCCTGAGGGCTTTTTTTCGGGAACGGAAGACGCCTACGCTACTGTTGCAGTCACACCATTGTCAATTGTGCATATGAAATTTCTCGTCTTTGCTTTTGCCGCTGCGTCTTTTTCTCGATTCGATTAAATCCCCGATACGCGAGCTGTGATTGAATCATCCTAGCTTGCTAAGTTAGTAAGATTATGGTTGGGAGGAATAATCCGTGGTCTGTTTTCTTTTTCTTCTTCTTAATGGTGGTTGGTATATTTAGTAGGCGAAGGGGGGATTGCGTTCGATTTCGACAAATGTTATCAGCACTAAGATAGCTGAAAAGGGTTATTTGTCCCTGATCGAAGCTTTGATAGCTTTCTAGAGCTCTCTTGATGTATCTCCTGCAAAATTTCGCCCCGTTCGTAACAGGGGATATAATTTTTTTTCTGTTGGGAGATAAGGAATCCGGATATGAGTCCTGATTTCAGAGAGTTCGGATTAACTATCTCACAAACTAGCGGAAAAATTTTCTATAGGTTGGGGCGGAAAAATATTGTTTGCTATTGATAGAGCTTTCGTATTTTTTCTCCTATCCACTTTCGTATTCTTTCTTTCTTTTGTTTGTTAAATGAGATCCGAAAGACGATCCGGTGTATGTTCGTTTTTGGATCATATGAGAAGAAGAAGTTAGTCTTGATAACTGAAAGCGGTGTTGCAGACGTTGGCGAGTCCTCGGGGCGCTTTGATGCATGACACTTTTAAAGCTTCGGAGGACCAGGATATGGACCCCGGGATCATCCCATGACCGTTTCCTTCGATGTTTCTTAGATGGAATATTCTGTGGCACGGATAACTAGTTATCCATCGCTCGCACAGTTTCACGGCCGAACATTTACTGACCGATGTGTAACCGCTCTAAGACTTTCCCGAGTACCGAATAGGGCCTTGGCTTTCCATAGAAATGTTGGGGCTTTGAAGCTTGTTCCGGTACCCACGTACGAGTGGATGAGCAATCGTGATCATGATACTGATCTCATACAGCAAACAAACCACCGTTTTCCAACCGGTTCGCAGTGTACACCTTCCGTCGGCATACACATATTCGTAGCACATGAAAGAAAAACTAATAGGAGGAAAGAAAAATGCGGAGAAAGAAACGTCACACAGAGACATCCGGGTAGCCACCGGACGGGTAAAATAGGAACCTTGTGGCCGACTCTTTGTCATTTTTGTTTTTTCTCTTTCTGCTTGTGCGACATCGAATTTGAAGAACGATATATTATCATGTGAGATGCCAGATATATGCACGAGAACAGCGATTTCGCTTAGTTCCTGTTTGGCGAACGGTTACGAAACACGAAGCGCAAGCACGGGGTACGTTATTGGGAGATCAATATGTTCACCGGTATATCGGGGTACTCCTCGTGTGAACGAATTAATTCACTGAAATTCCAGATTTTTTTCTGATGTGTCGATGGGGGCCACATATGCACATTTGATCACGTTGGTGCTTGCGCAACTAGGTGTGGTCATTGTGGTGAGCTTTTGACTGATACTCCAAATGGAGAGAGCTCAGCTCATCCCACGCTTTATCGATCGGTATCAGCAAATCGTACACGTTGGTCTGTGTTATCAGTTATAATTATACTATACGTTATGAATATGCAGTCGAGAACGCCGCAATTCCAGAGACGGATTAGGTGATCGATGAGTGCCTGGAATTCCCAATTTAGCTTATCTAATGCCCCGCAAGGGCCATATATCGTTGAGTAAAACATAAGGGGGTTCAGTTTCATTGTTTCGTGTGAAGGCTCCTCACATCGACGGTATTAAGTAACTTAACCATTTAGCCCGCACGATGGCGTTCCTTGGAATATGCGACCTTCGAGCTATCAGTGTTTTCGGTGACTGTAGGAAACTATCGCCGAATAGGCATACATGAACAAAAAAGCGATCCAATGAAAGGCTGCCGGAACGAACGGTGGGATGATTTTTGGGTGCCGTTTGGGGCGCAGGTTTAGGCCAGAACTGGTAGGCCAAACGCAGGAGGTAGCTAGGCGACTGCCAGCTGCAGCCTTGCAGTCCTTTTGCTCTTCGACCGGGTCCATGTACACAGTAGTATACGTAGTCTAGCCAACAAATCATATAGGCTCTTATCGAAACATGCGGCTGTCATGGGCTCGACTCTTGGGTCAAGAGGTCTGCAAGCATACAGACATACCTGCGAAGGGGCTGTCGGGATGGCAGAGCCGTCCGCGCAGTCCAGTGGGGGTTAAGTTACGCCTCACCATCGAATCCGTAAAAGCAAAAGATTGCAACGTTGAGAGCGAGATCCAGGTCTGGTCCGGCCAGTCCCAGGAAAATGATTGTAACCGTGGACTTAAGCAGCTTTATGCAGGGCTAGAGCGATATGCCATCGATTTTAAGCTGTCCCAGGCGAGGAAGCTGCGGAACTGCAGTACCCCAGGCCTTCTCCGAGGCTTGGGTAGACATGTGTACAGGTCGAACGACCCCCCTTCCAGTCCAGCCCTTTTTTCGTGTAAGGGAAAGAAAGTGGGATGCTGTTTACGACAAGTGTGATCAATAAATACTGGAGCTAAAGCCCACACGATCGAAAGTCGAAGCTTTTGAGTGATCTCGATTTCGAGCCAGTCAGTCAGTCAGTCCTTGATATCTGTATCATCACCACAATATCATCAGCGTCGATTATATTATTAATCCAACCAACGTTCACGAATTTTATACACCCACACAAGTGGAAGGTTATATAGGACCTCAGCGGAACTCACCATAATTTCTTTTCGGTCTCGCACTGTCGCCCTATCCCGAGAGCCCTGTCTCAGCTACTCCCAAAGCTTTTCAGGTACCGACACACACCCACAAAAAAAAACAATTAGCTCCGTTGGGAACAATATCGGAAAGACCTTTTTTTTTCCTTTTGAGAGTTTACTCACCGCAAACGAGCATTAAATCCCGTTCAGAGACAACGCAGTCCCGCTGGATGCGAACACTTCAAGGAGAACAAGAAAAAATAAATTGAAAAGAAAAATAAAGAAAAATAAAATAAAAGTAAAATAAAATCTGGAGCAAAAAAGTCTTCGAGCGAAGGAATCTTGATTGATAACGTAAGAAAGGGAACCAGGAGAGAGCTCGGGCGGCTAGCTTTCAGTCATATATTGGCACAGTTAGACTTCGGCATTGCATAACATAATCGTTTGATATAAAATTGACAGACAGCAGTCTTGTCAGTCCTGCAGACGTTCTGGAATATTTTACATTCCTCGTTACCAAACTTGAAACGACAAACGGCCCTACGAAATTCGAAGTCAGATGTTATTATTTTCGGTTGTTTGTCCATCGGTACGTACTTACCTGCTTTGCCATCTGCTCCGTGTAATTATAATGCAATGAGGGTGGGTGACTAGTCGGGCGACCAGGGACCGCCCGGATCTGGATTACATGACGATGATGCAGCTGTGCACAACAGTGGGCTGATTTTTAATACTCTCAAACAGCCATACATCAGACATTTTCCATTTTTGAATACTTACTGAAGTAAAGTACTAAGTACTTACTTAAGGAAGCACTTTAAATATATCTCCGGCATCTGCCATATTCCGAGTACTTTTATAATCCAATTGGATCATAAAATTGGTCGCAACTGCCAGCCCGGATACGTTAGGATATCAGCACAGCTCAACTGTCCGCCCAAATTCCTGCAAAAATCGGGACATCTACACATCTACATCTACCTCTACATCTACCGTTCCTCCTTCCTACTTCTCCACCATCAGCATCATCATCATCAGCATCATCAGCATCATCATCGTCAGCATCGGCAGAATCATCAGCACCATCGCCTGCATCATCCAGAGTGTATCATTATCATTGTCACATCATCCTCCAGCTTCGGTTCCATAGTCTAGCCAGTTACCAATTTCTTGCTATCCAACTGCAGAAATACACTAACCACTTCTAACGCCATTGCTCGCTTTATCCAACAAGCTCTGCAAATCTGCTAGCTATCCGTGGGGGTTACAGCGCAAATCGTATCTTCGTGTCCCTAGCTGGTTTCGCAAACACCGGACCCACTTGGTGTTGTTAGCCTGCATAAGAAACAGCGAGCCTGGGAAAGTTCGACTCCTTACGACCCATATAAAGGCACTTCGCATCGGGGCCGACACTCTTTAAACTCACCGAGACGGCAGGCGGACAAATTGGACCTTAGCAGCCTTTGACCATTTGTCCGAGGTTTTTATTTTTTTATTTTTGGGGTTGTGGGTCTTAACTACAATTTGAAAGCATTCAGTCATAGTGTCGAAAACCGCTACAGTTTTCGGAAAACCTTTCCCTTATTTCCCTCCTTCTTGACCCTTTGAGTTTCACGACTCTGGATCGTACTGGTCTTCGAATTTATTTTCAGACATCAGGTCGGTCTTCGGAAACAACTCTACTCGACTCGAAGCCCCTACAAGGGAGCTTCTCGCTCTTCGGTTAACTACATCAATTATCTTGGCAACCTATTCTGGACATTCCCTGTTCACCATGAAAAAGATTACCCTTTTTGACATTCGGTATGTTGTGTTGTTCAAGCTGCAATTCAATTTAATGGGATGAATTGAAAGTAGCAACAATTTTAACTAACCGTGTGGGCTTTGTATTGTAGTCTCGATGAGGATGTTCTCGTAATACGTGGCGATCCTACGGAGGCTCCGGCCGTGCAGCTGAGTGGGAGGGTTATCTTGTCCTGCACAGAGCCGGTCAATGTCAAGTCCCTTTCCGTCAAGCTGAATTGTCAACAAAGGTTTCGGTCCGTGGTGTTTTTCTCTCCATTCCTGGGACGAGTCTTGGTTAACTCTTTGACATAGTGTAAATGAAATCTTCCACGGACCTTTCGGGCCAACGATGAAAATGTTCAAACATGATGGTATTCTTTTCTCAGACCGAAAGGTTCAGATCGGGGAGAAGACTGTCATCCCCGCTGGGAACCATGAATACCCGTTCCAATGGCTTCTCTACGGCAGTATGTTAACCCCTTCCCATGACCTCCGGTAACCGTAACTTGTCTAACGGCAGTTTCCATCTAGATGCACCAGAGTCTGTAGAGGGTTTCAGCGAAGCTAGCATCCTCTGGGATCTTCATGCACACCTCGAGCGAAGCGTTTACCTCTCAGATCTTCATGCATCCAGGGTGAGGCTGAAGTCTCTCTAAATTCATATACGTGTCAGCTTGATTCTAACTCGATGCTTTAGCACTTCCGTGTCGTTAGGACATTACCACATACTGCTTTAGAGTTCTCTCAGACTATGGCTGTCGAGAACGTCTGGGTAAATAAGATCGAATACAGCGTTACTACACCATGCAAAGCCGTCGTATTCGGATCTTTTATCCCAATCGAAATCAAATTGACACCTTTACTCAAAGGCTTACTAGTGAACAAAATATCGGTTTCTTTAAAAGAAACCTACGAATTGAGTCCTCATGTGGCCAAAGAAATTAACGGAACACGGAATATTCTCGACGTTGAATACCCTGGATGGGAGGATCCGCCGAGTGATGAGGATGATGGGTCTTGGATCCTCAACGAGAAAATATTTCTCCCTCAGACGCTAGCCAAATGCCTCCAGGACTGTGAGGTTGGTAAAATAAAGATTCGACATAAACTCAAATTCGCAATCCAACTCAAGAACCCTGATGGCCATATCTCCGAGGTACGTGTTCCCGCGTCTGGAATAAATGATCAAAGTTTCTGACGATATTTAGCTTCGCGCCACTCTTCCCATCATGCTCTTTATCTCCCAGCATTATCTTGTCAACGATCAGAACCAAGTCCCGGAAATAACAAGCTTTGTTACCGCCGAGGATGAGACTGCCGCACCCCCGCGGTATGAACAACATCAACTAGACACGTTGTACGAAGGTGTCGACTTGAATATGTACCTGAGTCGGACCAACTCCCCAGTCCTGCTTAGTAGATCAGGGTCTGCAGAGAACCTTCAACAGCTACAAAGTGCTGGTCTCACACCCCTGAGCTCGCTTTCTGGAACCTCTTCCCCAATGTTCACCCACGATGCCTCGACGTCACGCTCTAGTAATGTATCGTCTAGCTATGGTACAAGTCACCTATCTCTTATGACTGCACACGGCCATGCCGACCTCGTTGCTAGGTTGCAGCGAGCTCATCAGCGGCCAGCAGGCTCGAGTGGTAGCTTGAACGCTTTGGCGAATAGTACGTCGTGGACCAATCCTTCTAGTGGAAGGCAGTCTCCGAACCCTGATTCACCAACTCTCGAAGCCCACTCACTTTCTTCGAGTCCGAATACCGCTCTTCACATGGCAACTATTTCACAAGTTCCATCCTACAGCACAGCAATAAGAACGCCAACTCGTAATTTGAGCTTTGAAAGTTCTCCAGCCTATGAACGAGTCGCAAGCGGGCCCCCTAGCAGAATTACTTCCTCATATAGCCTGGCTGATATGGCTGAAGTACCAAGTTTGTCACGTTCTTCTAGTTCAAGCGGACATAGTGGTCGCGGTCAAGCCTCGCCTGAGGAACATCAGAGCACTGGAGGACAGCAGCCAAAGCAAAATACACCACCCTCTACCGGCCAGGGACATCGTGCCCCGAAGCTATTCGCGCCGAGATGGAGAGGCTAGCTTTTATTTTTCTTGGCTACACCTTTCACAACATCAATCGATCAATCAATCAATCAATCATTACCCGTCGTCCGGCATGGCTAGTTGATTACTCCATAAGTTTTCTTTTTCACTGTATCATACTATTCATTGTCCTCATTTTTCAAAGCAAACGTTGGCAGGTGCCATACTTGCTTTTTTGCTTTCATATAAGTTTTTCCTTTCTATCTCTCTCTTTCTTGTCTCCCTCTTTGTTTCCCATGGCATTGGCTTCCTGGAAGTCGGCGTTTTTTTTTACACAAGATACACAATAGAATATCAAGCGGGGTTTACGGTGTTACTTAGTACGGGTTGTATCATGGATTTCTTGTTTTTCCCCCTCTCAAATTTGGGTTCATATGGGCTCGGCTTAAGCTTACAGTCTACTTGCGTGTACGCAGATGCACATGAATCATAGACTTTTTCATTTGTTCAAGTACTACGTACTTCTGCATTATCATTATTTTTTCCATCATCAGGTTTTTTCTGTCTCGTGATCCGGGACAGCTGTCTTGTACATACATACTTGCATATCCGGATGTTCCGGATCCGGGGTCTTTTTATCCCTTCTTTGGCTAACGAAGCGGATAGTCGGGTTTTCTCCATTCACTTCATTCACATGCATAAATATCATTCCACTTTTTTCTTTTCTTTTACCACCATGGAAATTGTGTAGTAAATTTACGTATTTATAGGACGGCGTTTTCATGTAACAAAAATACAATCTCTCATCTCGGCTTAGAGCATCAAGCAACGGTTTTTAGTAGAATTTGATTAACTAATGGGATGACGGAGGTTCATTCGGAAGATTCCGTGGATGAGGCGACTTCATGAGACCAACATTAACAGCTGTAGATATCTAACGGAGCTTCATAGTCTCAGGCATTGCGGCTGACTACAGCTACCCAATGTCTGGTAAACTTAAAAAAGGTCGGTAAACATGCACGTACATGTACATGCATAACGGAAATTGCGAAGTTGGGTAATATAATTGAACATCGGGTCAAAGAAGTAATATACAAAGTTGTCCTGTCAAAACGGTAAAGCAAGTAGGTAATTGAAAGGGCTATAGCATCAATGGATCAATAATATCTACTATAGTACTAGCTGACTACTTATAGAGCATCTAAGCTAGAAACATTTCAACCAACTGAAATCGAAATTAAACTAATAAACCTGGAAGACTACCAAAGCGTTTTAGACCCTATAGGTCTATCAATAAATTCCACCCCCCGATTATTTACTTCTACAGATAACCAGGTTTTCGAGATGATATATTATCCTCTTCATTAGATACCATTTCTCGTTTAACAAATCCTGAACCGCCCCCGTCTCCGCCTCCGAAGCCCCCAGGATTATCGTAATAATCTCGCCAAAAGAAATCCTCGTCAGTCGGGCCAGATAGGTAAAATGGCGGTTCCGTAGAAGGGGCAACATTGACTTGTCCAAAATGGCTGCTCCTGGTGACTCCCGTACTTGACCCCTCGCCCGGGTCGTTTGGGTCATTGAATATCTCGCCGAGTGTGGGCGGGGTGAGCGAGGGTAGATCCGCTTCACCATTTGAAGGCAGAGGAGCCCCGAGGCGAAGTACTACGTCCCCTGGACCGGTTGTATTGGGTACTCGCCACTCCACTCCCGCGTTTGCGGGGGAATTGCGGATACGGTCTGGTATTCTGAGTGCCAACTCCTGGAGACGGTTGAAATTGAAGAGTCTCAGGCGTCGGATGGTGTCGGTCGGCTCGGTCAATAACTCGACCATGCAGTAACATCCTAATATAGTATCCGAAGGAATATATCAGTCATGAAATAGTATATATTAATTCTTTCAACAGTTAGAGTTAACTTACCGTAGATGAAGTTGCAATAGCGAGCATGAGCGGGTCCACATCCTGTCCTAGTCGTACCACCGGCACCGTAGGCTCCGAGTGACGTTCGAACAAGCTGCCAATTGATCTTATTGCAGCTGCATTTCATACATATATTTATTGCTTCCCTCACTAGCCGTCTGGAAGAGCTTTCTGTATTTTTGCGGATGTGACTCCACCGACGCTTAAACGCATCTAAATCATTAGGGCTGGCACCTGGGATATTATAGTCTCCATCAAATACCCTCGAAATCCGAGCTAGAATCTGGGGTTCATCAGAACTCGAGGGACATTGGATTCTTGGCCGCAGGCTTTTATAGAAGAGCTTTTCTGTGCTTAAAATACCGTTGCCGCGTATGTCAATGCGGCCAGCGCCAGAAGAGTCGAGCTCTTCTGACTGCTGGGGTACCTGAGTTAAACTGCTCCCTCTTTCCTCTCTCTCAACTTCGAGATTTGTCCTTGTTAAATTCTTAACATCTGGGGCAGCTGGCAGCCATTGTATTGTCGTATTGGCAGCTATGTTGGTGTTATTTCTGGAATTGGTAGGGGAAAGTGGGCTCTTTGGAGATAAGTGATTTCCCATATTCAATGGGCTTTTTGCAAGAACAGCGGTATCAATTGGGGATGCAAATGCTGTATTATAGCTCGTGAAAATGAAGATGGTGATGCAAATATTCTTGAGGATACTAATATTCATGTATACGCCGAGGGATACTGGGCAGGGCCCCATGCTTACTGCGGTGAGTGCCCAGGCTAAGGGGTTCCATAGATGGCGCACCTTAATCCGATTTGACGTAAAGGCCCGCAGAATCATAATAGATGGACCACTTATACCGCGGGAATCTAAAATGAAGATCGAGAGTGAGAGAAGAATAGATTTTAAGTAGGGAACGTATTAAAGTACAGACCGACCCAGTACAGGCGTCTAAGGTACGTAATTTATATTTATAAAGTATACCCACTGCTGTGCAGGAAAGTGGTGTTTTCAGTATACCGTTCGATCGCAAATCTGATTATGATTGGTAAATTTCTGCTTTTTAAATATACTGCTCTAATTCGTATTGAACACCGTACTACAACTAAAAAACTGTATCAATACGGTATCGATGTCAATATTAATAAGTCCCCTTCTGGCCCGATGAGTAGATATATATAAGTGTTTATAGGCCGGCTTCCGCTTGAACGTAAGACCTGGGGCTGTGTTTTCGCCGACCTATATCGAATCGTCTCCATAATGCATTAATGTTCTGCCGGTCTAGCCCAAACCTTTGCTTCCCAGTTTTGCGAAATTCCCTCGAGCCTCGCGGTATATGTTGAGTCTAGTGACACGTCTACCAATTTTATCATTAACTAAGCAAATTTCAAAACATGAAACGTTTAAGGATGAGATTTAATGTTTATGCTAGCGGAGATTTGTTTCTAAGTACATATGGCTAAATTATGTCTAACTACGATATGCATACGGCATATGCATATTTCTTTGAAACTTCCAACAGTATTCACTAACACAAAAAATCCAACAAATCTGCTTGGTCAGTCTTGTAATTGCGTGGTCACAAGGATACTAGTTTTGAAACAGCTGGGTCTCATACCCGCTTAGGTTGGTACGCTCGCCTCAAAACCAATGCCACCTCGCTACTATATCATCAATGTCCTTGCCCTGGCTTGAATACCAGTACCTTCTTCTTCGTTGAATCTTTTCCTTTGTTGACCTCTTTGCTAGCCTTTCTGCTGTTTCATTTGCCTCTTTCAAAGAAACCAAAACTCTCTGGGCAACACCATCGGTAACAGCTTTCTTAGATGCTTGGTCCAAAATCTTCCAAATTTTGATTTCATTTGAATCTGCATTTTCATAATCCCATTCGCTGTCCTCCTTAGAGTCCCTGTTCGTTGACATTTTCGAAATTCCTGAGTAGCTCCAACTACCCCAGCTAGAGTATTCCGTGCTTGGTAGATCCTTGATGAGGTACTGATATCGCTTGGCCTCTGCAAGCTCCAAACTGGTCATACCGTTTGCATTTTCAGTGACTACGGTTTCTGGTACTGCGGCAGCAAGAATTTTCTTAAGAACATCTACCTCTGACCTCTTTGTCGCAGTGTGAATCGGTAAATCACCTAAAGAAGTTCGGATACTGAGGTCCGCACCCTTAGAGTGTTGTAATATCATCCCAACAGTCGTGACGCATGGAGTTGACGCCGAACCGTAGTAATCACGGTTTCGGGCCATGTAGTATGCCAAAGGTGTGTAGGCGACGTCATCTCCCAATGCACGTTGAGTGAATGCCCAAGCCTTGAAATCTTCCGGAAGAACCTCAAGACAGCCAACAATGGTCTCCCACGATCTGGATTTACCTGGATTGTTTTCGAAGGGTTTGCAGTTGTTTATGATGGTGTGTACTAAGTTGCAACCTGTTTCGCCTTGTTTGGCGTAGATGTCTGCGCCGAGATTAATGAGGGCTTGGATGGCGTGTTTGTTGGTTGCAGAACCGGCGAGTAGGAGCGGAGTCACATTGTATTCGTTTTCCTTCGATTCGAGTAGCTTGGGGTTACGGTCGAGGAAATATTTGATGTTGTTCGTGTACCAAGCAACTTTCTCCTCATCAGACTTTTCTTTGTCCAATGTGACTGTCTGGTTTAGGACAATGGCGTGGAGGAGGAGTGGGTGATCAACACCAGTCCAGCGCTTGATAGTTGCCTCGTCAGCTTTACGGAGTGCCTTGAGAGATTGATTATCCTCTGGGTGCTTGAGTCCCTCAAGTTTCTTCTGATAAGCGCGAAGGGTGCGCTCTGGACCGTCAGTTAGGAGCCATTCGAAAACCTTGTGTGAACCGTAAAAGGCGGCGTAGAGACCCATCGGTTGGCGATACGATCTGGTAACTGTAGTCGTGTCGTTGGGGTTCGCGGCTTTGGCCCAATCCGTACGCTTCTTTCCATGGATGCTCAGGCCGAGGTAGTGTTTTGGTTTAACTGGGGTTTCTTCCTCTTCCTCTCCTTCCTTTCCATCACCAACCTTTTCAGCAAGGAGTGCACCAATACCATCCCATTCCATAAGGGTTTCAAGGATTTCAATGCGCTCAAACTCAACTGCTGCACGGCCATGGTCGCTGTTGGTGTTGGTGGCGCAGAAAATTCTTCCGTCAAACTTTCGACCCTTAGGTGCGAGCTTGTCCATGGTTGAGGTGATGTATTGCAGAAGTTCGGTATCACCGACTCTGACGGCCTGGTAAAGTAGAGTTGATTTATCTTCCTTTGATTTATCGACACCCTCGCCGTCGAGGATGAATGGAATGTCAAAGTTGATCATCTCGAGAGCCGAGATATTGCTCTTGACTTCTTTGCCTAACTTAGCAACATTGTCAATGGTGAGTTTCCCGTCTGTGAGGTCGAACTGCTCAACGCGAAGCTCCGCATTTTCATCATCCGATTCGGCATCAGTTTCGTAGTCGTCGTCAGAATTCTCGTAGTAAGGGTTGTACTGCTTCTCGTTCTCTTCCTCTGGGCGCTTTTGGGCGGTTGCAATGCTGAGAATAAGATCGAGTAGCTCCTTAGGGTGCTTCTTGTAGGCTGTAATAGCGAAGATGCTATAGCCCAATTGGTTCTTGCTTGTGATCAACAACGGAGTTTTTTCTTCGTCCCATGAAGTAGTTGTATACTTTTTGATCATTTCCTCGTTACCATCCCAAGCCGCTTTAAAAAGTTCGTGGTAGGCGGTCGTGAGTTTTTCGTCTTTGTGGGCATCTGTGAAAGTGAATTGAATTTCAAATTTCTTTTCCGGCTTTGGCGCTTTCTTTTTAGAAGAAGTTTCGGACCCTTCGCCATCACTAGACTCATCATAGTCGAACCAATTGCCGTTGTTCTCATTCTTCTTCTTCTTCCAGAACACAGGCTGCAGCTCTTTGAATGGTTTCGCGCCCTTAGCGATCATCCAGTCAGAAAGTTCTTTGTACTTTTTCTCTAACGCTAAGAGTTTTTCCTCCTTGAGTTTAACTTTCTCTGGGTCAGCGTGATCTTGATGCCCCTCTGTCTTGCTTTTCTCGAGGTTTTCATTGAAAGTTTTTCGAACGCTGTTCTCTGATTCGACCATTTGGGAAGCCATCCAATATTCATAAGAGCCCTTTTTGTATTCCGCCGGAACCGAAAGGATTTCACGCGGAACGCTATCGTCAATCTTCTTTTTCTGTGCTTCGCGGTGGTTCTCGAGCGCATTTTGTAGATGCCTAAGCTTCTTGCGGATAAGATCCAAGTAGGCAAAGAACCTAAAATAGTACGTTAGTATGATATAAAGACTCAAGCTTAGTCGGGTTTTTCTTACTTCTGATTGTACCGTGTCGAAGGGTAGTTGCCGTCGCTGTCGAGTTCTGGAACAAAACTTCCAGCGCTGTAACTGTTCAGATCAACTCCAAGCTCGATACATCTCCGGAAAACATCTGGCATTTCAGCTTCTAATGCTAACTCCGCAGGCTGTTGGTGATATTCTTGGAAGTTGCTGTGGTGAGTATCTCTGTTGTGGCGATATTTATTGCCTTGCCGTTTAACGGCAGTCATAAAGGCATCGAAGGTGACTTCTGGCGCTACACCTTTGTCAAGGAGCAACAGCGCCTTCTCTTCATCGCCTTCACAGATGCTAAAACCAAGTTAGAAAGTATCCTAGTCGGAAAGCATCCTAGCCATAGATGCTACAAAGTTTGTGGTTGAGACTTACGCGACCATAAGAGAGCTAGTTGGGGAGGGTCTCCAATCGCCCGATATAGCTACATGCTTCGCGGCAGCGAGTGCTGTTGCAGCATCTTCTTCAAAAAGGATTTTTAGGCAGTCAATGTCCCCCATTTGCACGATGCGGGTGAATGCACTGATTCCGTTCATATCAGCTTGGCCGGAAGAAGCTCCGAGTTCCAGAAGCGTTCGTAGCATCTTTTCACGCTGTTCCTTCTTTGGCAATTTAACTATTAAGTTGATGGTTAAGAAGGCAGATCGCGGTTGGCCATTGTAGTCATAGCTTATCTTGATTCTAAATGAAACCGGATTGTTAGAGATCCTTATATTTGGGATGAAAAGGGAGGACTTACGGCTGAAGGACATCAGCGCCAAACTCGGAAACTAGGAGTTCTACTACATCAGCACGGCCATTGACGATAGCGTAGTGCAATGGGGACATCTGGTAATCCCAGTCGGCGAGGTTAATATCAAGAACATCGTCCTTCTCCTCTTCTTCACTACCCAAGGCGCCAGCCTCTGGTTCGTCGTTTTTCTTCTTATTAATCTCTACAAAAGACGAAGCTCCTGTTCGAGCCGTTCGGGCAGTGACTGACTCGTCCTCAGATATCATGTCGATATCCTCATCCTCGTCTTCTGCCATTTCTTCATCCTCATCCTCGCTTTCCTCTTTCTCTTTCATTTCCCTGCCATTGAAATCAGCATTTATTGACGAGATGTTAGGCTATAATATACTCACTCATCTTCTGCACCTTTCTCCCCTTCAGATTTGGCCGGAAGACCCTTGGCAGCGCGCTCTCTATCTTCTCTGTCGTCACGAATTTGCTCGTTCTCTTGGCTCTTTAGTAGTAGGAGTTTGACAATCTCTGGATCACCCCTAGCAGCCGCCATGTGCAATGCGGTACGCCCATCGACCAGACGCCAGATTAATTTTGCGCCAGCGTCAAGAAGTATTTTCACGATCTCGGGTGTTGAAACTAAGGCAGCTAAGTGAAGGGGGGTTCGACCAGTATGGTCCCGTCTGTTAACGTCGTGGCCCTCTTCGGCAACCCACTTTCGGATCAGTTCGACATCATTGGCGACGATGGCTTTACACAGGGTTTCGTCATCACCAATATAGGCCATCTCGGTCCAATCTTCTTCAGTAATTGGATTGAAACTTCCGATCTCTTGACGACCTGGATCATCTCGAATGAATGAGATCTTTCCACGAACAAAGAATTTATCGTCTTCTGCTTGTAGAGCCTTCTCTTCCTCGGACGTAGCCTCGGGGCAATATCCACAACAGTCATCGATGATATCTTTGACACTGCCGATGAAAGCTGGGTGCCGATGGAGATAAGCCGGTCGTTCTTTTTGAGCCCGTTTATTCCACTCGGCGTTGAGAAGCATGTCCTTCTGATAGATTAACTTCTCAGACCTTTTGGCATTATGGGGCTTTCCGTAAGGAATAGAAACAGTGTGATAGTTCGCTTGCTCCTCTTCCGTTATATCCCATTCGGGGACTTCGGCTCCCTGGGCTTTTAAGTCTCCCTTTAAAATCTTTCTAGAAGTATAGTTCCTCTTATTGGGACGACCACGTTCGCGACGCCTGTCTTCAAGATAAGAATCCCGTTCCTCAACATCTGGAAGTCGCTCTAGGACGAGTAGTTTCGCGAGGCCTTTCAACCTATTGATGCTCCGCTCGTAGATCGTAGGATCAATCTTTTCCCGAGTAAGAGCGGGGTAGTAGACTTCGAACCCACGCTTTCGATACTTTCCGAGACGGAACTCGTAAGATGGACTGCGGCGAGTGATGTCAATATCATTGCACTGTAACATCCAAGATGCAATAGCCCGCGGGTTTGCGTAAACCTGACTTCCGTCATAGGCGACACAAGCACAGTTCACGTCAAATCCAGTAAGTATCTCGCTGATGCTGGAGTAGAGACGGAGAACAATCTGAACATGGCGATTAGGGTACTGGGATATGATAGTAATTGTGTTTTTCGTACGAATGCTGCTAGTTTCCCAAAGAAGGTTGTCCCGGATAGTAGCCTCGATAGACTCCATCCGTTTGATAGCAACTTCTTCATCCTTTGTGCCATAGATGAAGAGATCAACATCACTAGATGGAGCTAGTTTGTCATGATACCAGTCTCGCATAGACCGTTTGGTTTGCCTGTGTTCTTCTGGGATAGGAAGCAACGGAGTTAAAACACTGCTACCTGCCGCGATTATGTTGGTCCAGTCCAAATTCTGGAGAGCACCTGTCATGAACGATATGTAATTAGCTTCTACACTCCTAATAAGATTATATAAGGACCCTATCAATTAAAACCTACCTTCGCTAAACAACGTGAAGTTCGTCTTGAAATCATCAAAATTTACAATGGCTTGTTCACCATCCTTTTTTCGGATTTTAGCATCGAGCTCCATGAGATACTTAGCCTTTTGCTCTGGCGTTTCTGCATCCAGATCGCGAGCCTGAACCTTGATGTTGGCTTCCTGCCCAGAACCGTAGATTGGAACCAGTCCAACAGTGTTGTCCTCCAACACTGCATTTGAGGGGTCCTGAGCAAAAAGCGTACGAAGCTTACTCTCATATTCAAGATATGGCGGAAGCAAATCTCGAACAGATTTAGTAGAGTTTTCAGAGAGATATGACAAAAACGACGCCGGCTCTGCAGGGAGAGACGGGAGGGCTTCTGGGCTGCTCATAATTGTCGTTGGTCGTGGTGGGGAAGTTAACGAAGTAGAGTATTTGCGAATGTGACCTAGGACAAAACGACTAGGAAATCTAGAAGGACAAAGGCTGAGACTAGAATCTGCCTTGTAATTGGTCAATTGGGTAGTTCCCTTCTTGAAGTTGTAGGTCGAAGATAAAGATGGAATTGCCTAGCGAACGGTGGTTGAGTATCAAATGTGGAAGCAGCTTCAGGTACCTTTATACTTTGACCGATCCAACTAATCATGCTGTTGGCAGACCGCCGCAAACATCCAGCGCTGCCAGCCCTCACCACAATCTCCAACATTTTGAAACCTCGTCCGAGGGCCAAGGGCCATCGAAGCACCTTCCCCACTTTTAATTTTCACGGAAGTTCAAAGCAAGATCTTTGGTAAAGTTCCCGAAAGACATTGACCATAGGCCGGATCTCCACAAGGAACCAACAGTTAGCTCTTTCCGGTGGGTCAGCTTCAGCTTGGCATTGCTCTGAAGTTAATCTTTCGCTAAACTAAACGAGGCGCGGCAGGGGTTTGTAAGACTCATACCGGAAGCATCGCCGGGTGCAACGTGCAACAATGACTCCGTCGCGAATTGGAATACGGATTCAAGCTTGCACATTGCTGATCGAGCTTCACGAGGTCAGGTGGGATGGCGTCCCATGTTAAGTGATTTCAATAGATGACTGTTTTTTATTACGAAATGTCGGGCTACGCGAATAGCATGCACCTTCGACTCATCGTCATCCTGGAATCAAAATTTTAATTCTATACTTGTAAGTCGACCTTGTCGCGACTCTTCGGTTAAGCATGAGGCCTGACAAGGGCTTACAAAATCGGCGCCATGCACATGTGCACCAGCATACATTTTATATTATGTAGGTAAGTACCTTAGCTCCCTAGTACCACCATCAGTAAGCTGAGAACCCCGGACTGGACTTCGAAAGGTTCGACATATGGGTTTAACATGCGATTTCTCTGTAAGCCAAACTGCTCTGACAGCCATTTCATCTTGGTGGTTAGTGTCGATGACGTAGAAATTGATATCGAGCGCCTAAAATGTCTCGTATTAAACCACATATGCATACGAGCATCATGACGACATCATGTTCAAGTTTCTTCATAGATGACCCTCACAAACGTATACTTGATCCTGACTGTTGATGTCTATTCAACGACCAAGCTGTGAATAGCACCTCAGGCCAAAGGTTCATCCACTCGAAGTCTAGTCCTCCTACATTTGTCTTTATAATAACATTGTTAAGCTAGAGTCAAACTTTCTGGCTAGGTCCTAATGCAATGCAAAAGACGAGCAAAATACAGTTGAACCCCCATCCTGGCTCAACGGCGGAAGAAATAGCCAATGAGCCTGACTGGGCGGGTCGTCATCACCATCGCATCGGGTTCAGGAATAGCGATGATAGGACGCCCGGTCTCACCCATCATATCGATGGCGAGGAGCCTGAATATAAAGAAGAAATCGAACATGCTAGAGAAGACTTGGAAATTCTGAGCCAAGAACGGGGGGAAGGGAAGCCTATAAATTTTCGAGAGTTAATTGATAGACAGGAAGATTTCCATCTGCGCCATCCGGATAACAGGTCGCTGGGTTGGCGTTATGTGCTTGATACGACGGAGGACTGGGTTAAGAATCAAGAAAAATGGCCAGCCAACTTGAGGGTTAAGGGAAATGAAACTAGTGCAGATGAGGGAGCAGAGAAAGAGGAACAAAAGGAACAATCCAAGCACCAAAAAGACCAAAGCAACGAGCGGCAGACCCGGAAAAGCTCTGAAGATCGTGCGCCCAAGAAAATTTACAGCCCTGAGAAGCAAGTACTCCTAGAGGTTCTCAAGCGTGAGAAAGACTACATTTCATCACTTAAGGTCAGTGACGGAAACAAGTCTGCTCCGCAAATCGAGGATCGGGCAGCTCGTGTTATTGATGAACAGGATCAGTTTACCCCTGATAATTGGCTTCCACGTTCATCAGACCTCATTCGCCTGACAGGAAAACATCCATTGAATGCGGAAGCACATCTCTCTCACCTCTTTGCGGCTGGCCTTATCACGCCAAACGAACTCCATTACGTGCGCAACCATGGCTCTGTTCCGAGGATTCTCTGGGAATTTCACAAACTTGATGTTGAATACGAAGGGAACACAATTTCTTTGTCAATGGATGATCTCAAACACAACTATGAGCCCATAAATATTCCTGTCCTCTTGGCCTGTGATGGGAATCGTCGCAAAGAATTTAACATGATCCGCAAGACTAAAGGATTCAACTGGGGTGCCGGTGCCGTTAGTTGTGCGTACTGGAAGGGCCCGCTCCTACGAGACATACTGATCTCCGCTGGAGTCCCCAGGACGCTACCCCCCAACACCGACGGGGTCCGATATTGGGTCAACTTTGCTGGCGATGATGAGCTACAGGAGGGGAGGTATGAGACATGCATCCCATTTGAATATGCTATGGACCCTACAAACGACGTGATCCTAGCCTATAAGATGAATGATGTCTTCCTCCCACCAGATCATGGATATCCTGTCCGCTTGGTAATACCGGGATATGTCGGCGGCCGCTGTGTGAAGTGGCTTAAAAAAATATGGATTACGGACAAGGAAAACAGTTCATATCATCATATTTGGGATAACCGTGTACTACCAAGCTTTGTCACAGACATAGACGACGAATTTGCAAAAACGATGTTCAGCCATCCTGATACATCTTGCAATGAACAGACCCTTAATTCAGTCATTGTCCGGCCAGCACAGGGTGAAAAAATCAACTTCTCCGAGTGTCAGAAGGGCCATAGCTACCGTATCGAAGGATACGCATATGACGGAGGCGGACACGAGGTGCAGCGCGTGGAGGTTTCACTTGATGCTGGAGCCACGTGGTTGTATTGTACACGCAATTTCCCCGAATATCCCATTCGCCACGGAAAAAAATTCTGGACCTGGCTTCATTGGCACGTTGATGTTGAAATGACACGTCTACTGGGTGCGCAGGGCATCACTGTTCGTTGCTTCAATGTGTTCAAAAACACACAGCCAGAAAACCCTATTTGGAATATAATGGGTATGATGAACAATTGCTGGTATATTGTCAAGACCGAATTAATCGAGGGTGATGAAGAAACAAATCTTCCATCAGTGATATTCAGACACCCAACTGAACCAGGGACTGGTGAAGGGGGTTGGCTGAAGCCGAGTGAAGAGATCAAGATTGCCCAGGCGAAACAAGAGGCCGGGACTCCGGAGAAGCAGTTTACTCGCGAGGAGATTGAAAAGCATGATAAGGACAACGATTGTTGGATTGTCATTGATGGGAAAGTTTATGACGCCACAAGCGTGATCGATTGGCACCCTGGAGGCAAAGCTGCTATTCTCTCGCACGCCGGCAAAGTCCACCAACAGACGACAGATGAGTTCGAGAGTATTCATGACGACTATGCGTACGGGAAACTGAAAGGTAAAATCCGGCATATAAGCTTGCGATAGAGAAATGCTAACTTCAGATGATGGTAAGAATGCATACTAGGATCTATCACCGAGAAGGCAAAGAACTTCATTAAGAAATCAGCAGAAGCCACAGCGCAGGAAGATGTTGCCGACGGAAGCGAGCATACTAAACTAGCGCTCCAAAAGCACAGATGGGTCCCAGTTAAGTTGGTAGACAGACAAGAAGTCTCAAAAGATACACGTAAATACACATTCCAGGTACCCGACGGCAAGGGCACTCTGGGGCTTGGTACCTGTCAGCACATATTGATCGGGTTTCACCTACGAGACCGGATGCTGGTTCGGAGTTACACTCCGATTCGCCCACTGCTTCCTGCAATTCAAACAGACCAAGACAGCACTTACGAGTCATCTGAAGAGCAAGAGAAGTCAGATGATAGGCGCTCTCCTGTTAGAGACGGCCATGGAACCTTTGACCTAATGGTTAAGACATATTTTCCAGATCCAAACCAACCCGGTGGCGCAATGTCAAATATCTTGGATTGTATTCCCGTCGGCGAAGAGGTCGAGATGCGTGGACCAACAGGTGATATTATATATGAAGGGTCTGGGAAGTTTATAATCGAAGGTAAAGAGCGACAGTTCACTCAGGTATCACTCGTCCTAGGCGGTACAGGCGTTACACCCGGGTTTGCTCTTATTGCTCGTATCTTACTCACCGACGGCGACTCTACGCAGCTACGAGTACTCTATGCCAATAAGACAGAAGATGATATACTCCTTCGAGATGAACTAGATCGTTTCGCCAAAAGTTCAGAAAGACAAATTAAAATTACACATGTGCTGAGTAATCCTAATGAACGGTGGAAGGGTTATCGCGGCCATGTCAACTCCGATATGATTCGGGAGAACTTGTTTGGGCCGGCGGACACTAGTGTTGTATTTTTGTGCGGGCCTCCTCCCATGATACAAAAGGCGGCGCTGCCTGCTTTAAGAGGTAAGCTTGGGGCCAAAACTTACTAACCTTATGAAATGGCCTTTGCTAATTACCAATTAGATTGGGGTTATGTTGAAGATCAGAACATGTTCGGGTTCTGAAGCATGGTATTCATCTCGAATACCGTAGAAGTCTTTCTGCAAAGTCATGACGACAAAAGTTTTACTGTGTACAGTTTTATCCTTAACGTTTCCAACCAAATAACTCGAGTCGGCCTCGCAACATACCATAACCAATTTGTAGTGCAGTTTACCTACTTGTTTAGGTAGTTAGTAGCAATGGAGGCTAAGTCGGTAGTCTTGTGCAATCGTGATGCCTCTTCACACACCTAGTATAGCCTAGAGATATGGCCAATGAGGAAAAGCCTACGCTGTTTCTGAATTTACATATTGTAATATTGATATTGCGGCTACCAATTGGCCAAAAAATGTGGCGAACCGGGAACCCTCTTTCTGATAGCTAGGACATACGATAGACGGGAACCGTACCCATGTCTACATTATTATTACAATCGAGTTAAATATTTTAATGCTGTAAAGTACCTACTACCTAGGTAGTTAGTAGGTAACTAAGAAGACAACGCTTTACCTTGTTGGAATTATATTAATGTCAAAATATCTAGCTCGCGGTTACTCCTCATATGGATACACACAAGCACCTACATTGGAAATCTGCAAAGCATAAGTGCATGGCGCGTGGATATAGCGGGAAAATTAATTTAGATTGGCAATACCATAGAGACCCCGAAAAGACTAGCACTAGCTAGCATGAAAACAGTTGAAATCAATTTTTCGCTCCATTGTCATATATTCATATATTAGCCTCGAGACTATATTATCATGCAAGTTGTCAGCTAGTTTCTATAAGGTGCAGTGCATGGACCCAGAACTTCACGGGCTTTCTTCCACCTCATCAGGTTTGAAGTTAACTTTTTAACTATATAATCTGGTATATAGAATAATCTGGTATATATAGAGTAGCGTATGCGCGCCGACTGCAAAAAAGAAAAAGAAAAAAGTGCACACCTCGCTTCTCGCAATCGACTGCTAAAGACCACTTCAATTTTTAGTCTTGCGCCTGCTCAACGATTTAAGAATAAAAGGAGTGATCTAGTTGAGCATCCGCAAAGCAACTTTACACGGCATTAGTGAATCAATGACAAAACATATTGGCTAGGTGGCTAGAGGGTATTTATGGCAAAATACTGCGAAGCAATAGGAGGTATGAGCATAGAGCATAGAAGGGTTGGGATGGGGCCCGAGATTTTGACAACGGTATAATAACATGACATGGATGATGGGAAGGGTGCACTTTGGGGATTGAATACGAAGTTGAAGAACACCTAAGGGCTCCTATAGCTATAGCAAAAACTGGGGCTAGCTAGATCGGAGGGGCGGCTGCGATCGCCCATTTAAGGGTCCCGAGTCTCTAATCGTATATATCGTGTGTGGGTCGATATCGATATATATCGGAAAGGTCTTTTCGAGCCACGAGTACATTTTCCCAATATCCCAATGCCTAGAACTATGTATAAGATTAATAATGAGTACGAATATGAGCATAATTACTAAATCCACGAATTCGCGACATGCCAGCATCTAGGCTTCTGGGGTTTCGCGGGACTTAGCGATTTCGAAAACCGCATTGTATGCCTCTACAAGATTTTTTGAAATAGTTAGCAGTTAGCAGATAATTCAAATTCTGCTACGATCACAGCCTAGTACGATCAAGTTGCATACGTATATACGATATTGGGGTAAAATAAATTCGGGGAAAGCAGAGTGGTACTTACTGTGCCGCGAACCACCTTTGATGCCGGTTCAATTCGAATCCGACAACCATCTCCTCTCTTCTATTCTCCTTGATCAGCCATACACTAACTAAGATCAAGCCGGACCCACTCCTAAGCACTGGTACTGGTAATTTATCCCCTAAAAAGGTATGTTCCAAGATCACGTTCACGAGGTCCCTAAGTTTAAACGCATTGGCTTTTCTATAAACGTTTCCAATTTGCGATCGTGTTCTCCAGGGAACATGTGACATTTCAATTCTGACACCCTTATGAGCCCGCGGTCTAACAAGTTCAACGGATGGAATAGATTTCATCATGGGTAGGTCGTAGATTGCAGCTGATAGAGCAGGGGTACCCCACAAATGTTCTGGGATTGTGCTAACCGCGTACCAAAGTTTTTGTATCCCGTCGACGTAAGGGTGGGCGAATTCACAGCGGCCCGTCCAAGGTGATTGCGGGTTATCTGGCATTTTTGGCGGTGACTTCGCTTGTTCTCTTCGCTTTCTCGAATTTAAATAGATTGTAGTCTTCCCGTGTTCACCTTCATCTGATGAAGAAGAAGAACAGTATTCCGAATCAGAAAGCGGGACGGGCTGGACGTAAAAGTTATAGTCCTGGCGGACTAGGCGAGGGAGATAGGTATGCTCCCACCGCCAGGTTTTCCACCGGAGAACTTGAGAGGTCTTCAGTATTTCGCACCAGGCCTTCGAAACTAATGGGGCGACGATGAGGGTCGCATCGTCCACACGTATGAGAATTTGCTCCAGCAGTTCGTACGTATTCAACACTTTTATTGAAGCCGCAGAGGATATTGCTTTGTTGCCATTCTTTTGGCTTTTGATGACTAGGCTAGGGTATCGATCTTTCATCTCGAGTTTATCGAGACTGACATGATTAATATCGTTGAGTGGGCCCGACCTCAACCTAGCGTCGATTTCAGGCGCGAGAGGCGGCGTAAGTCCTCCATGTGAAGTTTGCATGGAGTCTGCTACCATGCGCATTCGGTTCAAGAAGGTTTCTTGCATTTCTCGCGCATAGACATACGGATATAAATTATATAATATTCGAGTTTTATTGATGGAATTCCAGGATCCAGCTCCAGTTGAACCGGGATTATTTCAGCCCTGGATGAGACGAGCCCAAACTCCCTAACGTCGCGTTCCAACCTAGGCTATGAGTTCGATTCAGGCAACCTGAAACTTGCACGAACACGTGCCGTTCAACTGTTGATGTTTCGTTTCATGAATATCGAGTATTGCAACTGGACGCGCATGTGAACTGTAATGTAGTGTAGTGGATTTAGCTGATAGCTGATTATGGATTGCTTTGTAGCTAAGTTGCACATATGGCCATGCAAGTAGCATTGCTAATTGACGTCGGTGACTTGTACTCTTAGAATAGGTATTCGCATCGATTTCCGGAGCCGACTAGCGGCATAAGCCGCAGCATCATTGATAAAAAGAGAACCGTTAACCAGTTTTTTTTTTTCTGGCTCCAGCCGGTTATACTTCCAAGGCTGGGTACGAGACAACAATTATACCAGCCCTAACTTCTCGCTTGCGCTTGACTTTTGGGCTTCTAACGCCAAGATTAGTTGAAACGGTGCCATCAGGGTGCAATCCGTTGAGATCGTGATAGCACATCTCAATCAAGGAAGATTCCGGGCGGCTTGATATCTTTGGCTAGCCGGATTGGCTCGTTTTGGGCAGCCGAATCGTCGGTCTGACGTGAGTCTAGATGTGGGGAAGACAGGACTGCGGCACCAGCTAGCCACTGCCATTCTGAAACGCCTAGTTCGACCTTGCATTTCGACCAAGTTTTGATTAATGGCCTGGACGTAATTCTGTAATCGTCCCAAGATACATAATATCTAGCACGAATCATTCGTCTGGATGCAAGCAAATATAACAGGATCAAGAACTCCGGCCCTGATCCCGACCCCCGGACCATCCTGACTACAGTCTCTATTTACAGCATCCAGGTGGGGGAATTTCGAAGGCATGGTGACCGCATAACGGTTACTTTCGTCTGACGATCTAAGTTCTGTCTCAGAAGTTCTTCGAACGTTTTCTCAGGGGTCTGTCCTCTCACGGCATCAGGGCGACGGGGAGTAAAAATAACATCTCATCTCTGTGTTCTATTTTTTAACCACGTCGACGACAGATTAAATATTTCCAACCCCCCCTAGTCATCATAACTTTGGCCTCTCCCGTCTGCTCATCTGTGCAGTTTACATCGGGCGGTACTTCATACATGTGCACCGACCGAACGATTGGTTTAACACGCTGACGTTGACTAATGTTTGTGCCCCTTCCTTTCGTCTGCATTGATTGACTTGGCCCCTCCCCTCCCACAACTGGCCCAGCCCTGACCCGCTGCCATTCGTGCGCGCGCTCGTTTTCTGGTGTAGTGACGTTCTGTCATACATTACATTCTCGTTCCTTTTGTTCATCTCCTTGCTGGTGTCGGCATCGGTCCATATTCTTCTGTATATTCCATCCCATATGTCAATTGCCATTATTGTCGCCTGACGCTGTTGTTTGAAGTCTCCACCATATCGGTTGTTCAAAACTAGCAGTCGGAACCAGTCCCCGATAGGCCTAAAGCACAGTGCATGTGCATACTTGACATTCCTCCATTAATTCGTCCCTGAATTCGACTCACTCAGCTCCAATATCCCTAAGATTATCGACTCCAACATTTGCAAATTCAAGGCGCCTGTCTAAGTTGGTGTTTTTTTTTTTGGCGTCGCAGGAGCGAATGCCACAACCTTAACAGGAAGTGGATAAAAAACCCAACAGCCGAAGAAGCTAAAATATCATTTAAGAGAAATAAATTAAGGAATTCGAAAGAAGGGAAGGATCGGTCATTTAGACGGGGGAAAAAATCTGGCACGAAACGAGGTCGTTTCTTCTTTTCCTTTCCTTCACGTTTTACTTTAACGCTTCCCAGGGCGCAAATTGAAATCGCCGCCAGTGCAGCCCATCGGAAAGGAGGGAGAACCGCAATATATTCGAATCCAACGATAATCAAGCCCGACCACGAGGGCATACACGAGGGCAACAGGACAGCGCACGATCCAACATACGTATAGAACGAGAATCATCGAGCCCATTGTATTTTGCTAAGGGTGCTGGCAAGAGTGCACGAAAAAGCAAAAAGCGTAGTCTCTCAAAATCCTGCTCTGAACCGCTGACCCCTCGCATTGAGAGAGGGTGCAGTTCGACTCGATTAACAGGCAGCCCGTCCGATAGAATTAATATATTTCCAGACGATGCCGATGGAGGACTCCGGCGCGAAGGAGAGCAGTCGCTATGCATACGGTGGCGCACCTACTGCTCCTTCCCACGCCCCTCCTCCTCCTCCCCCGCCGCTACCTCAGAAGGAGAAGGACCATCCAACGAAAAGACGAGCGTCGAAGCTGCAGAAACCGCCGCCTCCAAAGATCGCGACATCAACCTGGGGCCATCCGAGTAATGCTGGTAAATCACGGTCGTCCACATCTATAACCCGTAGTCAGAGTTCAAGGTCGCCTCGTCCGAGGGAATATCTTACCGAAACACCGTCGAGGTCGTCGAGGCACGAACGTACACCGACCTCGCCCAATATCATCGCAGGCGAATACCAACCTACGGCGTCGTCGACATCGCTGGACCGGGCTCTTAGGTTTTCGAGCGAGTACAGCAGGCAGCCCTTAAATCTAACAGACCCTAACGATAGGGAAAAAAGACCGCCGGGTGGAGGTCTGTCTGTGGTGCAGCAAGGTTCCGTTTCAGGTGGTCGACAGTCAGAGGACGGGGTGGCCCATCATTTGTTGACGTCGACGGCGTATAAGCCCTTCAACGCTCAGCAACAGCAACCACCCTCCTCGCAACCTCAATCTCAACCTCAGCTCCCACATCACCAACCTTCACTTCATCATCATCCATCTCATCGCGACAAACGAAACACTCTTCAACCAAAAAGCAACATCACCAGGAATCAATCTGGAGCTCAGCAGGCCTCTCCTTACTTCCTACCGTCTCAGCAGCATTCAGACCCCTCCGTCCCCTCTCTCACACCCTCTTCATCTAACTTGACTGACGGGTCTACCACAATGGCTGCATCTACAAACTCAGCCCAATCGAAACAGTCTAAAAGAGGCTCACGCTCGAGACCTCCGAGCCCTGATCTAACTGGTAAGATGGCCATAGGCACGGGTGCCACTAGTCCGAAACGACTTTCGGACGAAGGTCGGCATCCTCCTAACCCTATTAAGAAGAAAGGTGGTGGTCTATCCGGTTTCTTCGGGTTCGGTGGCAGCGACAAGGGTCCCAAAGGCAAGCCCGAAATTTCTAAACCTAGCAATCCTGTCCATGTCACCCACGTTGGGTACGATTTTGAGACTGGCGAATTTACGGTAGGCCTTGTCGTCCTGATCGTTTTCATTGGACCACGACTGACTGACAAACTATGCATTCAATAGGGCCTTCCCGCAGAATGGCAACGACTGCTGGAAAGCAATGGTGTAACGAAAGAGGAGCAGGAGAAGCATCCTCAAACTGTGATGGAGGTTGTTCGCTTCTACAACGATGCTACAAATTCTACGAGATTCGAGGAGGACGTCGTCTGGAGCAAGTTCGAGAAAGCACAATCAAAGGACCTCACAATGCTTATCCCGGATACGATGCCCGCAGAACCCAATGGCCACAGTCCGATAAGCCCTCGATTCCCTAAGACCCAATACACGTTCGAGAATCCGAGAGCCGCTCCTCCAATCCCATTGAAATCACCCCGCCCTAGCGGTTCACAACCGTCACCCGCGGCACTAGTTCCTACCCGGCCAGCTCCAAAGCCGCCAACTGACCTCTCAGCACCGCTCCGATCACCCCCCGTCCCGCCAAAAGAGCCTCTCGATGGACGCCCTTCACCAACGGAGGTGCACCGGATGCCGCCTCCGACTCGGCCACCACCTGCTATGCCGGTTGAGATGCCCCAAGTTCCCGAAGGCAGACCCGGTGTACCCCCCGAAATTATCCGCAAGAATTCACTCAAGGCCGCGAACGGTAGACCCAAGGATACCGACATCCCAGCCTTGCCAGCAGGTGGAATCCCCGATGCCTATAACGCGAATTTACAATTGAGCCAACAAGCACAACAGCAACAGCTGCTCGCTCAGCAACAACAGCTGCTCTATATGCAACAACAGCAGCAACAACAATTGAGCAATCAGATGAACAACCTCGCTCTCCAAGGCCCACCTCCAGTCCCACCACACCCCCCCGCTAATTCGTATAACATTCCGGGCAGCTATCAGCAACAGCAACAGCAACAATTCGGGTCCAAACTTCCACAGCAGCCTGGAATTGGGCAGAGACGCCACACTCGCAACCAAAGCAAGGATGGGGAAATCATGGCTCGTCTCAAAGCAATCTGTAGCCCTCAGGATCCCACCAAGATATATCGCGGCTACAACAAGATTGGACAAGGTGCTTCCGGAGGCGTATACACAGCGTACAAAAATGGGACAAATGCAATCGTCGCTATCAAACAAATGAATCTTGAGCAACAGCCCAAAAAAGATCTCATCATCAATGAAATATTGGTCATGCGCGAAAGCAAGCATCCGAATATCGTCAACTTTATGGATAGCTTTTTGATTCGAGGTGACTTGTGGGTTGTCATGGAATACATGGAAGGAGGTAGCTTGACCGACGTCGTTACCTTCAATTTAATGACAGAAGGTCAAATCGCTGCTGTCTGCAAAGAGGTATGTATTTTATATTCTTTGTACGAAAATGCGACAGCTCTAACCCAATAATAGGTCCTACAAGGACTCCAGCACCTTCACTCAAAGGGTGTCATTCATCGTGACATCAAGAGTGATAACATCTTGCTCTCCCTAGCAGGAAACATCAAATTAAGTATGTGTTCTTCCTAACTCGCTAGGAATCTACGTTAATTACTAATTTCGTTTAGCCGACTTTGGATTCTGTGCCCAGATTAATGAAACTATGCAGAAGAGGACCACGATGGTCGGTACCCCCTATTGGATGGCACCAGAGGTAGTCACTAGGAAGGAGTACGGCAGGAAGGTCGATGTTTGGAGCTTAGGAATCATGACAATTGAGATGATCGAAGGCGAACCACCATACTTGAATGAAGCACCACTGCGAGCGCTCTATTTGATCGCGACAATAGGGACGCCAAAACTCAAGGAACCAGGGGATTTGTCACCAGATATGATGTCTTTCTTAGACACTGCTTTGGAGGTTGACCCCGAACGACGTGCTTCATCATCCGAGCTACTTCAGGTAAGAAATCTCCTTAGCCTAGAACAATTCAGTTCCAACTACTGATCATTTTTCGATACTAGCATCCCTTCATGACTCACGCTGAGCACTTGATTACACTCGCCCCACTTGTTAAGGCTGCTCGCGACCAGCGAGCGAAAGAACGCGCACATCAACAGCGTTAGGGACGCAGTCCGCCGCGCGAACGTAAACCACCACCTAGGCTACCCAAATTCGCCCCACGCCTTTTGTATGCCTCTCATCCAAGCTATTCGAACGCATCGCCTCTTTCCCACTCCGTCTGGAATCCAAGATCCTGAAAATGCACGCCTTCCAAGCCTTTTCAAGCCGTCGCCAGTATTCTACAACCTAAATTCGAGACAACTGCCTTTTCTTCTTTTTTTCATCTTCTGCCCCCCTTCTTTTTTTTCTCCTTTTTTCCTTTCCCCCCCCCCTGCGACATAGGAACAACGTCTACTCAACTTCTGGATCATCGCTATTCGACAGCTCACCATTTGCCTCTTGGGAAACAACAACCCACCCAAGCTTGCCCTATTTTCGCCCTCATGATAGAATTTATGCCCTAGCGAACCCCCCACAAATCATCCGGTCTTGAGTACAAAATACGTACCTCGAACCTTTTCTATATCGAACTTCTTCTTCACCCCTATTTGTCCTGCACTTTTCCCTTATTTCCTAGACTTCGCCAATATGTTCGGTTGCCCTTTACCCTTCCTCACAACCCTCCCTTCGATAAAGCAACGTTTTTCAAATCCCTTACTACGGGATTCTTGTGATCTAAGTATCATAATGGTAAGATGTGAAACATAAAAAGACTGTTTCCGTTCTTCTATGTTCGTTGTTCTTATCGAAACGGCTGAGGGGAAAAGCTGTGTATTCTTTTTTCTGATAAATACAAGATGGCATGGTTGTCTATTGCTATTTTCTGGCTTTCTTTTCTCTTTTTTTTTTAGCTTCTATCGCTTTTCTATGGGTTTAATGAGGATGGTTCCTTTTTTTATTTTTTTTTAGCACGTGCTGTGAGAATTAGCAGATGGTTTTCCTTTACTGTTCAACATCTTTCTCTTCCAATGCAAATATTACTGGGCGACGAGCTCATTGCCCTTTTTCAATCTTGGGTAGATTGCGGTCAATGCTAATGGTGATATCGCCATCGATCCCACATCTGAACCTTTCCGACGAGTGCCGCAGCAGTGTGGACTTCTCTTGCAAATTCGTGTGCGCCGGCTTCATCCGAACTCTGGGGTCGATTCTTATCGATAACAGCATGATTCGAGATGTACGATGTTTTCCAATACGACTTCCAGTTGATTAGTCACACATTTGTTTGCTGGGGGATCTGACAAAGGTCCCTTCCTACAAGGGTCTAAAATCAAGGCACAGGGAAAGCTCAAGGAGCTACCCATCCGGATCTAGCTAGTATCGTATTATATAACTTTCTTATGTAGCACCCGGAGTTGATTACTATGCAAAAATTTACCTGCACGCACCGTATCGAGGTCGGTATGTATGTATAAACCGTGGACGAACTTCAACCAGGAAGTATATACTTTGGTCCCAACCCCCGTTTCCCAAACCTCTGCACTCCATTGGCCAATTTCCTATATCACAACAAGTACCTACTGTATTTTCCTCTTCCATATCTACCTAGTTCGAACTTTTAATTACGTAGAAGACAAGGGCAACCTTTAAGCTTCCTTTAAAAATTTGTAAACGTAATCAACGTGTAATGCGCTAAGATGATCGACCTGCGCATCTGCCCGCGCAAGTTCCGGACGTAGATTTACCGCACGTCTCCCCATCGATCAAGAGATTTAATATAAAACCCATACCCGTCCCATCCGCGACACTTCCCATCAAACTGCAATTCCTCTCATTGATAAAATTGTTTAGACTTTAGCAATCGCCGTAACCACTAGTATTACCACCGGCCACCGCACGGTGTCACTAGCAGCAATTATATTTTTAGAAAAGAAGGAACAAAAATAGTTTTTTTGTTGAAACAGAGTACCCTCATTCTCATCCTCTCGCTCTTGATACTTCTTATTACAACTCTCAACCTTATCTACACTTTTGAATTATACCTGCTCAAGTTCAATCTTGATCGTGATCTTGCATCAACAGCCCCACCATCACCGAATTCGGAACAGCTTGGTGAGGCTTGCGATTTACCACACGAACAACGCATTTCTCAGGTTACGCAAACTTCGTCAGCTTATCCTAGTTCTCTAAATTCGATTACAAAGTACCCGGCGTGGTTTGAGGCACTTGATCTAGCTACTGCTGCCCCGTTAAAATACCCAGAAGAGAGTTTAGACTCGAGTTTATACAAGATGGCTAGTTCTGATGAAGCAAAAATTAAAAGGATCAGGGATCCGAGGTTGTATATTGTTCGACAGTATGTGATACCACCCTTTTGTTTTCATATTAGAGTATTGATGATGAATGACTAACAAATGGGCTTTGATATTGCTCTTGATGTATAGTGGAGAGACTGAATGGTCTCTCTCAGGCCGACATACCTCGGTCACGGACCTGCCGCTTACAGAGCATGGTGTCTCTAGAATCACCTTGACGGGCGAAGAACTCATCGGGGTTGACAGTAAGTCTTCCTCCCCCAACTACTAGAAAACCCAGCTCCCTTTAATCTTACATATCATATAAAGGTCTAATCGATCCCACCCGCATCGGCAAAATCTACGTCTCCCCACGCACCCGCGCCCAACAAACCCTCAAACTCCTCAACCTCCCATCAGACATCCCCATAGAAACAACCGAAGACCTAGCCGAATTCAACTACGGCACCTACGAAGGGCTCACCTCCAAGGAAATAAAAGCCAAATGTGGGAATGAAGACTGGGAAATCTACGTGCACGGCGGCGGAGCTCCAACCGGAGAGACGCCACAACAGGTTTCGGACCGTGTTGATAGAATTATCAAGAAGATAAGAGAGGAGAATCATAAGGCGGTGTATGATGCTCATGAAAAATGTATTTCTACGGGACAAGATCATCATCTTGATGATCCGGAGTTAAAGACGCCGGATGTATTGTTTGTGGCTCATGGGCATTTGTTGAGAGCTTTGGCGGCTAGATGGTTGGGCTTGGAGATTGCCAATGGGAGGAATTTACAGCTGGACGCTGGTGGAGTTGGACTTTTGAGTTATGAGCATCATGCTTATCAGGAGCCGGTCATTGCGAAGTGGAATTGGGTGCCTTTAGGGAGGTAAATTGGTACCTTCCCTTGGAAAAACACTTATTGCTTCCCTTCATTCTGAGGGGGTGGACAAAGCATTGAGGCTATATTGTAGTTTGAGTTTATTGCATTACAGTTTTCTCGATAACATTCTCAGTAGAAAGGACTTTCTTGGGAGGTGTTCAATTAAAGTGTGCCTAATACATTGCTTCGCACTGGAGCGCAGTTATGTGTACTGGGTAGAGCTACGTGAAAGTTGCCGCCAGAAGACGTCATGGAAAACACTTTGTGCTAATCAGTCGAAAATAAAACTTGAAAGAAATGGATATAGAACTCAAAGAAGAACCAGCTAAAAAAAAAAAGAATCCTTCGCATTTCATATGTACTTTTCACATCCTCAATTTCAACCCCTTCCAAACAATCCAAACTTCTTATGTGACTTCTCCCCTTTCTCAGAAGTGCCAGTTGTGGGGCTCTTGACCTTAGCGGAAGCAGGGGCAGATGTTGAGCCAGAAGCTTCTGGCTTTGCAGCAGCTTTAGTATCGATCGGTGGGGCGGTGGGCTTCTCCTCAACTGCAGCCTTAGCTACAGCGGGCTTTTCTTCAGGGATGGTCTCGCCAACGATGACTGGAGATGTTGGATCTGAGACCGGGGATTTGGTCGACGCGATGGAGTTCTGGCGAGTAAGTTTTCCGGTAGTAAATTGCTCGATAATGCTGTACCATTTCATTGCCTGTGTATGTCATGTTAATAAACTGAACCCTGATCGAAGGCCCTTCTTCGGGCGGGGATGCTGTTTGTATATACCTCATCGTGTCCACCGGCCTTGAATGAAAATTCATGTTTACCAGTGAGGTGCTGGTTCTTGTTCGCATCCTTTCCAGCGACAATAAACTTGGCTTCTCCAGCCGCAGGCGGGGCTCCAATCACACATTCAGACAGGTATAACGAAAGTTCCGGCTCAGGGTTTTCCTTGAAATCGTTATTCTTGCTAAATTCGTGCAAATAACCCGCCGGAGTAACAGCATAGTGATATGAATCGTATGACTTCATAATCTTGCCTTTGCGGCTGAGCAACCCATTTATAAGAGGCTGCGAGGAACGGTGATTCTGGTTAGGGAATTTGATAGCATCAAGGCTACGATTGGGGGTTGTGGGGTCGATGAGAATTTCTGCGGAACGAACGGTGAAGTTGGTCCATTCGAATTCGTCGGGGATGTTTTGGAAGTTAGCGTTTACGTCGGCATAGAACTGCTTGTTTTTATCGGTTTGACCGCCGGCGATTTGGAAGAATTGGCTAAAGGCGCCGCGGAGAGTCTGGGGGACAAGTTAGTTATATCTCAATCTTCAGAATGAAGACGCAAAGGGGGTTTTTGTACCTCGAGAACATGCTTTTCGAAGACCAGGAAGTTGTTCTGGACGTCCAGAAGATCCTTCTTGTGTGCATTTTCTTCGAGAACCTGCTTGTGCAAATGGTGCTGCACCGCTCGTTGGATGATATACGGGTCTTGGACTGGTTCTATCTTCCCACCGACGCTATCAAAATTGGCGGTATTGGTACCAAGATGCTCGAGTTGTTTCTGTGTAAGTCCTCGAGCCCTTTCGACGGCTTTGGCGCCCTTGGCGGCCCCGGAGGTGAGTTCCTTATGTTTATTCTTGATCTCGGAGTGTAGACGGTTAAGAGTTGGAAGAAGTTGCCCTCTGAGAGCCTTCTCGGTCTCCAATTGAGTGTTTGCAAGGGCCTAACATTCGTAGATTCTGGTTAATTACAGTACGGGGTGGGTGTGTGGAGGGGTTGCGACTGAGGGGTAGCTCGTACCTGTGTATTCGCACGGATATTCTCGAAAAATGAGGCAACACCGCCGTTCGCCTGAGCGAAATGGTGGCCTTCTCGTAGAGGCTCATTTACCGTCTAAATTCAAAGTTATTCATTAGCTATTAACGTTGAAACTTGCGCATAAATAGTCTTGATAGCTAGATATGTGGATTTATACCTTCAAAACCTTATCATAGTCCCTGGACAATGATTTGTGCAAATTCGCTGTCGCCTCGACGTATTCCTCAAGGTATCCACATGCATGCTTCCATGCATCTAATCTTTCAAGAAGAAGAGCTGCGACATCTCCCTTCTCCTGAGGAATAGGACTGGTCAGCGGATCTTCCGCGACAGCCGCTATTTGGACAGCTGCAGACATGGTTTCGGGTTCGGGTTCGGCAGAGGGGTAAGAGTAACAAGGGTATGGTCGTGTGAGTGAGACCGCCTTTAGCTAGGTAGCAGAAGCTGTGCGACTAGACAAGGATATAGCGAGGGACCCTTTTAGAATTCGATGGATGCTTTCGGGAATACTAAGATTGAATGATTTCCAAAAGCCAGAGGATTTGCGAAAAAAGAAGTAGCCAGCTTAGCTTTATATGTGGACTAAATTCGCGATTCGGAGGCCGGTGACATGGACAAAGTGTGGTTTTTTAAGATTAAAGCGGGGCAGCTTAACTCCGCGATTGAGGAAGATACACCTGGTCATGCAAGATATCACGCCAGAGCGAATAGAGGTGTTCTTAAGTTTGCGACCGCCTTGTCATCAGGCTTGGGAGCTCAGTTATGGACCGTAGTGCCGACCTGGGTAAATCAGGAACCGGGGCTATACGATATCCGGTATGACGACAGACCCTTGTAATAGTTGTGATATCGACACTTGCTGATTGGAGGGAAGCAAGCAATTGGAGTGGAGTCGAATTCAGGTTTAGATTGAATCTGAAGAATGAAACTCATAAAATATACTGTACATAGATACGATACAAAGGACGGGTACAGAATATAGTCTCGAGACTGCGCTTTTGGGAGCAGATGACGTCACAGGGAACATCGCAGGAAAGCTTGGTCGTTTCTCTCGCGTGTTGGCACCGATAGCTCCAAAGATCGAGATCTAGATCACCTCAACACATTGCATCCAACAGTTGAGGTTCGAAGCTGATCGTCGATAGCTTATGTTACACACACAGGTATATACTTGGCTTAGTACTTTCCTATCTATGTAGCATGTAGGTATCTATTAAGTCGTAGGTATGCATATATACCTAGGTAGTCGACATATAAAACTGGAGCGAACCCATATCGAGGCTTACGTAGACTGGGACATACTCTTCTCCACCTAGACCCTGCAATTAATATATATTAATGTTAATTAACATTAACTCTTCAGGGACCTAAACTGTACCTGAGTAGTTCGGCGGAAAATCAAAGGGCCGAAATTAAAGAAATGCTTACGAATTGACATCAGCCCCAAGCAAGTCGCCTATGACTTTAATGAATATTAACCGTATTATTATATACATTTATTTTTAGTTAATCGAAGTACGAGATTTAAAATTATAGAGTCAGCGTTTGGTACGTATTAAAAGGTACTACCGAAATTGGGTGCTTACATTGCATTCATGGTCGCGCTCCGTTTGAAGACGGAGAGAATTCGATGGAATATACGATTTTTTGAACCCATCTCATGTGTCTCGTCTAGGACTGACCAATTAGGGAATGCTTGAGTTGTCACGATCGATCATGATCATACCTTAAATCCTTTCTGGTTGAATTTGGGAGTCACATCGATACCTAACTCCCAAGCAAGGCCTGATAACCAGTGGTAAAGTTAATTTGGGTTCCGCGCTATAATATTAATATCCTCTACAAATACATACCATCATCGGCTCTAGTTCGTTCCAACATTCGAATTAATTCCTCGGAACATTAAATTGATCAATTGCAACGAAACCACATTCATTCAACACAGAAATCTCAAAATATATTCATATCCGGTCCACCATCTTGAAGATGTATCTCTCCAACCTTGCGCCTGAGCTACTTCTCAATATCATATCTTCCCTTGAGGCGAATGATCTCGCACAACTCGTGCAAACGTGCCGATATCTATATAACACTGGCAATGAAATTAAGATCCTGCGCCAAGTCGAAGCTGTCGACGCTGACACATTGAAATTTATTTTAGGGTTGGAGCAACCCTACGTAGAAGGTTGGAATTATAGCATTGTTCGGCGAGGGAGCATGATGTTCGCCGTTTCGTTCACCATTATAGATGTAGAACCCGGATCAAAACCCCGGGTCTCTACTCTAGATTCCTCATCATCAGCCATATTTGACGTATTGGCAGATCAAATTGCAACGAGAAACAAGAGAATTGTCGATGGGAAATTCAGAGTTGGGAGCGGAAGTAAGTTGAGGATTAGCCCTAGGCCGCACTACCTAGGCTTCATGAAACTGCATGTCATACACAGAATCGAATTCAATTGAGGATCGCTACTTACCAATTCCTATTCATACTATAGTTCTCGACTGTGATTCCACAGGCTCAATCCTTTTCGCACTTAAGAAATACTCCCATGTTCATCCAGCTTCGGAGTTCTCAATTGCCTCCCTGTCTACTGAATTTTCTCTCAGTCAGCATGACTTGTCAACCTTTTTTGACACCCAAAAGCTCACCAAACTCAGTCTAAGATTTCCTGCGGCGTTTTGGGAATACGATTACAGTATGGGCTTTCCTAGCTCTGAAGCCTCACAGCAGGCGCACTTTGCTCTCAATAAAAAATTACTGCGAGATATAGAAAACCTCAGAGATCTACTTCTTAAAGTCTCAAATCTCGAAATTCTTTCCCTCAGGCCCCATGTAAGCTTCTTTAGAGTCATCCAACCACTTATGGTCCTACCTCCAGCCTTGGATGGGCTCGGACAAGCTGTCGAAGGGCTGACTAAACTACACACGCTCAAAATCAGCGAATATCTCTTTCATCCGGCCTTCTTCCTCCCGGTCCCTAAAACAGTGAAAAAATTACAATACAAAAAGGTCAACAAGCTCTCTCAAGGATGGTGGTCTCGGTTTGCAAAGGCGCCTCTTACAAATGTTGAAAGCTTGTCGATTAGATCAGACGGCATTGGACTCCGCCCTAGGAGCGTTTTCCGGGAGAGCGAAAAGGGGTTCAATATTGAAGATATCGAGATCAAAAGTTTGAAAAGGTTTATATGCCAGGGCGTGGAAAATCCTTGTCTACCCAAGGATTTGGTTGAGTGTATTAATCGAAGGAATACGGGACTTGAGCAATCAGTTTCTTACTAATAATGTGTATATACCTGCATCTCTTTCGATTTATGAGCTGGCTGGTATTTTATCCCAATTATATATTTACCACTATTCACTGATTAAATGCGAGTTCACAGCATTGCCTAGTATTGAATCCGATTATGCATAATTACGGATTGAAATCTGCCTCTCTTCAAAGCCACTAAACATACCTTTGTTATATATTTCGCGTTGTCTGGAGCCGGGCTTGAAGCCCGGCTCCGGCGCGACCAATTCGAGAGGATAGCCTTTCTTTCTCTCACTCATACAATTGAAGGTCCCACGGTATTATCATGATATATATTTATTTAGGCTTGTTACGCTCAATATCTGTGGAAAGTTACATTCAGTGCATGCATGAAGTTATAACTAGGATATATATAATAGACTATATGCCCCACCTTACTCATGAGTCAATGCTGACACGTCGGCCCAAACGTCCTTCGAGACGTATGCACTTAAGGCGCTAAGCTGACCATCCGAACCTAACGCGCTGAATAAGGTCTCGCGACATGTCAGTAACCAAGGAACTTACTATCTATGCATATAAATACCCACTTTCGCGATCGGGAATTGGATGATAATTGTTGTTTCTTCAGCGCAATTAAACCCAATGCGATTATAATTCAAGACTTGGACGCTACTATTAATTTTCAAATTCCTTATTTTTTAAAAAAAACCATGAGTTTATCCGAAAATCCGCTTTCACACTTCCAGATTCTCGCTCCCGAACTGGTTTTCCAAATATGTTCTTACCTGGATAACAAAGATCTTCCGAACCTTTTGCCGACATGCCGGTACCTTCACCATGCCGTGTCAGGGTATCTGCACGACAAAACGAGCAAGACCACACTAAAAACGCTTTTGGAAGCGAAATCTAATAACTTCTATGGGATCGAATTTATAAGAAAGACTCAGAACGGAGATGCTGATACTACCATAGGACTGGGTGTGTTAATTAAAGCCATTGAAGCTCTTTTGAAGGAAAAGAGTAAAGCGGTTATTATCTCTTTCAAAGTCGATTCTGAGAGTAAGTAATTGTTGAATTCATTGGTGTTGATTGACTTCATGACATATCGTCTCGGAGTTGGCATCCAGGAAGACTGTCCGTATTCACATCGAGATTTTATTCATTCATTCCACACAATTTAAAATTTATCGATCTTGTCACCACCATTGCATATTACAAATCTCTTATATATCAAAAAAAAAAAAGTATTATCGGTTTTAATTGAATTCCGTATATGTAGGCGTCAGACCAGAAGGTCATCGGGATCTACTCCTTTCACTCAAAGCCTTCTCATATACACGTCCCGCCAACCAATTCGCAATCAACCCTCTCACAGCCAATCTCTCACCACTCGAAGTAGCTCGAATCTTCGACGTCCGCAAGTTGACCAGGTTAAACCTCACCTTCCACGTTAACCAGTGGAATAAAATCCCAAGATACGACTCCGGCGTTTTAGACGTCGAATGTACCGAATACAGAGATGGAACGATAGAATATCGTCAGTCCCTTCGAGAGAAGGCATACGAAGAATATAACCTCCCCAGTCCCGAAATTCTAGAAGATATATCGGGACTTAATAAATTGTTGACACGAACTCAGAATTTGGAGCATTTACAATTATATCCCATGGTACTGCACTACAAAAAATTCCGACCACTTGGGGATTTACCATCAGAACTTGAGGAACTTGGAAACACGTTCAAGAACCTAAGACGGTTACGATCACTCGAACTTGACGAATTCTTATTCCATGTATCCTTCTTCCTCCCCGTTCCCGAAAACCTCGAACGGTTGCAATTGAAAAACACACAATATTATTCAAAAGCATGGTGGTTACAATTCGCAAAATACAAATTTACGAATTTGAAGGAGTTGTATATCGATTACGACCCGGTCTTTCGACAATACAGCATGTATGAATCCGACACTTCTTTCTTACATAGGGACGGTACGCTCAAAACGCAGGATGAGATCGACAACGGGTTTAAACTAGAAAATGTCGAAATACAGAGTTTAGAGAGGTTTATTTACGAAAGAACTCATGCTTCTTTGTTCAATAAACACTTTTGTTTCCCTGCGGATTTGGTACCGTGTATTGTTAGGAGGAACGAAGGGTTAGAGCCGAAGATAAAGCGGGCTTTAGTGAGCCGTTATGCGGAGGAAGTGGTAGAGAGGTGTCGTGAAAGGTTGGAAAGGGTCATAGGGGATTGTCGAGATGCTATCAAAGGCGAGCTTGTGACCGACTTTTTGGAAGGCGGGTTTCCGGATGATGGTCTTGAGAAATGTCTATCGTCGTATGGACGTTATGTATTAGGTAAACCGCGGCCGGCGGTATGAGGGAAGATGTGCCTCCGACTTAAAACTTTTGTGCACTCTTGCTACCAAACCCCCTCTATGTTCCTCTCGTCTTTGTATATAATTAGATTTATGGAGCTATGAGCGAGTGAGCAACACTCCTACATCCTGGCGATGTCGTTATAAATGCTGTTTTTACGAAGAGAGGCGCGGTAATTGTTATGAAAGGTTTCTGGATTGAATTGTAAGACCGCATATATTATCTCAACTGTGTTCAACTGAGCGGCGCTCCGAGACCGAGGCTAGTTATCTCAGCATTTTGATAACCAAAATGGTCTATAATTAACGCAGACTAGTCCTTAAAGAGCCCTAGTATGGTTTACCAGTCTGCTCGCTTTTTGATACCTTCGTTCTGAACAACTTCAATCCAATATCCATCAGGATCCTTAATGAAAGCAACATCCTTCATCTTGCCATCAGTCAACCTCTTCTTCCAATTGACATTCAACCCCTCAAATCTCTCACACGCAGCGTCAAGATCGTCGACCGTAACGCAGATATGTCCGAACTATACATCTAAACGTTAGCTTCTCCCCCAAAATCTTCAGCCATTTAAAAGAGCGATGTAAATACCCCTTGTGGCTCCGAGTTTCCGTCATGATATCCTGCAAAAGTGCTATCCGGATCATCCGTGCCGTAGTTATATGTCAACTCCAATAATCCTTCTCGGTCTGAAGTTAAACTCTCGTTCTCAACCTCGCCCTCACGCTTATATCCCAAAAAGTAGAGGTCAAATTTGGCTTCTGGGCTTTTATGGGTGCGGAGTAGAGTCATTCCCATGACTTCGGTGTAGAATTTGATTGATTCGGTACCACTTTTGACCCTGATCATGGAATGATTCATGCGGTAGGTTCCAACATCGGTTGGAGTGATGACTTGGTCTTTAAGGCCGATGATTTCAACCCTATGCAGTCATGTTAGATTAGATTAGGTAGGGGCGGATATCGAATTTGTAGGCCTTCAACTTACCAGTATCCGTTCGGGTCCTTTGCGAATGCAATACTGTGCCTGTTCAGCGGATGATTGCCACAGAAGCAGTTAATTGGGTTCCTTACTGTCGCATTCTACCTTCCGAGAGCTTTTTCTTGAAGGCAACACCAGCTTCTTCAAGACGATCACACGCATTCTGGAGATTGTCAACCGAGATGCAGCTTTTATTTTCCTATTAGTGATAATTTCACAACAGTCGCCTCTTTCTCTCCGCCTAATGATCCGTGAAACCTACATATGACCGAACCGTATTTTAAAGTCAGTACTAATAATGTTTCCATAAATTCGGTTGTGGAGTACATATCTCTGTGAGGCTCGTCATTTCCGTTATTAATTGTATACTCAGGATTTGACTCCGTCCCATAGTTATGAGTAAGCTCTACGATGCCTTCTCGATCGGTCCAGTGATTACCAGCACTTTCGGCTTTTGGTGAGTCGTAGGCGAGGAAGTAGAGATCAAAGCTCCATTGTGGATTTGGAATCCTGATGACATATGAGTAAGTTCCTTTTCTTCCGAGTTTTCTTTCGACTAGATCGTTTGTTTATACTTATTGATGACTTTCATGCCCAGAAGTTCGTAGAATTTGACTATTTTACGAAATTCCCTCATAAGTATGAAAGCATGAACATATCGAGACACTGTATCATTTCGTACCACTTTCTACTGGGTCTTTCACCCGTAGCCTATCCAATTGAACATAAGCATTTATGTAGCTTAACACGAGTTACATATATGGGCGCAAATACATAGTATGGTTGAGCCTGTATTTCCATTAGCTAATGCAAATGCCTCTTCTACCATTGGTTGGGAAGCTAGGTAGCTAGCAATACAAAGGTGACAAACTTGTATCTTGAAGTATCAGTAGCCATTGTGCGAAACTGGTACCGAAGCGGTAGTGTACGAGATGTAGATGGTGTTATGAAGCAGTTGAGTCTTCGAGTAAAGATTCGGGGTATGAGCATTATTGGAACACAAGATTTCGTGACGTCGTTTTTAGCAACCGTCTTCGAATCCCACCTTTTATCGATAACACCATGATTGCCAAGCCGGGAATTAGCCTGCTATTGCGACAACACGGTACTTGATGTTGGATTTTGTGGTCTCTCGCCAAGACAGCTGAATCGGGGATTTATGTAGTGTGGGTTATGTTATGGAGAACTCGAGATCGGGAGGATCGATCCACTGGACGAGGCGATAACGTTAACATTTAATATATGCGAGAAGGATTACCAACGTAAAAAAACAAATAGAAGGTCCACTATCACTCTGCAGCGTCACATTCAGCCCTCAGGCTTAAACACGTTTAAACTTTCGTCCCAGCGAGCCTCAGCAAAATGGTCAAAATTCAGGTCGTCTCCGACCTCCACCTCGAATCTGGCTTCGAATACGATGCCTACGAACTTGATCCTGTCGCTCCATATCTCGCTCTCGTAGGTGATATTGGCAATACTCGCGATCCTGGACTGTTCAACTTTCTCAAGCGGATGCTCAAGCAACACGAGCTCGTATTCTTCATCGCTGGAAATCATGAGCCTTACCACAGCAGCTGGGACTCCACACATGCAAAGTTAAGGGAGTTTTCCGATTTGGTCAATAAGGAGCCTGAATTAGGAGCAGGAAGATTCATATATATGAATCAAACACGATATGATCTTACCAACGAGGTCACTATTCTGGGATGCGTGTTATTCTCGGCCATCGATCCGAAGTACATGCCGTATGTTAGTCTCAGTTTGAATGATTTTTATCACATCCAAAGTTGGACAGCCAAGGATCATTGCTCAAGTCACGAGTCGGATCTCGCATGGCTCAATGCTCAGGTTTCGAGAATTATGGTTGAGGAACCGAACCGCAAAATCATAATCTTGACGCATTACTGTCCGACTTTTGATGCTACGGAGCCAAAGTATAAGACGAGTCTTATTACATCGGGATTTACAACGGATATGACGAAGGAGGAATGTTGGAAGTGTGATAATGTGAAGGTTTGGGTATTCGGGCATACGCATTATAATTACGATGTTGTGGAGGAAGGTACCGGAAAGCGTATTGTGGCGAATCAGAGAGGGTATAATTTCTCGACGGCAGATGGATTTGATCCAACAAAGACAATAGAAGTATGAAAGCTCCTTGGTCTTGCGTTTAATTCCTTATGAGGGGTGTAATGAATGTTCTAGATAGCGAGAGTTATCGGTATTGTTAGTCCTGTATACATGTAACTGCCACAGTTGGTAATCAATTTGAGGATCCTCATATAGTCATGGCCAATTCGGCTGAAATATTCGAATAACTTTTAATAAATAGTATCTATAACCTGCCAGATTTAATGATTTTGAAGTGAGGGCTTCGACTATAGGCCACATTAATTTCTAGCAGCATCATAAGATTCAGGCTCAAGGTCAGAGTCAGTGCTGGTGGCCAGTGGTAAACCACAAGCTGGATTACCTAAGTTATAGCACGTGACCTTTTTGAGCTTCCAAATCCATTGTCGTGACAGACTTTAAGGTTCAACAGGTGTAAAGTTTGCTGAGCGTAAATTTTTGAATCTAGAATATGTCACGTGCTCTAGAGCTCCACAATATTTAATATTGTATTTTGGAGTACATGTACTTCCAGGGGATACTTGCCTGGATTTGAGTCTTGACCTCAGTCTGGAGTAGTTTATGGGGGGCTAATAGGACAAATGCATATATCTCTATACTTATACTTCTGGCGGGTCTCAAAGTTATCCTCATACATGTATCTCTTGCGAACAGATACTGACTTACTGAGGCATCAAGTATTCAAGCTACCTGTACATTTAAAAACCCGCCCTGTTCAAATTAAAACCATGAATGGAATGTGGATATTTGAATCTTCGTGGTATGCATTGATTGTATATGACCGCACACGACCCCTCTGACAAGTCAGTACATGCAAGTGTTGACGGGAATAAAATCCAACAAGGCGGGCCCTCGGAACCCAGGGATCCCGTCGGAGAAAAGGGCGAAGATCATACCATTGGTTGGGGTGGCAGATTACGAAATCGCAGCGAAGGAGTGGAGCAATATATATCAAACCATGTAACGGTATTTTCCAAGTTTTGGGCAGATCAGAGGAATGCAAAATGAAGGCCCCGCCGGAAGGCTAGCCGACCGAGTTAGGTCGTGGCTCCAGCAGCCAAATTTAGTATCACAATTACCAATATATTAGTATTTTCCCGCTCTGAAAAAGAATGCCATATGATATTTGCCATTTTCGATGAGAAAAATAATAACCTTTTGGGAGGAGAAACGCCGTAGACGGACGATTAAACATATTAATTAGTAGGTATTTAGTGTGAAGAATCGAATGTGTGTAATAGTTATTTGGCGCAAAATAGTGGCGGAGAAGCTACCGAGAAAGGGTAAAAGGTTACATCTGAGACGACAAAACGGAAGCCAAGAGATCTGGCCCAACAGCTTCAAAATAGGGAAGGTCTGACAGATCTGCCCGAGTGTGAGCTTGGTTGGGAGCTTCCTTCGCAGCTGGCTGGAACATGACCCCTCAGTTAAGCCCGGAGAATGACGATATATGTTCTGGCCTGAGGCAGACACAGGACATTCATTGAAGCATGTAAATTCAATACTCTGATACGTGAACCAGCGTGCGAGTGCCCAGAAGGGTGTCAAGCCGGCAGATTCGGCTGCAGCTGCAGCCCAAGCTTGTTTGTGTTCGTCATCCATCCATCCCAGCAGATCGAGACAGAGACAGAGACAAAGACAAAGACACCCGGCGAGGCGACAGGGGCTCTCCATCGGTGTGCCTTGCAATGAAGTGAAGACTAAAAATCTTGAAATCCCGCTCAATTGCAGCATTTTTTTTAAAAAATTTTGATATCAGACATTTTCTTCTTCTTCTTCTTTTCTTTTCCCTTGTCGCTGTGTGCTCATCCATTCATTCCCTTTCGACTTCTCCTCCCCTATATATGCAATACCGTTCAATGCAAGCAAATGCATGCATGCAATCCCCTGTCAACCTATAATTAAAAAGTCAAATACCGGTACATACCTTTTCTCACATTCATTATAGTTACTCTACTCCGTACACTCGTTTGGAATACGAAGGTTAAGTTGGGTCAAGGTGCAAGCTACCTTGTAAAGACCGTTAGGGGCTTCACGGGCCTCTAATATCCATCAACAGACAACCGAACAACATCTGTCGGCTTCAAGCTGCAAAGGGAGCTAAATATCCGAGCTGGCTCGAAGAATCGACCAATTACTTGCTGAACCTGATCCGACCTATTCTTGGTAGGTGTAATATCCAATTCCCTTTTGATCATTCCTCTCTCCCTTCTCATGCATCGTATATTGTTTCTTCTCTGACAAATTACCCGGCTTTTCTTGGACTTCAGGCTCTCAATCGAAATCATCCCTTTTGAACAATAACCTAATCTTTTCGGGCATATCTCCATCTTCACAATCTCTCCAGCCTTCCGAGTTACTGCGATTATTCATCGATAAAGAAACAACCCAAGACATTCCGAATCGCGACACTCTTTTTTCGTACCTTGTGAACCTGCAAGTTGTGCTTGCAGCTTTGGCCGGCCTTTCTGCCCTGTTTTTTCCCCTGCGACGAACGGTTTAATGGTTCTGTGGTAGACACATCCAACACATTTCGGATCCAACCTTCAACGGCGCGGCGCACGGGGATAAGGACTAATAGGCGCTCCCACGTTTTTTCCCTTCTTTTTTTATAAACATGGCGACGACCTGTCCGTGGTCGTCGTCCGGGTCGTTATATAGGCGAGATGAAGATGCCGGGCAGAAACTTCTAGGCCTTTTGCGCAACAGTTATCAGTACGTAATTCCTATCTAATGGTCATGCTAAGATATCAGGTACCGTATCGAGGCCGAACCTCGTAGCTAACACTGAACTCCGAATATAGACGTTCGTTAAATTTTAGTGATCACTCCTTTTATACATCCCTTGGAACCTCGATAGGTATCTCTTTCGGTATCTTTGCTCTCTTCTGTCTCCTAAGACCCCACAACGCCACTGTATACGCTCCTAGGCTCAAATACTCCGATGAGAAGCATGCCCCTCCCCCAATTGAAAAGGGATATCTGGCCTGGCTTAGTCCAGTTTTCAAATACAAAGAGGATGACCTAGTCAACAAGATCGGCCTTGACGCTATCGTATTTTTGCGTTTTCTTCGAATGTTGCGCAACCTTTTTGCTACTCTATCCCTTCTCGCCATCATAATGATCGGAGTAAACGCCGGCTGTTCTGCCAAAAACAAGCACATCCTCAATGGCACCGGAAACTTTTTCATCTTTATGTCGCCTCAAATTGTCTACGGCGAATGTCTTTACGCTCACATTCTCATGTCTTGGGTATTCCCGATAGTTATCTGCGGGTTTATCTGGCATTCCTATCGCAAGCTTCTGCAATTGAAAGTGGCGTATTTTGAAAGCGAGGAGTACAAATCGAGCTTGCATTCGAAAACTTTAATGGTGACGGATGTTTCGAGTCAATACATGTCGAATGATGGACTCGCTGATATCATTAGGAGGATCAATGCCGACCCGAACATTAAGGACGACATGAAGGCTAGGATTGCGAGAGATATGAAGGAACTACCAAAACTAGTCCATGAGCACGAAATGACCGTTCGAAGACTCGAGAGCGTGTTGGCAAAGTACTTGAAGAATCCGGACCGATTGCCACCGAATAGACCGACGATGAAACCATTTAAGGATGATAGAAAGACTAAGGGAGAGGGAAAGATAGATGCAATCGAGTACCTAGACGAGAGAATTAAAATGCTAGAGACAAGGATCAAAGAAGTTAGAGGAAGTATCGACCTAAAGAAACCACTACCATACGGATTCGTCAGTTTTTCGACAATGCAGAATGCGCATACGGTAGCATATGCGACGAGGGGAAAGAGACAGGCCGGGGCAGATGTCAGACTAGCACCGAGACCTACTGATTTGCTTTGGCACAACCTTTCGTATGGCCCCCTGAACCCCATACATATCAAGATACTCTGAAGTATAAAATACTAACACGATGCCAAAAATACAGTAAGACCAAGGGTGAACGTCGCTGGAGTAGGACCTGGGGCTGGATGCTTTATGGATTTTTCACTGTCGCTTGGATCGTCCCAAATGCTTTCATCGCCACCTTCCTACCGGATATCAGTCTCATCGGGCAATTGTGGCCAGCATTTCTACAGTCCTTTATCGAATACAATAGCTTCTGGGTCTTCGTCCAAGGTGTCATAGCCCCTCTACTAACATCACTAATTTTCCTCGTCCTCCCCATAATCATGCGCAGAATTTCCGCACGACAGGGTGACTTCACCAAGACCGCCAGGGAACGCCACACAACTACAAAGCTCTTCTCTTTCTTCCTTTTCAACAATCTAATAGTCTTCACCATTTTCGGCACAGTTTGGAACTTTGTCGTCAGTGTTATTAGCGACACTGATGTTAACAAAAAGTCGGTTTGGCAGGCAATAAAGGACTTCCGTTTCGCTACCCAAACCATCTATTCGGTATTCCAAGTCTCCAGATTCTGGATCATGTACCTTCTTCAACGAAACTTAGGTGCGGTCTTGGATTTGATCCAATTCGTAACCCTCTTTATGCGCTGGTACTCTCGTAAATTCCTCTCTCCAACACCGAGAGAGATGATCGAGTGGTCCGCGCCACAGCCCATGGACTTCGCAAGTTACTATAACTACTTCCTATTTTACGCTACTATAGCATTCACCTTCGCACCGATCCAACCTCTCGTCGTCCCCGTCGCATGTCTATACTTCACCATTGACAGTTTCTTCAGAAAGTACGCATTCATGTACATGTTTGTCACCAAAACCGAGTCAGGAGGAATGTTCTGGCGGGTCCTAGTAAACCGGGTGTTAGTCGGCTCCAGTTTCGGAAATATCGTAACGGCAGGTGTGGTTTGGATCAATTTCAACGGAAGAACCGCGGTGTGGGCTTTATTCCCGATTATCATCCCTATCGGCTTCAAAATCTACTGCATGAAAGTCTTCGACAACAAACTCGATTTCTACACCAAGGTCGTCGACGCAGAGAATACCACTGGTGGAGCAGCAAATGTGATTTCCGAAACAGCTCAGAAAAAGCATCGGGAAGACCGTCTATCAGACCGTTACGGCCATCCAGCACTAACTCGAAAACTCCTTACCCCCCTCGTCCACGAAAAGGCCAAACATGTTTTGGCCCGTGTCTACTCCATCCGTAATAACGAAGAAGATCAATTCTCAGCAGTCAACGGTAGCTTCCCATTCTCTCAGTCAGGCGATAATAACGGTATGAACATGCAAAAAATGCAATCCGACAAACCAGGACTCCAAGCTCCACCGACAGGATTAGAACACTACGGCTTCGTACAGGAGCATCAATTGGACTACAACAACCTAGCAGGTCAACAACGTCAGGAATTCAACTATATATTCGACTCGGCTGCCGCTAACGTCGGAGGAGTCCAGAGTAGAGGTGGAAGCCCCTCGTTAAGACCCATAACACCGGGTGCATTAAGCATGTTAGATAATTCACGACCAGGAACACCTAGCGGACTTGGTCCTAGTGGATATGCAACAAACCGGATGCAATACACAAGCCTAGGAAGCCCGGGTCTGGCACCCCAGCAATTAACACTACCAACTGGAAGATCGGTATCTCCACTCGCAAGGGACGCATCTGCTTCTCCAGATCCGAATTATTACCTATCACAACCTAGATTACCAGAGGGAATGGCAAGCGATAGCGATCTAGCAGGCTTACTTGCCGCACCAGGCGGTGCAGGTCATGCACCCCACGACGGATACGATAGCAGGGCTGTCTCTAGAGACGGATACGACAGCAGAGGCGTATCTCGGGATGGGTGGGACGACTATAATTCAGGTCAACAGCAGCAACACCATCCACAAGGACCGGTATGGGGATACGATCAATACCAGCAACCGCAACCACAGCAGCAGCAGCAACCGCAGCAGCAGCGACAACCAGGTTCTCAATCACCACAGTATCACCAGCAGCAGAATACCCAGCAAGGTTACCAATCCCCACAATACCAACAACCACCCACCCAACAAGGCTATCAATCTCCACAATACCCGCAGCAGCAGCAGCAGTATCATCAACAGCAGCAGCAATATAGCCCCCAGAACCAGCAACAGCAAGGATATAACTACCAACCCCACCAACCCTCAATATCCCCACCACCTCCACAGCACCAACAGCAGCAAGGGACTGGCGCTTGGTCTCCACATTACGACACCGGATCTCCTCACCGACACCAAAGCCCTGCTCCGGGACCGCAGCAGCAGCAGCAGCAGCAGCAGTACCAGCAACAGCAATACCGGCAAGGATACGGACAAGGACAGGGACAAGGTCCATCATCAAACTACTAATCCTTCAGAAACGGTTAAAATAAATACCACAACTTTAAAAAAAAAAAAAAAGAAGAAGAAGAACAAAGAAGAAGAAGAAGTTGAAGAATCCCATCCCATGAACGGTTCATACCACATATCTCATCACAAACCATAACGACACCAGCGAAAGAAGTCCTCCTTTCTTATAAATCTTTTTTTTCTTTTTGTTTAATCTCACATTTTTTGTACGCGTATGTATTATCTGTCAACTCACACCACCCAGTGAATTTAAGAACCCCGGCGACTGGCGTTACTCTTTTGTCATTTGTTTCTTTCTTTACTCCTACTCCTACTTCTTCTTCTTCTTCTAAGAGAAACATTTATCCAATTGTAGTCCCATCTTGAACCTCTTTCTTTTCACTTCATACGGAGGGAAGAAAAAGAAAAAGTTCAACACCATTCATGTATAAAAAGTTTTAGCATTTTTTTCTTTCTTTCTTTCTTTCTTTCTACGAAAAGGGTCCTTCAGTCTTAGCTAGTTTTATTAGATTAGGAACACGGAGGGAAGCAGGTAGGGGGGGTATAAAGTATCTATATAGCGGGGACAAGGGGAGTTGTACGATATCTTAATTATTAGAATAAAGCATGAAAGCATATGATCACATATTCATTTTTTACAACATAATTCTCACGATCCCAGAATATATATATATATATATATCACTTCCACAAGAGAATGGTATCGTTTCTTATTCCGCAGCTACCGGTACAAAAAAGCCCTAATCAATCGTATTCAATAAAAAAAAAGGGTGGGGGTTGAATGAGAAAAAAAAAGTTGGTATTAAAGAATGAAGAAAAGCCCCCCTACACCAGCAACCACAGAAACAAGAACCCGACACAAAATTGGAAAAGGGAGAAGAGGTGAGAGTATACGAGTGGACGCATGTCAATTCCTTCACTGCTGGTGAACTTTTTTTTTTCTCCCTCTCATACTCCTCAAATTCCAAAGTCTAGTGAATCTCAATTACTTTTTTTGTTGTTCATAGACGCCTTTCTCTCTCCCGACCCCTATTTCTTATAAAAAGGGGAATTTAAAAGATGCGGAGGAGAAATCTACAGCTGCCCAGCAGTGTTGAAATCACCCAAAGCCTCTTGAACTCTAGTCGACATTGTCTTCTCGCCCTCACGGACCCAGACACGGGGGTCGAAGTACTTCTTGTTGGGCTTGTCGTCACCTGTTTATCCTAGTTAGCTTCTCGATCATACCAAATATACATATAAAAAAAGACGGTGAGAAATTCATACCATCTGGGTTTCCGACTTGTGTCTTGATGTATTCCTGCTTAGTCAAGACATAGTCTCGGATACCGGTCAAGTAAGCCCACTGCAAGTCAGTGTCCAAGTTAACCTTGACGACACCATAGCTGATGGCGTCCGAGAATTCCTTCTTGGTGGATCCGGAACCTCCGTGGAAGACCAAGAACAATGGCTTGTCATCAGAGGAGCCGATCTTCTCCTTGGTGTACTGTTGGTGCTTGGAGAGGAGCTCTGGGTGGAGCTTGACGTTTCCTGGCTTGTAGACACCGTGAACGTTGCCGAAGGCAGCGGCGATGGAGAAGTATGGGGAGATAGGGTTGAGAGCGGAGTAGACGTTGTAGATGTCTTCGGGTTGGGTGTAGAGGGATGCATTGTCGACATCTTCGTTGTTGACACCGTCTTCCTCACCACCGGTGATACCAATTTCCTATTTTTTTTCAAATTGCATTAATATCACATCACATCATATTTGTCAGGTAGATAGTGGATTGAATAGAAATAGCATACCATCTCGAGCCACTGCTTCATTGGAGCAGCACGGGCAAGGTACTTGGCAGTGGTGGCGATGTTCTGGTCATGTGGCTCCTCGGAGAGATCGATCATGTGGGAGGAGAAGAGAGGTTCACCGTGCTCCTTGAAGTACGCCTCGTCGGCATCGAGCATACCGTCGAGCCATGGAAGGAGCTTCTTGGCACAGTGATCGGTGTGGAGAACAACGGGGATGCCGTATGCTGGAGAAATGGCGCGGATGTAGTGGGCGGCAGCGATGGCACCCTGGATGGAAGCGTATTGGTTGACGGGCGAGGAGTTGGAGACACCCTGGATTTTATATGTCAGTTATCATTTCAGTTACGATAAAGAGAATGGAATTGTAAAAAAAAATATACCTTTCCGGCAAAGTAGGCAGCACCACCCTGCGAAGTTTGGAGGATGATTGGGGATTTCTTATCGCGGGCAGCTTCTAGAGCGGCGACAACGGTGGAGGAAGAGGTGACGTTCTATATAGATGTATCACCACCGAATCATTTAGCCACCACCATATCTTACAAACCACCCCAAATCCCAAATCCCAATTGGCCGAGTAAAAAGAGAACTTACGATGGCTGGAATGGCGTATTTGTTCTCTCTGGCATGCTTGAAGAGCTATATATCACCGAGTTGTGTTAGTATATTAAAATTAGTCTGTGGCGGGGTATGTGATTGATGTATGGCGGGGTAGTTTTTTTCGTGGTTCTGGGTCGATAGCGGGGTAATTATGATATAATACGTACAGCGAGGACATCGTCACCAGTGATGACACCGGTCTTGCGAGTGAGAACGTCTTGGGCACCCATGATTGAAGAATTTAGATGAATTCAAAGAACGATTAATTAATTGATGCTGTTGATTGTGGTAGTTGATGTTAGTTGAGTGGTTTCTGTGGGGTAGAATTAATGCAGGTAGATGGCGATGTTGAAGGGAAGAAGAGAAGAGAGAAGGGAAGAGAAGAGAAGAGAAGAGAGGAGAGAGAAAGATATACAGCCAAATATATAAAACAGACCGGCGCAAAAAATAGAAAAAAAAATAAAATAAAATCAATTCCGATCGATATGCCCCGGGATTACAAGATATAATCATAAAAATAGTCTGGATTGATATTCCGAGGCTATCGCGCATCGTCCGGACGGAGCAAGGCAGGGCCGACAGGGCAGTATGCTATAGCTAGGACGGACGGGCAGACAGACAGGACAGGGACCAGACTCCCTTCCTTCCTGATGTGATCCACAATACACCAGCCATATGCAAAATGATTATGGCATATCTGGATGGGATAAGATCAAGAGAGACGCATGTCCGTCCGCGGTCCAATTCTCTTGCCTCCATATGCGTAGCATAGCGAGAATCTTCGGTCCGGATCCGGGGGGTCGGAATTGATAATAAAAGACAAAAGATAGAGACTAACTCACCTGCGGTATTAATTAATACAATACACTATACTTGTACTGTAATTGAAGATACGATACGATGCAACGGAATGGAATGGAATGGAAGTTAATTAACTTTGATGATCGATGATCGATGAGATGCCCTTTATATACTCGAGTTCTTCGAGCAGTGGGATGACCCCCCCGCTTTATATAAACATGGGCAATCAATAAGACCACCGGTGCATTCAGCTACACCTCGACCTCATCCGCTCACTCGGTGCGATTCGACACTTAATCAATTGCAATTGGAGTAGTGCGCATGCTCCGGTCGGTCAATCGGTCGGTCAATCGGTCGGTCGGCTAGCTACGTCAATCGATTAATTTTAATTTTGTTTAGCTAAGAATCGAAGGCTGCCCCCAACCGCAGGTAGCTATTATATCATATCATATCAGACTAGCCAATGCATAGGATTCCTGTCTGTCTGTTCTTGAGTAAGTCTAAACGGCGATATCCTCACTGGTGGGATCATAATTGACCCCTCTCTTTGCTTCTTTCCCGCATTTCTCTCTCTGTCTCTTTTTTTCTCTCTCTCCAAGATTAAAATTTTCTCTCAATGCATGCGCATCTTTCCTTCGGCCTCCTCTCACTATCTTCAAATTCTTACACATCGATTAGCTACTAAGTACTACCTACTTACCTTTGGCAACCCGAAGAATTCTCGCGTATCCTCTAACTCTCGGCTGACCGGTGTAGCAAAGAAGAAGAAGAAAAAAAAAAGAGAGGGAGCGTGAATTAATCGAATCCCTGTCCTGTCCTGTCCTGTCCTGTCCTGTCCTGTCCGTTCAGCGGGGCTCGCTTTCACCCAACTAATTTTTTTCTTTCTTTCTTTTCTTTTCTTTTCTTTTATCTTTTTGAATACGGGTTCGGGAAGTGTGCGAGAGACCGCAAAGCCTTTTTCCATCACGTCACGATATCGATTATTGATATTATGTTATGTTACTACATGTATTCGATGGACGGGCTGGGCAATTTGATAATAATTGATAAAAAATTTAGCTGTCGTGCATGCGTGGTATTTGCCATGATATGATGCAAGATGGTCTCGTTGACAAGACTATGATATGATATGATATGATATGATATTTGATGCCGAATTTGTATATTACGTCTTTAGGAAGATAAGTACCTGCGGGAAGTACTTATATATGCTATGTCGATTCGGATCTGGCATTCCCGTGGATATAGTTATAATCGACTAGAGCTAATGCTATGCACACGTTACAAATATCCCGTCTGCCGTTAATATAATTAATACAGATTGGAGTACCTCTAATACCGATACCCTCTAGTCGTTAAAAAAAAAAAAAAAAAGAGTACTCCATATGTACTTTATATTGGTTTTATATGTACAGTCAGTCATTGATAACCATCAATCGGTATATCAAATATAATAAAGATTAAAATTTTATAACTCCGCCCTCCTCTCATCGCCTCCAAACAAACTTCCCCCACCCCCGCTAACAACGGTACCTTTACTCTCCTGCTGCCCCTGCTGCCCATCATCTTCCTCCCCTTCCTCTCTAACAACCGTTATGGTCCTTCTGACAATCTCATCCACCCCTCTGAATCCAATCGCAATCTGATACTCTCCCAACTCCTTAACCCTGACGGCTCCATCATCTGTCCCCAGACTTATATTTTCAGCCGAAATAACAACTCTGTTGGCATCTTTTAGGGCTGATGCGGAGCAAATGAGTTTTATGGCGTTGACGACGTCGGTTGTTGTGACTGAACCGTGGAGGGAGTTTGTTTGTGGGGTTATTGTTGAGCGGTAGAAACGGACTGTGGAGGGGAGGATTGTGGAGAGGATTTTGATTGATTCGACCGGCTTTTTGGTTTGATAGTCAAAAGAGTTAGTATTATTATTATTTTTTGATATAGAAGCATTGATGATGGTAGATGGTGTAATAAAAGGAAGGAAAAGACGTGAAATCAGTAGGAACAATTGGAGTTATAAAAAAATTAATTTTGATGAAAAATCCACATATCATCGTTCGGATAAGCGTATTTAATTCAAAACCTTCATCATAATAAAAAAAAGTCTTTTCTTTCCCAAGTAACATAATAACGAAGAAGGGGGATATAGATGAACATACCGTCAAAAGCTGGTCTTTAACCACACCATCCCAACTATCAGTCTTCTCCTCCACTTTTTCAACAAGCGGTGTATACCCCGGATCCCGTTCCACAACCGTATGTTTCCCTAGAGATTTCTCTTTCTCAAGAGTTAAATACTCTGCCTCACCGCGTTGATACCAGATCGTACGCATACGGCCGGGAGCCACGATCATTATCGAGCCTAAGTAATCATATCACTGACATGTTAACATCTAAACCCCTTCCCTCATATATATCATCAATTGGATTTCGTTAAATACCTTTAGGACCATATCTAGGTATATCCTTCAAAAATCTAACTTTAATACCAGCGGCCTTCTTCACCAGCTTCTTTTTACCACGGATGAAGGTCGTCGGACCGGGTTTTGATAGGGAGAGGAGACATGAAGAACATATCGATAGATTGGTTCTACATAATGTAGATATTGATGTAGAGGTAGGTCTGAGAAAGGAACTCGCCCGGCTGGCGGAGCCGAGGAGGGTGGTTGCGAAGGTTTGTGGGAAGGACATTTACATTTGAAGGAGGGCTTTTTTGCAATTTGGAGGTTGGGGGGGATTTATAGGCGTTAGTTAATGTTTCGTTGGTTGGAAGGGAAGGTTTTTATCTCTTTTCTTTTCTTTTCTTTTTGGCCGAATCACACGTTGTCAACACAGAAGTTTTTGGAGGGATGTTTAGGTGTGTTATTGGAACACTTCCTCGACGGACTTTGAATTCTTTTAGGTTTGGACGAATAACGGTGGGGAAGAGGGATACTACTATTACTACTATTACTACTATTACTGCTTCTTGTCGGTATCATTCTTCGGGAGGGAAAGGGTGGAATTTCAGTTCATCGAATAGGTTTGGTAGAATGGCAGATAATACATCTTCGGCTTCATTGCCTGGCGGGGAACATGGCACCAGTACTATCGATATATCAACGACGAATACTTCAAATGCAAATGTCAATAATCAAACATCTTTAAAATCTACAAATCCACTGGTATGGATTGATTGTGAGGTATATACCTATCATCTTCTTATCCTTATCTTTCTTCTAAAGTATCTTATCGATATAACTGAGTATATAAAATAAAATACAGATGACAGGCCTCAACCCCCCACAAGACAAACTCCTCCAAATAGCCTGCTACATCACCGACTCCCAACTAACCCTCCTCGAACCCACCGGCTTCGAAGTCGTCATCTCCCGTCCCCAATCCCTCCTCTCCCAGATGGACGACTGGTGTACCACAACCCACACCTCGACCGGTCTAATCCCTCGAGTTCTATCCTCAACCACCACCGTCACGGAAGCTTCAAACCAACTACTTTCTTACATCCAAAAACACGTCCCCGAGAAAAAGACAGCGATAATGTGTGGGAATAGTATTCATTTTGATAAATTGTTTTTGAGTATTGAGATGCCGGAGGTGGTCGAGTGGTTGAATTATAGAGTTGGGGATGTTAGTAGTATCAAGGAATTTGCGAGGAGGTGGTGTGATGAGGAGGTTTTGGAGGGGTTGCCGGTTAAGAAGTATACGCATGAAGCTAGGGAGGATATCTTGGAGAGTATTGAGGAGGCGAGGTATTATAGGAGGGTGCTGTTCAGGGGAGGGGATTTTAAGGTATAAAATCGAGTAATTGGTGGTCATGAATGTCATTATATTTGCATGCTTTGATATTTATATGTTAGATACCCTTTTATGAGTGACAATGGTAATCTTACATCTACAAGATTGAGTAGATTAACTTATGTCTTGGGATCCTTCTTTTTGAAAAAGGATGTCATCTTCATCATTCCCTTCGTATCCACCTTTTCCAACTTCTTCACAGCGGTACTCTTCTTCGCATCCTCTTCTTTCTTCTTCCTCTTTTTCTCTCTCTCAACATCTTCTTTAGTTCTTCCCCCACCTGCCTCTAGATCTTCGAGTCTTCGTTTAGAATGCGACATCGAGAAGTCTAGTGCGGCATTTGCAGCCGCTCGAAGAGCCTTTAGCTCTTCAAAATATGTTTCTAGCGGTTCCTGGGAGTGTACTTTGTTCAGTCTTTCGGAAAGCGAAGTATATATTTCCTGAGGAAGGTAATTCTGGAAGAATTGAAGGGAATGGGAAAGGTGGCAGATATATTGGATTTCTTCCGGCGGGAGGAGATTTTCTTCTATTATTTCCGTTTCTTCTTCCCCCATGGGTGTATCTGTCGTATCTTCAAGGTTTAACTTCGAAGCTTCCCGACGGAGTTGTGACTCTACTCCTTCCGTCACAGGCTCTTGAGCATCTTCATCTTGATCTTCCAGTTCGGTATCGTCTATTACCCCACCGCTCTTGTCGGCAGGATTTATCTCAGACTGTCGTTTCCAAGATGTAGATATCTGAGTAGCAATTGGCTTTGATAATTTCTTAGCAATATGTTTCACCAAACTTGAAGGTAAAGCCTTTGCGACTGCTTCCACGCGGGAGATGAGGAGGGTGTATAGTTTTTCTTGGTTGAGTCGGAACATTTGTTCATTTTCGCCTATTGATACGGTATCACAGATGGAGAGTAAACGGGATTGGAGGATCTGTGAGGATTGTGGGTGGATTGATAGGAGTTTTGACCATTTTGCGGATTCTGGGTGGGATTCGAGGAGGTCGTCGAGGGAGAGGAAGTTACGGGATGTCTTTTGGGAGGAGAGGTGGGAGAGAAGAAGGTAGAGGGGGTCGAAGGGAGTTGTGAGGTATAGATGGGCGTCTTTGATGACGAGGGAGTCTTTTGGATTTTCTTCTTTTGAGGGAGAGGCGTCTTCTGTGGATGCATTTTGATCTGGGAGTGGCAGTGGAGGTGTATCTGGAGCTATGAGCCATGATCTGGGGGCGTGTGGAGGGTTTGAGACTTTGAGGATTTCGTAGATGAATGGTGTAGAAGATGGTGATGTTGATGTTGATGTTGATGAGTCTGATGTTGGGTGGTGGATTAGGTACCGGGTTGGGATTTTGGTATTTGGATGCTTGAAGGTTAGGATTGTATTGGTATCATTTTCGCTGGAATTGGGCAGGATGAATACTCTGGGATTCGAAGCCATGGTTGTATGTACATAAATAAACCCAATTGGTTCGATATCCCGTGATGTTGATGATGTTGATGTCGATGATGTTGGTGATGTTGATGATGCTGGTGATGCTGGTGATGCTGATAGCTACCAGGCACTTTGTTAGCTAAACACGCGTTGTGCTTGTCGGTCAACCAAACGAATAAAATAAATTAATATTGTTCCCAATTCGGATTATTGTTTGTCGCCTCGAAAGGAGTTTCTTCGCTTCGCTTCTTTCCTTCCGCCTCTCCTTCTTCCTCCCGCTTCATCTTCATCATCTTTACCTTCATCTTCATATTCATTAACATCAACCTCTCCTCTCCTTCTCCCTTCAAGTACCGCAGCTGCTACTACTCCACCAAATTCTTACGATTCTTCATCCAAAATTTACCATACATTCATCATATCATATCCAATCCCGTCGTCTTTAAGATAAAAACGTGCTCACGCGGCCAATCCGTCGGTTCTTTTCGCGCCAACAACAGTCGTGGAATTCCCACACACGCACCCTGCCGCAGCCTATCACATCTCATCACATCGGAATTCACACACAATACACATACCGGATTCGGTTTACCGTTTTCCGATACGAACCAAGAAAACTCTCAAGCTTAAAATTTGGTTATGGTTATGGTTATTGGGGAATGGGAATTTGCATGTCGGCATAATATCGCAGTTTAGCTGTTTTGGGAAATTACTTTTTTTTCTCGACTTCATTCCCTGCGATCTTTACTCGCCCGGGTTGATAAATACCTCCCAATAGAGCCCCGCTCAATAGAGTATTTTGGGGTCCTATCAAAATAGGTGGATTACCGACGAATGACCAGAAGTTCGAATACATTTCATTACCATCCAAACTGCCATCATGGCTGGCAATAACGGTATTTTACCTTATTCCCTCCCAATATCAATATCAATATATCCGCTAACACTATACACTAGATGCAATCGCCCAATGGCCTCCAGCGTCTCCCAAGGATGTCCTCCGACTTACTCCTAAAAAGCCACATACAAATCCCATTCACTCCTCCCCTCTCCGTCGCACAACCGCCGTTTCTCCATCTCCGCGATCCCGTCGTCCTCTCCCCATCGACGAAGAAGATGAAGACAGCGATGCCACCACTTCAGATGAAGACGAGGAAGCTTTACAATTACAGCTTAAAGCTATTGAAATGAAACTAAAGCTGAAGCGCCTACAAAAGGAGAAGAAACGGAAAGCATTAGCTGCAGCAGCAAACGCCGATAGCTCGAATCCATTACCTCTACAATCAGGACGGGTAACACCGCCTCCTCCTTCCCGACCCGCCTTTGAACCGGATGTTCAAGTCCCTGTTTCTCCATCACCTCGAAAACGAAATATGGGAATATCAGACGCAAATCCGCCACAATCGCCTTCGAGAGTCTTGCTAGGAATAGATAAGGGCTTAAGAGCCAGGGATATATCGCTAAAACGTGCCCCCGGAATGACAAATCTAATAGCAGAGCCTCCCAGGAAACAGCAGTTTACATCGAGTACTTCGAGTGCTCTACACAACGTCACAAAAGACAATCCATTCGCCCCTAGATCCTCGAGGAACTCCACGATAACTCCAGCCGCCCCCGTGGAACATGTTAAAACTTTCTCGGAGCGAATAGCGGAACAGAGAGCAGGAATAACAGCTAAGGAAGCGAGAGCTAGAGAGAATGAAAAGCTAAGGAGTAAAGGGTGGAGTACCGACAACGGCGACACTGGCACAGCATCATCCACCGTTTCTTCGACCAAAGGGACGGATTCAACCCTTGTACCTTCTCGGACTTCTTCGGTAGCTTCACGTCGTCCTTCTAATTCCCAACAAAACGTTGGCACCCGTCTCCAAACTTCACGTGTAACTTCAACAGCCTCAACGGCTTCCACAGCAGTAGCTACAGAACCTCCCAAACCCATCGGTTCCAGTTCTATTAGTGGTCCTGCAGACCCTACCTCAGCGAGCCAAGAAACCTCTGACTTAGGCTCTGGCTTCGACTCCTTCTCCAGCCTTCACCTATCCCGTCGTTCAGTCCCACATACCACCCTCTCCCGCCACCTCCAGGATAAAGAACTCTTCCAGCTCCCTCGTCTTCTCAAAACCGTGCATTCACCCGAATATGACCCACCAGACGTTCCAGGTGACTGGGTCGTCTTTGGAATCGTTTCTTCCAAATCCGAGCCTCGTGATGTAGCCCGTGAAGGCGGTGGGAAATATATTGTAATGCAACTCACCGACTTGAAATGGGAACTCGATCTATTCTTCTTCGGCTCGACATTTCAAAAGTACTACCGAATACCGGTTGGAACGGTGCTAGCTATCCTAAACCCGAATATAATGAAACCGCGAAATCAAGATAGTGGAAAATTCTCATTAACATTATCGGACATCAATGATGACGCAACGAGTATTTTGGAAATCGGCCATTCGAGGGATTTGGCAGGTTGTAAAGCTAAAAAAAGGGATGGAAAAGATTGTGGAGTTTGGGTTGATAAAAGGAGGACGGAGTATTGTGATTTCCATGTAGAACAGTCGGTGGCGAAAAATAGAGCGGGGAGGATGGAGTTGAGTACTATGGGCAAGCTATATTCGCCTCCTAAGAATAAAGGAGGGATGAGACCGAAGAGAAACTTTTTGAGGGGGGGTAAACAGGAGAGGGACGATGGGTTGTTACCGTTGGGAGGGTCGGGAGTGGTGCCGGATTTACCGGTTAGAGCTGGTGGTGGTGGGGGGAATGTATACGTCTCCGCCGGGTTTTCGACAGCAAGGTTGATTGATGGAGGGGAGAAGACGGGGGATTTGAATTGGCAAAGAGAAAAGGAGGAACGGGTTAGAAGAGTTCTGGCCAGGAGGGAGAAGGAGAGGGAGGTTACGAAGGGATTGTTGGCGGTGGGGAATAATAATACTGGGATGGAATATCTCAAAGCGAATTTGGAAGATGAAGTGAAAGTTGTTACCGGGGGACAAAGAGCGATGGAGAATGCGGGGAAGAGCATTGGGAAGGGACAGACGGTGCAAGAGGTTAGGAGTAAAGCGCTTGAAGAGTTTAGGAAGGGAATGGCGGCGGTTAAGGCTTCTGATGTTACGTTATCGCCGGTGAAAATTAAGAGGAAGGTTGCTGATCGAAAAAGCGGATCACCGGAGCCCGGCCCAGGAAAAGTAGCAGGAACGGATGACGAGAGAGCTATTAAGAGAACTAGGAAGACCGATGAGGGACCTGTTGGGTGGGCGCAGAGGGACGTTAAGAAACATTTAGAGAGGAATGTGGCATTGACGACTAGTGGAGGGTTTAAACAGACACGGTTAGATTTTGGAAGAGCGAGGAGTCGAAGCAGGAGTAGGAGTAAGAGTCCGCCGAAGGCAGTTGGAGTTTCTGATGAAATATTTGAGAGGGAAGCTTCACCGACAAAGAGTAATATGAAACCTGCGGTGGGGCTTGGTGGAAGGCCTAGGAGGGATTCTAAGACTGTCACTTTTGCGCCGACGCCTGATAAGAGGGCTGTGGACGACGATGATAGTGACGATGATCTTGAGATTCTGGGGATGTGAGGGAGAGTCTAGTCTCTCCCACCATCTCACTTTTTTCTGCTTCTTCTTCTTCTTCTTCTAGTTCTGAAAACACTCTGGGTTTTATTACTGCTACTACTATTCTTTTGAAGCGAGAGTATTAGCTTTTTTCACTTCTTGTTTGGCGTTTTTTTTTAGCAAGAGTTTTTATTCTTTCTGTTCTTTCCGGGACATGATGAAGACTTTATGAACCAGCAGGGTAGCGGTTTTATTGTTGGATGTTATTAGTTTTAGCTAGATCACAGCGGTGTCTCCTCTTCTTTTCGGTGTATGGGTGGAATAAGAAAAAAGTATCATTGGTTTCATTATCGCTTTATGCATGATCAATCTACTTCAGTTCTCCATGCCCTTGTATTGCATTATATATATCTAATCTTCATACATATATACCCTTCACATAAAACAAAAGGTGACTTTGTATATAGTCTCGCTGAATTAGAATTCGTAAGAATATAACTACTAGATTGATTTTCTAATATATATATATATATTGAAATTAGAAAATTGATGTATTTTGGTACTTGGGTATACTAAAATATCTATATACATGCCTCCAACGCCGGCTAACTCGTCGTAATATTAATATCTAAACTTACTATACCTCTAAAAACGATGGGGGTTGGTTTTTATTTTGGAACATCTAAGGAAATATTCTTTAAATGCTCTGTTACTAGATCTTCAAGACCTTTTGTGAGACGGTCTTGTACCCATGCTGGTTCACTACCTTCGTAGAGGAGTGGACTGTCTTCGCCTATACGTTATAAAAAAAGAGGTTAGCACCATGAATTTGCAAAAAAAAAAAAAAAAAAAATGAAAAATGAAAATGACATAAAACAGAAAGAAGAATATGAAAGGAATAGTAATACCAATCCAATCCCAAAGCACAAACCCCTCATCATTATCAATATGTTCCCTCAAAATCTCCTCTCCAGGTTTCAACCCTTTCAACTTCTGCGGTTTTACCAACTCACAAGCTCGGATTAATCTTGTAAATTCAACCCATTCGGTGTATTCGTACGCCCTTTTTGGGTCCGTGGCGACTTGTCGCCCCACATCTCTTATTGCGGCCGTCAATGCTGCTAGCAGTTCTTGGAAGGTATAGTCTTCCGGTAGTGGTTTTGGCTTTTCGAGGAGTTCCGGACGGATTGATGGTGATTGTTGTTGTTGGTTGTCTTCGAGTCTTTGTTCTTCGATGTCGGAGTCGTTGAGGGCGAAGGTTGGGATTGGGATTGGGATTGGAGGGCCCCGGTGCGAGGAGAGGGTAGAATCTCGATCTTGGGTTTTTACTTCTTTTAATGTTGGCATTCGAACTAATGGTGGTAATAAACCATTATCACCGGATGAAATAGCTCTAGAACCCCTCCTTGCGATACCACCATTACCACCGCTATGGCTGGTATTAGTAGCCAAACTAGGATTCCTCAATCTTTCTTTCCTCAACCTTTCCTCTTTCCTCCTAGCCTTCCGATTCCTCCACATTTCCTTCAAACTCTTCCTAATCCCTTCCTTCGGTAGAATCGTAAACTCCGCCAACCTCAACGTCGCATTCTGGAAATTTTCAATAACAGTGGATCCCATACTAGATATCAATATCGTGATAGTAGGTACGGACCATATACTCCACAATAAAAAAAAGGCTTTTCCGGCATTACTCCGAGGACTTAGATCGCCGTATCCTATCGTGAGTAATGATACGTAACAAAAGTATAATGCTTGGAAATAGGTTAATCCTTGTGTATCCTTTTCTGCAATCATGAAAATTACGGCGCCTAGGAGCCAGAGAGTTAGAAATGCGACGGTGGAGGAGACTAGTGCTGTCCATTTCTTGAATTTTAAAGTGTGACGTTGGATTCTTCGCATGGCTTCGAAACGGTCACGAGAGGCGCGGAGGAGGATGGGGCGGGATCGACGTTTACTGGTGAAGGCGGTGAAGATTTGTTGGGGGATGTGGCGGAGGCTGCCGGAGTGGCGGAGAGGAATGGTTTCAGATTTTATACTACTATCAGTGGTTCGACGGTGGACGGTGGTGCCGGTGGGGGATATCGGGGATGTAATTGGGGTTTGGAAATGAGCGAGGGATGGGTCGTCGCGGTCGAGTTCTGAGGAGACGGCAACGGCACGGTTTGCGACGTCTCGGCGACGGTTGGTAATATGCCTGGGGAAATAAGTGGTATGTTAGTATCTATATGGGGGATTGTAGTTACTATGGTTTAATGCATTTGAAAAGGACTTACTGCTCGACTACTTGCTTTTCACCAATCTCAATGACGAATCCGTGGATACTGTTAACTACAAGACCAAGCATGATGATACCAACCACAGAGAACGGAAAGACTATCCCCCTCGCAGCATCAGATGTCGCAGCAATATCTAATCAAGTCAGTAATTTTATCTCCCAACTTCTCAAAAGAAAGAACACTTACCTCCAAACCCAACAGTTAACAATGTAACATTACAAAAATATACCGCATCAGAATAACTCCACCCTTCAACCTTGGAAAACACCAACGCCCCAATCCCCATCCACAAGAAAAAGAATATCGTCTGCAACATCAAGTTCTTTTCCGCTCTCGAGGACTCTATATGTGCTGGATAATGTTTCTTCAAAAAACCCGCAATATTAATAAAAAGAATCGAAGCAGAGAAAAGGTATAAACTGGCTGATATCACACCAAACCAGAATGCCTGGGTGTATATCTGCCCCGGACTAACCGGGCGGGCGTAGACATGTAAAGCCGCTAAAATGCTAGAGAGTAGACCAAAGGCAATGAACCAGCAGATTATCGTGAAAGGCATGGCAACAGCATAACGGATACGTCTAGAATAATTGCACATGAGGAAGAAATTTCCTATGAACCCGAATACAAGGGAAGCTGCGTTTATGCCGATTGCCCTATAATATTAAAGGTCAGAAATTGAAGATCTAATAAATGCTAGAGCGTTTTTAAATACCATCTGGGATCTGGAAACGGCAGATCATATCGTTGGTCATAAGGATGGTCCCCTTCGAGCATAAGGTCTGCGCGCCAGGGACTAACCAGTGCAGCTACAGATGTAAGATTCGCCTGTAAACTGTGAGAATGGTTTTCCCCTCTAATGCTGATATCAGGTTTAGACTCTCACCAGCGGCCCTACGGTAGCAGCAATCAACGGGATCCCCTTTGCTGCGAACCACCATTTTCTAAACAAAAAACCATATTAGCGTCTCGTATTCATATGAATTCATGTTTTGAAGTATCGAATTCGATAGGAAACCGGGAAAAAACAACAAAATCAAGTGTTGCACGATATAGAGGCAAACCGACATGGGTGGCTCGTCATGGCGTTGGAATTCTTCTTCATAGTCCTCCAATCCTTCAGCCTCGTCTATATTGTCACTCTGGTGCCCATCGTTATTGCTGATATCTAAAGGTGCGGATTTGCTACTACTTGGTTCACTAGAAGAGTTTTCGGGTGTGCTTTCCGAGCCCAAATTCGGTGTAAGGCTCGGATCTATGGCGACATCGGTATCGGATTCATTCTGACTGCGATGCGAAGCTGAAGACGGCGATGTTTGGCGATATGTACTACTTCTTCTGCCAGCAGCGAAAGCTTCGCCAAGCAGCTGTGTTCGCAGTTGATACATTGAAAACGGTATCGATGGATGGGCCACCGTTCGCCATAAACCAATTTCTTAGGTTTATTATAGCGGCTAAAATGGCAGCATATTGTGGGAATTCGGAATTGACGGATGACAATGCTACCCTGGGCGAGGAGAAGAAGAAGAAGATGGCAAAGGTTGAAGATATATTTTGGCTGAACGAGAAATTCAAGAAATACCACCCCTGGAATCTGGAAAGCTTAAATCAAAATGCTTGATTAGTATACAGACCTGGCCTGGGGGTTATCAATGCCATGGGTAGAGGTCCGCCAAGGACTGGTTCACCACCGCACAGCGATAGGCGACGGCTGCCGACTCCCACATGCACATGGCATGCAATATAACATATATAGAGCGAACTCCCATTCCGGTCATCCTCGGACGATGAGGTTGGGTCCACTGAAGAAGGGCCGAAAGCATGTAGACACCTTGATCAAAAGAATCCATTGTATCCGGAGAAAGTGACAGGTTTGGCCTTTAAAGGCATCGGCCGGGGCGCCACCATGGATTCGAGGTTTTGAGAATCGATAAATCAAGATTAGTGTGAGCAGTGCATGCACGAAATCTCCTGGCGTAATGATTAGCGAAAAGGCAATGACCCCGGCACATGGCGGGCGACTCTGATAGGCTGGTTTATACCTGCTGTGCAACTGCGAATGCATCGAGGATGGCGTCGACAGGTCTCTTGGATCCATAAGTTGTGTGTAATATTGGTTCCGTGCCAAGAGGTCCATTTTGAGGTCCCTGTTCCCGCTCCGGTGGGCCAGCTGACTGAAACGCGTCAGTTGCCCAGGCCCGACAAATGCTATCATGCGGGAAGCCTTCAAGGGAATTTGCATTTTTGAAGTCCTGGGATCCTTATAGGTCGGGTATGGGAATGCGGGGTTTCTTTATAACATCGGACGACACTCAGTTCCAGTTCTTTGTTTGATGCATTCGCTGAGCTGTGCACGATATACCTCAGACTACTAGATAGACCAACCTCACCGACAACACAGCCACATCAGTTAGCTGAGCCGAGCCTCTCGATACCCCCTTACTTACATCTACATAAAGTCGAGCCTTGACGTTGATTTCAATATCGTACCAGATTATATCATTCAATCTGTATCTGTCAGCAGCCTACAACTCGCAGTTCATGATGCCTGGAACCAGCAGGTATCCTGATACGCCTCAACCGGTCATGTACACTCATGTTGTAGAGACACCCCGCTCAGAGCAGGAACCTCTACTGCCAAACTCATACTACGATGTCAACCAGAGTTCCAGCACTCTTAATTCCCAGAGGTTCGATCCTAGCAGGAAGCGTTTACACACACCTGCTGTGCTTTATCCTGTCAGGGTATGTCACAAAATCACATACCCTTGATACGCTATTACACTATATAAGGCATGTTAGGAGTGGTTGACACGATAAATCTAATATGGCATGATACTAGGGAATGATATATCTTTACTACAATCCAATCCTATGGAGGGTCATCCGGGGCAGGATCGTCCCTTGTCTAATTCTATCTCTCTGCGTCACGATCTTCCTCTTCATGCTACTCTACATCCCTCTAGCGGCAATAATGTCCTTCCTAACTGGCCCAATCGCCCTTCTTAACGCCGCTGTCACTATTTTGACACTCGCCGCAAATCTCAATTCCGCACTCTGCGAAGGTTTCTTACTAGAGCAGAGTCTGATAAACATGTTTGATGCGGTTTTGCTCTTAGAACATCACCACGAACTAGTAGAAGAAGGCCAAGAGGTTATTGCGAACGCACCAGATGTTGTAGCTTCGTTGGGTGAATACAAGGTCCCGACGAGTTTAAGACCGCAGTGGAAGGCTATTTTTGAATTTATATTCTTTAGCCCGGTATCCTTCATTCCTATTGGTATGTAACACAGAACCTCCTTAGTGGCGAAACCGCGGGCCTGGTTGACTAATTTTCTTGATAATAGTCGGTCCGTTCATATTCCTTGCTATTCAGGGTAACCGTGCTGGGCCTATCGCACACTATTGGTACTTCCGTCTAAAAGGACTGGACAAGAAGCAGCAAAAGGCGTTTATCAAGAATTATCATTGGTCCTATCTGAAGTATATATATCTACCCTATCACCTTTTATCTAAAAGCCACTCGGTTTCTAAACTAATGCATTATGCTGTATAGCTTCGGGACAATGGCTATCGGCCTACAATTTATCCCCATGCTTTCTATCCTGGTTGCCTTTACAAATGCGATCGGCGCGGCGCTTTGGGCTATTAGACTCGAATACCGTGAAAAGAAACATCGTCAGTTCGTGGCAGCAAACCATCCGCATCGACCAGAGGAGACGCATTATGCACATGGACATCATGGTCACATTGCATAATTAATATTAGAAAATCGTTAAAAGGAAAACTTACCGGACTGGGGTCTATTATACACATATGATTTTTGATATCTCCATACACTTCATGTTTCCGTTCTATCTTTCCAGCATTTGTTCCTGTTTCATCATATGCAGTGCCAAGCAATTCTAGCCTTTGAAGACGTCAATATTTCAGCTCAACTCCTTTGCTCTCTCCTTCTCTCACTTTTAATCCTCTGCTTATTTCCAACCTTTACAACAGGTTTGCGTAAATAACAGATATTTTCGAATTCAGACCCAAATTTTAACTCTATAGACCTCATCATAGTATCAAGTCTCCCATCTTCGTTTCTACCAATATTGGCCAATTCTACCAACAACGATTCCAAACCAAGGGGTATCCAAAATCCAACATAGACAACACGGATTCCAGAATAATAAACCGACAGATCACTATCACAACAATAATGTCACCACTATCCATATTCCGCGCCCCAAACACCCCCTTCCCATCATCTTCCCTCCCACCTCTAACACCCGCAGCCCTTCTAAAAACCTGGTGGGTAACAACCTCCACTTTACCCATGTGGAAATCCGCCAAAAACATCAGAATAACATACACCTCCATCCCATCCACCAAAAACATCGACGACATAATCCACTACAACCCACGTAGTGGTCCTCCAGCCACAAATTCAACTCCAGAGGAAGCTGCAAAGCTGGTGACGAAATCAATTCATGGTGTTGACTACCCGCTTTCTGAGAATGATGGGGATTTGACGTATAAATGGCGAGGGAAAGGGTTGTTGTTCATTGCGACTTCGAGGTGGCAAGTTGTTGGGTATGGTGGGAGGGATGTTAGGACTATTGTTGGTGAAGGTGGGGAAGAGGTATTGGAGGGGGTGGAGTGGGTTGTTACGTACTTTGAGAAGAGCTTGTTTACGCCGGCTGGGGTGGATGTTATGACGGTGGCGAGGGAAGGGGTGGATGGAGAGACATTGGGTGCGATTGGGGAGGGGCTCAAAGGTATTGGGGGAGTACTTGGGGAGCTATGGGATGGGATCTTCGATATTCCCCGGGATTGAGAATATTATAATGGTAATAGCGATGTGGTTTAGATTGCTAGTGGGTGATTTTGATTGCTAGAACTGGGAATTCATGGTTATATATCCGTAATGGGGCGTTAATACAACCACAATGACAAGACTCAGGTATACGTCGATTGGCAGCAAGCTGGATGATTTGAAATGGTGGGCGTTCTTTAATAGTAATATTTTGCTTTCGAGCATTGCTCACGCATGGTCTAATTATACAATTGAATGTATTTCAAAAATTTACTTTATATTTTAAAATTTCTAATCTTAACTATCAAAGCTGAGATATGCTGCTATAAATCACTCCCACCAACCCCCAATTGTGATATACTCCGTCATATTGCCCCAAAACCAGTCCCACCTACCTTGTGCCAGACCCCAGAATCTATCATCCCTCTCCTTATGTGTTTCTTTCCAAATGATCCACTGGACCCATAATAATGATATTCCCGCCAAAATTGGTAATATAAACTTGAAAAGCTCGAATAGTTCGAATTGAATGTCGCCTGTGATTCGCCAAGTTCTCTGCCATAGATCTGTTGCACCGGATCAAAAGTCATGGGGAAGGTGAAGGTAAGACCACTAAGCCGTCGACGACGGCCCGGCCCCTTCGCCTTCGCCATGATTATCAGCGTCAGCCATTGCCGTGTCATTACCAAATGAAGCAAAGCTAGCGCCAGGTCCACTCGGCCTAAGCATATCCATGACATCAACAGACTCCCGTTGCCGCTTTAAACCTCGAGGGGCTCCTTCTCCCTCAGCGGCAGGGTCCTCGGCAGGGGCAGCTTCACCTTCTGCGTCTTCACCGCCGCCAGTTTCTTCACCTTCTGCATCACTAGAGTGTATTTTCCTTCTTGGTTGCGGGCGGAATGTTGCTACGGGTTCGAAACCTGGAGAATCCTCAGGCCAATCAGTCCATTCGGTGCCCGAATAATCGCCACCCTCGCGGAGGTACATTATCGCTGGAGGAGGGACGGCATTATTGCTTTCGCGATAGGAGTTGTGGACTTCATATTGGTAGCTCCGGCTACGCGTACGATGGAAGATATTGACGGTCAGTTATGATGTTATTCACACAATGGGATGATACCGCAAACGTACTAGATTTCGATTGGCCTCTCCGTCAACCACTTTGTGAATAGATATTGGTCGCGTTCGTTGGGTATTTCCAACGGGTTGATGTCCTCCGGAATCCTCGGTTCGATGAATTCTCTGCTCAAACCTTCTCCTTCTTCCGCTGATTCGTCGTGGTCCTCGCCCACTTTGCCCGCTGAGCGGCCCACTCGGCTGATCCCAAGCTGTTGGATTGATAGCTTTGTGACTCTTCTCAGAAGGATTGTAGCGACTAGTTGATACCATTCTTTCGCAGCATCTTCCCGGGAGCCGTATCCTAGAAGATTATCTGAAACAAGATCGTTACTCAATGAGAGGACCCATAGAACTTCAAATATTCTAGATTCGGAGAAAGCTGTGTTAGAAGCATGTTGACAGGGTATTTGAGCAGCATTTAACCATACTCATCAATTCGCCTATCCAAACCCGCCCATACTGTTGTTGAGTCGATAACCCAATATCTCACGTTCTCATCATCACTTTCAGTTGTATCCGGCAGCCGACCATCGCCCATACCAGATTTATGAACCGGGATAAGGATATCATGCTGGTGAGAGGGAATACCAGCGTCATCCAGCGCTTTTGCGAATGTTTCCTTAATCCATTCTTCTAATCGATAATTGACTACCACTGGGAGAACAATCTGGAAACGGTCGACCAGCTCATTGATATCCTTGGAGTAAGCAATTCTTCGGATACGACGAGTGAGATATCCTTTCACTAAGCTCAAAGTCAGTTTGCATGGTTTATATATCAGAGATAAACCCATCGGACGGTAAGCAAAAACTAACAATGTGATTTCCACCCCGATTCATACGCCCGATTGTAACTCCGTCGTGGTCCAAGTACAGATGCTTCGATTGCTGGGTCAGATTCTAGAACAGAACAAAACTTTTGAAACAAGTTTTCGTTATAGTCATCGATCGCATCTGTAAATGATTTTGGTGTGAAACTCGAATTCCAATTGTACTGTGGGAGCATGTCATAGGACTCCACGTCGTAAGTTGTCGAGGCGAGGGTGTTATAATCTACTATCATCTTCTTTTCCTGTTCGAAGCGGAAGAGGGCACAGTGGCGGGCGTGCATTTCCAATGACCCGAGGCCGCGTTTTCCTGTACCGTATCGGATTAGAACTTAGCTTTAGATAGTAAATACATGGCCCTAGAGCATTCAACTTACCATGTGGCGCACCAACGCCGGAGCGATAGGTGTCTATTGAGCTAAACTGTCCCTTAGGCAGCTTCATCTTGTCTCCGGTATCAGGATCTACCCAATCAAATAGGTAGTAGTTCGCATGATTGTAGGTGTTTTGGTCCTCAGGATCACTATAAAAGCCATCTTCATCGTCGTAATCCTCCGGTGCGCTGACTTCGGTTCTACCAATGTAAAATCGATGGACCATATCTTCACCCGCTGCGAATACCCTTCTCACAGCCTGGATACCGGAAACTATGTCCGGAGTTTCAGGAGCCTCATGGCGGTACCAATATCTGTGCGACCCACCCAAGTCACCAACAGCTTGGTCGATGAAAGGGTGAGTCACCCGACGTTTTGAGAAGTCGATCTCAACCATCTGACAGAATTCTGGGAGAATCCGCACACCGAAGCCGCGCTGGGCGTACTTTAGCAATCGTGATTCTTGTGTTTCTCGTCGCTCATTCAAGTGGTGTCCGTGTATCATGTCTAGTGTGAAGATAGCATAACCCGTCTCAAGGGCTCTGGCGCATCTTGGGAGAAGCAAGACATTATCCCCTGTATACCCGATGGCAACTTGGTCCAGATCGAAGTTCAGCAAAACCGCGGCAGGGTTTTTGATCATTTTCATGATTATTTGGACCCGACGGTGCGGGAAAGTCCCGATCAGAGTGACAGTTCGGGCATTTTTTATCATCACAAAGTCCTCGTCGGGCTTCAGGTTCTTTTTCCAAATGTTGGCAATATGCTTTATCTTCTCGTTCGCCTGCGCTGGATTCAAGCCGTAGATGTACATATCGATGTCATTTGACTTGAATTTTTCATCCATGCTCTCATCCACGCATAGGAGAGTGCTAAGAGGCATACCTCCTGCAACCAAGACGTTGCTCCAGTCGAGGCCATCTAGAGCTCCGCCCATGAGCCTGTCAAATGTTTTCTTGAAAGCAGCTGTGGACGGTTGGATCTTGATTGTTCGAGTACGTTTTTGGTCAAGGTATTGTAATCCGGATGTGGGTGCGATTTTTCTCGTGATCTCACGATAGATCGGCTCGCCGGCTTCATTCTCAACGAGTTTAGAAGAGTGCCCGAAGACAATATCAGCGTCATCAAGATTTAGGAGTCCCCAGTCCGATCCATCCGCACGAACAAAATACTCATTCTAACATCAACCCATAAACTGTCAGTAAACGCAGAATACCCGGGGATATACAGTTGATAACATTGAATGACTTGCATACTTTTAAGATCCAAATATCCCGCTTGCTATCATCTTTTAACTTATCCCATCCTTTCTGCTCCGAGAACCTCAGCATTGAAGTGTAATGCAATTTCGGGCTATCTATCATAGCACCCAGTAGACTCTCGGGACAATGCTTCATCACAGTCTCAAAATTCGACGGCGAGGGATCTTCCCTCAACGAATTTATCATACTATTCATAGCAATTGTCGTAAGTGGAGGAATAGTACCAGCTTTCTGGGAGTTCGTTAGAAGCTCGGCCAGTTTGGAACGGTAGAGTTCAGCGGATTTGATATGCGTTTCGATATGCTTAATGCACAAATCCGAAAGATCGTAGTTGGTGGAATTGATGTCTTCTCGCGCGTATTGCGCGCTGGGGACGTAGTCCATCATGATAGGACGAACAGGTCGGTGTCTAGTCATTTTTTCTAAGACTGAGAAATTGGTAGCTACAATGCTATGTGATTTCCGACTAGTAAATTAAATTGTTGAGAGGATCGTAAGCTTCGAAACCTATCTTGCGTTGGGAGTTGGTACGGTGAAGGTGAAGGTGAAGTTGAATTGAAGTTAAAGTTGAGCAGCAACAAATATTTGGCCACCCCAAAAGCTTCAGTTACAGAGGGGCAGACGCGCAACCACGAAGATACGTTCCAAGCTAGCTAGCTTACCAGCAACTCGTGTTTAACTTGAAACCTGTCAGCATACGCGCATCTGCACGAAGTTTATGCCGAAGGCGGGGTGTGGTCGCATGCCAAGGACTGGAGAACCAAAAGTGCACGCAGAAGGTCCCAAGACATTTCGAGCTAGAGCGTAGCATGTTTGAACTTGAACTAATAAACCTGTTTGGTTTCCTGTTAAAGTTGTTAGACTTACCGTTACCAGTTTAAGTATCGGTGAAGGCCGTTGCCCAACTTAAGGACGAGGACCGCTTCGCCAGTCTCAGGTTCGCAGGGATGGAAGATCGAATGACACACGCAACGCAAACATTGTTGTAAATTGATATCCAGAAAACTCGGAGTGATATCAAGGACATGAAGCACAAGTGCTGATTCAAGTACTTTCTTAAGGAGTTATGTGAGTATGGAAAATGTAGTTATTTTTTTGGAGATATTTTTGAATTGTTATGATATATATGTACAAAGAGGAGCCCTCCGCAATCAAAATCAGAAACAGTAACCGAAGCAAGCATAAGACCAAGCCGTGAGGCTAAGTCTGAGCGAAGTCTCTCTGCACTGGGTATATCAGGATAAAGAAATAAAAAAATAACACCAAGAAGTATGCCTTTCCGACTTCGATTCGACAATATTGACCCCACCATCTATGTTACCCCCCAGCATCAAATCCGTTTGTTGAAGAAAAAAAAAAATCCTCCATTTCCTTTTCAGGTCGCTATAATCTTGAGAGATTTTGTCCCGAGTGAAAAGAGTATTTCCAGCCTAACTAGCTTCTGCCAACTACTAAGCGCAGACCGTTTAATAGGGCTTTGGGTAGCACTATACAGAGAACTCAGGTTAATGTTATAAAAAAAGGAATTATTAGGCCTTCGGTTCAAATTTACCTGGGAGTAGTAGGCGTTGACGTAGGTACAAATAGCGTTGTTAGCGCACGTTCCGCAACCGGTGTATTGAACACCACCACTATTGAATAGTTTCAGTCAGTAAATCTCCTTTCTGGTGCCGTCAACCGGATATCTTGCTCTTACCATTGGGAGTAGAGTGGTCTGAGGGTAGAACAGTCTGCTGCGATAGTGGAGGTAGTCAAGGCAGCGATGGCGAGAGCAATGGTGAACTTCATTTTGATGGTTGGTATTAACTCGAAGGCTGAGGACTTAAATCTAAGAAAGATGAGGTTCGAAGAGCGAATGCGGATTTTATGAGATTTGTAAACGAATGGTTCGAGGGTAGACCGGAGCTACTTGAGGATTTATATTGAAGATTAAGTCGAAAGGGACTGTTTTGATTTGCTTGCTTGAGATGATGATCGAATGATAGTGGGGAGAGATTGAATCCGAGAAGGCATCACCACCTTCTTATATATCTCAGACCTGTCTGGGGAAGCATACTAATATCCTACTTATTAGAACATGTTATAGGAATTAATCTATTTTGGGGGACTCCCTGAATTCCTCCCCGTAGATTGATAGATAGTTAGACCATAATTCCAGCGTAAAAATGAAAAGACCTAGTTTACCATGTCGATAAAGGCCGCTGTGCTAGCTAAGCTCATGCATGGTCAACCCGGACAATTGGGGAAGAAGCTGGGGTTAGCCTCCACGGGTAAAATCAACAGGAAAGAAAAAAGAGATTGCGGCCAAAATCCCCAATCTTGACAATTTTTTTTCCCAGTGAACCCTCTGGTCAATCCAGGGCCGTCCATTAACCACCAGGTGGTGCGTGCTGCGTTGGGGTGGTGGTTTGGACCAGGTATGAAACACAGCCGTTCGCTAGACTGGCCAGCGCAATGACAGTCTTGGGACCCAGTTCCTTGCATCTGCAGTCGAATTTATCCATTTGGCAAATTTATGCGGGCCAAGTCCCTCACGTATATTGGAGCGAAACACTCTCGCGGAATTTGTTTTCTTGTTTCTCATACCGAAAAAGAGTTATCGCGACCGTATTTCTGCAATTCCATGAATTTGGGATTCATGAAACATTAAGATACGAGAGTTGATGCTGCAGTTTGCCACTGGCCACGGCTAGCTTGTCAGTGTTTCAAGTGCTTCTAGAAGGGTTTCCGCCTCTGTCTGTGCATTATCTCGTCACAATCATAATACTCCCTTGAAATACATAAAGTTTTTCCCTGGGGTTGTATTTCGCTGCTGAGGGCAGAGATATCACTGTCACAACCTCTCAATTGGCTGGCTATTCTGAGTGATCAACATCCTCCACTGCCATATTTTGATTCTGAAATCAACTGAAAAGTATTTTTCCAAGTCCCGTGAACGACGCTCAGGCCGTGAGTTGCTTTCGAAATTTCTCATGTCATGTCTTTGTCAGAACAATTTAAAACTTCCAGTTGCTCATGTTTCTCATTTCTGTTCCTGAAAATCCGATAGTGGAACCGAGTTAATACTGCTGACATCATGGTACTGGGCAGTTGAAATAGATTAAAAAATATGTATACTCTGACTGAAGTATAGCTTACCGTGCTTTTCGAGCTCGTATCTCAGTCTGTACACGTTTTGGGCTAGTTTTTTGTATAACGACCGGGGTGTCGGCATATAACATACTCCGTATAACGATGCTAAACGGTGCTGGGTCATAGCGAGGCGCTTCGCAGTCCAAAGTTGCGTACGATTACTCGACATATTATGCGTAAGGACATCTGGACATACATAGACGCAAGCACTGGATGTCCCCTTTTCGTTCAATACGGGCTGTGCCCCGTTCGCGAAAATAATAAACCTATAGGCCTAAAGTATGTAATGTAGGTATGTCCACAGCGCACAAGGGCCGGAATTCGGCCATCTGGCAAAAGTCGAGCATATACGTACGTAGACTAGTTTGCACGGCTGAGGCACGGACTATACTGGATCGAAAACTTGTCGATATAATTACCCCATTTTCAGAGCATGCTGCTAACGCCACTGCGATGTGGAGACATAGCTTAAAAGTTAAACTGAGCACAGGGCGCCTGCCAGTACCTCCTCTGTGTGAGGGAGGGAGTTTTTGGTGCCTGCAACTTATGCATACGGCATGGTTCCGGAATGACCGGGTTGCGGTTCCTGCTTCCAAGTCGCCAATGCTGGTAGCAGCTGCAGGAGACGAGACCATAATATGCGGATTGGGGGTATAGTATGACCGTACTTTTGAGTCCTTTAGCTCTTAGTATCCCAAGCCTGGTCATTAGTTTCCAAATTTTCACTCAAAGCCCAAGAGGGTCGGCGGAATCTTACTTCATTGTAAACAGGCTGTTTGGCTTCTCAAACGACCCCAAATTCCCTTCGCCAAAGCGAAATTGCCCTCCAAACTCCTTCATCTTTTTTTATTTTATTTTATTATTTTCTCTTTTGAACTTTCTTACCCACCCCACCAGTCGCCACCAATTGCAATTGCGAGTCGAACTGCAAGTGCAGTGCAGCAGGTGCATCAAGTGCAGCTCATCTCTCAGATCATCGACCGTGTACAGGTTCAGAAGTCCCCACTTCGAATCAATCACATCCACAATGGCTGCCCATGCGGAGAATGTTACATTCAGACAGTGCGCCCATCTTGCGACACCGGACCATGTCACTGCTGATTTCTGTTTGATACCTGTGCGTCCGCGTCCTTCCCCGCAGAGAAACACCGCAATGAGCTGGAGCTCAAGAGCCCCCAACTTGGCGGGCGTGCACAGACCACTTCCCCTTAAGGCCTTAAGGTCTTTCCCAACGTTAACATCAACACATTCGAATGTTCACCCCCATGCATCCTCGGAGGAACTACCTTGTCTTCACAGCCCGTGATGACCATCTGACCTTACAATCTATGTCAATCAAATACAATTTTACGTTGTTGTTATCATATGGAATCACTAACATATAGCTAACCCTTTTTTTTATTCCTTTGTTTTTTTTGTTTTTTTCGGTCAATAGATAGGAACTCCAACCGCCTCTGTATCGCAGCATATCGCCAACATCCAAAAAATGATTGCGGCAAGTGGAATCAAGTATTCTATGCACTCGGCCGGCACCACACTGGAAGGATCATGGGAAGAAGGTACGTAACTATACCCGTTCGATGATAGTTTGCTTCCGCTACTTCCCGTGCCTATGTATGTGTATTCTGCCTTTTCTCAATCGTTCCGCCTCGTCAGCTTGTATACGTCAACAATCCTGTCCTCAATCTTGTGAAATTCTCCGAGATTCGAATAAATCTAAAGGTTTAGATGTCTTGACTTGAAACTGTTAAGCTTGGCTTTATCCATTATATCAGGATTACCAGGGAAAACTGTTAAAAGTACAGTGTATTGACGTTTTGCGTTAACATCTTTGTCCTTGTCAATCATCCATGGCCTATCATTCTCCCCATGTACCTGCTATCTCATCCTAAACAGTACTCGATTGATCTATTATTCAATCGATCTGTTTGGGTCCAGATACCAAAGTTCTTTCTGTCCTAATGCAGGAAGAACCGGGTTTATACTGTTTTTACCGGGTTTTGGCCTTTTTAACCGTGGGCCGGTGGTCTGACATCCCAAGGATACTCGACCACCTCGAGATCTCAACCCAAGGCCCTGCCTTTGATCGCATTCAACCTTTCCCCATTCGGAACACATCCCTCTCCTGTCGATGCATGAGGCCAACAACCATTTATTCTCCGCGACTACTATGTATCTCTGCTAACTCACCCATGTAGTCACCAAGGTTATGGGACAGGCACATACCTTACTGCATAACCAGGGCGTCGTTCGAATGTGAGTGTAACACGCTCCTTCCAAATCTGTGTTACTTCAGATAGACCCCTTCTATCTTAAGCGTTTGCTTTCCTGGGATACTGCATGTTAAGGGCTGTCCTGGAAGTTACGTGCATACTACATTTGCCCTGATCATCAGGAACGTTCGAAAGTCGATCGAAACCGGCGCTTGAGGCAAGGTACATCCTAAGCAATTATCTTAGCTATGCCTAATTTTATGGAAATGCGGATTAATTGTCTTCATGGTAGTCCCTGAAGCTCCAGGGCTGACGTTCCATCATCAAGGAATCGAGAACCCTTCTAGAACATCTAATCCAATATATCCCTCTACGTGGTAGAGCTCAACATACTACCAAACTCTAAAACTTTGAAGCCTTGAGATGGTCCCTGCTAACCCCTCACCACTTCGGCACAGACAAACCGATATTCGCATTGGATCTAGGTAAGTTCGAAAATTTCTCAAAAACTTCAACGGATCATCCCGTGTCTTGGCCCCCAGCTCTCTTTTCCGAATAGCAATCATTTTACTATCCGTCTCTTTTTTTTCTCAATTCATTTTACCTCTTACCCCATGCTCGAGTTCCGAATATCCCGTTCTATTTCTGATAGAACAGGCCTGGAAACTCTGAATCAATCATTAACCCCTCCTGCTCCTGCAAACCGGATCCCTTCCGGCCTTCCGCGCGTCCTGAAAATATCTCGAGAAGCCATTGTTATATTTCCATATGATCAAAATGTGCGTCTCTGGCTTAGCAAACAAGACGTATCATATCATGATCACAAGGCCATTTGGCCGGCTTTCTCAGTATATACGCATATTCGCAGTTCGTACTCGATACGAAGAACTGCAATATGCATCAGATACAACTGCAAGGCTTTCGTGTCATCCTGATATGATCTAGCAGCTTTGATATGATCCACGTTGCATACATACATATCAACGACCCACTGTGCCTCATCTCTACTTCAGAACCCAGTCGAAATATTTCTATACAGACAAACTATCGGCGCCCGGAACATCTTTTGGACCGTAGCTGCATGCGATCATCATCATATAATCTCTTTTTTGATGTTGATTTACAATCCAAGAAAGTAGCTCTGCCTTGTCGTTTATATCACTCGTTTACTCTATCCTTTCTCGACTACGCTCTCCTGCATGCACGGACAACCCCCCCTCTAAAACATTTTACAAGACAAAGTCTCCACTTTCGACCCACTTCCCCCAAGAAAATACATAAACCCCCAAATATTAACGTTTCAGAAAAACAAAGGAGGGTTCGAACGTTCCCGCGGAACGCAAAACTTGCATACTACCTATCGACCCACTTTTTTTTTACTTTCAACCAATCACCTTCTCTTCCCCAGAACTTCATAGCAGACCCACTGACTTGTTTTTATAATTTTTTTTTAAACAGAACGGATAAAGTCCAATCAATCGAGGATAAGGTACGTTTAGCTAAAAGTTTCCCCTCATAATAGGCCCCATTCCCGTATCCCGCACCTTGGTTGAGTTAGCGCTATAGCCTCAAAGCACCGATCTATTTCCCCTTTCTCGTGTGACGTGCATAACCACAGGCAAGCAAGCGCTCAGTCGCATTTTTTGTGTGATTTTTTTTGGTCAAAACTATCGATCAAAAGCTTTGACTTCAAAAACCGGTGTCATAAACTTTTCCTGTACCTGAACATTAATGAATCTTGTATACCGGTCTCCACACATTGACACAAGGCGTTCTCATGTCTGACCCTTTGCCTCCCCCCCTCCCCCCCTCTCCCCACAGCAGACACATCACAAGTATACTTTGCACATACACAATACATATCTTTCCCTTCTCCACATTCGCCACCTCTCACCCCATTCGCAGCAGCCCGAAGTTCATAACCGGGGAATGCAATGTGGAGCTCCAAAGCTACGGCACGGCTGTCTTTTCCACATAAAATACACATCCAATAAACCCCAAAGTCCCCACCTCAAATTGCAATCTAACCTCACTTTTTGTTTTAAACTTTTATATATATGCATAACCAAGGGTTTTACCTCTACATTATTGCATATGACCTCTGTGATCCATCCCTGGTTGACTAACTTAAAAACCCCCCCTTTTTTTTTATTCAATATAGGTCTCTAAAGTGGAGCAAATCCTCAAAGCTGATGCTGCGGCAAATCCTGCTACCGAAGAGTAACGTCGACATCACGAGACGATATCATATGCATATGGTGTACGGAGTACATACATAACATCGCACGAACCGTTTGATTCTAAGTGGGATCAATCGGTCAGTCCTACCTAAACTGGTCATATAGACCGGGTTAGTGGGACTGCGGTGATAGTGGTGGTGGTGTATACTGGATGCATTAGACCCGTTAACGTTATTCTATAACTCTCTGCGGCAAGAGAGTGGCGGAGGAGGAAAGTTACTTTGCATTGCATAACAGTTATAGAATCAAATCATAGAAACATCTCTGCTTTATTTTGTTCCCCAACCGAAACTGCTTTAAACTTTGTTCCACCTTGATTTCCACATAAGTCTATAGTAGCTACGGCGGTAATGCATCTACTTCATAAAAGACAGCCACTTTTAGGGGGATATACATGCATGTATTACAATAACAAAAAAAAACAAGAGAAAAAAAAACAAATCAAAGGTAGGAATAATAAGAATAATAAGAATAATAATAGTAGAATCAACAAAATCCATTAAACGCCATCATGAATTTTCTTCGCCCTATCAGATATCACTGCTACACTATCGCGTGATCGCAAGTTCGTATTCAACAGTTTACATCCTAACAGTGGACCAAATTAGTACTCATCACACTTCTCATCACATCTAACAAATAGGAGAGGAAATAGGAAGCTAACCTTTCAACCGGTGACAATCCCAACAGCTTCATAGCATTCGACAATACCGTCCTAGCACTTTCAAACAACGCCATCCTAGCCCTCGCAACAGATTCCTCACTACCAACGACCTTAACAACCTCATAACTCGAACTCAAGATCTGTGTCATCTTGAAGAGATAGTTGACAATTGTTGTCGGCTCATTAGTCTTCAACGTATTAGTAATGACATCGGGGAACTGAGCCAACGTCCTGAGCAACATAATTGCCTGGGGCTCAGTAATAAGTGTCAAGTCCGCGGTATGGATAAGTGGCATTGGGATGTTGGCTTTCCTGAGGATAGAGCACAACCTAGCATGGGCGTATTGTAGGTAAGGACCGGTATCACCTTCGAACGATGTCATCCTCTTGATGTCGAATGGGTAATTATTGATCCTCTTGCCCGTCATGTCCTGAATCATGATAGCGGATTTGCCAATGGTATCTGCAACCTCCTCGGGATTTTCAACTTGTTTGTATTTTTCCTCGTTCTTCTTCATGACTTCGTGCATTGCCTCACCGACTTCATCGAGGATGCTGTCCAAGAAAACAACCTCACCAGACCTGGTCTTCATACCGGCAACAAGTCCGAAGTTGATATGTACGCACTTGGAGACGAAGTCCTGGCCCATTAGTTTCAAGATTGCGAATAATTGTTGCAAATGCAAATCCTGTTGACTGGAAACAACGTAAATCATTGTGTCAAACTTGTAGTTTTCGTATCGCTCCATAGCGGCACCGATATCTCGAGTCAAGTAAAGCGTAGTACCGTCCTTCTTCTGGATAATAGCCTTTCCGAGTTTCTTGTACCCATGCTTTACGAAATCGACGATCTTAGCACCCTCAGAGTTCTCAGAGATTCCCTTATCCTCCATGATCTGCGAGGCCTTAGCCATTGTGTCGGCGCCGACCTGGGATTCTCCGGAGTAGATGTCGAATTTGATGTTCAACCTGGCATAGACCTTTTCACATTTTATGATGGAGAGGTCCCTGAACCTCTTCCATAGGGCAAGAGCGCTAGGTTCGCCATCCTCCATCTTTTTGAAGTAGGCCCTGGCCTTATCGTTCATGCTCTCGCCTTCAAGGGTTTCTCCAGCCTTGATCTTCTCTTCTTCAGCCTTTGCCTTAGTATTCGCCGTGACATAAAGCTCGAATAAGTGTTGAATAGGATCATCATTCAGTTTCTCCTCGCTACCCGATTCCTCAAACTCGACAGCCAGTAAACCGAACTGTTTACCCCAATCACCGAGATAGTTCATCTTGATGACATCCCAATCGCAGAATTCGTACAGATTCGACAAGAAAGCACCAATGATTGTAGACCTGAGATGACCAGCATGGAAAGGCTTGGCAATATTGACGGAAGAGAACTCGATGAGGGCTTTCTTTCCGGCACCAGAGTGATTGGCACCATACCTAGTTGCCTTTGAGAGGATGCTTGGGATGGTGAGTCGTGCGAGAGTCTTAGGATTGAAGAAGAATTTGATGAATTGGTTATCAGCCTCCGGAGCAAGGATGTACTGGTTCTCTGGGAACTGTATATCAACGATATAGTTAGTTAGTTATATCTGATCTTTCGTACTTGAAGTTTTCCCCGGTTATCACCAGCTAACCTTAGAAACCCAATCAGCTGCCAAAGCCTTGGGATCTCCCTTGATCCTCAACCTAGGCACCGCCATGATCAGATCGCCCTTCTCCATTTGCTGTGTCCATTCCAAAGCCGGATACACTATGTCCCTGCTGACACCAGTGATCTTATGCATTTCCTCGGCAATATAAGACCGGAAGATGTCGATTGGGTTTGTAGTGACGCTCGCCGCCTCATAGGTCGGCAGAGGGTCCGTGATGCCCAGTTCGTTAAGCATTGCTTGAACATCCTCGATCGAGCCTATTGAAGGGGCCACTGTGGCTGCCATTGTGGAGTATTTGTGAGATGTGCTGGTAATAGTTGGTAATAGAGGGTCTGAGGTGATGATGGTGGTAGGTATCGTGAGAGAATTTGGTCGTCGTAGTGGACGTGTTGGTGGGGTGAAGTGTGATAGTTTGTGCGATAGATGGCGGGGTGTGTTGGAGGGGTGTTGGCGCAGAGTGTGACTCAGGAAAAGTCTGGATTTGAATGCCCCGAACTTCTGCTGCTGGGAAATACAGTGAGTAAGGCCAAGTACTCGATTTGAGATTGGTGCTCGTAGTGTCATGTACTGGATTGCTTGAACAGAACTGGTTTTAGATATTGACATACGGGTACGAAGTTTAGAGTTTTGAGAGTCGGTATAATGACATTAATGCGCAATGCAGAGCTCTTTTCTCTTTTTTTAAAAAAAAAATTCAAACGATTCGGAGTCAACTCGCCCCACCCTCACTGATTGGGACCCAGGTCCGATATGCTACACAGTTCTCAACACGGATAGCACTTCAACTTAACTAATTGGTATTATAACAGGCTTAGCTTTAATTGAATCCGCTATTTTGAAATGTAGGATTTTTCTCCAAATTACAAATCTCCGCAAATTTACCAGAAATATAGAAACAAGAAAATTGAAAGTATCTACCTATCTTGCCTGCGTATATTCTCGTTCAAGACGAGGGCAGATCTGTATATAAATGATCAGTACCTACGAACTCGAAAGGAACCCAAGTGTAGAGGAGCACAAGCTAGTTAAGGCATGATCTATAAATGCTGGGAGGTCTCACAAATATCTTTCCATCTTACTCACCTGGTATACGTAACCTAGCTATATTGTTTTTCATGCCCTCGTGGCTATTCTGTATACATTATATATAGTATACATGCATACCTATCTCGTAAAAAGTAACACCTCCAGAACAACCAATATCTAATACTCTGAAAAATTAATAGTTCGCTGTTGCTTTAATCGCGTGTGAAGTTCCCTTGCGTATGCTACCGAAATATCTCGGAAGCACTTCCCATCGGGGTCTGATAACTTGCCAAATACCTCAATGAAGTTCTGTGGAATAGAATCGTCACCGAGATTACTATACCCCCTGGTTATCTCATCGACGAGGTTATTCATGGCACTGGGGCTTATCGAGGCTCCTGACTTATATAACTCGTTCAACTGGGTAACAATACTCTCAGCGTCTTCAGCATTAAGCTGGGTTCCAGTGCTTCCGACTCTTATTTCTTTTAAGCTCTGCTCCATAAATTTACAATAATCTCTCCCTGCACCCTTTATCTGTAGAAAATCAAATGTTTGCATGATATCCTTCAGGGCCTGTGCAGTTTCTTTCGAAAAGGGTTGCTTCCCATGCATATTATAAGCGTAGTAGGTTTCTACGGGTACCCTATACAGCCAATTAAGGACCGTAATCATATTGTCCTTGGTAATTTCGGGTAGTGTGATGCGCCTTTCTTGGGATTCTTTTAGTCCAGAACGGAGAGCTGCTTTGAAAAACTCTGATTGAGATGCTAGCGTATATTCATGCGCTTCGATTTCGAATTCGCTATCCCCAATAGCCAGTATGACATCTGGCTTGGAATAGAGGTAAATTGGCATTCAAGAAACATAACCAATGTCAATTCTAACTTCACAAGCAATAGAAAGTACAAGAATTAACACGCCTCAGCCCACGATACCAAATGAATAAGATTTTTGGACGAGGAATTCGAATTCTTACTCTTTGAAAGCCATAATACTTGTAACTGTCTTTATTTCCCTAGCCGCCGCTCTCATTTTGTTTTGCCTCCCCCGCCAGTCTTCCATTTCTTTAATTTACTGTGACTGTATACAAGGAAATAGTATTCAGATCGTTGAGAGGCTTAGGGGCAACAGATTAAATGGGGTTTTGTTCGGAAAATAAAGCCTTGTAAATTTGCAAATGTACCGGTGCTTAGCTGGTAGTATGACCTGGGAAGAATTAGAGCTAGAATAAATCAGCCTTGCGATTGGGTTATAAGCAAAGCTAGGTATACGATATCCCAATATACTTAAGTATATAATGAATAGTCTTAATATTGTAGCCACCATAAGGTAAGTAGAGCACTGGTGTAAATTTGCTGAATAAAAGTAGGGCCAATCCGCCAAACCCACTAAACTTATAAACCCACCAACTGGAATTCCATCCGATTCCATATGACGTACTTGTCATCGAATTAATTAACTAAAACATGCCCCCTTACAAAAAACTACAATCCAGATTGCAGGCAGCATTTCCCAGCCACGTCTGATCTGCACGAAAGCGGCGCAGATGCATCGCCAAATTACCACACTACCAACACTTCATGATCGTGATCAGGCATGCTGGGATAAGAATGCACTGGTATCGGGTATTGTTGAACGATATATTATATATCACCGGCTCCGTTTATATCCTCAAGGCTTTCATTTTTACAAATTAAGTTAACACGGGTATGTATCGAGAAGCAAAAATATTGCTGACTTTTGGATCACGGGATTAAAACTAACTTCCTAAACTCGAAACCTCTCAAAAATAAACCTACATTACCTAGTAAAAGATATGATCAAACACCAGTACCTACATTTCCAATTAAGATGCTTTCTAAGTCCATATTTCCTAACTTAGGTAGCTAATAGCCATACGTAGATAGGTGTTACTAGGAATGCTTGGGCAAAAGATTCGGTGACCCAAAAAAAGATTTGAGGGATTTCATTTCTCAAGACGAAAGGAGATTGACAATTCTGGTTTACGAGATAAAGATTGACCTATCTCAAGCTTGTAACCCGTGGTTGGTACTAAGCAATGCATGCGCATGTTCTAGCTTGGAGCCATTGCATCCTTGAAAACTTCCACGAATTTTAATAATTTAAGCAACCATGCATAGCTCTCAATTTATAAATCCAACATTACTGGCGCAGCTAAATTTCAATTCTCTTGATAAGTTCTAATGAAAAGTCTCGGAGGAACCTCCCTTCAGGGTCTGGTAGCAGCTGAAGCGCCTCAATGAAGTCGTTTGCAACGGGGCATGATGATTTGTCGGCGGCTATCCCAGAGACAAGCTTTGCCAAAGCCTCCTTGGTAATCGAGCCTCTACCCTTATAAACTTCGTTTGACTGGACGATGATAGGCCGACCAAAACTCTAGCTTGAACTACTTACATGCATAAGTCATCCACACTCCCAAACTCCACGCATGGTTGACTCTTGAACTCGGCCGCGCTGAAGAAAAAGCTGATTCCTGATTATTATTATTTTGGAGGGGGGCGTTCCTGAAATTTTCTGGCATATGGTAACAAAAGATCACGAAAACACCTTCCATCGGGATCCGATATCCCCTGAAACGCTTGAAAAAAGCAGGCACCTACGTTACTATAAGTCCTGTAAGTAAAAGCCCGACTCTCATCTATCCCACAAACGAGCCTCTCTATAGCTTCCGCGGTGATTGAGCCTCCAGACTTATAAACTTCGTTCATTTGGGTGACGATATGGTGAGCATGGGAATTTTCGGGGCGGGGGTAGCAGCCTGTTCCGACTTTTTGAAGGTACTCTTCAACAAATTTACAGTAATCCTTCCCGGCACCCTTTATCTGCAAAAAGTCAAAGGCCTGCATGATATCCTGTAACATCCGTGTAGAAGCCTCCGAAAAAACTGAGGACGCGTCTTTATCCTGAAAGTATGGGACTAAAGGCGCTCTATACAGCCAGTTCAAGACTGCAAAAATGGTGTTTGGTTGAATTTCAGGCAGCGCAATGCGTCTTTCTCGGGACTCCTTTAAACCGCAATGGAGTGCAGCTTTAAAGAACTCTGACTGTGATGCGAGTACAAACTCATGTACCTCGATCTCGTTATCTCCGGCCACTATTGTAACGTCTGGCTTGGAATAGAGGTAAAAAGGTGTCCTGTAGGTATGTACAGTACTCACGTTAGCCTCTCAATTGTAGCAAAGCTTTCCAGGCCAGAAAGATCAAAATAAAATAGATGAGTGGGAAATCTGACTCTTTGAAACCCATATTAATGCTGCTTTCGTTTGATGCCATGCTTTATGCTTAGGTCTGTTTACCCAATTCCTTAGTCGTCTACTTGCGCCGGCTCTATGAGGAAGAATAATATTTTTTTTAGGTAGTTAATATAATGGAGACTGTTCTGAGATATAAAGCCAGTCCACCTCTTGCCTATCAATATTCAAACAAGTAAAAGGTCTACTAAAAACCCCAAAGCCACGGGCCATAATTCTATCAGATTCCATATTACGTACTTTTTATTGGAATAAAATAGACAGACCCCCCAAACTACAGGCTACATTTGATTCAGATTTCAGGCAGGATTTCTCAAAGAAAGCTGCTCAAAAGCGGCACGGCTGCAGCCCTTAACTCAATAGCCAATGCGTGAGCAAATTACCACACTACCAACACGCGAGTTGTGATATAAATATAGATGCACTTATAGTACGTAAGCGCCTATGATGAAGAAGATGGCCTTGTTCGACGTACCATTGGTATTGGTACTTTAATTATAATTTTGTGTGTAGATATAGACCCAGCATTATGCTTAGGTCTCCGTTGCATTGGAGTTATTGTAGCCTGATGATACCGTAATTTTGCAGCGCCCTAACGTGGCTAGCGACGTCGGCTGACGCATATATAAGCGCGTAATAATCCATGAGAATCCGCCACCTTATCTGATATAAAGTGATGGATAGATACTCTGAAGATTAATATAAATATATCATTCAACATCCTCCTTTAATCGCATTCAAAAATGAAATAGGCTAAGTAATAAATAGACAGCATATATTTCCACCCTTATTTCCGTTCCGGTGAGGACCTGACATCGTTACCCATTTAGTGTGTGCCCCTACTCCTGCTCTAAAGCCTTGTAGGGCCTTTCTTAAGCGCTTGCACCTCAATTGTTCTATACCATGATATGTCAACATTGTATTAGTTGATCGGCTACAAAGTTAAGTTGATCAAACATGAGACGTTAGCACTACTTCAACGATACTTAATTAATTCTGGTTCGCCGACCAAAAGTTCACAACTATGTATGAAAAGGACCGTAAACAATCATATGATTATGCCATTAATTATATTTCTTTTAAACTAATAAGAGATGGACATCAAGGGGGTTGGATACATTTTTTGTAAAATACGTAGCCAATTTCATCAGGCAAAGTATAATTATTATAATCGAAATCTTTACGCCTACTTCCTTGCAACCGGTGACACCTCATTAATGTGCTTCCGCCTGAAATCACCACAAACGTATTGTCATACACCGTTTAAACCCTCCTGACTTGTTTCTTGGCGGCCTTCTTCATCTCCTTTTCCTTCTCCTTGTCTAAGAACTTCTTCTGCTCATCAGCAGACAGCCCTCTCAGTTTTGCATCCCTATCTGCCTTCTTCTTCTCATCCTTAGCAGCCTGTCGCTCCTCGGCCTTCTTATCATCCTCGGCCTTTTCGAGCTTACGGCGTTCCTCGTCACGTGTAGAACGAACTTTCTTAGCAACCTCAGGTCGGAAGTGGGCGTTTGCGACAAGGAAATCGGGAAGTCTAAGGAAGTATTCCATGAGTGCCGAGGTATCATCATTTGATTCGATGTTCAAGTGAAGAACGATTCTCTTCTTTGCTTTATCAAATTCGGAGGTACTAAAACGCGGTCATGACAGTTAGATTAGACGTGAATTTTCTTCGTGTTAAGTATCACAGAGGATGTATTAACTTACGAGGTTGGCTTATCAATTGGTTGATCTGTAATAGCCAAATATTGGAATCCGTTTCCGATCTTTTCGATTGCCGCAATCAAATCCTTGGTAAGCATAGTATCCGTAATCTCGGCGCTTTCGGTCATAACCGTCAACCAGGCCGGCAACTTGGGGGTATCCACGGTCTTGGTCAAGCTCAAGTCGTAACGTGCGCTTCTATGAGTCGCCATAGCCTTCTTATTGACCACACCCCAAACAAATCCATCATATCTAGAGTTATGGCCACCGGTTTTAGATGCATCAGCACCATCAGAGGTATAAGTCGTGATCGTAACAGTATCGGATGGTGCGGCAAAGCTATCCATGAAGAATGAAGTAACAACTTCAAAACACCAGAGGAAAGGATTTCCACGACCCTTGAGCTTGATATTGAAAACCGTGCTAAGAACATTCATTCTTCCTGAGGTGTAATGCACAAACTCTTGGCTGCTCTCCTCACGGATCATGTCCTTCTCGTTGCCTACAAACTTTCCGGCGGCGACATCTTCCTTGGCTTCTTCGGTCGTGGTGAGCGTTCGCTGGAATCCCACCCGAGCGTATTCACGCTGTAAAAGTGGGACATTCTTCAATATCCATTTCTTGGCAATCTTGCGGTTGACAGAGACACCGATGAAGTGCCATGTGACCATAAGAGTGAGAAATCCAATGATGAAGTATTCGGTAATGAAGTCCTTCGGGCTCACGCGGAGCCAAAAGGCGTACCAGGGGTGTTCGTCGCCGAAGATACTCGGACGAACTGGCAGGGAAGTGGGAGGGGCGTCTGAACCACCAGTGGCAGCACTGGCGACAACCGAAGTGGCGGCATTGACAATTGATTCGACGGTACTGGCTGCAAAGTCGGCAAAGTCTAGTATAAAAAAAAAAATGACAAGCAAATTTTATCAGCGATTGAGATCAAACGTGTGTGCTACGGCAAAGTCGGACGACCACATAGCTGCTTAATGAACAATCTTGTGGATGACGTCCTTCGGGTCGCCTGTTTCGCACGGAATAGAGATAGTTGGATGACAACATACCAGTGTCACTGCTGATTGCAGATGCCGAAGAGGACTCGTCCTTCCCTCCAAAAAGACCCATTGTGAAATAAAGACACGAAGAACGGACCGGTAAGTTTGATAACGAAAATACGATAGAGGCCTCGAAGCAGGAAGGGAAAGGGAAAGGAGAGGCTACGTGTGTTTATGTCATCCGTGGGTGGATAAAAGTAGGGAAGTAGTTACTGTGGCCTTGAAAAAACAAAAAAAAACCACCAACACCGGCCTAGTACGTGATAAAATACGAGAAATGGCGTCTACCAGCGTACATTTACCCGACTGGCGAACAACTCCAACGAAGTCCGCAGTTCCATATCGCCATCGGATTATCTACATAACAAATCCCAAAGAATCAAAAATCAGTTGGTATCCGCCTCCCAGCTGCAGCAAGCCCAATCCCCGGCCATGCTTGCAACCTTAACGTGCGTCGCTACTCCGATGCTACCGTGTTGTCGGCCTGTTTGTCCGTTTGATTTATCTCAAACGAGAAGCAGCCATATTCGGCAGGCGTCTGTGGGAGATTTGACTGCCAAGACAAACGCAATATATGCCATATCGGTACCGGAAAAACTCCATCTTGGAGCAGGTCAAGCTCCACTAATCAAACTAGTGTTTAGATTGGTCTGTTGGGTGAACTGTTAAATCCTAGGATCCTTAGGATTCTATACGTTTTAAAGCCCAATCCTATTTATCCCTACTAACTATAAGCTCGAGCATTTTGTTGCGCCATTTTACTGGGCATGGTGATTCGACATTGGTGTTGTTTTTGTGTCTTTTTTTCAGTTAGCTGATGATTCGTAAATCCATTCATTGGAGTACTCGAGTTCGAATTCCTTCTGTAGATAGTACAATATATCACAAATCGATACATTCCTATCTTAGAATTCCTAAATGCTTGTGTAGAAGTCTACATAGTTTATTAGGTAGCTCTATATCATTAGGTTTTGTCTTAATTTCCGTTTATAGTTATTAATATCTAGGTTAAGTACTTAAGTAGGTACTTCAGTACAAATAAAGTCCGCATGCTTTCCTTCTAAGCAGCTCGTATTTATATTCAATCCTTCATAAAATGATATTTATATTTCGAAAGCTAGTATTTCAGCCAATATACTATCCTTTCGATTATATTATACTACTGATACCCTCAAAACTCGTCCAATAGCGTGACAAATAGCACTTTTACGGTCTAGGGAACGGAATTCCAGCAATGCTTCGTCCGTATTTAGCTACAGCCGCCGCCATAACCTTGGCTCTAGTAACAAAACCATGATAGTTAGTATTGCTAGAATTGTCGTATACCTTACGGAGGCAAGAGTCGTATGGCTGACCAGAATGTCCACTGTAGATTCTGGCTTCTATTTTAGATTTGATACCTTTAATTAATTAACTCCCATGTAAACACCACCCAATGGGATTCCAGTGGTGATAAAGGAATCAAAATCGGTAGCGAGGTCGAAGCGTCGGGATATGGCAGTCTTTCCAACTCCGGCTTATGCCTGTTTAAAATGTCTCCCAATAGCATTCATGGCGCTGACTGTGAAAGCTTAAAGCTGGGTTGTTCTTGCGGATGGTGTATGCCTCCAATGATAAGACATTGGATAAAATATCTAAACCGACTATTGAAACCATAGAAGTTAGAAGGAATGCTTACGTAGTTAGGAGAAGCGAGACGGTTGAAGCCAAGGTTCACAACAGTCTTAGCCTTCGCAGCACTAGAAAGAACAGAGAGATAATAGTCGGAGCCTAATCTTTCAGGGTTCTCGACGATAATCGAAGAAACAAAACCTAAAAGCGGATGGCATTATTAACTGTACAGTGACGAAATGCCCCTGCAACCTCGACTTGGGCAATAACACCAGACCGGTTACCATTAAGACCTGGAGAACCAACTAGGTATATATGAACAATATATTATTAGTTCGAGGCCTCAACTAGTCGAACCGCGAGGCCAAAATATTTCCTAACTTTAAGCCACACGACAAAATACCTACATTTCTTCAGACACACATGCATATGGTCTATAAACATTTGGTTGAGTAGTAATAGTCTCGCGTGAGATCAAGTGAAATGTCTTTAGCTAACTAGGCGCCTCCAAGGCCAGTATCCACCTGATAGCTCCTTCATTACACCATATGTATCAAGAACCAAGCCAAATATTCTAGATATCCTCGGTTTTATTATGAGCTTGATTCTTCCTTGTCTTTGCGCAGCAATTGTTCCATGAACCAATAAGTTGCCATACATTTTTTGGAGGCCAATTAGTTAGGTGTTGGTCTGAAATAATATACCCCCTAATTAGGTAAAAAGAAAGAAGAAAAGGATCTATGGCTCGGAAAGTTAGCATTACGTCCTCTCACATATGACCAATATTTGGTACCGAAAGAAACCAACTATAGTATAATATAATATCAATTATAACGCTATTGCTTCTTTGATGGTAAACGGTAACGCATACATAGCGTTCTATGAATACCTCGAGCTAGGCTTTACAAAAAAATCCAACACAACCAACGCAACTTGTTGTTTAAACAACGTACGAGACCAAAGGGTTACCCGCGAGTAGTATGACAGCATTATAGAAGTACTGTGGAGATAAATAGTCTTTGTGTGTATATTAGATTTACGGAGTCTACGAGACATAGATAGTTGATAAATTATTCATGTGTGTCAGCACATCGAAGTACTTAGATATAGATGTCTACACTTGCAGCTGAAGATAAAACTTATCGATTTTCCATAGCCCAAATCCTTCATCATCCCTGACTCGTAACTATAACGTACACAGATCAACCCTTCCCTCAAAACCATAATAAAAAAGCTTTTCCATTCCCGCTTTTCTTTTTCTGTAACCTCGCCTCGCTTTTAAGAGGCTAGTTAATAGCGTAGGTAATCAAATACCCAAAAAATACATTTTCCCGTTTTCTCACATATAAGCCTTTTTCACATGTAATTTAGGAAATAAAACGAAAGGAAAGGAGAGAAAGTGAATAGGCCATGAAACGCCATTACCCTCCAAAAAGAGAATAGATTATACAGAAAGGGACGTTTAAACCGAAATTGTATAGGGGGATTCGCATTCCAAAGTAGGAACAGACTTAACGTCTACCCAATGCCAACCAAATCACTAAATAAATAAGACAGAACCGAAACTAAAAGTCTACAAATCGGCCAGGGAAAGATCCGAACGGGAAAAAAAAAACCTAACCAAGCGATGCTAGATATTTTGAACACAAAAACCAAGGAAAGAGAAAGAAAATGAGTGATCAAATTCTCAACAACCACCTACCTTTGATATGATCATCGACAGTTCCCCCAATCATTTGGTGGCGTACCCAAAGGAGGCGTGCTGAGTGTTTGCCCAATGGGTTACTTTTTGGCAAGTGGACCGGTAGATTGGCCCGCTTCTTCTAGTGCTAGTCGTGCACTCAGGCTTAAAGAACCAGGTTCTTTGCTTAGAAGGATCTCCTTAAGGCTCTCCGGTCCAGTTTCTGTGAATACCAGGCTGTTCCTGTTGGCGGCTTTTACATCCATCCGAAGGTCAGGGCGTCCAACAACGCTTGCGCTTGATAGACCATTGGCTTCGACTGTTGCGGCTGCTTCCTCGGCGACAGCGGAAGAATATCTAGGGCCGGGAGCCAAAGTAATTGGACCTTTTCGGGGCGAGCTTGATGCGAGCGCAGGAGAAGTCGGAGAATAGCTCTTGATGCCTGGGAGCGCAGTGATTGGATTTGTAGTAAAAGTGGACGTACTGGCACCAGAAGCGTATTTCGGGAGAGAAGAAGACAGTAAAGAAGCAGAGCTGTAGCTGTTCCATCCGGGCGAGGATACCGCTTGTGCAGCATCATGAGTGAGACTTTTGTTGCCGATATCTGTCGGGAAAGATTGGACAATGGTTCCGTGCCAGGGTTCTGGTTTAACTTCTGCTTTCTTAGATCTCGAACTCGGTGATTTCTTGCTATAGCTCCCAATCTTCGGAGTAGATGATCCACTTCGACTGCCACTCTTATGTTCCCGTTTTGGCTTCCCGCCACCTGATGATGGTAGAGTGCTTTTGCTTAAAGCTTCCGTGGTTGCCTCCAAAACTTTTTCAACAGAAGTTGGCGGAAGGACAGGTTTCTTTTGAGCTTCAGTTCGGGCTTTCGCCGTGGGGGCTTGGTTAGATTTCTCGGTCGTGTTAGATGATTGAGGACTAGGTCTGCCGCTTACTACCTCTTTGGGAACATCGTCCTTCGCTTGCTCCGGAGCCACTACCGTCTCTGTCACTATTGGTGGTACCGATGCGCTTCGGGGTGGAATGGTTATCGGAGCGCTTGTGCCGTACGGAGATGCCTTGCGTGCCTCTTCAGAAAGAGTCCTACCGGACATGGATTTCCGAGTAGGGGCCGGCATTGATATTTGGGAAGGGATGACTGGCTTCGGTTTGGCATCAACTTCAGCGAGAATATCGCTCTTCGAAGTAACTGACGACGAGGCGGAGCTGTCCTTAACATCTTCGTCTGGTATGTCGTACTTCGTAACGCTTCTACGCCTGAAACCAGAACCGATAGGAAGGCTACCACTAAGGGTTGTGCTAGTTTGTCCAACACTACCCGAAATAGAAGATGAGAGCATCTCCAATGTAGGCGCGGTAACCAGGTCTACTCCGCCGGATGCTCGTCGTCCTATAGAAACTGGTGCAGATGGGCCAGATGACGACCCATGAGAGGAAGAGGGACGAGGCGGTGCGGGTGCATTCGATTCTCGCCAAGAACTACTTCCAAAGCTATTTCTCGGAAATGATGAAGATAGGTAGGAACCGGATACCGACGATCCTCTTGATATGCCCGCTTGTTGATAGGCTTGAATATAAGCCAAAGTATCAGCGAACGTGCCACCTGCTCTACCGGGCCCAAAAGAAGGAGGCAGGGCAAGCCCAGAACCACTTGGGGGCGGTGGAGGCGGTGGGGCCAGGGGGAGACCAAGGCTCATGACCGAATCCTCCAACGAGCCACTTGCAAACTCCGCTGTAGCCGTTGGCGGGTCATAAGGAAGCTCCTCGTCAAGATCGAATACGTCATCGTCTATGCTGTCATCAGATACCGTCGATTTCGCGCTCCTGTGGACTTTAGGTTCCACAACAGGTTTTGTTGATATCCAATCGGGATCCTCTGGTCCTTTGTTGGGCTTTCCAACAGCATTTAGGGCTTCTTTGAGGACCTCAACCGAATTATACCCAGTATCTTGCTCTTGTGGTTTTTGTGTCGCTTTGCTTGAGGGAACCTTGAATTCGAGATAATCTGATTCAGAGTCAGAGTCATAGTCATCCAAGTCAGCACTAAGAGCTTCAGTTCTCAGGCGTTCCCTCTCTTCGGGATCCATTGGTATTTCCTCCCCATCCGGGTGAAACCGGAAAAAGTCACCCTCAATTTCCAACTGAAAAACAACGTGCTTGTTCTTCTTTGGTTTATTATCATTGACGCTACTCCTTCTGCTATCCTTGCCACTCCCACTAGTCCAACTTGATGTACTTTTCAGACTACTAGGGAGTGTTGATGGGGCCTTCTCATTTGCTTCAAGGGCTTTGAGAGCGGAGGCCGATAGCTTTGCGCCCGTGGGTGCTTGAGGTGGTATGGAATGGTGATTTGGGGAAGGGGATATAGCGGGGGATATAGCGGGGGAGCCCTTGTGCGGCTTACTAGTAGCCTTTGTGTTAGGAGGCGACTTCATAACTATCTCAGGTATCGTCTCCGCGCTAGCTTCTAGCTTGTCTAGCCGATCGGCTGGCACCACCACATCTCTGGATACCTTTTCAGTACCTTCAGGCTTCTTGGAAACTTCATCTGTTCTGTTCTCCACCATATTCCGTAACCCGGATGGTCGTGCTGGGGTAGTGCCACCTAGAGTAGGTGTAAGAGGCAGATAGCCGGGTAAAGTGCCGATATTGCTCTTGGTGCTAAGGCTATAGTAGGTGCGGGGAGACCCGGTAGCTACGGAGTTGCCATTGACTTGTGCGTGTTTCCTCCGTTTCCGTCTCATGTGGTCGTCCCGCAGACGCTTCTCGTATACCAGGAGTTCCATTTCCTTAGATCTTTGATAATGGGCGATGTCCCGTCTAATTTGGTCCCGTTTCTGCGTTAACAATTCCTGAAGCTCCTCGTCCTCTGAGTCGCTATCTTCGATATATGGTGCACCGCTATTGGGATCAGGAGGTCCCGAAGACGTGCCATTTGGCGCAGCTGGAGCAGGTGATATTGTCGAAGGCATATTTGTTGGTATCTGCGTTTGTTGTTTCTCATTCTTTGGTGGCGTAGTTGGGGGTGTCTTAACTTTTGTGCCTATTTTCGGATTTGGAAATAGTTAGTAGAGAGTGTGTAAAAGGGTGTCGCTCAATAAGTTTTTATCTTTACTTACCATTTTTTGGGTCAGCCTTCTTATGATCCCCTTTAATTATTACCGGTGCTGGCGGCTCTGTTGGCGATTTGGCAGCCATGTCTATTTCGTTTAATACCAATCTTCCTTCGTAGTCAGTCGCTTCTGTGGGAGATGTAAGTTGGAGTGGAACAAAGCCACCTGTCGAGGTTCCACCATTAGCTTTATTTGACGGTAATCTTATATCTGATATATGTGTCGGGGTAGCCCGTGGGGGTTGCCGTCCATTGGGAGTCTCCGGCTTCTGCACCCCAGTGTCTTTGTTCTGCATCTTGCCAGCACCGTGGCTTTTGTCATCGATACAATTCCCCACAGTCTCGGCAGGCCTACTGGAGTTTTTGGATTGATGTGGGATGGCATCAATTGACGCACGCTCTGGCCCAGCAGGAGCAGCAGCAGCCTTCCCACCGTTTACTAACACGTTACTACTGCCAGGTGAGACCGGAGGATGCATCATCGTATCACATTGGCCGTTGTCGGCCCTCAGAAAATATATCTAGCAGTTGTGGATATTGAATGTTTCGAATTGCGAGCCGATGTGGTCAGAACCGAAGCTGGAACGAATTACGACAAAAAAAAGAGATGAGCAGGTGACCAATTCGTATCGGCGTCTGGAATTGAACAGCAGATGTGTCGATGACGTTGCTGTCACAGCCTTCGGTGTGATTGATGCTGTTGCTGTTGTTGCTGCTGCTGCGATGTTGGAGCGAAGAAGTAGCGATTGACGTGGATTGCAGGTCGGTTCTCGAAGCTGTCATTCTAGGCTGGCGGCGCAGACGCAGACGCAGCTGAATGGACAATAAAACGACGACGTAACAAAAATAAAATAGGAAAAACAAGCAGAATATAGTAATCAAAGCAATATCAAAAACCAAAAGCTTGATTGGGAAAATCTAGGAGGGTTTCCCTTGGTTCTGCGTCTCAAGCTTCCGAGGGAAAACCAGTGATGTTGACGGATTCGATTCCCAAAACCCAATCAAGACTACTGTCGACTCTCTTTCGTCCGTCCGTTGGTCCAGATATGGTCCCTCACAGCAAAATCGGGCTATCCAATCGACGTGTCATCGGAGCAAGTAGGAAAGAATGCCCCCTACGTGTACAAGGAAAGTAAAAGGACCGAGAGAAGGGCTCCTTGACAAGGTGCAGCAGCTAAACGGTCGATGGAGACTGCACTGCACCGTACAGCAAGCAAGTTAACGGCGGTACCACGGGACGTGGCGCTCGGACAAGGTCACTTTGAAACGGCGTTTGATTGGTTGGTATTCAGCAACCGGATGGATGATGCAGGGCGAAGAGCCTATCTGCAACGAGTACAATGTAGTACTAACAAGCCAGAGAAAATGTCAATTTGAGGATGGAAGGCGGAGGACAGAAACCTCGGAAGTCCGGGTTTGTTTGGTCGTGTGATGGGACGTTGAGCATTCAGTGAAGAAAGGTGGATGTTGGGAAGATGAAGAAGAAGAAGAAGAGTTGAAGGCAGACAGCCGGGTTGGGTGGCGGAGAAGGTTAGCAAGTCGAGTTGAGTTGAGTCCAGTCCAGTCGACGTTCGAGCTAAAAAACCTGAGCTGGAATTTTTTGGCTTCGATCTTTCCGATTTCTTTATTTTCTTTATTTTCTTTTCTTTCTCGACAGGAAAACTATTTAGAATTTAGAATTTCCCGAAAAATTCAAAAACTAAACTAAACTAAATTTTCGGCATCGAATTCGGTTTGTTCAAAGGGAACATATTCTGGTTCACAGGACTGCGATTGGGCCAGCCGAACAAAAAAAAAAAAAAAAAAAAAAAAGGATAGAAAAAGATACAATGCGCACCGAAACGGCGAATAGAAAATCAGGCCCACTTGTTCTCACACCTTCCTTCGAGGGACAATCAGGCAGGGAGAGGTAACGACGATGGAGCGGTTTAACCGTCGACACTCGATTCTCAATCATTCGGAACCCGGGCTGGAGTGGGGTGCACCTCGTTCAAACCCCTCTGCAGAACATCCGCGAACGCCAATTGGCCCCCGAGGACGGAACAGTCCTACCTACATGCCATAGCACATTGGACATGGTTCTCACCTGGTCCATGTCTGGCCGTACTTCCCAGCTGTACGTAACTTTTATTGCGGAGAAGACAGGCAAACCTGCCCAGCCATCGTTAGCTGGCTAGCCTTCAATTTCGAACCTTCTAGGCGGCTGTTACATGCACTTCCAAAGGACGACCGCTGCCACACAGCCTGCCGACACCAGCTCGAGGTCTACAGCCCTGTTGGAAATGTCGGTTGCACAAGCAAGCTCTCGTGAGCAAGTCCCTGAAAAGATTTTTGCCATTTCGCAGCCGGTGAGCTCCTATGTAACGGCCGGGGTAACCAGTTCGGTTCCCCCACGACATTCGGCTGGGCTGAAGTTATGTCTTGTTGTCCCAGCATACCTTATACGGAGTACCCTTCCACAAGATCAATTGGCCTCGGAGAGGCCAAAAATACAATTTGATCAAATGACTTCCGTAGTTCGAGAAATGATCTGAAGGATCGATGCATTTCATGGCGATACAGGTTACTCCCAAATCTCCGGGTTTCATTTCGATATCGCTTTCAAATAATAATGCCACATCACGAGCTCAGGTGTCCAATGCAAACTGGGCGCCTCAAGATGCAAGAAATCCGTGCGGACAAACCTTGCAGATTAACCAATAACCTTATGCATGAAACGTTGTTCAAAATGCACAGGCGAGCCTTTTAGAGCTTGTCGATTTGGCCCCCTAGCACTGAAAAGGCCTAACTTCCCAGTTAGTCTACCGTTAGTCCACAGTCTAATCCGATCCCAAATTCCCGTTACCAAATTACACCGGCTATCGACTTTTCGTGCTTCTGTTATACAACCAATGTGATTACAAGGCGGACCTGTCATATGCGCCTTCATTTCGATATTCACTCGAAATCTACATATTTAATCTCGGCGTCGATAATATAATATGCCAAACATTATTGGAAAAAGCGCCCAGGTCTTTTTATATCCCAATCCCCACATATGTGCATTTCCCCACCGCTGTGCCAAACATGCACGTCATACAAAAATCCCCATTGCGAGATACTTAGCCCTGTGTATGACAACTGAGAAATTTAAACATGGTCACGAGGTTCTGCAAGAGAAAGGGAGAAATTTTTAATCCCTGGATCTAAATGCTTGCTTGTCCTCCAACCTGCAGCTGCAAACTCAGGTACAGTCACAAAACAAACAACGGTAAATTAGTCGGCTGAGTGTTCGGTTACCGAATACAGTGGATAGATCCTCAGCGTCAGCAGCGACTGCGCAAGTTCAAAAACTCTACTAAAAATATAATTTTCTTGATATCATTAAACTTCAATATATTATATTCAAAATTAGCAATCATTAAGTTTGATTCGACTCTAAACAGCCCACAAAAGATGCTGGAGGAAGAAGCCCAAGTGAAATATATTATAATATATACCAAACGTCACTAGCAAAAGAGTGTCGGGGACTCTAAAAAAAACATATATGCCTAACTGAAGCGAAAGCGATTTATATCGAGAAACAGCTAGAGTATTGCTTTGGTTGTATCTAACAAATAACTAAGCATTGCATTTATAACCCTTCTGCATGGAATTCATGTACCGAAAAAATGGTTTTACATAACCTCCAATGATTGCCAGCTAATCATTTGACTAGCCCTATGGACAACATTCACACCAACAAATTTCTAGTTTAAAGCTTCCTGTAGATGCCCAATATTAATTGAGCATTTAATTAATTCGCTGAATTAAAGTTCTTTATATTTGTTTTTGGTTTAAGACAGACGATATATATATTTTCTAAAAATAGTATTGTCTTATAGTTGAATCTATAAAGTCCCCAAAAGTGCATGATGACCAAAGTATTTGCCGATACTTAGCTAGAGCGCTAGCTAGCCAAGCCAGTTATAGGTTACAGCTCTTTACTGTAGTTATACGTCTTATCAATGCCCTGGTATCAGGGTCCTAGGGGATCCCCGTGGCTCCTGTGCAGAGACTGCCGGAGGCTTTGATCTCAGTACCATATAGGAAAGCTAGTATTAGAAATGGAACTCACCTCTCTTTGTGTGGTCTAGGAAAAGGCCATATTGGGCCCCCCAGCTTCAAGATACACCTATGTCACTGCGTGGTATATATTTATGCAGAACGTTATCATACCTTCAATACATATAACCCGTGCATAGCTCAAAACTATTCAAAGACCCTCTGCGTCAAGACCACCTGGATTTGAGACTATCAAAAACCCGAGTACCTGAGTAGTTATGACACCTACATTGCTAAAGTATAGACTAGTCTCGTTCCCAGGTATTAGCCTATTTCAAATGTATCTGGTCTATATAAGAACAAAATGCATACACCTTATAAGCTAATCTTGGGTATTTGCGCAATCATATTAAGCGTTCGCGATGTTAGTTCTGAAGATCTGTCGGTATTTGCACTAGATTTTAAGCCTAAAGATTACCTATAATTTGGTGGGTTAGCAATTATTATGTACGCTCAATATCGACGGAGAATCAAAAACAAGAATAGTCTGTTTTAATCATTAGGACTACCATAAGATGCAAGGTCTAACCCCTCACAATGGTATTAAGCTACCAAGTTGAAGTTGAGATCAGGCGATCGAGTGAAGTCATATCGATATATCTCGATAGAAGTCTCGACATCTCACTCGAGTACTCAGTGCAGAGCCAATGGGAGGGGAAAAAATAACATGTCGAATAGTAGATTATACAAGATAAAGAAGAAATCAATCTCATTGAGGTACTCAAGTCATCTCGCAAACCCAATGTTGCATTGACGGATAACCTCGATGCGATCGCGCAGCCTCCATGGGCATGGCCAGTTAATCCAGACGTCTATCGAGCTGTATGTGGTATTTTGGAGGCAGAGACGCAAAAATGTGTTGACAATCCATTTGTCCATGCAAACCTAATCCCTTTAAATTAGCCAATCTCATAACCGCTTCTATAAAGAATACAAACACTCACTCAAGTAATTCAAAGATAGGTATAGGAGACTTGCACTTATTGCCGTTTTGAATCCTGAATAAACTGGGTCTTGAAAGTTGGAAACCTATTAAGTCGACACAGAACTGTGCTTAAGACCCAGGGCCAGCGGCCAAGTTTGTCGTTCGAGCTCGAGACCCACAAGTTAACTAGTTGAACTATGTTTCTTACAATTGTAATTAGTAATTTTAATAACTAGTTAACATACCCATATTTTCTGTGGTTCTGGTCGCGCATTTGGACAAGGTCCTGGCGTATTGCTGCTTGTCAGGGTTCGAATTCGCGAACCTCTTCATCAAAGATCGGGCCTAGGAGTATGCTTATATATACTGTGCCCAGGGAACGGACAGACTCCCGTATCCGAATTAATTGCGGCTGTATATCCTACAGTTCTGCAAAGTTTCCATTGAAGGCTGATCACAGACGCATGGACCTGCTCCTTCAAGTTAAGTAACATATAAACTACCTATTTTTTCAGCTCAGAATCCTAAATAACAACAGGACTGCAGTAAGAATTCAAATTGAGATTTTGAGGTATCAGCTCGTAGTTAAAGCTGATTACAGTTTGAATTGGATAGGAATATACAATTACGTAAAATAACTAGTATCAAGATAAGGGTTCTACAAAGAACGTTGCCTTCCTTACTCAGATAGAGTCATAACGGCCCATGCGGGACAAATTTCTTATCAAAATCTCGTCAAGAAAAGCCGAGATATCACTCAAAATCTTCGCTTTAAAAGTCTAATAATCCTGATTAGTAGCTTCTCTCGGGCCGTTGCTATCAATAACGCAATGCACCAACGTTGTCTAGTTAAGCGCACGCGCAGCTTGCGAAACACTCAAGGCCAATGTTACAGAATTGCGACAATCTGAATCGGGGATTAAGATGGCTGAGATATAGCATAAAGATTGCTTGCATATGCATATGCCCGGTAAAGCTTGTTTGATTAACCGATATCGGAACTCATGACGGTTATGCCGCTCTACATATGTAAATGGCTTTGATGGTTCGAAACCACAAAGGTCGGAAATGCGATGATATCTTGAATTACCCTGATTTTTTTTTCCTTGCCTTCGGATTTGAGATCGTATACAAGCGAAGTAATCTTATACGATGATAACTCTGCGTCGTAGATCCTTCGCGCATTCGCTCCATCCGAAACTTGAAGCGTCGCTGAATTGGCGTGATGCCCTTTCGCCGGAGATAGAACACCAAAACATAAAACCTTGATGTTCTCATGAACAGAGATCTTCTGATTACCAGTCATGCGCTATGTCCGATGATTTTTCCAACCAATTCGGGCGTCCCATATATGTGCGCACGAACCATTTCTCATGCATTTTATCAGATTACTACCAACCTGTCGGAACTGGGGTAGGGGTGGGGGAAGTAGGGGTGTCATAAATACAGCCTCGGACGACACCAGACAGGAAAAGAATCCCAGGCCAAGCCGCTGTTACCGAGATCCACCGTTCATGCAATGCACTGTCCCTCGGTTTGTGCCACCGTTCCTGAATATATTGGTGATTTTTCCTATATAGGATAATGCATATAATAGCAATATCGGAAAGGAAAACTACCGAAAATGGGTGTTAATTGTTGTAATATATGTCTCCGGTAATAAATCTCGCCTGTCACAAGTTCGAGCCCCATGCTGGAATGGAGGTAATCAAGCGATCATGCATGATCTGTCCGTGCGCTTTCTAATTGTATGTTAAGCAGCGGCACTTTAAACGGTCTCCAACGTTCTCGACTAGTTAGTGGAATTTATTTTGTCACTTAAAATTTCTTCTTTCTAATTCTGCGGTCTTTCTACGTCTATGGCATGACCTAAGCATTACCATCTTCCTTGGATTGCAACATTTACCCCATGTTGGCGGGTTTTAAACTTGTATAACGTTTCATGATACGGTTCGGGGTTCGGCGGGACCCCAAAAAAACAAGAAACTATCCGAACAATTTACTCCTATTGCGCGAGTAAGCCTAGCTGTGGAACCTCTTGTAGAGGATTTTGTTATGCCATGCTGTATATTACATCTTTTTTGATTTCTAAGAAGGAGGGGTGGAAATGACGAAGTGGAGCTGCTTCATACACGTCTACAGACTTCGGGATCTGGAGGAAGCATGATAATATCTCCCCTGTGCAGAAAATTGGATGATGACATGTCCTATTTCGGAAGGAAGCAGAAACCCAGGGCAGATGCATGCTTTATTACCTGAGATTTAGCCGCGCGCGCGGGGTGCGAATACACCACGGTAGGTAGTCGTAAGAGCCTCAACTTCGTGCTGAACTCCTCTCGACTCGGAAACGGTTGGAATTCGGAGCGAAATTGAACCTGGGGAATTCCGGGCCGACTCTATTCCCGTTTGGGAACCGCTTTGGACTTCAGTGCTCAGATTGAGACATTCTAGATTAGACAAAAACCTAGCCATTCCGCTTCTTCATGGCAAGTACCGAAGTTGCGAATACGACTGACTGACTGGCGTTGAAAAAAAAAAAAAAAAAAAAAAAAAAGTTGAGGCATCAGATACCAGCTGCCGGAATCTTTATCGAAGAAGCAACGGGCTTCACCCTAAACCGACAAAGGTGAGAATTCCAACCTGCAGCTTGTCAAACTTCAAGCGAGCAAGCCACAAAGATCAGAAACCGTCTCTGTTCCCGTCATTGCACATCCGTTCACGGGCCCGGAATGAGGGTTACCTCCCTCAGCAGTTAGCATAAAAATCGTGCGACTTCAATTTTGCACTTCTGCACCCTTACGTCTTGGGTAGCTTTTGCGGGGCAGTCAAGGCTTGCCAGCCCGGGATCATACAAGGCATGCAGTCTATACCATAGCGCTGAACAGTGACAAGAGCTTTCGCTTACAATCTTTAGCAAGAGACCTGGTGGTTCAATTGCAAAGCGCTAGTGCTGACGCACACCGAATGTGGTAATCCCAGACACTTTAGCTCATGCAGTCAGCATTTGACAAGAAAACAAAAAAAAAGGGCAAGTTCGGGCCAAAAGCAGCATTGAGGTGCAATTTACATACTGCCTCTGATGAAAAATGCATTTGTACAGCATTCTCTTTTGCTTTTTGTTAGCAAGCAAAATGGCCGGGGGGCTGTCATTCGGGGATAGGATTATGAAGCGACTTGAACCCAACTCGAGACCCCATCATGCACTTGTAGTAGAAGGTTGAGAAATTCAAAATGCAAGATCCACAGAAAAGAAGTGCAAGGCAAGATATATTAACAGAAGTCGGTCCATGATAGTAATATGCAGGTGATATAGTTCGGTATGTCACAGATGCGCACCCAGGAGCGGGAGCACCAAATGAAGGAGGTCCACATGCACCATGCACCATGCCCTTGGGGATGCTGTCGATTGTTGTCGACAGCTCGTGTTCCATGGCTGCTGAATCGTAAGGCCAGTCAATCAGCATATTGGGACGAAGTTAGGCCACTCTCTTAGGCTCTCTTTCATGATACTCTGATCTCAGAGAGCCTAGCTAGCATGATGATCTTTAATCTTAGTTTAGCTTCGAACAATTGGCTTGGCCTTTGATCTCGATTCAGGTGAAACAAGAAGGAAAGAAAGCAACTGCGACAGCGGAACAGTGCGCAGTTATTTTCAGATAAGTCGATTTCGCATATGGCGCAATTGGACGTTGAAGGCGTCCCGCTCAGCTGCAGATGGTGTGTGGATTTGGGAATCGAGTATGGGAATTTCCCAGTTCCAGCTCCGGGGCGTATAGTGTAAGTTTAACTCCACTAGGGCCGACCTAGCATATAGACCCTCGCCCTCGGTCAGCTCTCTCAGAAGTCTTTTTCTTGTACGGCAAAGCAAAAGAGTACTCGACAGATTTTCTTTCTATTTAAACGGCCAAGCGCACTGAAAGCCGCAGGGCTAGCCCAGGGTAATGGAGCGACTAGGGTCCTAAAGGCGGGTCTTATCGACCATACCTCCAGGGCGTATCGCCGAAATTCCATTACTACACAAGTGGTAATAGACCTTTTTTCGAGATTGCATGGCCGATGGTATATCATATATTCAAGCTTTCGCAATCCCTTCGTTTTTTTTCGATCAAAAATATATTGTCCCTTTCTCACAGTAAGAAAACAAAAAACTTCTAAATCGCAAAGAACATAAGACTGTACTTCGACAACTACCGTGCACCATAAGCTTGGGTAGTCAACGTGAGCTTTTAGCTCCGGTACCAAGCCTAACAACCACGGGACATAGCAACCAGAGGCAAACTGTTGGACTAGGAAAAAAGAAAACAAAGTAACAAAAATGTCGATTTTGTTACTGCCGGACAACGTTGTCCACCGCATAATATATTTCCTATCCGAGCCAGAATTCGTGGCCAAAGAAACAGACCTGTCATCCACAAATTCGCAACCCGCTTACACCGCTCTATCGACATATCCACGAGACGTCTTCAATCTAATCCGATCCTGTCGTCGATTCCGTGAAGTGTACTCCCGGCAACGGAATGGCGGAGAAGAGTTCCTTCAGGCGTTTAAAACGGAATTTGAGAAAGTTTTTCGGCGAAGCCGGCGGGTAGACGAGTCATCTGTTATGCCAGGTAGAATGTCCATCGTTATTGGTGTTCTTGACCAATCGGAAGGGAAAAATTCATATAAAACCCTCCCGTCCGGATCCCCACATCTCCAAGGCTTCCAGGAGATCGTTCTCAACAAAGGAGATCCATCAATGCTTGGTGATATACGCCGTCCCGGTCACGATTTTCCAATGTCGACCCAGCTGACTGATGTGCAAAAAGATTTATTGCGAGATTTGGGACGAAATTGGATTTCAATGTTTAAGTCCGGTGACTTGTCCCTAGGAGATATTGAAGGAAGAGAACAACAAGTTATCGACATTATGGAAAACCTCCCAAGCTTCATAGTCGGAGTTTTGAGCTGTCATATGTGGAACGAAACGGGTCGGTTTACAATGTTATGTCGAACTCGGTTGAACGACTTCATGCTTCTTCATGGCATAGACGGGTTGTGGCAAGAGCAACAATGCTATCCGTTCGTTATCTTTGGAGCAACAAAACTGTAAGTTCTTCCGAGCGTCCAAGTGATCTGATTTGTTGGTGTTGTGGGATTGGCTAACGGAGGCGGACATGTCTCTAGATCGATAGCAGAGTCCATATACTCGGCCCTAGTAAATTCCGACTACGGCTCGATCAGGGACACAGGCGGACACCCGCTTTGGACGGGATTGTAAGTTCCACCACCCGATAGAAGGGATACAAAATGCGCCCTACCATGTGATTTGTCTTAGCTAATGAAGCCTTATGTGAACAATGCAATAGCGGCTTGGATACATGAGTGAACTCACCGAAGTTTCGCTAAATCTGATCAAGTACATTGCTGCACGGTACTTCTTCAGGTCTACTTGCAGGTCGCATTTCAGGTCGCATTTATCGTATTCGCCAAACCAACATCACATGCGTTGCACAACATCATCTGCCCCTCAATTTTTGCTAGCTTTTTGCTCTGTTGGGCCCAACCACAGTTCCCATTGAATGCCCAGCTTTTTATCGGCCCTCTTTTCCTCACTGTCACGAATCTTGCATGTTTCTTGCATATAATGCATTTCACGACCTCCCTTGATTTTGCCCCGTCTGACTTTTTCTGCACCTCGAACCGTTTTTAGAGGTATTTTTTCGCTGCAGCCTTGATCTTTTGGTCGAACGTCTGGCTACGAATAGCCATGTTGACCTCATAGAACGGGTTCATTAACGTTTTGCAATACAAGTCATATACATCTGTGAAGAACTGTCGTATAGGTTCGTCTGATCGCGTATCATGTACGAGTAGAAATTTGATATCTGTGTTATTCAATGAAACGTATAAGCCACAATTGTACTTTTTTTCTCGTCCCGCTTCTTTATTTTTGGGTAGTTGGAAACCAGGGGACTGGAAACAAGGCGAACCAGTGAAGGCGAGAGAATATATTAAAAACGGGGTATTATACATACTTCCGCCGGTTAGGAAGCAGGATACCCAGGTATTGTTGAACTTGTCAACGGTTTTTAGGTACATTTCCTTGCTTGCCCATTGTTGATCTTCAATGCAATCGAGGCTGGAATGTGCGATAAATTGGTTCATGTGCCGCTGCTCTTCGCGAAACTGCACAGGAGATTGCGGGTAGCATGCGCCTCAATGATTAGTGATCCGAGTATAATTTGTGTGTGGGCGGTTTGTTAAGCAAGCAAGCAAGCAGACAAGCAGGAGGCAGAGTCAAGTTTTCCAGGCCGTACCTTAGCAATGCCATCGCCGCCTTGCTTGAAGGACCCGAACTCTGCTTCGTAAAGTGGATTGTCCTTGGTGCCTATGATGACAAAGTAATAGCTTGTGGAGGATCCGGCCATGATTATGATGACGAACACAACGACGATGTCGAGGCTGAGATGAGACGGCGACGGCGAAAGAAACGAAGAGGATATGGTAACTGCTCCACTGCAGTATCGTTATGTCCTGTCAGTGCCGTTCTGCTATGCTATGTCATGTACCGGTTCGCTGTGGTTAAGCTGTGTAAGTAGCTGTGGGTGGATGTAAGGAAGGTCGAGGAGGTCAAGCAAAAGTGGTCTGAGCCGAATGCCTGGTTTCGGCTGGCAGGAACGGTTAAAGTCTTGGCACTCCCGACTCTCCGAAATTGTCGAATCTTGGACGTCACTTCTTTCCGAACCTCAGAAAACCCTCCAATTACTACATCAACATCCCCATCCTCACCGAGCACCAGTACTCCTCCACCATCTACCGCCTTCACAAAATAGGCTAAGCCTCCGAAACTATCGCAATGGCGTACGTCTTTAGTCCTCGCTCTCCCCGTGCAATTTGCAAATCTGCGAAGCTGACAACTCCCGAATCGTATCTATAAACTGCAGTGGACTCGTCTTCCGTCAAAATAACGTCGTCGAGTGGCAACGTCTTCACCAGAGGCATGACGGCGTTCGCACTTGGGCCAAAGTACGATCACCCGGCCGATAAATTATGTGGAACCACGTTTTGGGATCTCGTATTCTGACAATTACTCTTTTATCTCGGACGACAGGGACCCCGTGCTAAGGCGATGATATACCCTTATTTCTTGATCCTCGGTCTCGGATTCACCGGTACGCTTCTCCTTCGATGCACCTTAGTTTCGGATAGTCAACATTCAACGTTCAGATGATCACTTGCATGGGACTACTGCGACAGGAATTGACGGTCTGACTGACTGACTTGGGATTTGATATAGGTTCGATGTACGGAATGGGACGAGCAATCTTCGGCAAGAAGACTTGGTGGTGATTGCTCCTACAGGAACTCAATCAATCAACCAAACAGTACATACACCAAATGAAGCAATTGTCTATAAAGAAATTAGTCATATTAAATTTTGTTTTTCTGATTTTTCAACTGCTCACCGTTTTATGAAAGGCTGCAAACCGGGGATGGGGATGCACCTAGTGTAGCTATATCAAATGTGATTCTGAGCCCAGTTTTCTCCCGAGTCTTCTTACTATAGATTTTAAAGGAAACTTTATATAAAATTATATTTTCAACCTAAAGACCGGGTGTATGCAATGTATGCATGTGATCGCGTATTTATGCAAGAGAATGATCCATGGTTCTTCCACTTTTGGAACCATACTTGGAGGCTCGAGCCTCACTTTTGCACAAACTGCAAGTGCCATACATGAGCTTATCTTAGCTGCATATAGGCTTAGTTGGGTAGGCATAGTCGCCCGTCCGAAGTGTAGCAATCATTTCCTTCCAATCACCCGAGATTTGAGACGCATGTACGGGGCACAATAAAGCTTTATACGAGCCCCAGCCCGCCAGGCTAACCCCGCGGACCGGACATAATTTTGTATTACTCTAAGGAGACCTAAAGGCTTCCAGCCAGGTGCTGTTCACCTTCACATCATCTCTTTCCCCGTATTCCACAAAATTGCCCACTATCTCCCCAACTTCCCGACCTTTAACATCCCACATTCTCAACAGTTTAAAACCATTGGCAACTCTCATTCCCGATACGAACATCTCTTCTGTAGCCGTAGTCCATCCCATGATGCCATCCGTCGCCTTGAGTTTCCCTTCTTCGAGAGAAACCCCGCCTTCCCCTGTCTCAACCTGGTATTCCTGTGCGATATCCCAAAGCGTTTGCATACCAGTGGTCACATACTGTGTCAGCTTGTCCACCAATTCTGCAGCTCTGTCTTCTGCCGTAGCTTTTGAAAGGAGCTCCAAATAATAGTCCATGCATCTCAATTCGTCTCTGTACAGATTCTGTTTCTCGATCTTGAACAGCAATGTATTTGGGGTATTCGCTGTGATCAACCGTTCTTTGATCTTAGATATCTTTTCCAACGGTAGATCGATAACATCCTCCAATAGCCGCTGCTGGATCTCTATATTTCTGAAAGCCTCAATTCTAGCCAAGTGCTCAAAAAGTCTTCGTTCAGCCCGAAGGGGTGTGAAAGTTTCAACTTCTTGTTCCGACTCTTCAATTGCAAGGAGTTTCGCCACAATACATGCCGCCCGACTTCTAACGTCCTCTTCGTCGTCGTTTAATAGCTTTTGTAGAACAATCCATATCGGTAAAAGTGCTTGTTGAATCTGTTGGTCGCAAGATTTGAATACTCCATAAACTTCTTCAATAGACCGCAATACTGCCATTCGTGATGAGTGCGGTATTTCATCTTTGACATTATTGAATAATTCCTGAACCCAAGTTTGGATTGATCCATGTATCATCGATCGATATCTATCGTCGTTCAGCATGGGGAATATGTTCCGTCCTAGGAGAGTTAGTGCAGACTCCTTCAATGGCTCTACTAGGCCATTTGAGGCAAGTTGTGCTAGAGTGGTGGGTTCCACTGCCTGTTTCTCAGATGAGAGGAGCAACAAATTAACGGCGGCAACCCGATACCATTCCCAATCGTGATGGTTCAGCACTTCTTGTAGCACATTAAAGGCAGTTGAAGTTTGTTTTTCATCTGAAGAAACAGTATCCACACCATCCTTGAGTTCCCTCAAAGTTTTGTGAAGCTCAACATTACTATTTGTCTTCGCAAGCGCTTCTGAAAGGGATACTCCATAATCCGGATCATGGAAGGACAAATAACCGCACGCGAGATTAGGCGCCGACACAGCCATTACTCTAGCGATTTCTTTCCTAAGCAATGAATCCGCAAAACCCCGAGGCGGTGATCCTTGAGCATCTTCGAGAACCCTTTGACAGAATGGTACGATATTTTCAGTCAAGGAAGCTGTATTGTTCGAGAACACAATACTACAGATTTGGATGAAATGCGCTTGGTTAACTGGAGATACTCGATTGCTCGGTTCAAAATAATGCTTAGCTGCACTTTTCGTAATATCTTCTATCTTTGACTGAAGTTCATCTACAATGACAACTCCGTTAGCTAGCCTCCGAGTCGGACAACTGGTAGGGAAACCTAATACCTCCAAAGCCAAATATCCTCCGCTCGTAAATCTCACGGGCAGTGCACAAACCACCATGAATCACATTATTATCCCGCTTATAATCCCCGAAATTCCATAGGAGGAACTCTCCGTATGATTCAACTGCGTTCTCGCGGGGCGTGAATGCAAGGATAGATTTTGCCGCTGCTTCTCGAGTTTTCCAGATCTTGCATTCTAGATAGCGAATAACCAGATCTTTAAACGCCTCTGACTCCTGATTTTCTTGGAACGAGAGTCGAGATATGACATCTAGTGCTGGATAAACTGCTTCAATTAGGCGATGCTATGTCGGATGAATATTAGATTGTCCCTTTTGTATGAAGATAAGCACACAAGGAAGAGTAGTCTCACATCGCTAAGGTCCTGAAACCCATCTGAAAGCGTCTCAAGGAAAACGGTGTCTAATCCAGAATATCTCTGAAAAAATCGCTCGGCTTTGAAAACCTGCATAGAACCGTCTTTAGGGAAGATACGGTTTACGATTGCCGTGTAAAGCATGATACCACAGTTTCGAACCGCCCATCTATTACCGTTAGCTGACTTGGATATCAAAAGCATCAACACGGTCAGAAGTTCGATTCAACTTACATCTCCGATTTGAAACAATTAAATGCCATGTGCAGGGAGCTGGAGACGTATGGATCAACCACTGTTGAAAGTTGTGAATCCATAAACAAAAACCTCATGCAGTTAAGCGCATGGACTTGAGGTAATTCAAGGTGACCATTTTCGTCTTTTTGCTCCGTTGAAAGATCCCTAGGTGTTTGAACCGTATTCCCGAGGGAGCTGAAGGCATGTTGAATAAAGAAAATTTGCTTCTTTTTCATCTGTATCTCGCTGATTATAATAGCTCCAATTGCCATTGGAAGACCAGCAGAGCGCCGCGTTATCAGCTTCCCAGAGCTTGAGACTATGCCTAAAAGCTTGTCTAGCCATTGTCGCGGGAGGCCCTGAGCCAATGTCGATTTCGAAGCCAAACACTGGTGGCAGATTGCCGTTAAAGCTGGGAATATAGATGACAGAGAGCCTCTATGCCGTATCGATGTGAGTTGTTCTATCAAAAGATCCCCACTATTTTGGAGGAAATTGTCGGCCTCTGATATCTGGCCGGAGCCCTTTGGAACATATGTGGCAATCGCTCCAAGGAGAGAACTAAGAAAAAGTTAGTACTACAGAATTGAGCCTTGTATACGAAAATCCAACCAATTAAACAAACCTGGCTTCAGAAACAACTCTCCAGCTATAGCTCAAGAATCCTTGACTATTTAATTGATCTTCGTCTTCATCATCCGAATCTTCGCCAGACGCCGCCACTCCACGTCCTTCAGGGCTTTCGTTGCACAATATGTCCCGCTCACGGGCCCAAATATCTTGAGCCAGTTTTAACACTCGATCGAACATCTTTTGCCGTTTCTCCTCTTCGAGGACCAACAAATTTGCGTCTTTCCTTTTGAAAATTAATGCCAGCGCTCCGAGAACGCTATTATCGATTCGAGATCTCGGATTAGCTTGGCTTTGACATTGTATATGTGGCTCTTTATCTAGCAACATAAAAGCTAGGTCGACGATTGTACCATCGCTTGTCGAGGAGGCATACGCCTCCCACACCTCTCGAGAAATATTTGAATCTTTAAGACTCAAGTCATACAAGACCTCGAGAATCCTACTGAATCCATCTTCCTGACCAGGCCGCCCACTATCCTCGATCATTCTCTGGGAGCGCTGTAGAACGTGTGCCCACTGGACATCTTTGCTCTGAGGTAACTCCTTGATAAGACCGGTAGCGAGAGATCTGATATCGTCGTATGGATCCATTATTCGTTCAACAAGTAACCTTAAGAGGTGAGAGTATTGAATCTCGGGGTCAAAAGGTAGAACAATGTGCTCCCGTTCGTTTTGTTTCTTCTTTGACTTCTTGATATCCGCCGCTAGATCGCTCCCAGGTAGAGAGTTTCTCTGATCTCTTTCTATTTGGGGGAGCCAATAAGAATAAACCTTAAGGGCTAGGATGACTCTCTGGTAAGAGGCGTTAGGCCGCAATTGTGCAGGGAGTAATTCGTTCAGAAACCAGCTGGTGAACGCTTTCTGTTGGAGTAACAAATTGTTCATCGTTTGGACCTCATCTATGGCCTCGGAGCTAGTACCAAGGTCTGTCGGCCGCCCTTCTAACGATCTTAGCTTTTTATTCAAGGCATATGAGCTGGCAACAAGCCTTTCTAAGAGAACTCTAAACCCTGCGTAAATTTCGTTTCTGACCTGTGGGTCAGACTCTGAGAAAAGGTCATCAAAATGATCACAGAATATTGAAGTGTAGCTTGATGTAAATGGTAAAGCAACTGAAGATGATATTATCATCAACCTCAGCGTATGGGATCGTAAGAGTCCAGACTGGTCTGAAAGAAGAGAATCATAACCACCGAGCGACTTCACATATTCGTCTAAAGGCAAGATTCGTCAATATATAGATCAAATATGTGTCATGATCTTCTAGAAACTTACCAACTTGAAGTTCTGTAAGCCACCCATTCTCTTTCCCGGTTCTCAAACAGCCTATTATAGCCATTGAGCTTTGACTGTTACGCAAGGCCTCGGGCCCGAGGGCATGAATAAGATGCTGGATGAAAAGCGCAAACCCCTCCTTTTCATCATGAAAAACACCTGGAACGACGTAGAGTTCGGTGTTCAAAGCAACATGCTCGTCTAGTGAGAGCAAAGCTCTCGCGAGGTCGGCCTTGAAAAAAGAGAGCCAAACTGCCTTGAGAGACTCTTTATCTGTTTCCCCAACTAGTTCTTCCTGAAGCCTACGAAGCAAAGAGCTCAGTAAACGACCAATACCAGGAGCAAGAGTCCTGTTGTCCATTGCCTTGAATATCGATCCTAGATTTACCGCCCTAGACGGCTTTTCGCCTTCGTTCTTTATGAAGAAAGTCTTCGAGGCAAACCATTTTTTCTTTATTAGGAATTCGACGAGATACGAATCACCCTTCCTCAAATCACCCTTCTTGATACCATCGAACACCTCTTCAGCAATTGAGGTCGAGAATATTTGACGTTCTTCTGGATCCCAAGTCTCTGTTCCAAAGGCCACAAAAGCCGTAAGACAATCTTTCAGACTTTTCAAGACTGGGGCCGTTGCGAGATCAAAGTAATCTCGAAATATAGGAAGATATTTAGCTTCTTTCCGAGTTTCTGGTAAACCAGACGACTCAGGCTTCACCGAGAGCATTTTAGATAGCCCCCCAAGCCTATTGAAGACAATTGAGAGGGCGTCGACAGCACAAACTCGGTGTCCATTTTCAATTTGAGGACTTGACCCAGTGTCAAGAAGTGGCTCAACCCAGCCCTTTAGTTCTCTATAGGTCTCAATGAATAAGTTAGCATACCCGCACAAGTACTTTTTACAAAATTTTGGAGAACCGAAAAAAACCAGGAAGATATATTCCTTACTGTTGCAGAATCTCGAGATGGGTTTTTGATATTCAGTTTTATGAGTTTTTCTCGGAGGGCCAGCAGTCTTTGCTCGGGGATGATGCATGAAGACGCCTCATATTCAGCGGCATTAAATCCAATTGCTTCTTCCGACGCCATGGTAAAGATTGCTGATGCTATTTTTCTGGGAAATAGGCACGCACGCGGGCACTACACTGCCTCCAATGAATTGGTTCGAATCCTGGTGTACCAAATATTTCGATCTTGGCGTGAGTAGTAACATGTGCAGGCGAAGTTCAAATTGGCCCCCAAAATTGATAATGGACTACGAGAAAGTGGAAGAACCTTGTATTCTACCTAAGTAAATGTGTAAGTACTAAGTACTCACATAGCAGTTAAATTTCAAGTCAGGGAAAAATTCCAACAGCTGTTAGCAGCCTGCTAACGTCCACTTACCAGATCGGATATAGCGCCGGAGTCGACTTGGGCTAGTTAAGGTGGGACAGCTCGGCCAAAAGGTCGAGACGAAGAGCCGCCGCCGAAATTTTTTTGGGCAAGGAAAACGCAACTAACGAAAATTTTATTTCCTGCCGACCCTCCATTCACAACCATCCCACCTTCATCTCCATACCTGGTTATCTACCACGACACCTTCTCCCATCCGACTTCACGACGAACTTGGGTTTTACATATCCCTTCCGACGGATATTGTGAGTAGTATCAACGGACCTTCTTTAAACGTCTGTTACCGTTCTACTACATAGCGCCTTGCAGCTTCTCCCCGCTGTTTCGCCGTCCTACGTCAGTCAACAATAATCGCCATGTCGTGGTGGGACTCCATAACAGGTCGCAAGGCCACTACTTCTGCTTCTTCATCTGGAGTTATTGCAGAGCCACATGATGTTTTCGTACCAGCTCCTTTCGATCCTAGTACTGCTGCCGATGTCTCTTCCTTCCTTAACACCTCGGCATTCGACCCCTCCACCTTACATCCACTGGCTGGCCTAGATGAAGGCTTGGAATACTTAAAACTCGAAGATGAAGCACTTTCAGACCTCCCAGGAACTAATTCCTTCCTACCCTCGAGAGGGTGGAGTGACGATCTTTGCTATGGTACTGGTACAACATATCTCGCAGCCTTATCGATAGGCGGCGCATGGGGTTTTGTCGAGGGTGTCAGCAGGAGCCCGCCAATGGCCCCGCCAAAGCTGAAGCTCAACAGTATTCTTAACGGAATGACACGGCGAGGGCCTTTTATGGGAAATAGTGCCGGTGTAATTGCGATGGTGTACAACGGTATCAATAGCACAATTGGTTACGCAAGAGGGAGGCACGATACTGCGAACAGTGTTGTGGCCGGTGCGCTGAGTGGGGCAATTTTCAAGAGGTGAGAAAAACTCCGAGTCCAAAGATATTCCAGAAACTAGCTAATCACGTATGATTCAATTCTTTAGCACGAGAGGTGTACGACCAATGCTTATCGCTTCTGGTATCACCGGCAGCGCCGCCGGTATCTGGGCCGTCTCGAGAAAGGCTTTCCTTTAAATGACTAATATAAAGTCGACCATTAATACAAACCCCTTGTGTCAAAAACCCACGACACAAATCTACCCGATTCATCCGTCCACCTACGTTTTCTCTGTAAATATTCCTCCAACCACTGTATCATACACCACTACCACTCCCTTTCAAAGGGCGAATCGGCTTCCCGTGCTCAAGGGAATAGCATACCAGTCGAACGACGATCCTTCCTCTTCCTACCTTTTCTACCATTTTCTACCATTATAGACCTGCTACAACCTCTCAACTCCTTAGATTCACAGCATTTCTGTGTTATTACGTTTTGGGAACCTGCTTTTGGGAACCTGCTTTTGGGAAACAGTCCTGAGTAACGGGGATGTATATAGGCGCTAGGTGCGGTTTTACTTGGCGGGTCAAGACGGCCGTTATAATGAAATATCATCATTTTTTTTTTCACACATCTCGAACTTCCAGATCCGTTCTTGTGACGATTTAGCTTCTGTTTTTTATATGCAATTTCACTCTTGCTAACTCACAAACAGGCTCTATAGCGCGGATTGCGGACATTTCTTGCATGCGACCTGCTAACAAGACTTCAATACTAGCTCAAACCCATGCTTTTCAACAAGCATGGCAACCATCTCAACCACGTTTTAGCCCAGGATATAACCCCAAATTCCGCATGGCGTTCCATCTTTTTCGAAGTTAATTCAGCTACAGTCCATTTTACCTTTTGCGGTTCAAAGTTTCCCGGTACCTGATCGATATCAAAAGTTTTTTTTAATCAATACTTGATAAAACAAATGATGCTATCCTTCGTGCTCTACGGGCTACTAGCCACTACTGGCAGTAATGCAGCCGAGATCCGAAGACGACAAGAGCTCGCTCTGGCAGCTCCAAGGGTAATCGTTCAGGCACAGGGTCAGTTACCCCAGATGCAAAAACCGCCAATGCCATCTGCAGGTTTACCTTCGCCTCAAGGAACCTATTATACACGACCACCAGGACCAATACCATCTGCACCAATACCGTCAAACGGTCCCGTTCCCCCGATTCCTAACCAAAATCTGGTGATTCCGGGACCTCAACCGGGGGCCCAACCGGGACCTGGATCTGCTACTACATCCGATGCAGAGGCTCCTGGAGACAATTCATCAGGTGATGATGATCCACTTATTGGCAGCGATGGTACAGTTCTACCTGGCGGTACAAAAAAAGACGACACTAATACACCATTCGCCCTTCTTGGTCCAAAAGACACTCCAGGTCCAAATTCCTGGGCCGAGGTCCTTCCAAACCTCAATTTAGGGTCAGATGACCACACCCCAGAAAATACAGCTGGCGGTCCGGTAACAGCGGCGGTTGAAAGCAGTACTAATACAGCCGCCGGAATTCTCACGGATGATCAAAAACAAGATCTCCTCGATCACATAAGTCCCGAGGAATTCGAACAATCGACACCAGACTTCCAGGAACTCGTGCTGGTCGCTGCACAAGACAAGCTAATGGATTCGGAAGCAAAGATAGAAGATGTAGCCGAGCCTGGATCAGACCCTGAACCGGTCACTTCATTAACTCAGGAGACATATACCGAAATCCAAGATATCGGGCAAAATCTCACCGGGACGTCAGCAGATTTGAGTCAGGCTATACGCGGACTTATCGGTATAAGCTTGGATGAATTAAGAAATAATGCCACATCGGATGTTCCGGGTCCCGGTATGACGGATGCGAACGGGAATTCGGGATCACAGTTGAAGAAGAGATGGGTTTCGGCGGTTCTTGGTGCTTTGGGTGCGCTTATCGAGATTTCAAAACTTGCTGATAAGGTCCTCGACGAAGGGATCTCTCTCTGGAAGAAGATTAAGGCTGCACGAGGATAAAGAATGCTTCTTGCTGGAGTTTTATCAATAGGCTATTCTACTCGCCGATGATACCTGTTACTCTGATTATTTCGGAGAGAAGCGATTAATATTTATGCCATATCTTTATGCACTCTGCGCTGCGTTCTAAATCTCGTCCTAACCTTCATCTTGACTCTCCCTACCGAACGAGCAGCTAGCTAGATTAGGTACCTAGGCATTTGCTTGGTTTTAGATACTTACATAAATCTGCAAGTTAATTTTCATTCACGATCACTATATCTATCTCATACCCTCGAGCTCCTAGACCTTCTATACCTCCCTTATAGAGAATGAGAATAACTTAGTACTTTCCTAGGTATAGTACTACGCCAAAAACCCGCGATATAATGCTCACACCCCACCTCCCAGTCCAGTCTTCAGATTCGAATGCAGACCAGACGAAACGCATGATAGAACTCTCTCAAATAAGTCCTCCCCAAACCCACTCACAGCAATACATTCTTCAATTCAACATGTTGAGGCCACGCTATAAACCCCGCTGAAGCTCCTCCACGTTTTTTTGAGGACTTTTTTTAATCGATCTACCATATAGGGCTTCCTTGCCAATATCGTGGCTCTCTCTCTCCCATAAGGCTCTCCAGCAAAGTATCACATTTTCAACACATTCTGCAGATATAGTTTATATCTCCAGCAACTGCAATTACGATGCCGGGTAATAATCGATTACTCATCGCAGCTGTAAGCTCGCTACTTATGAGCTCAGCTTTTGCCGGGGCGGTTTATCCTAGGGACTTAAAAACAGGGAGTACTAGTAATGATGGAATAGCCCCTCGATACCAAGATTCATCAAGCAATACTCCAAACACACTATCCACAGCCGCAAGATTCCCAAGATACAAGCGACAAGAAGTCGCACTAGAAGAAGGCACCGTAGTCGCTTTGAGTGACACTTCACCTATAGAGGAAACAACAGAAGAAATCATCGAGAGTGCCGAAACGACGACGATTATAGAAGAACCTCACAAGGATTCTCCAGGTTCTGATGTATCAGGTCCACCACCGGGTGGTAGAGTCCTTCCTCCTAATGATTCCCAACCCGCAATGGGTGAGGAACCCCTACCGGTACCCCCAAGTGGTTTAAGCGATGACTTCGCAGCCGATGCTCCGCCATTAATGCCAGATGAGAGCGGCGATCCCAAAGATGACGCTGCTACTGCCCAGCAGATCATCGCCGAGTCTAGGAAGGAACTTGAGGATGATAGTCCGGAAATGAGTCAAGAAGAACTTGATAATTTGGCCACCGCGGTCGAACTCATTTCTGCCGACCTCTCCAAAAGAGAAGACCCCGCGACGGTTAATGTCGAAGAACAAGTAAAATCCCAGATGGGTGACTGGGACAGCCTAAGCGATGCAGAGAAAAGAGAAGCCCATGAAAAGGCTTTATATAACAGTGCAACTCAAGACCTTCAGCTCACTGCCGTGGTGGGTAACTTAGTCGGTATCACCGAGAAGATTGTTAACGGTGATGTGAAAACAAATGCGACAGAAGGGTTGGTGGGCATCAAAAGCGAGGATGTTCCGGCAAATAGCACCGTCGCTGATGGCTCGGTCGAAACCGGCGGGTCTAGTGCGCGTCTACGCAAGCGTTCTTTGAACAAGCGGTTCGTCCTTCCTGGAGTATTAAGACTTTTGGGGATCGGGGTCGATGCGACCATAGGCCTTGGGTTTCGATCACCTTTAGCTAGCGTGGCGGTCGCTCTAACCACGGGAATCGGAAAGGCCACAAATGCCGAACCACCAAAGCCGCAAGAGAAGATAGTGTTCGTTGAAAGAGAAGTGCAAAGACAGCAACCGCAACAGGAATTCAATCAACCTTTCCCACAGCAGTCTTTCCGCCAGGAGTCCTCTCACCAATTTGAACGGCCACCAATTATTCAACATGAATCGTACCAGCCCCAAGCAACGGTGCCTGGTTGGGATAATATATACCGGCAAAACCAAGGTTTCGGGGCAAACGGCGGAGGGTTCACTCAAACGCGGCCATCTTGGAAAAAGTCCCGTAGACGCATCAGATAGATAGATCCATATTAACGAAGGAGCTCTCTATCAAAGTCTTGACTTTTCTACTGTTATATAGTAAATTAAACCCGCTTGGATATATGTTGATATTATATATAAATCCCTTCCCGCGCTTCTATAACCCGATATTCCATTCCTATGAATCTATAGATTCATGTGATAGAGCCATAGTAGAGTGGTCCTTCTCCTTAAGCCACCCCTTTAACTCTTCCTTACCATACCAAACATCCTTCCCCAGATCCTTCCCTTTCAATCCCTCCAGCAGTCCCAAACACCACTCCTGGCAATTCCACCCCCCTTCTCCCCCCTGAACTTCTTCCTTCTCCACATAAGCTTCCCTACAAGCTTTCTCAAACTCCCCAAGCCGGCTTTGTTCTACACTCCCAATCTCCAACTTCACAACCACAATCTGCACAGCAGACTCATCTCTACTAAGTCCATTAACCACTTCCTCCTCCTCTTCTTCTTCTTCGTCTTCCTCCTCCTCCCCTTCCGCCTCCTCCTCCCCCCCATCCCCTCCCTCACCTTCCTTCCCAACCACACTCTTCTTTCTTATAAAATTGTTGGTATTGATCATAATACTCCTCCCAGGCTCTTCATTCCTCGGATCCGCAGCCTCAGGTCCAGGATAATAGTACGCACCGGGCATACCCCGCAGTTGGTGTTTCAACCCGGTTGAAGGGGATAATTCGATTAAAAAAGCCCAGTGGTAAGCTTTTACCAGGCCGGTGTCCCAGTGGGTTCCTCGATCATATGTTACAATGTAGAGGGAGTGCGACATGGTTTTTTTTTTATGTAGGTAGGTATATATGCACTTTATACCTTTTAAGTAAAAAGTATATACCTTGATATAATATATTGTGATGTAATATGTGGTGACGTTGTTCGTTCGCGTCGTAGAGAAGGTGGAGTGAGGTATTAGGTAAGCTTAGCTTAGCTTAGCTGGCAATAGGTTGGTTTGGAGCTCGAGTTTGGATGGGGGGGCGGAGCTATGGTATTGGATGCTCCAGGGATGAGATGGCCGGCTGGGAAATCCGCGCCTGCGATTAATGGTTTATGTCTTCCTGCGATTATGGATCCTGGATGATATGGAAGTAGGTATATAAGGTAATTGGTACTTCTGGTTATCGATATCAAGTACCGGTACCAACCAGCCGGTCTTTAGTACCGCTATTCTTGGACCGGCGTTGGCGAATCCGGGATAAAAAAATGCAACACACATGTGCCGGTGGGTTCCACGTTGATAGGCTAATTCACTACTTTACTGACTTAGTCTGTCTAATCACATTTAATATTCTACGGAGGCCTTTGCTTTATTATATATAAACTCCCCGACTGGCTGGTTTTCGCTTGAGGGTTGTTTCTTTTATTCAAGATTAGTGCTATTCTCGCATTTAATGCATTTTAATAGCACGCTCACAAGAGTTGGTTTACTTTTTTATTTTATTTTCTTTTATTTTATTTTATTTTATTGTTCGATTCGAATCAGATATTTAATACGTTAGCGAAAGTGATAGATAGCTAAACAGGACTACGGAGTACTGGTATTTCAAAAGCCAAAGTGCTATATATTAATCTTGAGGTATCATTGCGACTGTATCGTCAAAAAGGATAAAGCGGAATCAAAAAAGTACTACCGAACATCAAAACGAGACCAAAGAAAAAAGAGAGACATCCCGTCTCAGAGCAAAATCAACTACAAGAAACAGAATCAATCCCCTTATTTATTCAAAATCGCAACCAACAGCCTCTCAAAATCACCACTAGTCTCATCTCTAACCCTCGCCACCAAGTCCTTCCCATAAACTCGATTATAAGCCACTTTAATAGCCGGAATAGCTCCAGGAATCCAATGAGCCGTTATCAGTCTAAACGCCAACTCCTCATTCCTAGTTCCAAGTCCCTTCATCGTCCCCTCTATCAACTCCGCATCTCTCTTAGCTTTATCCTGTACCCCTCTAAGGATATACAACAAAGCCTCCTTTTGATGACCGCTAAACTCGCTCTTTATCAGACTTTCTACTGGTTGATGGTACGTCCTTTCGTATTCTGTAGCAATCGCTAGGATGGTAGCATCATTACTCTTGATGAATATCCTCGAGACTTCCGTTTCGTTTGTTCCCATTCTACCTTCCGTAGCCGCGTGTAGAGCCTTCACCTCCGCCGTGACGGTCGTAGGGTTTACACCCGCAGCTTCTTCGGTACGAGTGGCCGAAATTACCATTTCAAACATCCGTTGTTCCGCACCGCTGAGGTCGTCCGAAACCACGGATTCCAGTTTTCGACTGTATTTAGCTTGGAAAGCCTTTTTAATAGCGTTGATGTCCGCATTACTCCTCCCCAATAACGCAAGGTCAAGGAAAGTTTCTTTCGTACCCATCCCTTTCGTAGCACGATCCACGAGCCAGACGTAGAAGTTCAATGGACCTCTGACGAGGGCACAAAGACCGTCTTCGAGGCTTCCTCGGGTTTTATCTTCCATTAGGGAGTATAATTGTTTTTTGGTATCTGCGGTGTATTTTTGGTTTATGGATTCGATTTGTAAGGGGTCGAGTTTTACGATTGTGGTTATTAGGGCCTTTTCGTCGGTGTTGAAACCTTTGCAGGCTTTTCGGATGACTTCGACGTCGTTTGTTGGGTTGTAGGTTGGTGATGTTTGGTTTGGTATGAAACCCAGGGAGGGGGCTGCAGCTGGTCCGGTGTATGTTTGGGATGGACCGGCTACTGGGGGTGGTGCTGCTGCTTGGTAGCCTGATTGGGGTGGCTGTTGCTGTTGTGGTGGTGGTGGAGCACCCCATTGCTGCTGCTGTTGCTGAGGAGGATAGCCTTGAGGTGGTGGTGGTTGTTGTCCCCATTGTTGCTGTGGTGGTCCCCATTGCTGTTGTTGCTGAGGGGGTGGATAGCCTCCCCATTGTTGCTGAGGATAGCCTTGTGGTGGAGGACCTGGAGGGGGTGCTCCCCATTGCTGTTGTTGTGGTTGTCCCCATTGCTGTTGGGGTTGTTGGCCCCATTGGCCCTGTTGCTGTTGTGGTGGTTGTGGGGGGTATCCACGTTGTTGGTCCTCTTTTGTGGATGGTAGATTGGTTAGTAAATGAGACTAGATGCCTGTTACCTGGATATTAATGTAACTTACGAGGTTGACTCCATTGCTGTTGCTGCTGAGGATATCCTTGAGGAGGACCCCATTGTTGCTGCTGTCCCCATTGCTGTTGAGGTTGTCCCCATTGCTGCTGCTGTTGTTGCTGGTCTCCAGTCGGAGGTGGTGCACCCTGATTGTCTGCCATATCTTCTTATACTACTACTATGTATAAAATTTGCTTGTAGAATAAGATTTATTGTAATATCTCAAGATCAAGAGAATGTGTAGTGTTAATGTGTGATATTATGAGCAGGCGAAAGTGTGTTGGAAGTGAGGTTGAAAGCTTAGTAAGTAAGTACTTAAGTAGTGAATATAGATAGTACACTTGAGTTTGTATTTATAAAGATTAAAAAAGATGGTAGAAGGGAAATCAGGATCAGATGAGGAGTAAGAGCTAGTAATCACTCAAAGCGCACCATCGCTCTTATATAATACATCGCCTCCCTCTTTCTCTCTTCTTCCAACATACATGTTTTAGCTTAGACTTTCGCGCCGGCGCAGTCTATACAGGTCAGACTATCCATTCCGGGATCATGGGCATCTATCTCATCGACTTTAGCTACCCAGTTAGCCCTCCCAACCCTGTTTTTTGGAGAGCAGCCACACCATTCCTTTTTCTAACAGCGGGGGGGGGGATCCCCTCCTTCGATATGGGTCGGGTGGAGACGACCTATTAAACTGCCAAGAGTCGCCCGTCATTTTGGTTTTTTGAAGAAAAAAATCCAGTGGGTTAGTTGGTTATGACGATTCCGGAATTTCAATGGATTCTGCAGGATGAAATGAATCGAATGTTAGGTTCCTCGATACGGAAATTTTTAAAAATCAGCCCTACAAGCCAAAGAGGGGAAATCGGTCCTGTTTTTGGAAAAAGAAGCTCTTCCATTCGTGATAGGTTTTCCCTCCCTCAGATGCACATATGGACATATGCGAGCCAAGCTTCTTCTTTGAGGAAAACAAAGAAAGACAGGAGAAAATCCCGAGGTTTCTTTGATTCTAGACTCACTCACCCGCCATGCAAAAGCAGATACAATTGCTGTGGCTGTAGATTAGCTAGGTCTTGTCTTAACGTTAGCTAAGCTACCGGACCTCCCAAGACTGGTTTGTAACTATACCATAGAGGTAATTACCAATTCCAAACGAGGGCTTTTGGGGCGTATTATGGGCTTGGCGGGATCCACGGCTTACGTTTTGCATGATCCTCCATGATACACGATAAATGCCTTAGAAACCTTCGATATGATCTATACTATACTATAGATATCATCACACGAGATACTCGGGGTATCACCGATTATCCTAGTTTTGAGAAGGAAAAAAAGCCTGAGGAGAGTTATGATTATATTACATGTATATTAAAAATTCGAACGAACGTGATACTGAAGTCATGATAACCGTATTGCCTTCGGCAAGGTACCTTACAGGGCACACCAAAAAAGAGACAGGCGGTTTTTTAGTCTTTTGTCTAAGCGCTTGGCATCTTATTGGTGAAACTTAACTTGGAGGGATGTGCCTTGCTGTCAGTCGCTCGAGTTCGGTTGAATAGATCCGAGAGAATATTAATTCTCACAGCCTCGAAATTTGTATGCATATCATATGTATGAAGGGATGTATGAAGTGCTAAATACGGGTGATGCTGTGATACCGTCTGATACTTGCCCCTGTGATAATATCGTTATGATCTAATCATTTCTCTGGGCGAATTCGATCGAGGCTTTCTTCGAGAACATGGAACAGTGTGCCGGAGAATGTGAATCGAGGATGATGGATGATACTAGTGTTTGTCTCGACTCAATTTCCTAATCGGGTATATTTAACGACAGCAAACAGCGATGAACTAAAACTCCAACAAACAACGCGGATTTCTCTTCAATTTGACTTGCGACAGATGACGTCGACTTTTTCTGATTTCTTGCCTGTAAATTAGTAAACTTAAAAGAGACCCCTCTAGGACCTTCGGAAGAACTATAGCCTAGCTCAATATCTTTACTCCATCCGTTCAAAAGCCTCTATCCCTATTAAATTGTACTCCTGGACTCGAAATCGAGGCTCCGGATTTGGAGGTTAAGTTAAGGCTGTCGATGGAAGAGACTAAAGTGGGGCTTTTGAAGGAAGTATTGGGGGTGAGGTTGGTGTTGATTGGTTTAAGGATATTATAGGGAAGAGGTGGAGGTGGAGAAGGGGATTTGGAACTTGAGGAAGGGGCGGATGAGAAGATCAAGAAGTTGATGTTAAATACTAAGACTCGTATACAGGGACTAGTGGATGGGTTCATATAAGTACCATCCCAAACATTGCAAGTTCTACGGGGCTCTACAGATATAGTAGTAACTATAACCTCCTCCCCAGATTAGACGAACAAAGTCTAGGTCTAGTATGTATTCGCTTTTCATTGGAAATAATAACGCTTTGCGAATATTAATATGACAAAAATATATCAAAGATAAATTAAGCCTCTAAGCTATTGATATTATTATAAGTATAACGATTCAATTTGCTCTGTAATGTTCCAAGTATCCTTTACCTTGGACATTCGGCACATACCACCCATTTCTGAGTGGTGGAGAGTAATTTTTGTTTACCCTTCTTATGTTATACCCTTATATAAATCGAGATCAGATATAGATCTTTAGACTTAATACTTATATACTTAGTATTAAATTGATATATATATTTTTTTCCCTCGAATGACGGGGTTTATAATGATTTTGTGTCGACTTTAGTGGATTTATATAACTATCTCCTCAGAGGAGAAGCTTAAGTGGTTGTTGTCTTCGGTGCCCAAGTCAATTTTGACGGAGATGGAGGTGTAGACATTTTGCTGTCTCGAGGCAGCGATAAGATTTGGATCAAATCAACATACACATCATATATAATGAATGGAAACTTTTATAATAGTGTGCATCCAGTCTTGTAACTGACTTATTCTCATTGGGATTCATTTACATCATTAGATATCTTATCATACTTAAACTTACTTAATAAGTAGTAAGTGTATATCAAAACCCACCAACACCAACATCAAGCACCTTCACCATCCTCCCATCCTCCTCTGCCTCCTCTCCAAAAAACGTCTTAACAACCCCCACCACCCCCTCAAACAACCCCGCCACAAGTTCCTTCTCCTCCTCCCCTGTCTGCCTAAAATCCGGAAAAGCATTAACCTCCAACACCCTAACCTTCCCATCCTCCCCGACCAAAAAATCAAACCCAAAGATTTCAAAAGCATTAGGTAAAGGTTGAAAATGTATCCTCCCGCCGCTAACAGCGGCTTTAAAAACTTCTGCGGTAATTTCACATACTTGTGAATACCATTCTTCCACTTTTGTTTGATCTATAATAAAGAATTCGGGGAGGTTCCAGAAGGGGATTACGCTACCATCGTGGATACCGGATTGTAAACAGGTGTTTGTGAGGTGTGCTGATAGATCTGGAGGTTCTGATGTGTCATCACCATTATTATTGTTGAAATCTGATGATGATGGAGGGGTATATTCCTTCGCGGCGAAGAGGGCTAACATGTTTCTGTAGACGTAGATTTTGAGAGCGGAGTAGGCGAGGACGTAAGTTCTTATGTGGAACTTTCGAGGACCGATGTTCGAAGGGTTATTAGTATTTGGTTTTGGGGTGAGTAGGAACGGAGGGATGTAGACTTGGGCTACGAAGTGTCGGAGACTGGAGGTGATTATGCCGGTTGATTTCTTTTCTTTATCGTCGGTTGAAGTTTTAATATCTTCTTCTTCTCCTTCTTCTCCATCTGACCTGGTAGCTTTATCTTCGTCTTCATCATCATCTTCTTCTTCATCAGACTCCTCCTCCCACCCCTCAAAAATACCCTGCAACTCCCCCATCGTCGAAAACAATCTAATCCCAACCCCACGATCACTCATCCCCGGCTTCAAAATCCACCACTCCCTCCCCCTCTCCTCTTCCACCCCTTCATTCCTTTCCAAACTCTCAACCAACTCATAAGCCTCAACCAAAGCCTCATCCAAAAACTCCACATAATCAACCTCAAACTCAACCCCAACCGGCGTCGCATCCTTCAACACGCTCTTAGGGTTTTTCTTCACATAACTCTCGATCGTATGTAGGAGATAGTGTTTTCGAATTAATGCCTTGCGGATTATGTAGGCGTTAAATAGGTTTGTGGTTGGATTCGAAAGGAGGGTTTGGAAGTCTAGGGATTCGTAGGAGGTCCATGTTAGGAGGGGGGTGGTTGAGGGAAGTGGAGTGGTGGGTTGGTTGTGGAGGAGGTGCAGGGAGGGGAGGTGTTTGTGGAGAGCGGATTCGATGAGTGGTTGGACGTAGGATTTATCGTCGGTGTAGTCGAGGAGGGCGTGTATTTCTGTCATCTTTCTTTCTTTTTTTCTCTTCTCTTTCTTGTCTCCTCTTAGGGTATATATAAGGGTAATTAAAGAAGTTAAAGAAGAATGTTGAAATATATAAAGAGTGATTGGTGAAAGGATCAGATTCTATATATACATTTGAACTTATCTATCTTGATCTTGAATGCATTGTATGGTTGGTCGGTCGTCGGAGTCAGTTCTAGTTAAAATATGTCAAAAGCCGCGGGCCAAAAAAAAAAAAAAAAAAAAAAGTTTGGCAGGTAAAAGTAACTGTTCGATCCAAATGCAACAAAAGATCCACAACGCTCGCTTATCTACGGCCTCTCTTTTTATATGTCGGTTTGTGGTTGGTGGTGGTTATAGTTACAACTGGTTGGATATAATCTATATAATCTACAGCTTCAATTCCTCGCCAATCTGAGCACTTGCGTGCATGAAATTGGCTCTCAACGGCGTTACACTAGATATTTAAATATATTAGCATCGATTCTTCTTGTCAAAATAACTGTAATTTGTTAGAAGAAAAGAAAAAAGAACAAACCTGATAAACCCCTGCATTAAAGCCCAAGCATCACTCCCAGCAGCACTCTCCTCCTTCGCCGCCTTCTCAACATCAATAAACCTAGGCGCCCATTTAAACCTATACTTCTCCATCAACTTATCCGTATTCCCTTCAGCATTACTACTACTCGTCCCCGTTTCCTCAGCAGGTGTAGAAACCCCATCTCTAGTCGCCTTCTCCAATTTCCCCGGATCTTCTTCTTCTTCTTTCGTATGGATGGCTTTGTAACAACCACCCCAGGTGTTTTGAAGGATATGTGTGAATAGGATTTTAGCGTGATAGACGCCTTCTTCCAGGGGGACGTTTACGGAGTAGATGTCGACGGAATTGTCGGTTGGCCAGTTATTGTAGAGGTTTTCGACGATTTTGGCGGAGATGTCGGAGGCGTTTTGGACGATACCCCAGTCGTGGTCGCGGGTTTTGTAGGCGTAGGAGACGGAGATTGATTTTGCGCCGCTCTGTTAGTTAATATGTAGAGTTAGTTAATTATACTTGTCAAATCACTTCTTAACTTCCTTTTAACAAGAAAGCAAAGGCTAGAAGAAGAAGAAGAAGATATATAAAAAAAACCCACCAGCGCAGCCTCCAACGAACCCCCCAAAGTCCCACTACTCAAAGCATAAACCGCCGACGAATTCCTCCCAAAATTCGGTCCCGAAACAACCAAATCAATAGCCCCCCTCTCCTTAAACAAATGAAACAATCCGATCTGTGTACAACTCGCCGGCGTCCCATTGATCAATACCCATTCCTCACCACCATCCGTTCGAGGTGTCGTATGCGTACTATCGGTATCAGGATGGTAGAATGTAGGTGTCGGGTGGTGACCGATGATATGGGCTTTTCCGATCCAGGATTTTTGGTCCGCGGGGATGCAGACTGATACCGTGTGCCCCCGGTCTCGGAGGGAGGTTATTAGGGATTTTATGAAGGGGGAGGATGGAGATGGGGGACCGTCGTCGTTTGTTAGCTGTCATGTGGGGGGTGGTGGTTGTTTGTTAGTTATATTTAATATGGAGCTTTGGAGGGGGAGCTGGAGCGGAAGCTGGGGTAGCTAAGTAGGTAGCTTACTAGGATATGCATTTTTGATTGGTGGGGGAGGTTGGGGACCTGGCTGGTGGGATTGAAGCTTATAATTTTATAAGGGAAGAGAATAAGAGGGAAATTAATGCGAGAAGAAATAGAAGAAGAATTCGGGGGGATATAAACGGGACGGGTGAAAATGCTGGTGGGAGTTACGTTAATGGTAACGTACGTTGCAAGGAAATGGCCGGAATGTGAAGGGTTGCTGCTGCGGACGGGCTGCAGCCTGCAATTGACTGGGGACTCAGTTGGCTGGAGGCGAGGTTAGCCGAAATGTCGTGCTTTAATTCGTCTGTTGCATTTTTTTGGCCCGGTCGAGAACGGCAGTGCAACGCGGGTGAAATACGAATCGAATATGAATAGTATGAATATGAATATCATGTGAAAGATAGTATACTGTTGGGTTTTAATTACTATACATCCATTTGCCAGGAAAGGAGAGACGCCGAATTATCGTATACCCTTGTGTCCAGAAACAAGTCCGTTCCAAAGAAACAAAAACGAAAGAATACAAAAAGTACATGAGTTCAATTGGAAAGTACAGGGGTTTTGGAAGCTATACTAGGAAATGATACTTTTTTGTTATAATATATAGTATTTTCTTTGGGGGGGATGGGATTTTTAGATAGAAACGTCTTCAGCATTAGCTTTAGATCTAGTCCTTGAAGAAACACTATTCTTTCTTTCTCCCGTGAGGGGTTTCGTCTCTTCTTTCTTTGGTCGCCCTGCTTTCTTCTTCGGCGCTTCCGCCGTCTCCACAGGTTTAGATTGATCCAGTTCAGTTGACGCCGGAGCAGTAGGATCCGTTACTTCCTTATTCGATTCCTCAACTCTTGGTTTCTTCGACTCTGGCTCCGGAACTTCTTCTTCTTGAGTATCATTCTTATCCCCCCCGTTCTTCTCAGAAGACCCAGAAGTATGATCTTGTTCATCCGAAGCAACAGTAGTAAGTTCTTCAGACCTACCACGTTTCTCACCAACCGAAGCTTCGGGTTTTGTCGGTTTCTCCTGTACTTCCTCCCGAAGATCCATTAACTGCTCGGGGGGCTGTGTCGTGGCGGTTTTATCGCCGTTAGTATGTCCGTGGATAGTAGTAGTAGTAGTATTCCCACTTCCGTTATCGATATCAACATCGTCACCATCCCTTTTTTCAGCTTGTTTATCCCTCTCCTCGGCGAGTTTTACTTGTTCTTCGATGGATAAATTCGCTTCTTCTTGTTCTTGTGCGGTATCCGGTGGTCTGGATATCGGTGCCGATTGTCTGGGTGGTAGGAATGGTTTTCGTAGTTTTCCATCATTACCATCACCGTCATCTTTATTGTCATCAGATGAAGACTTGATTTCAAGCTCGCTAGCCTTCTTGACGACGTCAGTGCCGGAGTCTTGTTGTAAATGAACGGCCGGGTTGGATGGTTCGGCGTTACGGGTGATGGTGTTCCCGTTGGAAGATTGGATTGAGAGGGAACCGTGGTCGGCGACTTCGGTTACTGTGCCGGATGGGTGACCTTGGCCCCAGTTCCATTGGGCTGGGTATGGCATTTTTTGATTAGTTTTTATACTACTATATATTCCTTCTGTTTTTTATAAAAATTTGTGATGCTTGGTAGGTATTAAGTAGTGAGTGGTACGGGGTTCTATTGGGGGAGTTGAATGCGGTGATATTATAATATTAATGAATGGTAAGAAATTCGATATAGCTGGAAAATCAATAAATAACCTGCAATTTAGGGTGTTTCAAGGTTGGAATAGATACTTATATGTATATAGAGTATAATATGGGATATATGTCATCCAACCCAGCTAGTGCGATCAGATCGGTACCTACCCTTGTCGTGATCTGTGACGTCGTCAAAATCGACATCATCACCACCAAGTACCCCGGCAAATCACACGGTCCGGGGGGGAAAGTATAACATCAAAATTATAAATAAATAAAATTCTAGCTTACCTTGATCTCCTGGCTTAAGATCCGTCATTTTCTAATTTCCCTTCTTTTTCTCTATATTAAATTTTTTTTTTTTTTTTTTTTTTACCAAAAAACGGAGGTCGTGAAGTAGGAGTTAGGTTTGTATCGTAGACTTATATTATATAGGTAAGGTACCTATTCGGAGGTTTAAGAGCTGTATAATTGCAATAGTGTGGGGAAGAAGGGAAGCTCGAAGGGGGTGGTGGTGCTAAAAAGTCTAATTGTAAGGGAGGAAAGGGAAAAAAAGGGAAAAAAAGAGGGAATTCAGATGCAATTTGTATGCAATGTTAATATCCAATTGCAAGGCTGGTGTTGCGCAGAAAGCGGCTGGGAATTTTAAATAAGAAAGAAAGAAAGAGAGAAAGAAAGAAAGAAAGAAAGCGACAAGGGAAAAAAAAGGTTATACAGATCGATCGAGTGCAGGTGGTGGGTCTGGGTCTGGGTCTGGGCCGGACGGGGGTGGATGGATGGATGGAGGTGGAAATGTGGTGTTACCGGAATAAATATTTAGAATACCTGTGAACTCAAACACACATACAAATCGATTACTGGAATGCGGGAGGCGGGAGTTACAGATTTTAAGTACTCAAGAAGTAGTAAGTATACTTACTTACTTATATTGTAATGCTGTGGAATGGAAACATTCAGAACTGCTCGATCGAGCAAGTCGTCGGTTTGCATTGGATGATGGGTTGGTGGATGATGACGTCATGTTACTAAAGTATTTTAATATAATACAGGATCACCAGATGCGATCTAATCTTCGAAGATATAATATCTTGGCCGTACGATACTCCAATTAATGTTAATATAGTTCGCTACTGCTTCTGTCATCATTGATAGGTCTTATTGGAGAGCGGATATATACTTAAGTACTTATATAGAGGCCTCACCTGTTCGATTTGGCAGGGGCATGGTCGCCTACAGCCTTAAAATCTTTCACTTTTTATTTTGTAATATAGAAAAGAAGAGGTGGCTTTGAGGAAACGGAGTTCTTCCCGTGCTCCATCTGGTATTACCGGGGTGGGTTTGCACTGCAGTACTGGGAACTACCGTGACTCGTAAGTTAACAACGGGCATCTAGGCAGCTGTCTGTGCTGGCAATTGCCATGGCTCTGGTATTGTTCGATATTGCCTACTCCGTCAATTCTGTGTAAGAAGCTTTGGGGCAACAGATCGATATATACTTAGTAAGTATACTCTTGCTTATATTATATAAGATCACATGAAACTCAACGACTTCTTTCTTAAAGTCAGTAGCCTCTATTACTCCCCAGGTTTTATGAGTCTAGGAATTTAGCTTCTGTTCAATTCCATAACTTACATGCATTATGCATCTGTGACTGGCGAGCAAGCGAATTGGTTGGCTAATTGGTGCTCACTTACACAAGAGATATATATCTCTGATGGTGGCACCAGATCCGAAGAGCGTATTTTCGTTAGTTCCTTCCGATATAACAAAAGAAAGACCCAGTAGCTTCAGCCTGTGAGGGTTTGAAATTCTTTTAATTGTGAGCAAATACCCCAAGCTTGAGTAAATAGTTTTCTTTTTGTGTAGAAATCTGGAAAATCGGTGTCCGAATGCAGAAGATTAGATTCGTACAGTCGTGTCGTCGCATTTTGGTGTTAGCATTAATTGGCACCCTTGTCTTACACAAATTGTTCCCCCGGATTTTTTTTTTTTGCGAGCCGCGCCGGGGAGCTGTTGCACATTTCGTCTCCACTTGTTCGGCTGGCCGGCCAAGGTTGGCCTGGGCGAACTGGCGGAATTTTAGATTCGATTGGGATTGTGATATTTCGGTATCACGAAATATTCGAAATGGTGCGGTTGCAAAAACCACTGTAATAGAATAGTGAATAGATTTTCTTCTAGCTGATCTCTTCATTCGAGTATTCCTTTTTATTCGGAGTCGTCGGGTTTGGGTTTTTTTTCTTCTCAAAGATTTTGCATCGCGATGTCGGATTGTGGACCAGGGATTTGGTTCTGGGGACCGAATTAGAGTTGTTGGCATGCCAAATTTACTACCACCAAAGTTGGTTCTTATTCTCGAGGCGTGAAGACGCCAGAGATCCAGATTGAAAGATTCCGGTTGATGGATTTAAACAAGGATAGATATCTGAATTAGTGTTCTCTCCGCCGATTGGCGGCAGGGCGAGGGGAAAGCGAGTGCCCGTGCACAAACTATTGCAGCGCAACATATAATGTTTCGGTTGGTTGCATTGGTTATCGGAGTTTATATCTGTATACTTGGTGGAGGATTCAATGCATTATGGGAACCTGCGATCGGATTGGAACCGAAATTTAGCAGCAATTCAGCCGGTATTTGAGACTTTAGATATTCCCAAAGGTCCTTCCGCCAATTTGCCAACGAAGGTGATAGGTTGTCATCTTCAGTAATTTTGAGTACAGGTTGGATTTCGATCCCAAGTCTTGGCTATCTAAGCCTTATCAAAGCAGCGTATAAAGTAATCGCTGATACGAGATGTTCCCTAGTGGGCCCGGGATATACGTATATATACTTGGATATGTTAGTAAGAGGTATTGTGATCGTATTGAGTGGTGGATATACCTGCACCACCATCTCCTTCAGGATATCTGTGGCTGGGATATCCCAATGATAATATTGATGCCAGCCAATATAATAATATAACCTGATCGTATCAACTGTTAGACCTTTTGGATGTTGGTTAAAGAGGATGGTGCTAGATAGTACTTACTAGTAGCTTATGCATGCAACAGTTAACAGGATCGGAGCCTAGGAATAGCAAACAAAGAGGTGTTCAGTTGGAGGAGACTGTATACCAGTAATATACTGAGTAGTAAGCAGTAGATAGGTACAAGGAAGTATAATTAATAGAATAGAATAATTGACAGCGTCTGGACGTTCTCAGCCGGATCGCGACTGAACGCATTCAACCCACATTTTGCCCACATTCTCTTCCTCCCAGTTATTTCTTCCTTTCTTCCTTTCTTCTTACCACCACCACCACAGACACCACCAAACTAGCAACTCGAACTTCACCATCAATCAACCTCTCCATCTCATCAACCTCACCAACCTGTTATCATCAACCTCACCATCACCATCACCAGCTTTCCCAAACTTATCCAGCTTCATCGCTAACCCTGCTCGAACTCATTCTAACCTCTATCGGTTCTTCTGATCCTGCATTTGGTATGTTCAATTCCTTCTCTTCCTCCTCCTCCTGCTCCCTTCCCTACCTGCCTATTACCTACCCTGCCCTGGACATGTATGCCAGTTATTACTATGTATATGTCTTGCTTGCATATGTTTGTCGGCAAGTTTGTTACGCACGGTCAGCTGACCTTCAAAATTCGCTTTCGCTTTCGCTTTTGAGTTTTGCTTCTTAGCTCCAGTCCTTGATTGTTCGGATCTCGTATCACCACCACCAGACCATCCATCATATCATATCCACCTTCCTCTCATCATTACCCACCACCATCATCACAATCATCACTCTCCCATTGCTTTCTTCCCTACCAGACTGCTCCCTCGCCGTGCCTTTGCTTGCTCGGTTGAATTTTCCCTCTTCTGTAAGTATTCTGCTCTCTCCCTATCCTCCCCTCCATCCCTTCCTTTTTTCCCTTCCTTCCTTCCTTTTCCCCAGGGCCTGCTTGGTTGCTGGCTGGTGGTGGCATTTGCCATCACGACCCACATACCATCTACGCTGCATTACCAGCTTTCCACGGCATCCTGTTTCAGGTATCTCCGCTATGAAACACTTCCTTCCCAAGTCCGGGTCTAGTCTGATGCTCGAGGCGTAACGCCTCACCGTTCTCTTCGCTGCTCTTTAGCCATATGTGACCATGGATGGCAATGGAATGGCCCAGCCCTAAACATAGTGTGTGCTGCTGCTTTAAATATCGAACCATGCCGTGCCTACGAATCTCGTGTTGTCGAACTAACTAACTACTTACCCAACTAACTCAACCAACAACTAACCTCCCTTTCTTTCTCCACAGTTTTTTTTAATCTTCCTTTCTCTCCTCACTAAGGATTCACGCCATTGGGAATCCATCTCCTTCCCCCCAAACTAAACACCCACACATATACCATCACATAAATGTCCGATATTTCGGCTCAGAGAGCGCCCACCAGAGGGCGGGGACTGTCGCGTGGCGGCAGAGGTGGCGGCGCGATTGGCAGCAGAGGTGGCCGAAACGGTGCCGGATTCAGATCGAATGGTGACTCTCACGACGAAGTTCCTCTGGAAGAACAGGGTGAACTCGGGAAGCTTAAGCAGAAATATGCTTCTCAATTGACTCTTTTGAAAGAAATGTTCCCATCCTGGACCGATGAAGATCTCATCAATCCATTGGAGGAATCATTCGGTAACGCAGAGATGGCCGCAAGTCTCATCTCGGAAGGTCAGTATATCCATCATTATCATCCACCTCCACCTCCACCTCCACCTTGACCACCACACCTCCCCTCCCCATCCCCTCTACAGACATTTTTTGTCCGACAAACTCGGAGCCTTTCGTCTCCTTACCCGAGCGTTACACCACGACGGTTGCTAACAGTAGTGATACGATGTTACAGGTCACGCTACTCAATGGAGCGACGTAAAAAAGAAGACTAAGGAAAAGCCAAAGCAGAAGGGCCCATCCGCTACTACGAACGACGAAGGGTCTCGTGCAGGCCGCGGTGGCTTCAAATCTGCTAGAGGTACTTTCGAAGGAGGAAGGGGTGGTACTCGCGGAGGCCGTGGCACTGACCGTGGAGCCTTCCGTGGAGGACGTGGAGGACTTGCTCCCCGTGGAGGGAAGACTACTAACGGAGCTGAAGCTACGACTACTGAATCTTCGGAATGGCCTGCTGCTACTCAGGATGCCGGAGACGAAAAACATACCGACGACTCGGCTGACCACAAGGATTCGAAAGACGGCGCCGCCGAAGTCCCCACTTGGAAATCGATTGCTGCTGGAGAGGCCACTACATCCCTGGTTGAAAAGAACAAACCCGTTACTCCGGCTGCTCCCATGACAGCTTTAGAGAAGCCTGCTGCGAAGAGCTCCGTCCCCGCTGAACCTCCCAAGAAGACCTGGGCTAGCTTATTGCATACCGCTCCTCCACCTCCTCCACCACAACCACAACCTGTCCCTGTCGCCGCCCCGAAGAAACCACAAAGCCCTGTCCTGCCAAAGGTCGAACCCCCCGCTCCCGTCGCCGAAGCTGTTATTCAGACTCCACCCACTACTACTGCTACTACTACGTCTCTTCCGCCTCCGCAAGAAGCTCCAGTCTCCCTCCCACCACCAGTTGCACCACCATCGGTTAAGAAATCTCCTATCATCGCACCTGCTCTACCGGATATATCGACTCCAAAACTCCCACAAACTGAACTGGCCGCTCCACCAACTGCGACTGAAACTACCAAGGTAACTGAGGATCCTGTTGAACCCGAACCCGTAACTGAGGAAGCCCCTGAAGAAATAATCCCCGAGGAAACTCCTGAATCACTCCCATCTCCGGCTCTGGACAAATTAACTGAGGAAAACCTGGAAAAGATCGAGAATGTCGCTCCAGCTCCACCTACGTCTACTGCCGCAAGCACCGCCGCCACAACCCCACTCCCTCTCGGATCCCTATCGCCAGCCTCCAAGGTACTTCTTCCCGTACACCGTGCACACGGACACCGGTCTGGACTTCGCCGTATGCTCGACCAACACGAAGCTGTCGTCATGCCACGTGGTGATTTCGTTGACCGAGCCGCTGTTCAATTCGGCAGTATGGGTCTAAACGGTGAACTCGACGACTCCGAGGAAGTCGAGCAACCAGAGAAACCAGAAACCGTCGCCCCACCCCAGCAATCCCCAATTGGCCAACCCAAGGCAGCTCTCCCTACCCCTGTCCCAGCCACTAGCACTCCGAGCGTCGCACCTTTGGGACAGCAACCAATTGCAATTCCACAGCAGCAGCAACAACAGCCCATTCAAGAACAGCAACAGCCACCACAGCCACAACCGCAGGCTGTCTCTGTTCCACGTCACGCCCCCGGGTTGGCCGCACCCATCCAGCAGCCGTCCCATAGCAATCCCCTATCATCATCTCCTAGTGCCCCTCAGCAACTTCAACAACAACCTCCACAGTCTCTTGGACAATCTCTCCCTCGTCAGTCCGGTTTCGGCGCCGAAACCACCAAATTCGATAGCTATGGACAACAGCCACATCTCACTGGACAGCAAAATCCCGTCAGCCAATCACCATATGGTGGTTACCAGAATCAGACCCAGCAACCTTCCCAGCCTGCCGCCGACCCATACGCTGGTTATTACTCCGGTGCCAATGATCCGAATAGGTCCTCGGGTTTCAACGCTTTCTACACTTCGCCATATGCGACCGCAGGAAACCAACAACAAACCCAGCCCACTGACCAGGCTGCATCTCAACCCCGTTCTTCTAGTGCTCTAGGTGGAGGAGTTGGAGCTTCCCTCGAGACCGCCCAATCTGGCGCCGCGGTTTCGGGAAGTCAGCAACAACAAAACCAACAATCTAGGTTCGGAGCGTCGTTCCAAGGAAACGAGGCCTCGCAGCCGGGTCAAGCGGCTGCCCAACAAGGAGGGCCACAGCACCCATCTCAGTACCCTATGCACCCGTCTTACTACCCGTACTACAACTATATGTCTGTAAGTAACAACGTCAGCCTTCCAATTCCAGTTACCTTTTCTTCTTCTTCTCTTACTAACGCTTTTAATAGCAAATGTACGGTCATTATGGCAGTTACCCGAAGGGGTTTTATGGTGGTTCTCCTCAAGCTTACATGTCTCCCGGAGGGTATGAGCACTCCTCCTCTCCCGGAAACTATGGTGGCTTTGGTGGCCCCGGTTCCCAGGGTGGCCGCGACACTTCCTCGAATGAATATGGGCGCACTGGCGCTACCCAAGGCCATGCTCAGCAGCAGCAGCAGCAGCAGCAACAGCAGCAACAGCAGCAACAACAACAGCAGCAACAGTCGCAGCACCCTAGCCTTGGATATGGCTCTGGTGGAATGCCTGACTACATGTCTTCTCGCCAGCACAATCAATTGGGAGGATTTGGAACTCAACAACAGCAACATGGGCTTGGTGGTCAACAAAGTGGCCACGCTGAAGACACCCTGAAGCCATATGGCGAAGCCAAGGCCCCTACAGGCCCCTCCGCCAACCCTGCCGGTGCTCCAGGAAGACCACCCAGCACTTCCGGTCTCTCCGGACCAGCCGGCCAGTCCCAAATTCCTCAGGGACAATCCCAACAACACCAGCAAAACCTTATGGGAGGTTACCCACAACACCTTCAAGGTCAATCCGGAGGTAACACTCCTCTCATGGGAGGCAATCAAGGTCATCACAATAGCCAGTACGGCATGTATGGCGGATTTGGCTCCGGCTACCCCCAGTATGGTAGCCAAGGAGGCAATCGCCAGCAAGGCGGCTGGGGATATGGGGGGCACTAGGGGGCTTTCCCCATATTCGCATTGATCGGACCCTGTTCTACTGCACCCCTCTTTTTCATCGCTCAACCTTTTCCCTCCTTTTTCTAAAGACACCTCTCCACCTATCCACACACATTATCGATGAATTCCCGTTTTTCTTTTCTGATTTTTGTTTTTTTAAACAATGTCTTTGATGGGCCAATTATTGCTCCGGCCATCCGATGAAGCTCCTTTTTTCACTCTAAAAAAAACTGTGTTTCTCGGTGCTCTGTACATGCTTGTTTTTGTTTTTTCTGTTTTTTTCTAGCTACTTTTCTCCACCTTTTTCTCTGTCTTATGATATTTTCTTTTTTCTTTTTTACTACTATTCAATGGGAAAAGGGTTTTTCTTTCACTTTTTATGGGGGTGTTTATTATCATTACTCTCTACTACTATTACTCTGTTTCTTCTGTGTTCTACGAATTGCCTGCTCGCCCGCTGCTGTCTTTGATTCACGAAGTAATGTTTATATATTACGAGAAGCTCAGACCTTTGCTGCTGCTGTCGCTGTCGCTGCTATCGCAGCCGGTACTTTTATAATAGTACTGGTACTTTTCGAAATTAAAAATGGAATGCAAGGGGTTCCGGGGATATATTTTTAACGTCCTCGAAGGGGAAACAAAATTCGCCCTTTCTCTTTTTTTTATCATGACAACCGTCCACTCTTTCTCTCTATCGCGGTTTGACGGCGTAATGCTTCCCTCGTAATATATATATGCGCTTGCTGAAATATGACAGCTTGCATCGTTTCTTTCCATTACATTGTGCATGAGCTTCTCCAACGAGAGGTAGGTAGTTTTAAGGGTCCCCTTTTATATATTTTTCACTCTCTTATAATCAATTATTGGGCAGCAGTGCACGGGGGAGGATTTGGATTTTAAATTGCTTTATGCAGGTTAAAACAGAAAAGTTCTTGGGTGTTATTTCCATTTTGTTTCCATGCGGTTTAAGTAAATGTTATAGTTATGTTGATGTTGACGTTGCTGGTTTCGATGTCTCTGTTAACTTGTGAAGTGGGGAGCTTTGTCTTTAACTGCCTAGGTACTTACTTGCACCGTCAGCGGCCAGCCGGTGGAGATACTACTGTAAATTAATATGACACAGCGAAACAACGTTCGTTTGATTGGTCAATGGGATTTATTTTGAATTGAAAGCGATAGAAATGGTCAGAATGCTGAATTAAGTACCTACTTAATTACCCAACTATTGAAGCTAGGAATTATATTATCAAGCCGACCAGGCTATTTGATATCTAATCGATCTAATTCGGCCGCGTAGCCGTAGATCCGGGTTATTTTTGTCAGATTCGCGAGTTGCCGCCGGTCGGTCTGGGTCAGGCAGCTGGGCAGCTGGACAAACCGGCGGACGAGGAAGAAAGGAAGGAAGGAAAGAAGGACAGTTGGAAGGACAGGAAGGAGAGAAGGACAGGGTAAAGCTTAGTTAGCTTGCGACTTCATCTCATCCAGCAGCTTTCTCCCTTCATCAAACCACATCGACCACATCGACCACATTAACCATCATCTCTCTTTCTCTTTCTTTTTCTTTCATCCTTTTCATCCTTCTTTCTTTCTTTCTTTCTTTCTCCACCTTCGCTCCCTCGTCTCCAACGAATTGCCATGTAAAAAATTACCCGATGAGCCATGCGACAAGTCCATCGTTCTTAGCTACCTAGGTAAGTGACCTAATAATTCTTCCTGCTTCTGCTAGCGCTATAGCTCGACGTCCTTGCTTGCTGACCCGACCTCTCTGACGGCTTTTGAAGATTCATTTGCGATTTTATGGCTGCATGAATGATTCGCGACTAAACCACATCACGACATCACGTAAATCCTTCAACCAAGAAAAAGGACTGAAACACACAGGGAAAGAGGAAGACAGAGAGACAGGAAGAGAGTTAACATAACGCACAGCGAAAAGAACCGACATACCGTGCGACCACCAACAACAAACCAGAAAAAAAATACTTTAAATGTCCTACTACGCCTACAACCCCTACGTCGTCACCCATCAAGATTCGGACTACTTCAAACGTAACGACTTCCTAACCCGCTTCATCAACTACCTATCCGATCAAATGTCGTCATTCCTTACGACTTCGGAGACAAAACCACAAATCATTGCCTATGCTGCCGGAGCAGGGTTGGCAGCAGGGGTGTTGATATATGTCTTCGGTCCGACTTTCTTCATCGATGGGAATAGTATGAATGGGAATGTTGTTGCCGGTGGTTCTGGGAAGAGGAAGCAGACCGTTGTTGGACTTTATAATCCTGCCAATGATTGTTTCGTAAATTCGGTTCTGCAGGCTTTGGCGGGGTGTGGTGAGTTGAGGAAGTTCTTGGGAGGGAGGATGGGGGTTCAAGGAGAGCTTGAGGAGTTTGAAGGGAACGGAAGGGTTGCTTGGAAAGGACGTAGGCCGGTTTTGACGAGAGCTTTGAAGGTTATGCTTGATAGTGAGTTTTTTTCTTTTTTTTTTCTCTTCTCTTTGTTCTGTTAGGTATTGGTGGGAATGCTAATGTGTGGGGGTTCTCTGTTGTAGAGCTTAATGAGCGCCCGTTACATAGGAAGACGATTTCGACCAGGGATTTCATTTATGAGCTTGAACGGGTTTTCAGATCGCGGATTTCGAGGAACCAACAGGATGCGCAAGAATTTTTGCAGATTGTGGCACAGACTTTGGCGGAGGAGTATGAAGCGCAGGAGAAGGTTAGACTGATGGTTAAGAATGTTGAAGAAGGGAAGGAAAAGGAAGAGGAAGAGAGCGATAAAGAAGAGGAAACTGACGATGATAACGAAGAAGGAGAAGAGAATAAGGAGAAGGGGAGTGAGAATGCTAAGGTAGAGGATCAGAAACAGGAAGACGACACGAGCGAGCACAGCTTTGAGGTTGTGACAGCTGTGGATGAGCAGAACGAGGAAGTGAAGGAAGCTGAAGCCGATATCTCAACCGTTGAAAGCGTTAAGTCGACAACTGAAGAACCTGAATCAACTGCCACCGAGCTGTCGACACCCGAAACATCGAACGATGAGGGAGAATCATCATTCACAGATACAGATCAGGAGTCATCGAAGCCCAAACCGAAACATGTCTCCTTGGACACTAAAATCAAGGAGCTAGAGAAGGAAGAAGCGGAGGCGGAGAAGGAAAAGACAAAGAAGGAAGAACCGAAGATCCCAGAGTTTGGTATGCCAATGGAAGGAAAGTTGGAATCGGGGATTCAATGTCTTGTCTGTGGATTCGAGCCGAAGCCTACTGGATCTACATTTGTCGTTTTGACCCTCAACGTCCCGATGAAAAGTTCTGCGACACTCGATGACTGCTTTAACGAACATCTATCTACGGAATTCATTGATGACTTTCAATGCGCGAAATGCAAGCTGGCCAAGATGATCGCGGTTCAAGAGAAGAGGCTTGCCACCACGAAGGATGAAAAGGAAGCTAGCGCTCTCAAAGATTCTCTAGAAACACTAAACGACTGTCTGAAGAACAACCCAGAGGAAATACCAAAGGACACACTCCTCCCGTCGCCAAAACTCACAACTGTCAAATCACGCATCGCGAAACGAACATACTTTGCACATTGTCCGAATGTACTGGCCATTCATCTATCAAGATCTATCTTCGATTACTACTCGAGGAAGAACAGCTGTAAAGTGGCTTTCCCCGAGGAGCTATTGCTCGGACCGTTGTTGAATCGAAGTAAATACAAGTTGCTGGGGTTGATTACCCACAGGGGTAGTCATGATAGTGGACATTATGAGTGTTATAGACGTCAAAATTCGCATCCGCCACCTTATTCGACCCCTATGACGATGATGATGCCTAAGGGTGAAGTTGGAACACCCGTGACACCAGTTACGCCGGCAACTTTGGAGACACCGGCTTCACAAATACAGACACAGACACCAACGACGCCGACGCCGACGCCCGGGACGAGTCAGCTTAATTTAGGAGAGAAGACTGGGGAAAGTAGTAATGGAAACTCTACTCCCGCCACTTCTGCCACTGTCTCGGCTTCGGCTTCAGTTTTACAGTTGGACGAGAAGAAGAAGGTTGTTACGACCGGGAGTGCGCTTCCAACGAGTAGTGAAAAGGTTGTGGCTACGGCTGCGGGGAAGGCATCAAAGGTCGATACCCTCTCGTTGAAGAGCTTTCCATCGAAAGGAAAGAAAGCGAAGGGGGTTGATAGCCGATGGTGGAGGATCAGTGACGATTCTGTGAAGGAGGTTAAGACGAATGATGTATTGGGGCTACAGAAGGAGGTATATTTGTTGTTTTATGAGAAGGTTCATCCGGAGAGGTGAATACTTTCTTCATTCTCTTCTTCTTCTTATTCTTCTCTTACTTCTTCTTCTTCTTCTTCTTTTACTTCTTCCTTATGAATATTATTGTTCCCTTCTTTCAAAACACCTTCGCGCTTTCCTTTATTTCCTTTCTCTTTTACACACTTTCATCTTTCATTTCGAGCGGGTGTGCGTTAGATGCGAGGTTTATGTATGAAAATGGGGACGATCGATAGATGATAGATACGCTTTACTTCTTTTCTTTGTCCATTTTTTCCTCCGTTCTTTTCTCCCTATTCTTCTTATTGTTGTTCGAGAGATGGATTTGACTTGCATGGGGATGTTTATACTTTTTTCTTTCACTTTTTACTTTTAGATGCTAGACGGCATGGTGGTGGGATGTATGCATGTATGTACGATAGTTGCTACTTAGCGTACTAACTATAGCTTTGTAGCTGGTAGCTTCGAATACCATGTTTCGAGGCTACTTTAGCTAGGCGTTTGAGCAATATGATGGCCTCGTTTATAGGCCGACTTAAGAAGCATCTAGATAGCTTCTCAAGTACTTGCAATCGATCCTTAAATTTATAGACAATTAATTGCATGGTAATAAAGGCTGAGGTATATTAAGATATAGATATCGATAGAATGTTATGTGGCAGATTATATAAGCTGAGCCACAGCTTGGTGAGTACGAATCCCGGCCAGGCGAGGTTCCGAACTGGGGCTCCGGACCCGGCGGGCGGCGGCGTTTCTATCATGCGACTGGACTGGGACTCCGAAGATTACCGATCTCATCCCATATCTACGATACTGGGGGGAGGGTTGGCCTGTGATACTCGAGTAGCTGTAGCTCTGGAGTAGTACCTTGCATTGCTCTGGGGAATTAATAGTAGCTCGGGGAGGGAAGGATAGTTGTGTGTGACGTAATAGAGCATCCTCAGTTAATTTCTCTGAACGGCGTCATTGCATTGAAAAAAGGAACGAACAAATGAATGAACGGACTACCGCTGACCGCAGGCCGGAAATTGCAAGAGCAAAAGAAGCTCGTCTATATTTGGTATATATAGCCCTTGTTGCCATCTCAATTTTTTGATTTATTCTTTGTTAAAATAATTAATATTATTGGCGACGTGGATAACTAGTCCGTCTCCTTCGATATATTTTTTTAATTCCGTCAAGATAAATTAGTATTTCTTCGATCTTGATTTCCCCACAAGATTTGCAGGAGGAACACACAGCTAAGACCCAAGACTCTGGACACCGGACCCAAGACCCCGACCCAAGCTTGCAATTGGACTATACCTGCTTGCCTGTCGCCAGCTAACGACACACCCACCCACCCACAACGACGTCCACATAACAACGACATTGCATCCGCACGATCATATTATTCCTTCATTGTAAGCTTATAAGCCCCCGGTACCCCCCTTTTTTAAAAAAAATTTATCAGGTAGCTCCAGGTATTAGCCTAAGATACTCAACTTCAGTACTTTACTCCTAATTAACCACACCTCGCTGACTTCGACATTACATTCCTTTAGCAAGTACTTTGTTTGTTAGGTCGTACTCGGTACTAGTCTGTATAGTATCAAGCATAAGGATCTGATTCAGTACCCACCGATACCGCACATATACTTCATTTTAGTTGTCGACGGTTACGTACACCAGCCGAGGCCCTTCGATCGCCTTTGAGAGCCTCAGCTGTAGTCAAGCGACATCCAGCGAGAGAGTTGATCCCCGTTGTCTCCACGCTTTGTTCCTATTCATATCGATATTTACCCTCATTCATTTCCCCCCACTACCACCACTACCACCACCACCACACTCCACTAACACCACCTCCACCGCTACCATGGCTGCGTTAACTGGTATATTCCCTCTCTCTCTTTCTTAAAACCCTCTTCCGTTCCTCATCGTCGCCCTTCTCTTCCAACTTTATAATCACATCTACGACTCCCACCCGACAAATTCTCTCCGTCATCAACTACTACACACTTGAGTTTTCTTTGACGGTTTCACTTACAATGGGTCGTAAAACAGGGTCTGCGAAGAGCACGTGGGCTTCGTTTTTGAAGGTATATTCACCTTTCCCCTTTTCTCTAGATTTGGTTTCTTTTTCTTCTGCTTTTTTTATTTAAGCAATACGGACACAAGACTAATTTTCATTTTGATTCCAGAGCATTGCGAGGTAAAATTCCATTGTCGCGTGCAGGTTAAATCGTTATTATAATTAATACTTTGTGGTGTAGCTTCAATGGCGATTTGGCATCTATGACCGCTCCCGTAAGCATCACGATCCCAATTTCCTCTTTTAACCTACCTTTCTTTTCAAAAAAACCAACTAACTTTTTTTCTCTTCTCTTCCCGGTAGCCGTTCATTCTGAGTAAAACGAGCTTGGTCGAGTACAGCGCATATTGGGTACGCTTTCCCGGTCGCCTTGGAGCCGAACATAGCCTCTTCCTCCAACCCCCCTCCACCCTTCCCCACACACATACGCCGGGATTAATTACTAATTACATTTTTTATTTTCTTTTTTCTCTTGGTTACTGGTAGACGGAACACCCAAAGCTCTTTGTCGCGCCGGCTAAAGAGCAGGATCCGGAAAAACGGGCGCTGCTTGTGTTGAAGTGGTTCTTGTCGACGTTGAAGCAACAGTATAGTTCCAGAAGTGAGAAGCTGTTAGTAAAACCCCATCCTCGCTTTTCTCTTTTTTCTTCTTCTTCTTCTCCTGTGTGAGATAGTGTTGGATGTCATTATTTACGAGGAGTAATTGCGTAGTGGATCCGAGAAGAAACCGCTAAATCCCTTCCTTGGAGAGCTCTTCCTTGGACACTGGGAGGACGAGGAAGTTGGAAGAACGGAATTGATCTCTGAACAAGTCAGCCATCATCCACCTGTTACGGCTTATTCGATATTCAACGAGAAGCATGGGGTTAAGCTACAAGGTTACAATGGACAAAAGGCTGGGTTTGCGTCGATGACCATCAATGTGAAGCAAGTTGGTATTGCAAGATTGAGGCTTGAAAAATGGGATGAGGAGTGTATGTTTTCACCCCTTTGTACTTTTCCTATCACTATAATGGTATTATTGGGGATATGCTGATGATTGTTTGAGAATAGATTTGATTACTCTTCCGGCGTTACATATTGAAGGACTTGTTTACGGGTCACCTTTTGTGGAATTAGAGAAGTCGACGATTATTCAGTCGAGTTCTGGATTCTTTGCGAAGATTGATTATGCTGGAAAGGGATGGGTTGGAGGCAAGTCGAATTCGGTCTCTGCGGAGCTGTATGACAATAAGACTGGAAAGTTGCTTTATACTATCTCCGGGCAGTGGACGAAGGAATTGGTCGTCAAGAAGGCGAAGACTGAGGTTGGTTGCTTTATATACATACATTTATTTTTTATATTATTTTGGAGAAATACTAATTTTTGGGTGGGTCTAACTAGATTGAGCGGTTTGAGCACGGAGAAAAGAATCCCACAACAGGGTTGGCGATCAAGCCTATCGGAGAGCAAGATCCCTTGGAAAGTAGACGCGCTTGGGCGAAGGTTGGAGCGGCGATTGACAAGGGAGATTACGACGAGACCGGTATCGAAAAGTCCAAGATTGAAAACGCACAGCGAGATCTCAGGAAGAAGGAGAAAGAGGAAGGCACCACATGGGAGAGGAGATACTTTACCGCAGTCGACAAGATAGATGAGGTTGATGCGCTTGTCGAGCGAGCCGGGAAGTTCATGAAGGGGGTGTTGGGACTTACACCAATTTCTATGGATGAACCGGCGAAGACCAATGGAGTTTGGGTGTTTGATACAAAGAAGTATGAGGATGTAGTGAGTGGACGGAAGGCGGAGGAGGTTAGGAGGGCTGGAGAGACTGTTTTGGAGGCTACGGAACATGCGACTGGGACTGTAGAGGCACAACCTTTGGTTGATCGCGAGTAATTACGCACATAATATGGGAATGAGGGGAGGAGGATGAAGGGGTCTTCGGAGTCGATAGATTGTTGTCTATTGTGCTTTTCTTCTTCTTCTCTTTCTTCTTCTCGTTTCTCTGCAGGTCCTTTTAGTTTTTCCAGTTGTATTATGCACTTTACATTCGTACTGCATTTTATTTCCTTTTATTCCAACTGTCTGGTTTTTTTTGTTTTGTGGTATGAAAAGTTGAGGGGGTGGTGTTAGGACGTATGATGGATGCATCGGTGGTGTATTGGAGGGGTAATGATATTCTAGTGATGCCATTGTCTCTTTCCCTATTTGTGTATTTATGTACTTATGTATGTAGGTGGTATACGTGATAATGCGTCTGCATTAGAATATAGTCTGTTATATTCCGCATCGATATGGGTATCACGTCCTCGGGTGAATTGTGATATACACGATATCGTTGTAGTATGTAGACAAGGGTGTTTTCGTCAACGATATACACTCATAACATACTATTACTTTTACTGTACACTTCGCTGGCATTGGCAGATGCATCGTCGGGATAAAATAAATATACTTCAATAGTATACGTATGAGATGGAATATGATAGAAGGCGTCGGAATTCACGCATGTATGTCGTTGGAATTACTTGCATTTGCCCCCTCTTTTTATATACATACTTACATACATACGGGCATTTTATTAAGGAAGTAGTAAGGTTATGTGGCCATCGTTTAGCTGGCCGTGCATGGACTTACTTAGCTTAGTTCGGAGGGGGTGGAGGATGATGAAATGGCTGCTGCGGCTGTTGTCCTATCGGTGGGCTGTCCGATGTCATGCTGCCCTTTTTTTTTTTTTTTTACTTGAAGGAGGGGGGGAGTAGAAGGGATGGGGATGGGTTGATGGGTTGATGGGAGGGGAGGGGAAGAGTTGCAATTGCCCCTCACCGCTCAACGAATTCCTAAAAGCCTCATTTTTTGGTGGTTTTTATGACCGTTTTGTAGCTGGGCGTTGGAGGGGTGAGTGAGGGGAATACTCTATCACCATAGCTTCCGGGTTGTAACTCGGGAAGGCAAGGGATAATGATGGATATAAAGTATATAAGGGAGGCCAATTGACCCGGTTGCTAGACGGGAAGTTTTTTTTTTCGGACTTTTGAATTTAGGATTTATTTAAAATTTTCTAAGGTAATTGAGGGTAATACTCAGTAGCTCAGGGACCTCGCTAAGATTTTTTGGTTTAGTCTCTGTAGACGTCATTGCTGGCCGTTGGGATAATCGATAGCCAACTAAGAAGCTACCTGTTAGCTCCGCTTCACCTTCTTATACCTCTCTTCTCTCTTTTCTCTCTTCTATTGTTTCTCTTTCGCTTCTTATTCTTCTCTTTTTTTTGCATCTTACTACTGGACATCATATCATCTTCTCGAGATTTACCTTGAGGCATTCAATTGGTCGTGTAGCTTTACTTGGACGGCATCTTTTACTGTTCAAAATGACGGTTCAGATTATACCTACCACTCCGTTTCTTGACCAGAAGCCTGGAACGTATGTTATAACCCCTCCCTCCCTCCCCCACTAAGTACTTATCTTATCACCACATTTTTGTTTTCTAACCACCACCACTTTCCATATCTTTTATGGTAAAATAAAAACCAATAGTTCCGGTCTCCGTAAAAAAGTCAAAGTCTTCCAACAACTAAACTACACCGAAAACTTCATCGTCTCAATCCTACTCTCCATCCCCGAAGGGGCACAAGACGCGTTCCTAGTCGTCGGTGGAGACGGAAGATACTACAATGATGTTGCGATTCAAAAGATCGCACGTATCGCGCCGGCCTACGGGGTCAAGAAGCTTTTGATCGGAAGGAATGGGATTTTGAGTACACCTGCTGCTAGTAATGTTATCAGGAAGAGGAAGGCTACCGGAGGGATTTTGTTGACTGCTTCGCATAATCCTGGTGGACCCGAGGAGGATTTTGGGATTAAATATAATTTGGCGAATGGAGGGCCGGCGCCGGAGGGGGTTACTAATGAGATTTTTAAGAGGAGTAAGGAGATTGCGGAGTATAAGGTTGATACTAGGGTTGAGGAGGTATGCTTGTTCTTTTTTACTTTCTTTTTTCTTTCTTTTGGTTTTTGGGGACTAATTGGTTGGGTAGATTGATCTGTCTACAATCGGAACGGCTACATATGGAGACTTGGAGGTGGAGATTGTAGATGGAGTCCAGGATTACGTGGACATGTTGAAGGAGATCTTTGATTTCGATCTCATTCGCAGCTTCTTGAAGAAGAACCCGGACTTCAAGGTTCTCTTTGACGCTCTGCATGCCGTTACAGGTCCATACGCCGTCCGTATCTTCGTGGAAGAATTGGGACTTCCGGCTTCCTCTGTCATCAATTCCGTCCCTCTACCGGACTTTGGTGGTGGACACCCGGATCCTAACCTTACCTATGCGCATGAACTTGTGGAGAAGGTTGATGCGAATGTTATCCCGTTCGGAGCGGCTAGTGATGGTGATGGAGATAGGAATATGATTTATGGAGCTAAGGCTTTCGTCAGCCCTGGAGACAGTCTTGCGATTATTGCGCATCATGCGGAGTTGATTCCGTATTTTAAGAAGCAAGGAGTGTTTGGGTTGGCGAGGAGTATGCCTACCTCTGGGGCTGTGGATTTGGTGGCGAAGAAGAAGGGGTTGGAGAGTTATGAGGTTCCTACTGGTAATTTTTTCTTTCTCTCTCCTCTTTTTAATATTTTGATTATTTACTAGGGTGGATTGCTAACTGAGGTGGGATTTGTTTTAGGATGGAAGTTCTTCTGTGCGCTGTTCGATGCTGATAAGCTTTCGATCTGTGGTGAGGAGAGCTTTGGAACAGGATCGAACCATATCCGTGAGAAGGATGGACTTTGGGCGGTTACGGCATGGTTGAACATCATTGCCGGAGTCTCTGAAGAAAATGGTGTCACAGCGAGCATTTCATCGATTCAGAATGATTTCTGGAGAACATACGGACGTACGTTCTTTACACGATATGATTATGAGAATGTATCGTCGGATGGAGCGCAGAAGGTTATCGATGAGTTGAAAGGGTTGATCGCCGGGTCGAATGGGGAGTTTGTGGGTGCTAGCATCGGAGAAGGAAGTCAAGTTGTTGAGGCGGATGATTTTAGTTATGAGGATTTGGATGGTAGTATTAGTAAGAACCAGGGATTGTATGTGAAGACCAGTGATGGGGCGAGGTTTGTGGTTCGACTCAGTGGGACTGGAAGTTCGGGGGCGACTATTAGGTTGTATGTGGAGAAGTATAGTGATGTGAGTATTTTTCTTTCAACCCCCTTCACTTCCTAGTGGAGTGTATATGGTGATGATGATGCTAACAATGTGGGTGATCTATATAGGCTCCCGAGACATATGAATTGGATGCGCAGGAATATTTGAGTGAGAGTATTGGGAATGCGATCAAGTTATTGAAGTTGGAGGAGTATACCGGAAGGGCGAAGCCGGATGTTATCACCTAATTTCCATTATCGATTGGGGCTGATTCGCACTGTTTTTGTTACGTTCTTTGTTGGGGGGCATTATTGATTATGAGCATTGAAGCTATTACATAAGGAAGTAAAGATAGCTATGGAGATACGAAAAAGTGAATGAATTAACGTTTCCGTTCTTTTTCCCATACCAAGATACATTCATACATACAGCGCGCATATAGAGATATACTTGAATGTAGAAGGAACAACCGGATAGATCCGTGGAATGGATAATATGATTAGAAAGGACAAGGCAGGATGAGACGAAGGGCATGCATATATTACATGCAATGCACGGTGACAACGACCAGCTAACTACCCGACCGTTCTGGCCAATTATGGGGATGTGAACATACAGGGGGGGTGTATTTGCTCGGAGTAGAATTGGTTAGCCAGGGGGGAAGTTTTATATTTACATATGTAGTATTCGTCATGGAACTCTTTTTATTTTATTTTTATTTTCCTCTTTCTCTTTCCTCTTCTCTCTCTTTCTTCTGTCTTTTTTTTTCTTTCGAAGTTAAGTTTTCTTGTTCTTGGTATCTCATGTTTTTGAGTGTGCTATTTTGGTACTCTTTTATAGACGAGATATAATACCGAGATTGAGTTTAGTTCGATCGAGTGGATTATACCTTATATTACATACGCGTACGCTGGTCGGATCCTGGAACATCATAATATTTTATCTTTATCTTACTTTATTTTTTTTTTAACAAATTGGATTTTCTAGATCTGATAGTATCATACGTACTTACTGCATACTATACTTACTTTTATATTCAGTGAGTGAGTGGGTATATTTGTATATCTCGAGCTCTGGGCACCTGATCGAATCACCGTCGTTTATCCATTGTTCGTCGCCACTCTCCAATAGTAGAGGCTCTCGTGGTCGTCCGACTTCGTTTCCCCTCTCCCACTTTTCTCTTTCTCTTTCTCTTTCTTTCCTCTTTTACTCTTCTTCTTATTATTATTCTTTTTATTCTTGCAGCGATCTTGATCTCTTGGGATATATACATCGTCAGACTTCCTTTTATTATTATTATCGTACTCTGTCGACAGATAGTGCCTGATATAGGACAGGAAGTGAGTGGTTGGTCGCCTCGCCTGGTCTTCTCGGACGAGAACAGTCGGACACACACGACAACAGGCTAGCTGCCCAGGTTACTTAGCTAGCTCAAACAACCTAAGTTTCCCTTAGTTACCTTTCATCATCAACCACCGCCCCCAGCTTAGAGCTAAACCAACTTAAACCCTCCCATCATCCATCCATCATACCTCACCGGAATCATCACCGGCACCGGCATCATCATCATAACCATCACCACCGGAGCGGAAAGGGGGGCCGGTCGAGTTCCATGCAACTCACCATTTTATACGCTCATACGGGCGACGCTTATTCCGTAGACCCCAACCTTTTTAATACGTTTGTCTCTCTCTCTCTCTCTCTCTTCTTTCTTTTCTTGTCCTTTCTTTCTTTCTTTTTTTTCTGTATTTCGGTTTTGCTTGGGGATGGCCGCTTATCGCGATAACGGGGTTCTTTTGCTAACGAACCATTATGATTGTCATGCAGTGTCGACGAGCTCAAAACATGGGTCGCGGAACAGTTCAAGGTTCCTATTTCGAACCAGATTTTGACGACTATTAAGGGTGGTTTGGTTAAGCAGGCGAATTTGGTTACTGAGGTTTGTACTCTTGCTCGTTTTCTAATCCATAAGCTAGTATATTCATCCTGGGTTTGGATGTAACTGACAACCTTCTTATAGAAAGAGCTATTCCTATACTCCCGCCAATACATCACCCCATCATCATCCACACCGCCGCCTACATTCCCAATCCCGACATTAAGTAAACCATCACCACCCCCCGACCGTTTAGAATCCCAATCGGATATATCATCCTGGCGCACTCTCTTCGCGAATAGGTTATCGTGGTCCAACTCTATCCTCTCGCATGCCAATACCCTTGCCGCATCTATCGAATCTACGACTTCTTCTATAGCAGTGATCGATCGGTCGTTATCGGCTGCGACGACGAATCTTGATAGTCATGTTAAGAATTCGGGGCAAAAGTACGATGAGTTGAAAACTTGGGCGTTTGAGGTGTTGGAGTCTCAGGAGAAGTTGTTGAGAAACTGGGAAGGTGGGGTTGAGAAGTTGGGGAGGATACCGATACATAAGGAGGTTGGGAAGATTGTTGCTGCTGAGAATGTTAAGAGTGGGAGGTCGCCTGCCGGTGGTGGTGGTGCTGCTGCTGCTGCTGTTGCTGGTGGGAAGGCGACGGGGACGTTGATTGATATTGTTTCCTTATCGGATGTTAGGAATGCGGCGAAGGAGTTGGAGGTTACTGCTCGAGAGTTTGGGATGAAAGTTCAGGGATTGGGGAATACGTTGGAGAGTATTAAACAACAGTCGTCATCTCTGACAACGGACATTCATCGCGGATGGAAGAAGAACGAAGACTCAAATTCTGCAGAGGCGGAAGGGTTACTCGCCGATATCCGGGTGTTGGTTCAAAAGATCCAGCAGGATACAGAACACATCGGAACATATGCGAACAACTCGAAGAGTATTTCGTCGATTTCCAAGATAGCGCATACGCATACGAAGGATTATTTACCGGCTTTGATACAATATACTTCCGAATTGGGAGGGATAGTACAGGCTTGCATTCAACGTAAGAATGTGGCGGCTGGTTTTACGGTACAGAGTTTGCAAGCGATTTCGAGGATCGAGCAGAGGCTTTATACGGAGTTGACCAGTGTGGTTAAGAAGTGTGAGGGGGAGTATGAGGAGAGGAGTGAAAGGGGGTATGGAGTGCTGGTGTTGGTTGCGCGGTTACCCGGCATTTATTCAAGTTTTTTGGTGGAGTGTGTTAGGAGGAGGGAGTGGGGGGAGAAGATGGGACAGGACGGGGCGAAGCTGGCGGAGGAGCTGGCGGGGTTAAAGGAGGAAGAGGAGAAAAGAAGGAGGAAATGGTGGAGGAGTGCTACTTCTGGTGGGGAGGTTGTGGTTTCGTTTCTACCGCAGCAGGAGGAAACAGGTGGTGGGGGGATTAATGTCGAAGTCAACTTTTCGGCGGAAACGGCCGGTTGGCCTGTTGTGGGGAGAGCGGATTTGGATGTTCTGCTTAATGCGCTTAAGGGGGTTGAAGGAGTTGAAGGGTTGGTGAGGGAGCTTGCGCAGGGGATTATTGATCTTGATAAACCGACTAGGAGGCAGAGGAAGGCTACTACTCCGGCGCTTGCGACGAGGGCGTTTAAGATGGGGAGTATCCATGAGGCTGCTATGGCTAGTTCGTCGTTTTTGAGCACCGGGGTCGGTGGAGACGATGGGACTATCAAGAGGCTTAGGGAGGATAGAGCGCGGTTGGAGGAGAGAGCTAGAATGTATGAAAGTCGGGTTAGGAAGTTGGAGGATCTGTTACATCGACAACGACCGGGCAATGCGGCTGGGGTGCAGTTTGGGACTTCGAATCTTGGAAATGGGAGTGCTGCTGCCGCCGGTGGTGCTATAGGTGTTGGGAGTCCACTTGCTGCTGAGCCGATGTCGAGGAATAGTTCGCAAGGGACGATTATTACGCCTATGAATGGGGTCGGAGTTGGGGTTACTAATCCCAATCGACGGATATCTATCACTGAGGATCCGTCGAAGGCTCTTACGATGAGGATTGTTACGCTGGAAAACGATCTGGAGAAGGAAAAGGAGGCACGGCAGAAACTTGAAGCTGAAGCTTTGAAGAAATTTGAAGATGAGAAGAAAGGGTGGAATGAACGAATGATGGAGGTTGATTCTACGAAAAAGGATTTGTTGGCGAATATTCAGGCTCAGCAGCAGGAGTTTAATACCGAGAGAAAGGAATTGCAGGATAAGATCATGGAGGTTGAGGAACAGTTGGAAGGGTGGAAGGCGAGGGTTGAAGAGGTTTACGCGGAGATGGATAGGATGGAGGAGAGTAAAGCGCTTGAAGCTGCTAGGAATAGTGGACTGGGGAAGGAGGTTGAGGAAATGCAGAGGGAGATTGAAGATTATAGGTTGATGTTGGAGGAACATGAAGGGAAGATGGAGGTTATGATTAGGGATACTGAGAAGATGAGGGTGGAAGCTGAGAAGGCTGCTGAAGAAGCTAAGAAGGAGTTGGGAGTTGTGAAGTTGGAGGATGAGAAGAAAAAAGTTATGATTGAAGGATGGGAGAAGAGGGCTTTGGAAGAAGGGGAGAAGCATAGTCTTGCTGTTGTTGATTTGGAAAGGAAGATTCATGCGCTCGAGGCGGCGGCCAAAGTCAAAGATGCGGAGAACAAACGGCTCACGACGAAAGTTGAAAAGGCGACGAAGGAACTGGATATTTTTAGGAGCAAAGTTACCGGTGTCCTGGTACAGCCTATTCACGAATCTCATCACGAACTTACGCGAACACAGATACTTGACGTCGAGGAACTTACGGCACGATTGGAGAACTTTGTGGGAGAATTACGACAAGAGATCGCACAAGGGGAAACTCAGATTAAAACCTTGAAGGATGGAAACCGTGCTTTACAGAGCAGATTCGAATCGAGGACCGTTAAGACGAAAGATCTGACCCAGAAGTTGTATACGCACAATGCAAGATCTGGGCAGTTACTCGAGTCCCTGGGATTTAAAGTCATCGTCGACGAAGACGGAGCCACACAGATCGTACGAATTTCCCGAGGAAACGCAGATGGAGATCAAATGGCCAAGAGCATCAGCATGTCAACAAGTCTACCGCCCCTACCGCGAGATTTTGCAACCAAGGGAGATGTTGAGCTTCTTTATTGGATGGACAACCAAGATTCGGAAGCCGAGAGCGAAAAGTATGCGACGTTCTTAAGTTCGATTGGAACTTTTGATCTGGATGCCTTTGGCGATGCGGTTACCAAACGGGTGAAAGAGGCGGAACATATGGCCCGAAAATGGCAGAAGCAGTGTCGTGACTATCGGGATAAATACCATAGAGCGGCAGCGGATGCCAGCGAGAAGATTGCATATAAGAGTTTCAAGGAAGGGGATTTGGCATTGTTTTTACCGACTAGGAATCAGGTTACACGACCTTGGGCGGCTTTTAATGTTGGTGCTCCGCATTATTTCTTGAGGGAAGTGGAGGGACATAGATTGAAGGCGAGGGATTGGTTGTTGGCTAGAATTTCGAGAGTTGAGCAGAGGGTTGTGGATTTGAAGAGTGGTGGTGGAGGAGCTGGAAGTACGGTTGCTACATTGGGAGATAAGGGGTCTAGTGTTAGTAGTGACACTGGAGTTGAGACTGTGGATGAAGATAATCCGTTTCAACTCAGTGATGGGCTTAGGTGGTATTTATTGGATGCAGTCGAGGAAGGGAAGTTGGGAGCGCCGAGTACACCGGGATTGGGGAGTAGTACTGTTGCTGCGGCGAATGTGGATGCTAAAGGGAGTACGTCTATTCGATTGACGACGGCGAAGAAGACATTGGTGGGGAAGGATAGTAGTACTGCGTTAGGGGTTAGGAAGACTTTGACGAAGAGTTTGGCGCAGAGTGGAGGGCCTGTTTTGGGTGGTGGGGAGACTAGTAGTATCAGGAGCAGGGAGAGTAGGGAGAGTGGGAGGAAAGGGAGTGAGGGGAGTAGTCATGTTAGGCCGATTATTAGTGCTGGTAGTGGAGGGGTTGGGGGGAGTGCGGTTGAGGATGAGGGGAGACCGGGGACGGGGTCTTGAAGGGCCCTTTGTTCTTTTGGAGTTCTTCGATTTGGTCTCTTTCTTTCTTTCTTTCTTTCTTCCTTTCTTTCCTTTTATTTTTTTTATCTAGTTAGTCATGATATGGTTCGAGGGAAAGCGCTGGCGTATATTTTATATGTTTATGTTTTTGACTCTTTTTGATTTTTTTTTGGATGGAATGGGGATACCATATTCTTGTGCTTTTTTTTTAGCTTTTTTTTTCAAAGGGTTTTTTCTATACATCGAATTTGGCAGTTTTTGAATTTATGTTGCTTTCGACTTTCTTCGTCTTTGGTTTTTTTTTATTTATTTTTTTTACTACATAGCTGGACGTTGTGGGTTCTTCTTCTTCTTCTTCTTCTTTTTCTTTAATTAGCACAGCATATGGTAGTCCTTTATCTTTTACTGTGTATATTTTGGTTTTAGTTTATGAGGTGATATCGATAGTTAGGGAAATATATAGATTGTTATGACCAGTTTCATTATGTTCTACGTATATTTTGGATTTTGGATTTTACTCTCTTGATTTTTGGAGTATATTGGTACTAGTTAATGTGACATATGCATGATGTGAATAGATAGTCTCATCGATCATATATCATTATTCGGGGTACCGGGGTTTATTATGTTTCTAGATATATACTTATATATATTTGTATCGTACTTTTGTTGGATTTTGGAAGTATTTGGGGTACGAAATAATGCATACCAAGATAGGGTTCTCGAGCCGGTGTTAATTGTATACATAGTAAGCTAAGTAGGTAAATAACAAGTTGTCTACAGCGCTAGCTTTTTGCCAGTTATTACGTCGCTTGTTCTCTAATGGTTACTTACTAGTTTACTTGCTTACTAAGTTCAGTACTTGGTATCTATACAACTACCTACCTACCCTACCCCCGGGACTTTGACGATTGTTAACAGTACTTGTTGTTTGTACGTTGGTGGTCTGCATTGTTTGATTCTTGGGGGGTCGATCGATACCAACTTACGTTACTTGCTTATATATCGATGCGACAATGGGTTCTGAGATGAAGGGTGGAGTACAAGAGTTCCATCTGCGGGGGAATAAATTCTTGACTATTGATATACGACGGGTGGGTATCTCGCTGGTGGGGTTTGTGGTGTATAATCTGTGGAGAGGGGTTTCGATGGATGAGGGGTTGGCTTGTTTGGGATTGTTTTTGGGGGTGCATTGCGGGATGGTGGTTTATCTACGAGGCTGGGGAGATGTATGAGTGGTATGCATATACATATGGCTATTAGGTATGTGATCCTTACAAAAGGCTTTTAATTTTGGATTGGTTAAAAAGATTCTGATGGATGAGGTTAGGATGGGATGATGGATTCCTGTGTGCGAGCAGCTATCGCTTTTTGGTTTTCCCACTCTTTCTAGTATTCTGCTGCACTGTTCGGCTCGTCAGCGCGCTGCGGGATACACGCATGTGCTGTATGTGGGTTGTCGCAGTCGGGATAATTAATATACTAGTCGATGCAATGAGCTGAAGATCTTGATGACCGGCAACCGTAAGTACCCCGCGGATTCATATTTCTTTACCATCTAGAGACTACTAGTATTCTAATTTACTTACTCGCCCAGAAAAAGATCTGAAGACTAGTACTAAGAAATTTTAGTCAAAACCGAACCTTGCGATCATGACATCAGCTTATAGTCAGATTGCCCCCCCTTCCCCTCCTCCAACTGCAGAGCTCTATGTAGCTCCGGATCTTCCTGTCTAGATTTGGTTGAGCGTGAAAGTTCAACCCTAGACCTGTGTGCGGTTCGGACCGCCACCGCACACAGCAATATGCATCGTCGCACTACGGGTGTAGGGCTGAATGGTTGAAATGACCAATTAGCATCGGTGTACGATACCCTAGCTCGGTATTTTTCATGCTGATGTTGGCTTTTGTTGATCGGGGTTTTCTTTTCTTTTCTTTTTTTCTTTTTTATTTCTTTTTTATTTCTTTTTTATTTCGCCATAAGGTCTGGATATGGTGAAGACATGGTGTAAACGTGTGGTGTATTATATTATATAACATATTGGCGGGGTCTTGGATGATGGATCATGATGCATGATACTCAGCCCCTCTACCGAGAGGGGGGGGGTTATCCAATGATGTTAAGATGCCTTTGATCTTTTTTCTATTGTGGTGGTGTGATTTGGGGTGTGCACATGTGAGGGTAGCGGTTTATGGACGTAGACGTGTAAGATATGTGTATACAAGAGCCGGCTCGCGGGGAGGCAGCCAAGCAAAAGCGCGCATAGGAATAGCTGGAATCAATGCAAAAGATGAGATGTCGACATTAGAGGGTGTGGATTGCAAATGCATATTGATATCATGAGTTAAGTTGCGAATGCGATTGATGAGAGAGCTGGCTATAGAGGATCGGGATGCTCATTTGGGGATCAAAGCTGAGAAAGATGTATAGTGTATATGTATATTCTATGGAATGATTTGTCTATATAAAGTGTCCTTTCTTCCTGCTTGAATTCGAATTTATATCAAACCAGCATCGCTTTCAGAAATCAAGTAATCGACAGATAAAAAGAACACTCTTATATATCTAAACAATTATATATATTTTCAATTAGAAAATAACTACTTTATAGTTCGTATTCTGACTATATACCCTATTCCTACAAAGAGACCTTAATACTAATTTCTTCATTCATCCAACCACAGAACAAACCTTTCCCAAAATGTCCGGCCCAATCCACACCCTCCCCATTACAACCCAGCACAAAGTCAAGGTCACCCACTACGGAGAAGCCTGGACCCTCCCAAACCACGCCGAACTCGAAATCGTCATCGCAAATGACTTGGAAACAGCCACAATCGTCGCCATTGACAACGAGAAACTCGATGAGCCAATCGTCCTCGATAGGCTCATCACTGTCAATCCAGGGTTCGAATTTGTCTATGGAACCAAGAAGTCGAAGGGTTTGGTTTTGAGAGGCAGTGAGGTCTTGTTCTTTGAGGCTGAGGTGAAGATCGCCAGCCAATATGATGTTGGACTTGGTCCCGCGCCTAGCGGAGATGTTGGAGTTGAGAGGACGGGTAGGACTCCTGTTACCACGAGCATTAAGTGGGGACAGAATGGGGAGCAGGAGTTTAATAATGTTACTATTCATTTTAAGCCTGAGGGTAAAGAGTAGATTGGAGGGGTTTGGGGTAGTAGTGGGGAGGTTGGGAAGTTGGGGGTATATTGATGAAACAGTCAGCTTTGGTTAACAACTTACCTGGTTACCATCATTTTTTTTTGATCTTCGAAGCAAGTTTTGGGGATTTAATTCATCGATGGAATGTGTACATGGGAGTTCAAGCTTTACAATTCGATCGATGCGGATGTTGCAATAAAGATCCACCCTGTATACATTCGAATATATATATCCATACCCCCTTTTTGGAGTATTTAGATCCTTCATTGGTTTTATATATATTCTATTGACAGCAAATTCAAGTTGTTTACCTTCATTGATGGATCCTTAATATAGTGCATTCTTCCATGGATCTATGGTTAACGCTGCTTAGATGATTCTGTGCTTCTATATAATAACTTAAGCGGTCCCTAAATTATAAACATCCCTGGCTGTAGGACAATACATGCCACATGTACATATGTCCCCAATCACAAACAGACCTTTAAGTATATATGTATCTTAACTAGACTAGACTAGAAGCGGCTAGCATCGAGCACACCCGCAGCTCCGAAGATATATTAAGATACTGATTTGGCAAATGAAAGGCTGATATCGATATAAAATATTAACTGAACGATATTTACAAAGATATACACCTTGAGGCTATGAATAGTATATAATGTAGGATCATGAATTTCAAGTTCAGTCCGATATCCGTTAGGCAGCGTGATAGGTTGGGTCTCGTGACCAGTACATACACCTGCTATAGCGCTAGAAGTCTGACAGCAGATCTGGATCCACTTTGCCTTCGGAAATATTCTCGGATGGTTGGCAACACATGATACTTTGTGGTATTTTTCGGTACAGCACGAGCATATGATTCTTCCCCGGAATTAACTCTGACGTGATTAAACTTTAAATCTGCCATACGGTGTCACTTGGATCGGTGTTTTGCAGTGTCCACGCCTCGTTTCTTGTCTTCCGGTACTATCGCCTAATTAGCTGTCAATTTGACCAAACTGTTAACAGTAGGTAATCTGGGGAATGCCGGGTATATGAATCATAGCTCTAGCTAGTTGGTAGAAGCCTAGGTTTAAGGCGACTGATCCACCATGACTTCTCGAGTCCGACTGCACCATTAGCGCTAGCTACTAGTTTAGAAATCTAGCTAAGCTGTGCATTTTTGAGCAACTTGCCTCGCCGATGATTCTGTGAACTAAGTCTTAAGGCTGGTCCAAAAAAAAACCTGGGGCTGGCTCCGGCGCAGAAATGCTGTTCCAATTAGTCAGCTGGGGGCCTTTTCAGGCACCCGACTACCAAACATGCAACATTGCTTCGCCTCTACCCAAAATATCACCCAGTCAACACAAGGCCGTGGTAAAACAACGTCATGATTTTTCGTTCGCGGAAGCTTCATTCTAGCTGCACTTCTGGCATGCGCATGTAATTACTTTACTTATGTAATGGTGTGGTGATTCTCAGATTTGCTATATAAGCTCTCTATATTAGTACTTTGTAACCCTTTTCTATATTCTTAATTACTATCATACGTACCTTCGATCACAATCCACGACTTTTAAGGAACTCCAAAAATTCAATCCCGTCAGCTGGTTAAATTGCGCTATAAATATATATGACCAAAAAAACCTCTCATAGTACCCCAGACCCGCAAGATATATTCTCTACATTTTTCAATACTCCCGCTCAAGAACAACCCAATTCAACCCCCCACCAAATCCAAAACCTCTTTTCCATCCAACCACCCCAACCAAGAGTCCCCAAACAAAACTCCGTCAAAATGGCAATTTTGAGCCGTTTCTTCAATAGAATCAAGAGACAGACTAGATCATCCGATGAAAGGGATACATATACGGAAACCACAAATTCCACTACAAATGTTCCACATATAGTATTCCCCGAACCGGAGAAGAAACCAAAGACGACTGCGTCTCCGCCGAAGACCAATTATAATTCTACGAAACCCAAGTCTTCTGGTGGTGGGGGAAGAAGTGGTGGCGGTAGTAGCGGTGGAACCGACCCTTACAATACTCTGGCGGTGAACTCGATGTTAGCTACGAGCCTTAGTCCGGATAGTTCGTATAGTTATGGACATCATAATAATTCGAACAACCACTGCAGCAGTAGTTATTCGTATAGTAGTGGAGGTGGAGGAGGAGGAGGATCCTCTTATAGCTCTGGAGGCGATGGTGGGGGCAGCTCCAGCAGTGGTGGTGATGGGGGCGGGTCTAGTAGCTGTGGAGGGTTTTAATTGAGCTTTGTGGATTGTGTATAAATTATCATTAAGACTGTATTAAATTGTCTATGCTCGAGTTTGGAAGTACTACGACGGCCTTAGTTTGTTGACATCAGTTAATTTTAGAAACCTTTTGCAAGTTCTTTGTTATTGTTGAATTGTATATGTACTAGTTAGCAACATTATAATACACAGATTCATACTTTATTATCAAAGCCATCCTAGGCACATGCACGAGACCATCTAGTTATTACCCTACATTATCCTACGTTAGCTGAGAGTGAATAATTAACCCAATGATCTAAATTAAGAAGAAGTCTTGCCCAACTTAAAGACATCACTTAGTCGTAATTACTAATGTTAACATATTCTAGCTATGTTTTCTTAATTTAAAAAAAACGAAGTCCATGATAGAAATTCTTACGGCCCAGCTTCACCGTAATAGCTTTTATCTCGTAAACTTAATGCTGTCTGATTTCACTAATTTTAAACTCCTTAGACGAGTACAGCGCTGCAGCTAGGCACGTTTCCGGAGAGAAATGACACAGACTCATACCAGCTGTACCACAAAAAGTTAATTAAATAATACATATAATATTAATATAGCATATTGGATGTTAGGTGGAAATGCACAAGCGCTTATAACAAGCTCAGATCAAGGCTAATGCACGCGAAAGCTAAAGGTTATCTAGCTCAGTATGGTCTCCTAACTAGTTAAACATCACAAAGGGAGGTGTGCTAAGCTTGGTAGAGAGAAAAGGGGTTTAAACGGCCACACTGGCAGCTCCGTGGAAAAGGGTTGATTCAGAAAACATAGCCAATAAACCTAGTATTATAGTTTGAGAGGAATTGCGCTTTTCAACCTCAGGGCGAAGTCAAAAGTGTACAAAAGGTTCACAACTTGTGATGTCATATACCAATGTGACATGGTGTCGTACGATTTTTGGCCGTTCAGCCCAGTGCCCAATGCGGATATACAGGCCCTGCTCAGCCCCAAGACCTGGCTGCAGCAGCGTTGCAGCTTCTGCCCTACCAGGTCCTCATATTCTAGAACGAAAAAAAACACACTGCAACACCCTGGTTCTTTTGCGCATACTGCGAACAAGCGATAGCACTAGTTGCGAATTCAGAAACTCCAGGCACTGACACTCCTATTCAACTGTCAGCCGACACCTTAATTTTTCGCCTAAAGATTTACAAGGGCTGGGTAAGTTAATTTCGTTACTAGTTAGTTGGGCTGACTTTCGATTGACCTGTGAAGTGAAGCACGTGGTTGTCGCTTTGACTGTAACCGTTGATTCCATGTGGTTGTTTGGTTGTATTTATACCCCCCCTTCCTGGTCGTACTCGATTCTCCCTCGAATTCACGCAGCTCAATTGCCCATACTAGAGCTACATATCCATATCGCTTGTGTCGGTCTTTGATAAAGCCAGCATACTTAAATACTTATACTCCTCTTCCTCCTCTTCCTTGCAACATATCCAACAAACCTACATATACATCAAAGCGCCCGGCCAACTTCAATTGAGCAAGGACACTTGTACCTTTCGACTTTCTAAGCACACTCCAAGTCCCCCAATCAAACCACAACCCCCGTAATCCTTATACTTTCGAACCCTACCAGAAGCCTGCAAAGATGACTTTATTCGGCCTTTTCAAAAAGAAGGGAAAGGGCGAGGAAACCAACAGCTCCTCTGAAAAAGCCGAGAAGCTAAAGACCAAAATCAAATCCAACAATAAGTCAAATTCAAAGTCAAAGTCAAGCGGTTCTAGCGGTTCTGGATCGCCGGGATATCGTCAAGATAATACAAATACCCACGCCATGGATGCCGTGGCTCTCAATGCGATGTTGGCGACAAGCTTGAATGCTGATGCCAATCACGGAGACCGTCATCACCACAGTGATAACCACGGAGACCATCATCACCACAGTGATAATCACGGAGACCACCATCACCACAGTGATAATCACGGAGACAGTGGTCCTAGTTACGATAGTGGAAATCACCATGTGTCGACATCACAACACGATCATAGTGGCGATTCTGGATACACTGGCACTGGATACTCCGGTGGCGATGGTGGCTACTCCGGTGGTGATGGCGGATATTCTGGTGGAGATGGTGGTTACTCTGGTGGTGATGGTGGATATTCTGGCGGGGATGGTGGTGGGGGTGACGGAGGCTGCTCCGGTGGAGATGGGGGATGCTAATGCTGGTAGAGACTGTACTAGCGTGTAGTCAATTTTTGTCTCTATTTTGCAGTCAGGTTGCCATCTGAAGTTATATCATGGAATCTTCGTGTTTTATGGAGTTAGGTTGGAAATTTGGAAATTTGAAGTCATGGTTTACATGTAATGTTAAATATTAATATAAGTTCTGGGAGCGCTGGTGCACCACACAGAAATAGTATACCTAGATACCGATATTAGAACTCGTCGCTAAATTCACGAAGTTAAACTAGACCTAAGAGCTCATCTTTGTACTAAAATATACGTCTTTGTCAGTAACTACCTAATATATAATGTATTAACTGATAACATGCTACGTAAATAACGATATAACGTCCGCTGGCGTAAATGTATAGAGTATAGCTCGAGCTCCTAGAACCCATACCTAAGTATTCATGTACACAGATGAACAAATCTTAGAGTCTCAAAAACTCGATTCTTACGTTTGCAATTTGATCACAGAAACATTATGAACTCAGAAATCAAGTGCATTCGTCGCTGCTTTACCATGATATGTATATATATGAATGGGGGCGGGTCTCTGGCATTCTATTAATTTTAAATTTCGTCCGCATCTAGACCGCGAATGAGTCCGTGACCGTCCGCCAGGCTGTAACTTCCGAAGATGGTGCATGGCGTCAGAGGAGATCTATAACTATAATATCTAGCTGCTATTGATATCGATTTGTTCTCCAGGCTTGCAGGTACCTATTACTTGGCCTCTAGACTATTGGGAAGTCTTAGTTCTATTCTAGTTCCAGAATTCTATTCGAGAATACTCGACCACCAACTGGGAAGTCACTCGGATAGTGTGTTGCGAGGTGACACAGGCCGCTGATCCTGCCTGCCTAATGGATGATTAGCTTTGACCAGCTAGCCCTGGCTTTGGGCCGGCATTTCGAACTTCAACATTCATCCTTGCATTCCGATACACAAAAACGTCAACTGCCTACCACAAATGCCCTTCAATACAGACCAAGCTTTCTGCCCCGAATCACCATCCTGCGTAAGATGTATGAGTTTACGCACCGAGCTAACTTTTACAAGTACTTACATTTATAGATCTGACTTGAAGGCGAACTGCCAAGCACAGAGCCTCAACGGGGCCAAGTGTCAAAATCCAGATTTGCTAATCAGTGACCCTGCACGTCAGCCGCTCCTGAACTAATGGTGCATTTGTCAATTCGAGACATGCATGAGGAAATTGGGACCCATGCAGGGTGGACTGCAACCACAAGCACATCAGCAGCCCAGCCCGGACTTTGGCGCCTTTGAAGCCCTATGAGAATGCTTCGGCTGCAAATTTAGCAACCAAGATTAGAATTGAGATCTTCCTCATTTCCTTCGGCCCTGTCCGGATTGTGGGCTCCCGGTTCGTGGTTACACCAAACTCTTCTCTTTGATAATGTTGTCATCGTTAGTCGGTCGTCATCATATCAATGGGTATAATATGGAAAACGTTAAACTAGCACTGCACTGGAAAGCTGGTGTTCGGAAGCATACCCCTCTGAAGGAGCTCGAAAGGCGTGATAAGGCCGTGCTGCATTGGCTATCTTGGCTTCACTGAATTTGAAGCCAGTCCACTCAACAAGTTTCTCCTATCTAGAGACACCCCTTATTCCGTGATCCGAAATGGTCTTTATCACCACGTTGTGAATGGGATTGGATGGATACAGAGGAGAGGAGAATCCGGGTGACCAACCACCCGATGCATACTTTTTTTTCTTTCTTGCGAGCCCCTCCTGCGCTGTCTCTGCATGCATCAATGCACGGCTTAGCAATTGGGAACGACGTGCGATTCCATGGCTTCGTCTGATTTAAAAGTCCGACCAAGCACCCGAAACGCGTGCCCTCACTCTGCTGCGCTAGATTCCTTAATCTCTTTCTCTCTCATTACTGTTTGATTTGTTTTTGAAAGTTCTACAGTCGTTTCAGTAGTGATTCAAGCACCAACCTTGGAGTAACATCACATATTCAATACTGTCGTGGTGTCGACCGAAATCCAGGCCGTTGGAGCGTTATCTTGTACTCCCTCGAAACGACGGAACAGACGGATAGACGCATTCCGGGGCAAGCCTTTTAACCCTAGCTCCACAGCATCCATCTGTCGACGAAATCCTGCCCCACTCACCCAGCTCACTGTTCAATTTCGCGTACTGTATTGGTGGGGGGGAGCTGGTTTTAATTTTTCCCGTCACCCATCCAGAAGGTCGCTGAAGAAAAGAGAGCCGATCCGAGGCATTACACGCCCTAAACAGTCCGACGGGGACTCGATCTCGATCATTGATTTCAAAATTTTGCCATTTACCAGGCGAAGAAAATTGGTTTGTGCCCAGGGTCCTTTTTGGCTGTTGCAAGGAACTTTAAAAACTTTGTTTCCCAATACTGCAATTTCGCAGGGCATCTCAACATCGCCCTTGTGGGAAGTGAGTGCCCCCAAGTCGCAGGCACTCAATCTCTAACGATGGCAAGAAATGCCCACCCAAAGCCACGTCTCTGAACAGTCGTGCGAATAGGCATCCTGCCTTGGTGGGTAACTGAAGCTAGTCGACCGGTGCTTCCCTGCAGTCAGCCTCAGCAGCAAATAGAAAACAAAGAAATACGACTAACACCTTGACTAGAAAAGAAACGGAGGCCTGCATTTGCATGCCCTCTTGTGCTGCTATTCTTACCCTTCCTGATCAACCCCAGTTGCAGCTGCTCACATTCACGTTCATCTTCTGCTTGTCTGTCATTCGTTTTCGACGTTTCAGCCCCAATTTTTTCTCAGCCGTTTATGAGAGAGCGCCTGATAATACCCACTTCATTCATTCTTTCGTTAGACGCTCGAAAGGATACAATCTTCATTTAGGGAACTCTCCACATGAACAATATCATTCTCGAAGCATTCTTCTGAGTTTCCCGCTGGCATTTCTAAGCGTTATTCTTGTTTGTTTCCGGTCGCTCGTAAGACGTTTTGTTTTGTGCCTCCCCGTCGCAGCGCCAATCTTATCATCTCTTGTCATCGGGTTATGACAGTCTACCTCTGAACGAACCGAATCGCCTTACTCCTCATCTTTCTGAGCAATCGGATCCTTTTTTCCGTATTCGTACGACCAGGCAATAAGTTTACAACGGTAAATTCCCGGGATTATCTGATATCAGTGGTTGTCGCAAGCTTCATACGCCATTTCATTTGAACGAGTAATCCTACACGCATACGGCAGATATATTCGACAAGATGAAGCAGTAGCCGAAGTTGCTTAACCAGAACCATCTAAAACGAAACAAGACAGACCGTCGGCCTGCCAAAATTACAAGCGCGAGCCCCCTCGAAATAAAACATCCCGAAGAGACCAAAATCCCCTTTCCATTCAAGTGCTAGCTTGCCTCCAGCTCTTCTCGACCCGAGTATTTGAGTTGTGGTGCAGCCATGGCAGCCCTCACTCTGGAAGCTTTACCCAAAAATGTTGTTGTAGCTGACTCCGTGGGCAAAGTACGGCCAACGAGTTTTCTTCTCCGCTCAGCTTCTGAGCCTCATCTCAACTACATGTTTTCCAAGTATGATCATCTTGCTGGGAGGGATTCTCTAGAGTTCTCTCCCTCCTCGTCCAGGTCTCCGTCGCCAAACGGGAAAGATGAATCCATCTTTAGCAACCCTGAAGACGACAACTCTTCCACCTCAACGAACGGATCCAATACCCCAAAACGCCCTGCACCGGTCTTAGAACGTCGACATACTATCCAAAGGTCACCTGAACAATTGTCTTCGAGCTCTTCTAGCTTGCGGTCTTTAAAATCAAAGAAACGTCCACCAAGCGTCGCATTTATGAAGACGCCTGCCTCCGAGGGGCAGGTTATAACCTTGTCTTCCCAACGATCGAATTCTTCCCTCGCCTTATCATCTCTAGGTAATACTAGCCCAAAGAAGGACGAGCTCTGGATTGGCTTCAAGGGCTTGGAAAGTGATTATTCTAAGTATGTGGTCCATAATAACCTCACCTAGAATTTTGTTCACTACTAACAGTATTCAGATTCAACTGCAAATCAATCCTCCAGCGAACTCATGTCCTCCGTAGCTCGCTTATCCCTTTCATACGCAGGTTTGAGGGTTCGACCTCGACAGTTCCAATTGATATCCACGAACTCGACCGAAGGATACGAACATTGAACAAATGGTGGACCCTCCTGCTAGCATCGCTCCGCGCAAATGGTGCCAATATGATTCCAGTCCAAGACAAAACGACATACCTCGAGGGTGTTATTGGGATCGTATCCCGACCAGAATGGAGATGTGCACCCTCATCCCTTGCACCGCTTTCGACAAGGAATCCAAGCCCTTCTAATTCGTGTTCCTCCCTCTCATCCGCCTCGTCGACAATATCGTATGAAAAATCACTGCAGCACGACATGAAAGTGATGTATACAACATCTCTTCTCGACACTCTCGCCTATACACTGGAAGGAATGTCGGAGCAGCAGTGTGGTGGGCTCGTGCATTTTGCTGGAAAAGTCATCGCATATTCATTCTTCTTCGTTAATGGCGTTAGCGAAATGCTTATCGGTTTGCTCGGATTAAAGGCCCCGCAATTGCGCAAAGTTTTGAATGAATACGGTATCGGGCGTGGGATGGATCTTCAGGCAGTGGCTGAAGGTGTCATAGGCGAATTCCCGCAAGCAGTTCACTCTGTTGGTTTTACTACCATGGGAGCTGCTTTACCGCGACTCAAGAAACCAGGTAACTACATGGTTGCAACAAGTAATATTGACTGGAGGGGTCCCTGGATATCCCGATGGACAGGACGAGAGACGGATATGTTTTTTGTGTTCGCCAAACACTACCATCTCTTGCTGGCAGAATACTTGCCTGTTGGAATTTCCGCGACGGCGAGACTTTGTGCTCCTGGGTTTTTGTTTATTCAAGCTCATATACTTTCGCTCTTGGAGACCGCCATCCAGCGTGGACCACCACATCTCTCACAGTCAGAAATCAGCTTGGCCAACGTTACTTTCGACGATATCGTTGGTGCCCAGATGGCAAATGGGAATGGAAATACTATGCAACAGGCGCCATCCAAGACAATGTACCGCCCTTTAATGGACCAGAGGATTTTCTCGCTTCTAAAAGATATCACGATGGACAAAAATTTCAACGATGCCATGCGGGACGTGTTTGCAACAGCATTCGCCAACCTTCTCAAATCATTAGCAAAGAATACGAAAATTATCGAACATTCTTCATGTGTTTCACTCTGCGACCTCTTAGAAGAAGGTATCCCAGCGCTTTATCAGTTTGAACAACAATCCGAAACCGGCGCCAGGTACATCGACTGGCCATTCTGGATGGATGTTTCGAAGGAGATGATGAAAAACGAAAACAGCATGACCGAGCTTCGACTTTTCTCTTTCATCTACGTTATCTGGGATCTAATAGCGGAGGATTCTGAACGGAAAAAGTCGATTTGCTTAGATTGGATCCTCTCTGAGGGCATGTGGAACCGATTTTTCAGCCATTGGTGCCCGATGGTAAGAGCGTTTTATATGAGACTTTTGTGCTGGAGAGTGGGCAGACTTTCAGGTCAAGGATCGAATGGCGAGGCCAGTCTTACACCTGATGGTGTCGAAATCTCAACAAGCTCCTGCGACAGCGAAATTTTCGAGACGCTTTTGATGCGACTTCACGAATCCCATGCCTCATTCATGTTTCTACGTGATGAGTCGGACCGAAATTCGACCGTGAGGCCATCGATAGTGCCGTGCCCGCCTGCGCCTAATCGCAAACTTGCTATTATCCGCGTCGAGTCTCAGCCCGGATTTGGACGACCCTTTTCCCTCGACAAGATGATACCGGCACAGGCAGAACCTAAACCGGCGCCAGCACCAGCCAAGCCCGTTCAGACACAAGCGTCAAATGGAGAAAGTAATGGTGGGTCCATCATTAAGAGACGATGGTCACTCCTCAGAAATTTCCTAGGCGCAGCAGAGGCCCTGAAGACCGACTCATCCCCAACTCCACAACCGAAGGTTGCTCCAGTCGCCCCACAACCAGCATCGAAAGCAACAAACTCCGGATATGTGCCACCACGAACTTCGTCCGGAAAGGATGTCTGGCAAGGCACCAAAGTTCCATACGGCGCAACCTTTGCCAACAGAAATCGGATGCAATTCAAATTCGTCTTGGAATTCACCGACCGCCCACCACACGCAAGGAAAGGCAAGGGTAACAATCCTCCACGACTACCTCGTCTAACACAAGATTGGTTTGAATCCAACAATGAGAACAAGGAGCTTCCTCCTGTCGGTCCGCTCGCTCGTCTGCCAACTGGGGCAACGCCTCAGAACTGGAAGTACTTCGGTAGGGCGTTGTCAGAATGGACACTCGTTGTTGATGAAATCGATAACTTCGTGGAACGCCGGAAAAATGAGGGCATCAGGGATGTTCGGGACTCTGAAATTCCGATTTTGTCAGTAGACTCGCTTAGGAAAGGGTAATTGAGTATCATGGCTGGAGTAACAATTTTTATCATTAAGCGGCAGATCATGGAGGGCTGAAAGAAATACACCATATTTTTCCATTTGTTAAGGCGTTATTGGAGCACATCGATCTTACAGCTGGCTTGTTTTAGGGGACACCCCCTTCACGATAATATGCTTTCTTTTCGTACATATCCGAGACTTAATCGTGTTCACGGTTGGTCCTTTTTTTAATATCCATTTGTATATTTTCTACACTCAGCAAAAAAGCATGCATTGCTTCTGGAATAAATTGAATAATAGAGAATAATGACATCCTTTAAATTTTACCCCCAAGGAATAATATCAAGCTTCGTAATGGCTTCTTCCAAAAAAATTATATTGAGCTAGGAAGGATAAATCATAAATCCTACTATAACTTCCCATACATAGCACAAAGCGCCCAGCTAACTACCCACATCACAATTCCATCATGCCAATTCTTGATCCCATTAGTCTACCTACTGCTTCTCCTGAACCGTACCTTCTTCTCCCTCATTAACTAGCTCACCGACGACCAGATACTTCCCCACAAACTGATCAAACCAGCCTTGCAAAGTCTCCCTCTCATCCGCCGTCAAATCCTCCAAAGTATCCAACTTCTGATCCAGCGGTGTCAACAAACTCTGGTCCAAAACACCCTTAGCCAATCCTCTACTCGCATCTCTCCCTGCAAACAAACTATACGATGCACCTGGGCCGTAAAACATTGGCTTCGAAGATACATCGAATACTTTCCCCTTCAGCGCGAGTAAAATACGCGGATCATCCGTGCCGTTGTATTTTAATAAAGTGCGTGGGGTGTATGCCGTGTAAACTATAGGTTCCGGTGCGTCTATTGTGGGGATTGGAGAGGGCTTGAAACGCATGTAGATGAGATATGCGGCGAGAGAGAAGAGGAAGAGGTTTAGAGGTGTTACGAGGGGGATTCTGGAGGGGTGCATATCGTATTATTAGCTTCAAAGTCACTTCTAGATAACGTGGTTAAGGTTAGAGTAGAGCTTACGCCTCAGTAATAGCCGGAGGTTGGGCTTCCATGATCTTGGTGGTCTCGACGATGAGAGGACGGATTGGATCTGCCATTGTGGGGTAAGCTTTCTGTGATATATTTGAAGTATCTTGTCTTGATGAAGTTGGGGAAAGGTGTTTTTTTTTATATGGGGGGGTGGTACCTGAGTGGAAGTTGGCGGCGGCGCTGGAATGTTGGAAATTTTATACGGGTAAGCTGAGCTTCTGGTTAGTGCGGATGAGCCAAATGATGTAACCAGCCGATCTCGTCGTGGTGGTCGTGGGATCTCCCAACAATAACATCCGCCAATCTCCGCAACGCAGAAAATGCAACAAGGCTGGGATATTTGGGCCAGGAGCGAGAATAGCTAGTATGACATCCGATTGGAAAAACTACGGGGGACCTGGCGAATTCGCGAAACAGAGATGCCAAGAGATTTGAGTATTGCTATGGCTAGGTACCAGGTGTAATATTTCCCTTCATCAATCCCGTGCGAAACTCCGGTTCGCCCCATAGATCCAACTGTCAGGAATATATCCTTGAAAGTATAGTCGCAATAGGATGTGCATATGTATGAGGGAGCCATGCGGGTGACTATGCATGGCTGGGGAAAGCACCCCTTTCACAACGAGATCTTGGTCCCTCATGCCTCACGATCGATGCGAAAATAATATTCGCCTTTTGTTAGCTTAGTCTCGTATCCAGGTGGTGCTTGCGTTGTTGTTAGCTAAGTCTAGACGCCCGTTGGATTTTGGCAGTCTCGAAACTAGAACAGCCGAGACTGGGATTTTGGTTTTGGTGAACATGCCACCGATCGATGATCTTATGCATTGGAGATACATTGAACCCCTCACATCCCAATGGTCTCGTACATCCCAATAATTTACTGGCAATTATGCACTATGCAAGCCACAGATTGAAGCTGCACATCTTTGGCAACGTTTTCGCTGTTTCTTTGGTTGTTTTATATGTTTTGATTGGATAGGTTTTGTGGTGGAGGGCTAGGCAATTGGGGGTATGTACAATTCTAAAAGCTCGTCGCGCAGAAGCAGAACCAAAGTTGAACAGGTTGCGTTTTTGGGTGGAAAATCTGCGAAGTCTGGCTTGAGATAATGGAAAACCTGCCATATAAACTTGTGCATATAAAAGATGAAGCAGAAGGCCATTGCCATTCAGATCTCATGTTAACGTTTTGGTTCTACCTTAGCACCATCTATCACGATTCATGAGCTACTCTTGTATTACTTTACAACTCATCGAAGATAATCCGTTGATAAGACACTTTTCCAGTGGCAATACAGTTCTACAGCTAGAAACAATATGGGCAGAGTTGCGAAGTGTTACTATTGTCGGAGGGACAAAAAAAAGGTAAGTTACTATATACTTTGCTAATACTCAGGCTTACAAATGCGCGACAATTTGTTTCAATGGCCCTTAATTAAAATCGGGCAGTCACGTGCAACATAAGCTTCGGAGGCTAGGGACTAAGGAGAACCGTTCTTTAGCCGGAAAGAGCTAGCTCGGAGCAAAGGTAGCCATGGCCATGCATGGTATTACCACCAGCCAGTCTCGCAAGCCAGTTACTCCTGGTTAAATACACATACAGAATCCTAGAGTTATACGCTTAACTAAGGAACCACGAAGGCTAACTCAAAGATACCGTCTCGACATTAATATAGTGCACCTGGTCGCGTATAGAAGCCACTACCACATCTCAGCCAACAACCTCTGAAAGGTGCGATTGGTGCATAAAATTCCGTTTTCAATGCTCGAAACGTCATTTCGCAAATGAGGTCCAAAATCCAAATGATATTCCAAGTTCATCAGTTCCAAAGGTGACAATTAGACCCACCATAGAGATGTAAGTGTATATATCTGGGTCTACATATCCGGACGGCAGCGGTTTCCTAAGATCAGCTCAATTCAGTCAACGGTTTCTCTTCATACATATACATTTTTCGGGCCCTGCGGAGTCAAAAGTGCTAATTTTAGTGAAATGCAAGCGTCCGGGATATCGACTGCGTCTTCTACTTGCTCGGCGGAATACTTGATTATGAGAATCGCCCCGTCGAGGTTACAGCCATCTCTCACGGCAGCCTGGAGTATACGTATATTCCTGCATCTCACAACTCTGAGACTGCTGTTATCCCGCCTCAATGGGCCCAAGGAACAGACCTCCCACCATACCAGAAACCTGAAAATACCGACATTCTCTACCAAAACTTTGCAATATTCAACCAAGTTCGAAGCTACTGCAAAGAAAACCTCGAGGTCGAGCTGGAGAGACTCTTAAAAGAAGCAGATACCGCAGTCGATTACTTAACTAGAAAGAGTAAAATTTACGATGCTGCGGTATTGGTCAACTTGATGATGACACCAGCAAGCTCCTACACTACAAAGTCAATCAAGGAACGGCATCTTGATCGCCTGCGCATGAAGTCTCCATACATAGAAATTCTCATAGAGAACGAAAAGAATCGAGGCCAACTTTTATATTGTGTCAAATCTGCAACAATACCCTTGGCCGACTATCCAGCGATACCGATTCAGTGCAAGGATATCCAAAACGCTCAAAAAGTACTCCAGAAATTCATACAAGAACGCCTTCTCGGCACTCTCCCGCAGAATGAGGGCAAATCGGAGAACCACAGCTCAACAGTCTACCACAAAATAGATCCCCTGGAGCATCGTACTTTGTTCCGGTTAGATAGGGATAAAGCAGAGCTAGAGGGCTGGCCCCTCCAGTTCACCGGCATCACGACTATGGCAATGAAACGGAATTTACTTGGAGAAACGGGACTTCACTTAGCCAAGAAGTATGGCTTAAAGAATCTAGAGCTAAAAATCAGCAGCGATATCTATCATAGTATAAATTCCGATGAGATCACAACGGACTTTCGAGGCTGTGGTATCACCCTAGCCACAGTTCTTGCCGGCCGTTGGGACGAATACATTTCGGATCTTGAGCGTCAGGCCGAAGCTCTAACGGTCCGTGGATTCTTTTCACAGGCAGAAGTTCCCGGACTCGAGAAAATACAGAAGGCTTTTCCGGATCTTCATTCAAACCATTGGTCATACCTAGATTCATACCAGTTAGCGACATTGATGGGAAACTTGGATTTTATACGGCAAGTCGAGGCCTCTGCACCAGAGTTTTTTTCTCAAACGTATAATAGACACCATAAAAACGAGGACAACAGCGTCTACGGATACCTAAGTGGAATCTTTCCTGAACTCACGCTCGGAGAATACCACCCAGTAATCCTATCAGCATTAGCGGGGTACACCGAAATCACTCGATACCATCTGGGAAAGAACCCGGAACTATCCAAATTACAAACAAACTCCTGGGGCGGGAAACTCGGCGCATTGTTTCTTATCGCTTTCAAAAGAGGTGATCTAGAACTCCTAGATTTATTAAACGAGGTAGCTCCTTTCGAATTAAACAGCGGCGAACGGGTCGTTCTATCCCGACAGGCTGCTGAGCTCGCAGCACCGATTGTATTCCAAACCTGGGCGAATTTGGCTTGGTTCGACTTGGGCGGATTTACTTGGGGCGCGGATTCTGTGCGCTGCGAATGGTGGAGGGCGATCCTCGAATCTCTTTACAGTCGATACGAGGGGACACAGGGGACTGAGGATCGGGATATACAGAATGAAAAGGCATGTTTCGTAGACGTCATATGGGGGCTGGAGCAGAGCATGTACCTTGCACGATGTGGTTGTCCAAGTTGTGAAGAACATTACCTGAAAGCTCATCGAGTACTTAGTAGTTCTTTTGATCAGAATTAGCGAGTGACTATGGTGGAATACTAGCGATGGGTTGATAGACGGTAGATGTTTCTCCTATATGTAAGGCGGATTACGAATGTTTATGACCATGTATGCTATATATGAAACGAGAATATATTCATTTCCCCTGAACTCCGTTTTTCTTGCGATAATGACATGTAAGAGAGCTAAAGTATGTTCAACGAAACCGGGAAACCAAACAAAAATAAAAAATAAAACAAGATGTGACAAAAGAGCCTCAAAAATGCAAACGACACGCTAGTAAGTTGCTAGAATAAGATAAAAGAAACAAAACGCCAACATTGATGAATACACCCATAATAGACCTCCTTCGATAAAATATGTACTCAAAGGAGTAAGAGACAAACAACGGCCCCACCAGGCTTGGGACAATGTTTGTGTGCATGAGGTTTGAAGAATAGCGACAGCTGAAACTCGCTGATAATGTGGGGTAGGCAATAAAGAAAAAACTAAGTAGATATTTTTCGGTGAATCCGAATAAAGAGGGATACCGGAAAGTCATCATTAAAAGATAAACGGCTCGGAAGAGCCGTCCACAAATTCGGAACACTTGAGTGTCGCGCTCAAGGGCCGCCCACCCTTCGGACCCAAAGGACCGCAGGAGCTTCTAGTCCCATGTTCGCATCCCGTCGTTTCCAAGCGCGATGCAACATGAGACCCTTGTCATAAAGGTCCCGGGATAAACTATCGTACTCAGCCTGTAGTCGTTTCAATTCGTCCTTTAGCTGCGCCCTGTGCGTATAGTTGTGGGTAGACGGGTTTGGTGGCAAGCAAGCCTCGAGTTCCTTGATTTGATGCATAACTCGTCTCTGCCTTGCGATAAGTTGATCTCGCTGACGCTCTAGAAGAGCGATGTACGCTTCGCCACCTTTGGGCTCCTGTGGAGAGGAGTTTCCGGACTCTGATACAAGCGACATGAGTACACTGGAAGTGTCGTCTCCGTTATCTTGAAGTATTGGTGTGAGGGGAGCGAGCTCTATCATAGGCGCCCCAGTTGGGGATAGAATCGGTGGAGGCGATCTCCTAGGTGGAGGTCCGCTATTTGTTTTCGGAAGTACTTTCAAAGGTCCGGGTTCGTATGATACTTTACGAGCCTGGGGAAGTGGTAATCTAGAAGAAGTAGAATTTGAGGGTATCGGAGTGGTTGAAGGTACTGGTGTTGGTGGATTGGATGCTGACTCTTCGTCTTCCTCCTTGATGTCTTCTCCTCCACATATGCTACCCAAGAAAGACCTATCTAAAGCGCTCAAGGATGGTACGATCGAATCTCTTAACCTTGGTGCTTTTTCCGGTGGCGGCGGTGGAATATCTGTCTTTGGTTCAAATGCAACGCTGTCGACTGATTCTTTCCTTGTAACTTCGTCTGGGCTGCTTCCTCTTCTACTCGCTTCTGCAGCAAATAATAAATCGATGCTCTTTGGACCAGTAATAGCACTAGAAGGTGCAGAGGCTACTGGTTTTCGAGTAAAAGCACTTTTTTTAGTACCAGGAAGGGATGCTAAATGGGCTGGGTGGCGGGGTATTGTGTGAAAAGTTGGAGGGCCGTTCGATGCGGGCATAATAGGATGAGCATTAAAATTAGGAGTAGTGGTGTATTTCAGTGTTCCAGTAAAGCTAGACAGCATGAATTTATTAGCGCATGCATATGGGAAAGAATACGTTGTTATGTATGGCTGTGAGTTCATGCTTACCTTGATTGCGAAAGAATATTCTGGTGGCTCTCACTTCTCATAAGCAAAACGTCCGGTCGCGAGCTCTCGACTAGTATTGGGAACCCGATTTCAGGTTCCTTCGGCTTGCTGTGCCGTAGAGGGAAACGGCTGAACATGGTTGTGGCTGTCGTAACAAAACTCGTCATGTTGAAAGATTAAAAGATAAAAATAAAAAAAAATGCAAATGCAAATGCAAAGTATACGTAGTGTCGGAAGGAAAAGAATCGGAGGGCCGGCCCAATGTCAAGTAGTTATTTGTGCGTCAAGATCTGACCGGGCCAGGATATATGGCAAAGTCGGAATGACGATCCAACAGGCAGGACGAGCTTGCCCCGCTGCCTGGTTCCTTCTGTTCCTTCTAATCCTTTCCTTTGATATAGCACTACTAAGACCAGACCACCAAGACTAGCGTTTGTTTTAATAGCGGTGGGCGATGTGGGACAAGGTTATCCAGTTCGTTTCGGTTGGCCGACGTTATGGAAGGTGCGCTGTGCCAGTGAATCGAAATACGCTAGCAAACGGCAAAGATGGAGACGGACAGAGGCAGGCGGTCAGGGATCTCCAGACTTCAAAACTCAGGGGTACCTGTCCAACAAGCTTCAAAGATAATTAGCGATGTTCCAGCGATAGTGTCACTGCTCGACTCGAGTCGCGATCCGGAAAGAAATTTTAAATCTTTATTAGAGAAATAGCCTCTAATATAAAGTTCAAAAAGTGTCGTCTGATACAATATATATTCTTATGTACGCATGTACTGTGAAGGGTCTTCCGGCCTGGTCTTTTTAAATTAAGAGACACCATGGGCTTCCTCGGATAATAGGAAAGTCGTTTGGGCCGAACAGGAAGTTCACAGGTTGGCAAAGAACATTCCTCTTGCGACTCTGGGAATTCAAGCAATGTCCCCCAAAAATGGCGATATACTATGTCCTGTGCGCATACAAAGTATATAGGCCCTTCTCGGCTTGTGAAAGATAATTTAAAGGGGATTGAGCCTGATTCTGCCGGGTGTCCTGTTTGACCCATATTGCAAAGTATATTACATTGCATACCCAGGAGATAGACAAAATCTGGGGTCAAAGGCCATTAACTGCCATTCCAGTCCCGTCCAGCTTCTGATAGAGCCGTCGATATAGATAGCTAGCTCCTGTGGCTGTTCAGAACGATGTTATATCGCTCCTCCAATACGTGGAATATATGTTGGATACGGGGAGGGTTGAAGACCAGACCGTGGTGTTTCGAATCCTTGAAACGCACCGACAAAACGGAAACGACTCAACATACCTTTAATATTATTATCAGCGACGGCTATCTGGCTAGACTTGAATCTGGAAAACTTTTGCAAAGAAGCGTCGGCAGAAATTCGAAAAAATAAAAATTAAAAAAGTACGTTCGCAAACAGCCTCGGGTCGAGCGACTGATGTTTCTCGTCTGTTTATATCGAAGGTGTGAATGTGATGGCAGAGATGCTCAGCGCATGAATGTGAGAATGAAGAAACAGTTTCGGGTGGGCGGTAAGCAGGTCAATGCTTCGAAGAACCAGGGATTGCCTTCAAACGATAAACGTCTGTATTAGTTGGGTAGCCCGCACAGTAATCAATAGGTAAGTAAGTATTAAAAATATGCAGTTGCGAAGTTGTAATAATTTAATTCGGAACGACAAAAAGAGAGATTGACAGGTCGGTAATGCAGCGTCCAGGCCGCAATATCGTCTTCTTCTTTTGTTAATTTTTTTTTGACAGGCCGTTAAAGAAAGAAAGTATCGAAAAAAGAACCGACCAGAAATCCTGTGAGATTTTGGAAGATCAGAAGAATGGTACGGGATCTGTACCTGATATTAAGCAAGCTGAGAAACGTTCGACTGTCAGCCCAGACTGGGGTTTGGCCTCTCCGTGAACGTTCGGTCTAGCGGGCAAAGCTTTCGTACGGGTGAGGCACAGCACTGCAAAGACTGCCAGACTGCAGCGCGCTAGCTGAAAAGAAGCCTATCAATGATGTTTACTGGTTGAATACCGAAGCAGGGAGCCAAACTCGGTGTAGACGCACTGCCCCTGGTCGGAGAGGTGTCCCAGGAAAGAAAAAATAGAATAAGTGGGAGGAAACAGAACAAACAAACGAAATCCTACGAGGATTTCTGGGGATAATGACGCAGGTATATACTAGTATTTTTAAGATATCGATCGAACTGACACGATGTGCGTAAGTAAGTATATGTATATTCCGATGGAAGTTAATGTGCCCAGGCCGCTTTCCCATAATTACCACAATTGCAATTCTATGCACTGTCTTTCAAAGAGAGTTTATTGAAATTGCAAAAGATCAGTGAGGTTATCTCCTGCATTGGACGGACGGGGCTTAGCTTTCTCATCTCTCGCCATCGAACTGTGCACATGTATACTTTGTTCTCCTTTCAATAATATTCAAGACGATGGGATTAGGTCATCATCTGAAGTTAACTCATGCCAGAAACAACCATGATCGATACCTCCACTGTCCAATTAAACGGAATATGCATCCTGTTCTACATTCCCCGCCTATCAGGCAGGTATAGGCAGGTGTATAACCCCGTAGGCGTTTGAGGATGACCCCAGGCCCGACGGCATGCAGGGAATATCAACTTCCACGCGCGCACAAACTTTTTTGACAACAGAAACATGCACGGGGCCCTGGCGGTGATGGTCAACCAAAAGGTCACTTTTTTTTTTGACCAACAGCAGAAACTATGCGCTTTTAGGTCACCATTCCCAAAATTTTCATCCAGAATCATAGTATACTATGAACTTGATAATGTCCGTGAAAAAACTCCAGTGGGCTGCCGTAACAAGTTGTTGCACAACGTTTTCGAAGATCCCCTCTGCGAGGCAAGTTTCACGAGCGTTCCTCAGTTGGTTACTCCCGCATTTGCATGTCTATATGTGGGTGCGTATGTACAAATCGATGTAGGTAAACGATCCAAAGCTGTACCGACATTAAGCAGGTGGCAATGTTTGTATGTATATCTCGTATCTAATCTAGAGCGAATTGCGCAAAAAGGCGACAATTCGCAATCTAGTTTTATCGACCACTCTCGCCTCTGGTGTTTCAGAATTTTCGGATGTCGACATCTTGGGCATCTTGACTAGCAAATCTCATGCACATGCGGCTTGGGTTGGGCGCCGACAAGTCCTTTAATTGTCCCACTACCATATACCCAAGGGTCGTCAAGGGCCCTGGAGCAGGCATCGACGGGATCCTGTACAGATGCACCACGGTCAATCGGCTCAGATCCTTAATTGATCACTTTCTGTTGTACTGTACCTATATATTGCAAAGTTGGGATACCCAGACCGGTCGAACCCCAACCTTTGGAAGTTAACTAGCGGGGGCTACCTGGGATTCCAGTCGGCTGCCTTCAACAATGTCAGTATCATCTTTCAAAGAGATGAGAACGGAGTAAGGGAAGTTTTTTTTTTTTGTTGGTATCTCCTTAGGACCCTATCGAAACGTAATTCATTTTCGCCGGGGCGATCTCTATGGCCCTTCTCATAACTAGAACCCGGAGTTTGATTCAGAGCAAAAGCGCTTCTCAAAGCAAGTCTCAAGGACAGTCAGTCCTCCGCCCATGGTTCAGCATGCCAGATCCAGCTAAATGTGGGTCCAATAACCAGAAAAGAACCATTAACAAGAAATATCAAGTTTGATCTCAAAAAAGCTGCCCGATTCTGCAAGGGCATTGGCTTTCTTTGCTTTCTTGTGTTTTTTAAGCGAGAGGCGAGATTTTACCTCCTGATCTGCCCTTGCAGTTGGAAGTCAGTTCACGGGTCCTTTCCCCACTTTTACTCTGGTTGGCCTTCGAAGTTCAGCTTTCGTTTGTATCGAATCGAAATTCGAAGCGACTCAATTCTGGACTTTCTTTGTTTGAAGATATCAAATCAAATCACTTGTTTCTCCACTTGTGCACTCCGTGCATTAGCTGAAGGTTTACTGAAAATACTACTGAACTAACACTATCTTGTCGATGTCTATTCTATTTTCTTCGACACCAGAGTTCGATTCTGTCAGACGACCTCTAGACCCTTTCGGGTGCATGCTTATTCTGGAGATGTAATTTGACTGCAGCTTTCCATTTCCGTGCTAATTAGACTGTACTTTCCCTTACATGGCATGACATAATTAAACAAAATTTCCTATCGAAAATTCTTCTTTTCCCTTTTCATGACTTCACCCTATTCTCGAAAATAGCATCAATACCATATATTCCAGTAATCATATATGCCTGTTCTATAGAACGCCATACCTTAAAACCACTCCCTTTCCCCGGAGTTCGATGCTGTCACGAATTTCATCCCAAAATGTCTAAAAAGGGCGGCACAATAGCAAGGGTTCCCCCATAATGGAGGCCTTGCAATTTAACAACAAGCATGAACCTCGCACACCCTTTTCTCGAACGTCATTCTTGTTTACCTGCAAAATGAGGCTTTGGTACCTCGTTAGCCTCTTGATGGGATTGAGTGGATCCCGCTTCCTTTTTTAGAAACAAACTCTGTGGCGTTTCTTGCAGCGTGAGGCGTTACCTCAGCAAAAAATAACCTCCAGTCTGCCGTCGGAAGGGTTCTATCTTTGGCCAGTCTCCGAGTTTCAAAATATCCGATTCGGATTTTAGAGCTCCTAGAATTCTTGAATTTTCTATGCAGCCCGGAAAACTTTTTGGAAGACTTTCTGGAAAACTTTTGAAGTTGAAGATCTTGTGACTATTTGGGCTTTTCTTGACCTGTCAACTGTACTATATTTCCTGTATCGAGAGCACCCACTTGTCCAAGTCGATCACATCGCATTGCATACGCAAACTTGTCAGTGCAGGGTTGATAAACTGATAACCCGTTTTTGCCTGCAGCTGGAAACGAAGAATGATGGGTCTTCCATGCATATGTATACTTATGCCTGAATTAATTGCTGAGTGCCTAAACATGAAATCGGCTAGAGGAACGAATTTTGCGAGAGAGATAAAACGTCTGGCCGACACGGTATTGAGTTGTAACTGAAGGTTGCAATTGCAAATGCATAAAATCCGGGATCATGGTGGTGGGAATTTCAACACTTCATGCCGCGCCTGATATAACGAAAGGAGAATCCGGAAAACCTTCTTGCGGGACCGTTTATCAATACAGGCTGTCAAAAAACCATAACAACGGGACCCGTTTTTTATGCAAAGACGGCAGGATACGATTGTAGATTAATGCTTTTTACGAGAATGTGTTCTGGACCTCGTGAATGTCGGCTAAGATGGCTATATACTGCATATCAGAAGCGATTCGGGGCGGATTAACAGTATCAAATATATTAAAAGTATACGCTCATCTTCATCGGGGTCTACAAAACAGGCTTCTCGGAAGAAAAACAAACAATCTGAGGTTCCCAATTCTTGCAACGAAGATTCCAAATAGGAGACCAACTCAGATGTTTGAGATCGGAGCCTACCGTCACTTTTCTTTTCAGGTACCCACAATTTGTTTGATAAAATAAAAAGAGTACTTATTCATTCCTTCTTCAAGATCTCCGCCTAACGAGCCCCTCCCCGCGCTGCTCACTCATCGATGTCCCGATCCCAGAATCCTGGGCACTCCCTTGTAAGGTATTTTCGTCCACACTAGTCGGCGTCCTCCCACCTTCATCGCTCCTATCATTGGACATGTCTTCCGAATCTTCGTCGTCACCCTCCTCGCCCTCAGGAGCTGGTGTAGCTTCCGGTGTATCATATACTCCACCTCGTGGGCGGGGTATATCCTCTGCCGAATCATCTTCAACCGGAGCTAAAGGATGGACCATGCGCCCCTCTGTTTCAGATGACCGCGTCGGCCTTTCCATGAGTGGGTCCTCATCGTCGTCAAAATATTCATCTTCGGTAGCAAGCCAGTACGAAGATACTAGTATCCAAGTAATTGCTGCCCAAAATAGCTCGGTCACCCAGAATGCTGATGTAAAAAAAATGAATGCGATGATTCGGTAGTTGTACATAAAGTATCTGTAAGTGTTCGTGTTAGCGACTCGGCACACAGTTATAGACTCGGGTTACGTAAATTATATCAATACATACCTTAGGCCTCTAAATCTTGCCTTGAATACAACTTTACTCTCGTAGGACTCTGGTGCCTTGTCGGAGGCATAGTCGTTTCCAACTCGTATGCCTAGATAACTCGGCAGTCTCTTTTTCGTGAAAACTTCTCCTTCCATCATCAAAATATCTATTTTTTCTTGTTCCTTCCTCCACCCGGACAAATACAACGGCGACTTAATGACGGTATCCATAGTATTTATGATATCAGACTTGTATGTTAAACAAGCGGCTCGTCTCGATGTCGCTAGTATGCTTGGTTTTTTAGGATCCTCGTCGAAGAGAGTCAAATTTATCATGAAATTCCCAGCTTCAATATTATGGGGTGAAGTTGGCAGCGTGAGGGAGACGTAAACATCATATGGCTGGTTATGCATAAGCACACCCTTTGAGATATCAGCGCCGCCATAAGGGACTAGCTTAGCTCCCTTGAGTCCGGGTGTTATAAGTGCAAAGTGAGGCGAATGTATCATGGTTTGACCATATATCAAATGAACAGTAGTTTCAAGTCCTATTTGTGGGATGTAGTTGTAATAGAAGAGTATGTAACCAAAACATGCGACACCGAAGAGGAGGATCGCGAGGATGGCGCCCAAGATGGTTTGAATGTAGGCCCTTTGAGCTGACCTGGAGGTAGCACTACCATAAGCCGCCCGCAGCGGCTGGCTTATAACTGTGGGCAAAGCGATAGGCTATTCGATGTTAGCAACATTAACACAGAATTCCTTGCACGCGATCACTCTTACCATTTTCACGTGCTATTGAATGGTGTTGGATTGTGTTCGATCCAAGGTCGGGGGATCCCTTGAGGCCAGAGACCGGGTTCGAGCTTCGATGATAGAAGTTCAAATCATAGTTCGGAGAGTACTACTGTCGTTGATAAAGTTTAGAGGCCGCCGTAGCCTTTTAGGACGGAGGTTGGTGCCTTGAAGGTGGGAGTTCGAGATATGACGTTGGGAAAACTCGCAACATTCCTCGGCCAACACAAGACACTGTTGGAAGATCGAAACCACCGCGTCCACGTGGATTTTGAATGAAATAGGCAGTTACTTCGATATTACTTCCATACACGATTGGAATTTAATTGTCAGCTTCAATGATTTTTTGGATTTTCATAATGTAGGCTTTGCAGAAAGTTGGATATATGTTGTGTATCGCTAGAGCATCGCCGATATATAAATATATATCGGCGGAAAGCCAGGTCTGGCAGTCCAATGGAAATTGAAGCCTGTGAACCTCTGATAGTATTTTAACACATGTACATGTTACTGCGGGTCCCGGTTTTATAAGGCGTGGAGAAGTACTAACCTGCTATAGAATGATATCACGAACTTCTTGCTAGAGCAGTATTAATTAACTATAACCAAGCACCCATTCTAACGCCATCAAGGTTATTGAAAACTTCAGGCAGATCTTTCATTTCTGTTTCAGGTATACGAAACAATGTGAACGACGTCGACCTCGGACCCCAAAAGAAAATAATTCAAATCGAATTATTATATAGTTATTCAGTGAAGCATTGAATATTATGAATATATTTACCTGCACTAGAACTCGCAAGCATAATTAAAGTTCAGAGTAGCACTTGTTTGGATGTAAGATATTTTATATCTGATAATTAACAGGAATTGATACGAACTACGCGGAGGGTAGTAGCAACTCGGAAAGCACATTACAATATTAGGATAACCCCCCGCTAATTCTTTTCGCTTTGTAACATACATATATTACTTACAGTGAGATAATCTCCAAAACCTGATGCTGTAGCTTCAATGGGGTGTCTAGACGTCTAGACAAACAAGTTTTATTTACTAATGGGCCAATGTGACTGGTAGTCTCGCTGCTCAGTTTCTACATAGCAAGAACAAGAAGCGAACTGAATCCGATCTTTATAGACTCTATTTCACTGTAAGAGATTGCTCGTCATTCTTGTACTCGTTCAGCCAGGCATATTATAAATGCCGCCCGGCCGAGATATCGTAGAGTTGTCGGCATGTTGACTTCGGAACCGACATTTAGATTACTGGTGATTATTATAAGCACCCTGCAGATAAAAATAATTTAATTGGATAACATCAATTTAGCCAAGATGATAGGCTAGCTACAAGCGGTATAAACTGGATCAAAAAACACCGGTTTCGAATAAAACCCGGTCATGGTAGTCAAGAGAATGAAGATGTTAGGCCAGGTGGGGAAGAATGAGTTGACCTTGTTGGAATCGCAATCGCCGGCAAACATGCCTCGGCTAGAAAGCACAAGGCGCTGGCACGTTCCCAGAGTCGCAAAGGGGCCGGTAAACAACACCAACATCGACCTCCCACCCTGAGCCGAACCTCTCCAGCCCCAAAACCACCCCAGCAGAATTCTCTAAACAACATCCGGCAACATCAACAAATAAGTCATCGACGTATTCTCCTTACCAGTGGACGTGTTTCTTTCGAAGAAAAGCAGCATTCAGACCCCTATCCGTGTTACCGGTGACTCAAAGCGGACGCGTGCACGACCGACAAACTAAGTACCTACATATCCACATACTTTCGTCATCATGAGGGAAGATCTCATTCAAGGCGCTGTGAGTATATAAATCTAATGATTTTTCTTCTTTTCTACATGGATTGGAATTCTAACTCGGATATACTTATAGATTGGCTGTATGTTACTCGAAACCCTTCCAGTTCGTATGCTGTATATCAAAATCCTAACATTGTGATGTAAACAGTCCTTCAGGACCCATCGGTCGCCACTGCCCCTCTCGACAAACGGATTGCATTCTTACAATCTAAAAACCTTTCACCCGAAGAAATTGCAGTCGCTTTGCAGAGAACCGGTGTCGACCCGTCGTTAATACCAAATCTGGGTGCAGCTCCATCTGGGTTTGTCGTGCCACAGAGACCGGCAGGATTTACTCAGGGATATGGAAATGGCGGCTACTTTGGACAGGTTCAACGACAAGAGTATGACACCATACGAGAGTTTATAATTGTACACATTGGATACAATAACTAACTTGGATTGTTAGACCTGCTGGACGTGATTGGAGAGATTGGTTTGTGATGGCCACTGTATCGGGTTCGGTGTCGTACGGTCTCTACCAGCTCGCTAAACGATATGTCGTTCCAATAATTGCACCACCTACACCAGAGGCTCTTGCCGCCGACAAAGCCGCTATCGACACTGCATTTTCCGATGCATTCGCTCTCCTTGAGTCCCTAAAGACCGACACGGAGGCTCTAAAGGAGGCCGAAGAAAAACGGAACACCAAGGTCGACCAAGCTCTCGAGGAAGTTGAAAGGGTTGTTGAAACTTTGAAAGAATCAAGCAAGCGGAGAGAAGATGAGACTAAGCGTCTCAACGACGAAGTTCGAAACTTGAAAGATTTGATACCAAAGGCATTGGATGGACAGAAGGAAAGCCAGGCCGCTAGTTTGAAGGACTTGCAAGCGGAATTAAAGTCTTTGAAGGCACTACTCGTCAACAGAGCAACTGCAACTACCAGATTCACCCCTCCACCAGCCCAGCCAGCACATTTCGTTCCCCCACCAGCTGCAACCGTAACCTCTGCTGCTCCTTCGCCTTCGCCTGTCGTAGCCCCATCCAGTGAACCAGCTACCAACGGGGGAGGGCAAACTCTTGGAGGGAAGCCTCTTGGGGCGATAACTGGGGGACAGCGAGCTATTCCAGCGTGGCAGCTGGCGGCCCAGCAAAAAGCAGCAGCCGCAGCAGCTGCAAACCCGACTAACGGTGAATCCAGTTCTTCCGAGGCCAAGTAGAGATGGGTCTTGTACGATGTGTATGGGGTTTGAATATATATATGGAATTTGTAATATCGAATGTTCTCTTACTGGCCACACTGTTTTCTAGCGTTTATGGGTGTAATTCCTCTGATTTACTATTATCCGGTCGTTTCTCGGAAGTTAATGTTGATATGCATGATTGTTAGAGTATATGGACTTAACTACCTTGTAGGCGCTAGTCAGCACGACAGCGACCCTTGTTCGCGATATTTTTCTTCCGCTGCTGCTGGATGATGTCTGTACATAATGGCAATTTAATGTTCCAACCTCGCAATATCCTTTTCCCTCCGGCGTTAACATCACCACGTCCCACCAACCGCCAGTTTGTTAGATAATTCATGGAACATTGGTATATCTGGTAAATACCTACTTCTTACTTAAGTAGGTAGGTACCAGCTGGCCTCGAACTCAAGATGGCATCTGTTATTTTTAGCGTTGTGTTGTTGCGCACCATCGCCATCTCGAACGCGTAAAGTCTTTTTTCGTCGTTCATCACTCTACAATCCCTCCCGCTCTGCAAACGCTGCGGTATTGCCACGTCTTGCCCCCAAACGACATGGTCTAACGATATCTATACGGAATATCGTCTAAGGAGATGCCAGCGGCAAATACGACGAGGCAGAACTTAGCATCATCGCACGACGATCACACGATGGACGATTCAGATCGAAATGATCAGTGGCTCTTCACCGACGAGGAGCTTCTGCGAACGCCGTCAATAGTTAAGAATGGAATCACGTTCCAGCAAGAACGGGAAGGTCGGAGCAAGGGCTGCAACTTTATCCTTCAAGTCGGGATCAAGTTGAAGTTGCCTCAGCTCACCTTGGCGACAGCATCGGTGTTCCTCCATCGCTTCTTTATGCGAGAGTCACTGAAGGACTTCCACTACTATGTAAGGGCTCGACCCACCTTTGCTGTTTCAAAAGAACTTCCGGGACTGTCGCGATCAGATAACTAACTAGCGCTCTGACCTGTAGAATGTTGCAGCGACAGCCCTTTACCTTGCGACCAAGGTCGAAGAGAACTGCAGGAAGCTTTCCGATTTGATTCAAGCAGTCGCTAGGACGGCCCAGAAGAACGATCAGATCATTATTGATGAGCAATCGAAAGAGTATTGGAAGTGGCACGATACTATCATGTTCACAGAAGAGTACATGCTGGCTGCTCTCTGCTATGATTTCAATGTCGAAAAGCCCTACAAGCTACTGCAGGACTACCTTCACCACATAAAAGTTGAGAGCGGGGTGGCGAAGGAGAAGGATATCATGAAAGTTGCTTGGGCGTTTATTAATGACTCCCATCTGACTGTATTGTGCCTCATGTTTCCGGCTTCAACTATAGCAGGAGCGGCTTTGTACATGAGTGCTAAGTTTAACGATACGGTTTTTAAGGATGGCAAAGATGGCAAACCTTGGTGGGAAATCATTGGTCTGAACCTGATGCACATCAAGAAAGCTTGCAACCAAATGGCGGACCTCTATGAGTACGTAAAACTTGCGTGCTAAATATATGCTCAACCGAAGGGATATTCATCTAACAGACTTGTACCTGTAGGAACAACCCTTTGAGGAACGCCGACGGGAAATATCCCACCACGCCAGAGACCGAAGACACCAATAGTAATAGAACGCGCCCATCTGCCAGACTTACTGATGAAGGGCATGAGAGCACCACCAATAGCAATGGTACAAGTATGCAGGATGTCCCCATGGACTCCAAGCTCCCAGATACGTCGCAAAGCGCTGCAACATTGGATGACCGTGAAGAAGGAGAATTCGTGGACGACGATGATAGGGAAGAGGGGGAGCTTTGAGCAATCAAATAATGATTCATGCCATCTTTTTTTTATCATTCCTTGAACTCTATCGTCTTTAGGCGCAATTACTGTATCAGGTTCTACGGGATCATTGCATATGCTTGGATGGAGTTACGGTGGTGGTTAGGTCGTTGATAGCACACTGTACTATAGATTCATAGCGCTTATAAATAACCTAATCAATAATCTAGTTTTTTCTTTCCGTATGGCTCATGCAAGCTCGCAGGATGCAGGATGCAGAACATATGTATCAAAGTTCCGATTTTCTGTCAGGTACCCGGAACAAAATTTTCTGTCGAGCTGGCCAAGCTGCTGCGGATAACAGATATGCTTGGCTCCGATCTTGCGCGCGCACTTGGTTTTTGGGGTTTGAAACAGCTGTGACGGTTTCGAAACGCCACAGGTTTGATGCCGAAGGCTGTACACCCATCTTCGACCAAACTCTATGAGATCACCAGTCAAAAAAATACGGGAAGGTGCTTACTGTCTGATGTTTCTGGTCGAAAGCGCTTTCTGAGGACCGAGAAACTGTTTTATCAATAAGGGTCGGGTCAAATGTTATCTCCACTGTCTGGCGCGGCGAGCCTAGCTGCTTCGTGATGCTACAGCCTTTTTATATCAACCAACTAGGACGCAATATTAATCTGGGCAGGTACGTTCTACAGGCAGAGATGCACAGAGCACCTTGCGGTCTCTCTATCTCGAACGACTCGGATCGGTGATCCCATCTGCCCTAGTTGCTAGTTATTGGCCATACGTCGTAACTGGTGTCCGCCTTTTCCTGCCGTCCCAGAGTGGAAAGTCTAGCATTCGGGGTGTTCAAAACCAATGCTATTCCCAAATAACTCTGCTGCATTACCATTGATTCTCCCTCTTTTCTGAAAGTTGCACCGCCCTACAGCCATACATTAGTGTGCTCTTTTTGGATGCAGTTGGAGGAGGGAGGCAGACGGCCTCTGGCTGCTTGACGCAGTGTTCGACACCGCCTTCTTCACCCTGTAGCACTCTATCACGCTCGCTATTCGAGTGCTTCACTACTCTCATTTCGTCAAAGGCGTTCGTTCAATGCAGGATCGAGACAGACTAGTCAACTTCAAGGCTTCATCAAGAAACAAAAAATTTTGTTCTACGTTAACGAAAGGGCAATTTTTTATTCACCATCATAGACACATACTTACTTAAATATACAATTCCGACCCGCTTCGAAATACCTTCACTCATGACTCGACTACATCGACGATCTCCACATTCAAATGTATATCACACTGCTAGAACGAATAAAGCAGGAAGCTGCAAATGCAGTTGTCCAAGCTGCTACTGCCGCCACTCTTCAGACCCGCCAGACTGTTGGCGATAGTACCAAACCAAGTTACAACCAGTCCGCGATAGCGCTTACCTATGGCTTTATCGACTACTTTGACGACAAATCTTTCGGTGGCGCAAATTGGGAAAAACCGACAACTGTAAATCCGTCTAAATTTGGATCATCATCGCAGCTGGCTACTGCGACGCCGTTTTTGGTCACCATTGGGATCGCGGCGTTGATGCTGAGGTTTTTCGCAAGAACGAGGTTTAATGCTAAGTTCTGGTGGGATGATTTGTTCGCTGTACTGGCTGGGATGTTGGTGGTTGCCGACCAGTTGATTTTCGCCAGAATTGTGTATTTGGGTATGGTTCCTTGGGATGACGGAGAGAAACTATTCGAATCGGGGACATCGGTAGCTGACATGCATGATAACATAGGCCGGGCTTCACTTAATACCATGTTACAAACAACAGAAGAGTTCGAGGCGGAGAGGTGGAGGAGGATAACGGTGGGGTTGAAGTTGTATATGGTTTTTGAGTTAATCTACATTTTCAGGTAAGCATTTCGTACAAATATTTCTGATATCGCGAAACATTCCAATCTAACCGTAAGATAGTTCATTCTTTATTAAATATAGCTTCTTGTTCCTCTACTTGCGAATCTCGCAAGAGACTAAGAGTATCAAGTGGTTTCTCCGCGCTGGTTTCCTCGTTACGACAATTTCATTCATTTTCTGCGTTCTCGCTTTACTCCTGACTTGCGCTCCTCTGACCGACTTTTGGAACATCATGAACTCAAAGAGTAAGCCTTTCTCATTTATATTTCATAAGGAGGAACAGTTTTTGCTCACAAAAAGTTTATAGCCTCCTGTGAGAGAAAGATTCTCCTAACATACGGCACCGGTATCTCCAACATTGTCACAGACACCATGGTACTCGCAATTCTTATCCCGCTTCTTCTCCAAGCCAGTCTCAGCAAATCTCAAATACGAGGTGTCTGTATCCTATATGCCTGCGGTGCCTTGGTCATCGTCGCATCCTGTCTTCGATTCGCTACCCAGATCATGGACGTCTCGATGTTGCAAAGTATGGGATGGTCTCTCCTCGAAGTCTCCCTCTCTTTGATTCTCCTCTGTGCCCCTATGGGCGCTAAGCTACTCAGTGCGCCTCTCGTTCAAGAAAGCGGATGTCCTGTGACACTTAAGCGCAACTACAACTCTGATCGAAGGTACTCAAATTCTCCATTCGATAAGAACTTACCCGCTCCTCCGCCAATAATCGCAGGGGTAGCCGTTGGAGAACCAGAGCATGTCACAACACTGGCCGCTGGTCAATCTCGAGAAGACATCCGCTTCGAGGGAAGACGGGGAACACATGGGACTATAGTAAGAGACGTGAACAGTCCGATGTATAAAAAGATAAAAGTTGGAACACGGGAGAGTAGGAACGGACAAACTGTTTGGGAAGTTCAACGGCGGTTATCACAATCAACTATCGAAACATCATATTCTCGGAATCCTTCCATAGCTACTTCCAGATCACAACCTTTAGGCGGATTGTCGCCCCCGCCCCCGCCCCCACCTCCAATGGATTGGCCGGTTCGGAGCACATAACATTTGCTTTTTTGTTTCTTTTGTCTTGTTTAACATGATATCCTGTCGTTTTTCAATTTCTAAGCAAGCTCTTTGATACATGCAGCCTTTTCGAAATTTCTTTTGTGCAGATTCTATACCGTATAGTTTTCCTTCCTTTGAATGTATTTCTTTACATCTTGCTCTACCCCGCTTGCAGGTCGAGCTCCCCCAAAAATCTCCATCAAACCTGTTATCTGCAACTTCCGGCTTCAAGGTCTCGAACATTCTCTTTCTTTCCCTTCTTCCCTTTCCTGTTACCTCATTTAAGTTTGATATGATACCCCCCCTCTTCTAGTTCCAAGGCTGGTTTCCTTTCCATTCCCAATTAAGAACTATGCATATGTATAAACTCAGCTCAGATCTGAGCGTTAGGCGTATATATCCATATCCTAGTATATTCTGCACCGGTTTCCCGTTATGCCATGTGACGTCCCCTGAGGCTCGCGCGAATCGTATTTTGAAGTGTAATATTATATGCCGGCCCCGATATCAAGATTCCCGGTTGCCGGGACGTTCACATTTGATCTTTTCTGACGTAGATTCTACAGAGAAACCAACGATCTTAGTGTTGATATGCATATGCACGAACTGTCTAAAACCAAGACTAAATAAGGTGCATGAAGGGTCTAGGGCGGAAAAATGCAACAAATCAGCCGGTCACATTTTCATCGACAGGCTTTAGGTAAAGATCAAATCAAGAAGTACCAGAACAATTACCCGATTTGGGCCCCATGTAACAAACACTAGCTGCTTTAGTCTCGCTTAAGGCGCCGATGGTTGGAAACGAACGGAATTATACACCCAGCGACGCTAGTTCGAGCTGTCAGACTCTTCACGACTGGATATGTGCGCTATAGCGCGTTGCAATTTAGCTGATTCATCAGATTTTATACAGCCGCACTGATTCTGAAAATGTGATTTATAATTTATCAGTGCTATCGATCATACGCTAAGTATACGTATATAATTCAGAGCTTCAGATCCTCATGATCGAAGGATAATATTATGATACACAGTACTTCTTAGCTCAGCAGCTCAGCAGCTCAGCGCTTTCGTAGAATTCCGAATATAATTATAAGTTTACTATCTATTTAATATAATATACAAACATACCTATATATCTGTTATATCGATATTTTGGCTGTACCATCAACCAAAAGGAACTTGGAATCCAAACTCGCCATTACTCACATCCCAAATTTTAAACCTTTTCCAGACGTTATGGCACCTACTCTTCCAATTGTTATTTACCACTATGTCTTTTCTCCGGTTGGCAAGCGGATAATTTGGTACATGACATTGCGAAATATTCCATATACGCACTGTGTAGGTTCTTAAATTCCAATGGGGTCAAGCAATATACAATACCTGAGCTGAGCTCTAGGCTGCATGTTTACAGCAAAATAAGGACAGTACACACATGCTAATGTGAATGGGTATTGCGAATATCTAGCTGCAACCTTTGGCTCTACCTCGTCCAGACATTGCCCAAATCGGTGTCTCCTATCGTCGTATCCCCGTCCTTGCAATCGGACGGGATGTATACCTTGACTCCCGCCTGATAATGCGCAAACTTGAAGAACTCTATCCACCCAGTGCGGCTCATCCATCACTCTCCGGGACGACAGGCGATCAAAAGGCCATTGAACGGCTTCTGGATGTTTTAATGTCCGATAGCGGTATATTTGACAAAGCAATCCAACTCCTCCCTCTAGACTTCCCACCCCTTTCAGATCCCGAATTCCTTAAAGATCGTGCAGAGCTAGCGGGAATCGTTCCCGGAAAGACACCACCACCTCAGTCGGCACCTGGACCGGATCCAAAACTTCGAAGACCCATAGCCGCAGCAGAACTTCGAGATGCGATGGAGATACTCGAGACTACGCTTCTCGCTGACGGTAGGGACTGGGTTTTGAAGACCGATAGACCCATGTTGGCAGATATTGAAGCCGTGTGGTTGTTCGAATGGATGGTTTCTATGGATTGTTTCTCACCGGAGCTCATCAATTCCAACCAATTCCCAAAGATCCTTGCATGGATTGATAGGTTGTCCAAATTAGTTGCTGAAAAGGCTAAAGAATCACCGGCAGAGGAGGTTAATGGTGATATAGCAGCTGCGACGATTTTTAACTCAGGATATGCAGAAGAAGAGGGGATTGTGGAAGAAAAAGAAGCTGTGGTTGCAGTCCAAGGGTTGAAGAAAGGTGATTTGGTCAATGTCTATCCGACTGATAATGGGTGTCTTCATAAGGATACGGGGGCACTTGTGAGTTTGAATAGTAAGGAGGTTGTGATCAATGTGGAAGGGAAGAATGGAAAGATCAGGGTCCATGCGCCTCGACATAAGTTTGCGATTGAAGCTGTGTAGAAGGCTCTCTTATAGGTTATACTCCCAGTTTGTTATATCTTTGATTCGATTGATATTTTCTTGACTTGTTTTTTTTACATACAGCACTATCGCAATCACATATGCATGTACATGGGGCATATATACATATAACTTGCCCTGCCTAATATATACTTAAGTAGTGTAGATAGGCACCTAATATCAATAGCACGGATGGCAGGAATTTAAAAGATGTTCCCACGGCTTCACACCTACATACTAAGTACTTAAATATATACAGCTAGCTCAAGGTGCGTCTCGATCTGTAGAAATAAATTTTCTGGTGAATGATATAACTTTGGAACTAAAGTTAAAAATTGAATAGATTTCCCCAATGTTTCTACACGATCGATGCTATTGCGTGAACATACACTCAAATCTCAAGATCTGACCAGTTTTTTGCCATCGATTCTCAGATTTATATATACTTAAGTATCTACCTGAGTAAATGTACGTATTCGTATCCTTTTTGGTAGTGTGTAATACTTAGGGGATGCATAAATAATTTAGCCAAGCTGGAGAACTCGAGAATGGACTTCACGGATTCGATTCGGATCCGGGTCCGGATATCAGTCTCGATTCTTAGCTATAATATATAATCCTATCTATAAGTATATATGAATTTTGCTCGGGTTTCTCAGACAGCTGATACCGAGTCCATGGACCTAGAAAACAGTGTGTAAGTCTCCAGCTCGGCATTGCCGGTAGTAAGTCTTATAATGTGGGGGAAGCAATCGCTAGTTATAATGTTCTAGTGGAGTCGACTCCAATGCAAAGGAATCTGGGGCAAATTCAGCCACGGCACAACGCGCCCATACCCAATTCACATAGCCCGAAGAGAACCATAACAGATCACATTCCGCGCGTAGCTTCGGCATCTGGAAGTATTCGGCATGTAAGTACGGCTTCACATAAATATCCGCCGTTAGAATCCTTCCTGTTTCGTAGTTTCCACGTTGTTTGCGACATCTATACAAATTTCGTTATACCCGAGTACTATTAGTATACTATATATCCAAAAGCTTGAAAGCTAGATCATCATGGCTGAACGTCTTAAGCAACTCCAATCCCAACTCGGCCCCGTATCTGGCAACTTCCCAAGTGGAATGTTTGCCGGCCAAACCGCCATTATCACTGGCAGCGGGCAAGGTATCGGCGCTGAATGCGCGAAGTTATTCGCCAAGGACGGCGCAAACGTCGTTGTATGCGACATCGACCAAAGTAAAGCTGAGGCTACTGTAAAGGAGATCAATGAGAGTGGTGGTAAAGCAATTGCTGTTGCTGGAGATGTTACAAGTCAAGTAAGTTAATGAAATAAACAAATCCTACATTTTCTAGTTATATTTAGTGTGCAATTGTACATGGACAACTATGTCTACTTTTTTGAGCTATTTTCTGAAGATGTTTGTTTTTTTGCCTTGTGGTTATTCCAGAGGCCTAGGCGGATGGGTGGATTTGGGATTGTTAATAGCTTTCTTCTGTTTAGGAATACAACGATAACCTCGTGAAGAAGGCGGCTGAGTTCGGAAATGGCAAGATTCACCATCTTGTCTTGAATGGTAAGAATCTGATTAATTACCACCTGCGTGATACATACAACTAGTACATATAGATACTAACAGATGTTTTTACTCTAGCCGGTTTTACATGGGACGCTGGTATGCATGTTCCTCTAGCCATAGCTGCAGTCGACATTAAGTAAATTTAAGAATGCTAAACTTATAATAGTCATCCACAAGATGTCGGACAAGCAATTCGACGCTATGATCGCAGTTCACAACAAGGCACCATTCATGCTCGTAAGAGCCGCGGCTCCATTTTTCCGTGTCACAGATGGTGAAAACAGAACGATCACCACGATTTCTTCGACTACAGGCGTCAATGGAAACGCTGGACAGATAAGTGAGTTTCCTGAAATTCGTTAGAATTCGAGGAAATATTGAGCTGTAGCTAACACGAACTATAGACTACAGCATAGCCAAATCTGGCGTTACCGGAATGGCAAAGACGATGTAGGTTTCCTATCTACTATTTTAGTATATATTAAAAACCGGGAATTAACATGTTGCATCACAGTGCCAAAGAATGGGGTCCAAAATATGGTGTTCGCGCAAACGCTATTGCTTATGGCTACATTGTAAGTCATTTGACCATTTATTTCAATCGTCAGCTGAGACGGAAATGAAAACGCCAAAATCTAACATCAAATCCTTCCAAACTTTAGACAACCCGATTAACAGCTGCTAAAGAAACCGGCGGCTTTGCCGTCTATGGTAACGAAAAGGTCGCAATTGGTATCCCGGGAGCTAGTAGCACAGGCGCCGGCAATGCCGGTCTCAAAGAAATCCCACTTCAGAGAGGAGGTACACCGTTGGAAGCTGCTGGTGCTATTGTAGCATTAGCCAGTCCTTTAATGAGCTATGTTACTGGACACGTATTGGTAAGTTTCGTCTACGCACCCTTTCGTCGTTTCTTATCCTTTCATTCTTCAGGGTGGAATTGGGTGACTGATAATTCATAATTTTCGATAGATGGTCACCGGTGGAAGGAATATGTAAACTTGAACAGACAGTTTGCAGGGTAGTATACCAAGATGATTTAGCTATAGCTAGGGTTTATAGCCCGTGTATTTATCATATACCGATATCGAAAGGGATTGGGCCATGGGCGCACATATGAATGAATTATTTACTTAAAAAGTGACTTCAAAGGAAGCGATAAAGCTAGAGTATAGCTTTGGAATTAGTAGTACTTGTCACAATTCCCGCACTACATATACATGTGCAATAAATAAAATAATCCCAAACATTTGGATTTAGATAGATAAAAATATTGAATTAACAATAGAAAAATTAACATCATGCTTCAAAACTTAAACCCCCAAAAATCCAACACCAGAACCCGCGTTGTCGGCACCAAAGTATTTTCTCTTGGCATCAACAGAACCGCAGAGCCGCAAAGAATCGGAATCCCAAATCCATGTCAAAAGCTAAAACCTCAAAACTTCAACATCCATATTCATAACCATATTCCACATCCAGATTCACGAATTCACCACAAGGTCTTCCCCGTCTAGTTCGACCTCCACGGCGCTCGCCACGCCCCTCAAAAAATGTCGATATCACCTTTCCACCGCTCAATCCTCTTCTCAAGACTACCATCCCTCACCCACTCTCGCCCCACCATCCACAATGCAGTCCAATCCCTCCTCCCTTCCATCCAATCCCGCTCATACGCCAAAAAGAAGAAGAAAGGCGACCAAAAGGATGTCAAAATTCGTACGTCACAGCTCCCATAATAACCCCCATCCAGCCTTAAACCCCACACCAAACTAACAAACCTCCACTCTCTCTCTCCCACAGAAATGATCGATTACGCCCTCGCCCATCCAGTCGGCAACCGTCCCTTCAAATGGTCGTATATGCGTAACCTTCGCCATTGGACAATCCAACAAGCCTGGCTGCTTTTCAAACACAAACAGAAGGCAGAAAGGGAATTAGAACTCGAAAGACAATATAATAAGATCCACGATGCCTGTGAGGAATTGAAGAGGTGCGATGAACGATTATTCAGGATTGCGACAGATAAGAAAGGTGTGGGTACTTTCCCAAGGGAAATGAGAATTCCCACGGATACACCCCCTAGAGGTGGATTCAACGAGGAGTGGAAGAGGCCGAAGGATAAGGTTGTTAAGAAGAGGTAGTGGGCCGTCGAACGACGAGATTAGGAGTCTTGGTGTCTTTGACGGTTACGATAATTGGCATAAGCCATTCTTTCGAAGGAGAATAAAAAAAAAAATCAAAAACAAACGGTATTCTACATTGTTCAACAAAAAGCTGTGCATATGCGTATGTGCAAGAAGGATCGGAAAGGGGTATGAAATGAAAAAGCCATGCGAAAGCCGATGGACGATGCAACAGCCATGAAATCAGATTTTTTTTCTTCGGCAAACGAAAAGGCACAATGTCCGAAAAAAGAAGAAGCAAAAGGAGTGGATCTGAAGGGGTGCGGATTAGATGACATTATACTTTAAGTTTGATGTAAATAGTATGTAATATAGACAATTCACCATAAAAAAGTTCCCAACTAGCCAAATACCTAGGTAAGCAAAGGATATGTAGATTCAATGGCAAGTTCAACCCTTCATGTCGGTGATGACCCCTTCGTAATCCCTTGACGAGATGTACTCCAAAGTTCGCTCAAAATGAGCCTTTGGGCTCTCGTTCGCCGCCGAGTCAGAGTTATTGGCCAAATTTGAATGAATCAACTCGATGAGACCGTTGATATATCTGACAGTGACCTGTAATCCACTATAAGCATGATGTTCCCAGTAAAAGATTTTTGTTGATTTGTACTTACTGCTTCGTTCTGCTGGTCGAAGTAATACACATATCGATTCAGAATTTCGACAAAAAGCTCGATCGATACGGCAGCATCCATGCAAGCATCTGCGACTCTGAGCGCTCGCTGCAAGCACTCCAGAACACGCTTTCCATCTCGGTAAAGCTGTAAATATAATTAGCTCCGTTCTAAAAAATGACATCGTTACTATAGGATGGCCACTTACTGTCTTTCCGTCCTCTTCCTCTCTTGCTGGAATCTCAACAGCCCACCACAAATGACTTGCCAAATAAACGGCACGGCACTGATCCGGTTTCTTCAGCAACTTTGATCCATGTAATGCGCACTTGGTAATCAGTGTATCATAATTCTCCTTGGAAAAGTTCCTCGTCGAATGCAGGGCCCCCGAAATGACGCAGACAGCTTGGAATTGAGCTCTAGAGTCTGATATCGCTTCTTCATATATAGTAAACGCTTGTGCAAAGAATTCGTAGGCTGCTTCCTCGAAACTGCTACCTTGGTCTGCAATTTGGCCGCACATGACGAAAAGCCTAAGGCAAAGATCTGCGCAGTTGACGCGGGTGTATAGGCTACTTAGCATCTGATGCGCAAATTTGTATAGCGACTGACTCTTGGACTGCCATTCGTCGTCAAAGTGTTCTCTAGTTTTGAGTCTTCGTGCGAGCTTGACACAGGCAGTTATCAGCGCTGGGGTAGTATACTTGACTCTATCACCACCTTCTGCAAAAGCTTTCTGGGTGGCCTGGAGAAGCTTGTACTGAACGTCGTTATCGTCACTTTGGATGACATGGACCAACCGTGCAAGCCAGCCTTGCTCCTCGACAACTTCCTCGCTGTCCGTTTCTCGGAGCCGTCGCTGCTGGGTTCCAGGGTATATTGCTTGTTGAGGGGCCGCTTCCTTGATTAGGACTTGAACGAGGTCGAGGACACCTCGAACATGCTCTTCTGTCGAAATTTTGACTGAGCTAGAGAGGATGGTTTTGGTTACCGATGAAGCAACAGCACGCCTCGTTTGGTATGATTGTGCTTGAAGCAAGGGAATGTAGTTTGGCAGCGCAAGAACGGTAAACAAAGAGACATAAGAACCCAGAGGTGCAAGTAGAACCCCGAGAATATTCTGCTGGGTAGCAAGAAGATGAAGGTCTGCCGAACTCGATAGCTCCTTGACCTTCTGGTGGGTATACTCGAGAACCTGGTCGACGTACTCAAGGTTCTCGGGGTAAATGTTCAATGCAAGGTTGGCTAAGGATACCAACAAAGCCGTGATATCCTGTATTGGGAGCATTTGTGCATTTGCCAAGTTTACCACTTGGGCATAGAAAATCTCGTAGAGTTTTATCCTTGATAATATCGGCCCTTCTTCATCTTCTCCGTCTGCTGTTACCTCTTTTGGTGCTTCTTCAGCCCCGTCCTCCTTGGGGCTCGGGCTATCCGCTCCATCAGCAGGTTTAGAATCGCTTTCCGTATCCGGAGGGGCGACATCCGCTGCAGGCGCAGGCACTGGAACTGGTTCTGGTTTATTATCCTTTTCCAGCTTGAGCTTTTCTACCAATGCTTCAACAGCAGCCACTTCTTTGGCCTTTCGATCGTCAGAAGACTCCGAGTTTGCATCCCTAGCCGCATAAGTCGATAACCGATCCATTAACGCGATAATGATCGATTTGATGTTGACATCTGGGTTCAATTTCGCCGTCGCAGATAGGAATTCGTTGAGTGTGTGCAAGTGGAATTCGTCCGGGAAGACTTGTATTATAACTACCCGAGTCGTCACGTTAGCTAGGAACAGGCTGTGTTTCGAAGCAAGTTTACACCTACCCTCCAAGAGATACTCTTGTGCCAGCTTGTCTCGACACTGCACAACCTGCTCTAATAAAGGCGCTAGAATTGTCTTCTTATACGCCTCCAAATCGACCAATTGGCTCAGTCTGACCAAATTGCTTCCGACAAGTAATTGTAGCTCCTTTCGCTCCTGCGATCTCTTTTCTCGTTCCCTAGAATGCCCTTGGTGCTGTAATCTGACCCATAGCTTGTTCATCTCCACGAAGTTGTTGAGAACGAATGATATCGAATCGGTGAGGTTTCCTTCCGGCCTAATCAATTCCCATATGTTAGCTCCTATTCCTCAAATGTCAATCTAGTACAAAGCCAAATCATACCCATCTCCAAGCCCGGTAGGTAGATGTTCCCTCGCCTGTCCTGAAAGGTAATATCGCAGAAATAGACCACTGTTTCAATCAGTATTAGTCTCGCAATCTCACACATCGGCTCGTAGCTCTGTAGATTCAAATACCGAATAGGATGCTGAACACCCCTGCTCATTTCCATCATATCCTTCATAATCTCTTTCACCGGCGCATCTTCGATGCTCATGTAGACCGTTCCGACTGTAATCATCAGGTACAACCGCGGAATAATATTCCCTTGAAGTCAAAGCTCCATTAGCTTTCTACGTAGCCCTCAAGTATCGCATATAGCTATAGAGCGACAAGATAAGGATCTCCATACCTGCATACTGCACTAGCTCGTACAGATCCGCCAAATGGTTCACAGGATGGCTCTCTCTCAAAAATGCCGACAAGTGCCGAAGCGCATCAAAAACATCCATGTAGAGCTCGTAGTACATTTTGGGACCTAAACTGCTCGTTCGGAGTTCCGATACCAATGTCGAGCTATAATTCAAAATCCAACAGAACAGCCATCAGTACAGAGTTTCCCAGAGTGTTCAAGCTTTAAGGTACTGCTTGAAGGGTATAGGGAAAGTGCGCACCTGCACTTCAGCGCATCCATGAGCTTTCCCGGTGTTTCCAGACATTTCAGCATCAAGCGTGTTTGCTGCTTAACCACCGCGCGAGCTTCTTCGAGGAGACGGGCCTCTTCGGATTGCAGTCCTAGCGCAGTCGACGACATGGTTCGGAGAGGATATATTTGGGTACGGGACGAGTAAGACGGGCGATAAGGGTCTACGGGGGAGGATGTTGTCGTGGCGCGGAGGAAGGAGGAGGGGTGATGGGGGTGTTTATGGTGGTTTCGTGGGATGCTCTTCGAAGGGCTATTTGGTGGGATATGGGGGTTGAATGGCCGTCGTCATTGGGAGCTTGCGGCAGCGGAGAGGACTAAGTGGACGCGCAACACAAACGGCTAATATTAATGGGGGGACCTGACAGCTGCGACGTCGTTTAACGATTAGGGGCCAGAGCTTCAGGGCAGGCCTATACGCTTTATATTGCCTTCGCATCGGAATTGGGAGGCATCGAGCTTGATAGCCCCGAAATAAAAAAATATATATAGAAAAAGAAATAAAAATAAGCTACGGGGCGGGGATATGCGGATGCATGTTCTCTTCACTTAATATAAAGCTATGGTTAATCATTCGTGTCATGATTTCAGGGCGCAATTAGATGCATAAGGAAGCAATCCGCTACTATACAGGTAAAGAAAACAGGATGGAACATGCTGTGCTCCGCGCGTAAGATAATTTACAGCGAAGCTTGGGGTACAGAAGGAATAGTGCAGTTGAATGTTAATAAAGCAAAGACATGCAGTTTATGTGATGCACTGCAGTACGCATACGTGAATTACGCATCATCGTCGTAGGGTGAGTCGGAGTGAATATCAGGGGGGTTAAAAGGGTCTCGAATCATGTTTGGGGTTCTGGGTTTCTTTTTTTTGTCGTTTGTCATTCTTAGTTATGAGATGGACGTTATAATTTCGCAGATTTACGACGACTCTTGCGTCTTGGTCGGGTCCCGAGGTCGTCTTCTGAAAGCCACCCGGCTACCGGTCCGTGCGATTGCTCTTGCACATGTTCCTCTCCATGCAATCTAGGGTTGGGGAGGCTGTTGAGCATTGGGTATCTCTGTGTCCCTAGGATCAATATATTTTGTATACCAAAGAACACAAGAATTGTGTAGTAGTATTGCAGAATCATACCTAATACCGGCCGCCGCCGCCGCCACCGCCAGACCTTTGACTACGATCGTAATCATCTCTGTAACGTGGCGGGGAGCGTCCACCACCGCCACCTCTAGGAGGTGGTCCCCCATATTCATTACCTCCATACCCACCGCGCTTATCATCATCATACCTTCTTGGAGGCTCGTCGTACCTCCCACCACCTCCACTTCCTCCACGCTGTTCATCGTATCTACCGCCTGACCGCCCATAACCGTCAGGAGAACGTCTATCATAAGGAGGGGTGATGCGGCGATCATTACGGTAGTCTCCTCCGCCTCCGCGACGTTCTTCACGGCCGCCACCTCCATAGGGTGATCGCTCACGGAACCCTCGGTCACCTCCTCGGTTGTCGTTTCCACGTGGTGGGGAATAGCCTCTGCCTCTTGGTGAATAGCCACGGTCGCCTCCTCGGTGTGGGGAATAGCCTCCCCTTCGTCCTGGTGAGTATCCTCGACCCTCACGAGGAGAGTAGCCATTACGCCTGCCCGCTGGTGGTGGAGATCGAGAACGTCCTCTGGAATTCCTTGCTTGTTGCTATTTCATGGTGATATTTCGCAATTAACATTTTATGTCGCTTTGGGGTTGTCGAACAGTTTCAACCTACATCGGATGTACAGGAGACCCTGCCTCCCTTGAAGTCGTAGTTGTCCAGCTTGTTGATGGCTATCCTAAGGTCATCAGCAGTCTCGAATTCAACGATTCTATGATCTTCGAATTAGTATATTGCCACCTTTCTAGGCCGAACGGGGGAAAGAAGACACACCCTGATCCGTCGCGGTTACGCGAAACCTCGCTGAAGACGACGTCGACTCCGGACTTTCTAGCAAAGTCTTTCAGATCCTACATTGTAAGATATTCGTATAAGTGGCGTCCATAAGATCCAGAATGTTTTCAGTGTGTATGCAGGCAGAGATGCTGTTGATGGCAAAGCAACTTTGGGTTTCAATTTCTCCCTCTTGTGCAAAATATCTGTTCCAGGCCACAGCAGCGGCTGCAGTAAAGACGGAACAATCCAGCCAGGACCGAGGAGAATCAACAGGCAAGCAGGCAGCAGGGAGGAGGTGAGAGGCACGTTCGGCTTTCTTTCCCCTCCTTTCCAGATAGACAGAATTCCAAAGGGGGGGTACATTTCTGCTTCGTTGGAAGGGACCAAAAGGCGTATTGTTTATCCAGTCCAGATAATGGCAACAAGCGAAGTTCCTACTTCGCCTACCGGGATGTATACACCTCGTAAGGCGTTTCGCTGTTTCGATATGTGAAGCTCCAAGCTGGTGGGCAGTCCCAATATCAAAAGCCAGATATATATCCCCTCGCGGTGCGTGCGAAACGCTCTCCGCATACGATTTGCACACGACGGAAACAGCACATCCTCCCGTTCCGCTGACAAAGAGCAAGAATCCAGAGTGACCTCAGGCGGGTTTATGCATGAATGACGATAATCCAGTGCTCACACATGTTGCAACAGGTGGTGAATGGTTTTGGGTGTAACAGAGAGACAGACCTGCCAGCTGGTATCCGTAGGAAGCCCAGAGATGTTCATTCGGTAGGGTGTACGGCGTGGGCGGGGAGTACGATCTCCAGATGGTCCGTTAAAGTCATTGCGTGTTGGGCGAGGGCCACGTGCGAACTGGACGGTCAACCTTGAATCCATGAACTCCTTGCCGTCTTGCAGGAGAAACATAAGTTCAGTTTTAGCATCACGGCGAAGTGCATTGTCGGCTAGGGGAGGTTACATCCTTACGGAAGACTGCAGAAGAAATCGATGTCAGTATGGCAAGCCTATCTACGGGTATCGACCACAAGTGGACGGAATGATACATACTAGGAACTATGTCTCGGGCATCAGAAGGATTCGAGTATTCAATGAAACCGAATCCATTCATAAGTTTGATTTCCTGGATGGTGCCATGACCATGCTTTACAAAGAAATCCTCGACATCTTTCTTAGTGGCTGTAGAGACGAACGGACAAAGATAAACCAGCTGTATTGTTAGCGAAACCAATGTCTCAAAGGTTCACGAATATATATAGAGTATAGAATATAAATTTATATCTAGCTGGCTTTCTACCGGTATCCCGCGCGTTCCGGAGGCATCTGAGAACACTAGATGTGCTCATGCGACAACCCTCTAGCGGGTACCTGAATAGCGTGTAGGAAGCGAGACTTGCCTGTCCGAGGTAAATTTCCAAGATAAAGACGTGTGTCCGACATCTCCGCGATTGAATTACTGGGCGACACCGTGCCGGTTGTAAGTATGAAGAATGGGAAAAGAGAAGTTTGATGCCGCTCTCAAAGCGACGATGGGTGCTGGGGTGAGGTTAGAAGCGCGCTAAGACGTGAATGGGATGACGTTGTGATGTTGTTAGTGATGTTGTTGGTGATATTGTTGACGCTTTCTCCTGAAAATGAGCCGAGAGTGAAACGTGCAGGAGGTAGTCAAGAGTCCGACACAGGCACAAATTCTCCGTCAGAACAAATAGACTGCTCGGAAGGATTATACTGCTATAGAAATTAAGGTCGCGATAGATTTTGGTTGAGGGGAATGGGATGGTTAATAATGAAAGGATCTGGAGTTCGGGTTGGTCGTGGTTAGGTGTCCAGTAAGAAGGCGTCAGGGCAGGGCAGGGCAGAATCCAGAACAAGGACAAGAACAAGAACAAGAACAGGAACAAGAACAGGGCAAGGAAACCAGGAAAAACAAAGACCAGGCCGATTCAACCCCGATTCGAATACTTCCAGTTGCAAGGCAGCAATTAATTGCAATGATCACAAGCAACAAGTTACCACTACACCAATATAAAATCAAACCTAATTACTTGACTTACGCTGCAATGCGGTCTACTGTATCGATATGGTGATAGTCAGGAACTGATCTGATGTCAACTCGGCTAAAAGAAAACGAGGCGGGCCTTTAAAAGGGCGGCCCTCTGCATGCATGCATACGCAGCTCGAACTCGAATTCGCAGTGGTGTGCAGCAGCAGCAGCAGCAAAGCTGGTAAGTTAAAAGTCGGCTGGCTAGCCTGACGGTTGGCGCCACATGCTGGTCCTTGCACAACCACACCAACTTCTCGAGTCCAAATCAAATTCGAACAGTCGAACAGGATATCTCAAGCCTGATGGAATGCAGCGACAACGTAGGCATACAAGCTTTTAGCTTCATGAACCGGGGTGGAAGAGTGCTTCTACATATCCTCTCACCCACTTTCTCAAACCAGCATTCCTTGCAGTCATAACACACATATTTTCCATTTCTTCTTCCAACCAGAAAAGGTTTCCAAAATAACACACAGCAACAGCACAGACTTGCGTTGCACATGCAGCCAAAAGCTGGTTACACAAGCAATGTACTGCGCTGCACTGCACTGCGCGGCATGCGCAAGTCATAGTTAATAATCTGAGCACATTAAAACCCTCGATAGACAACAGCTCCCTGTCCAGGCTTCGACACCACTACTGCTTCCCTCCAAGCTTCATCTGAGTCCAACGCTTGAGGATACTTCTTTTTATAGTAATTTTCCCTCAGTGCCGCTTCAACCTGAGGTACCTTGTCCTCCGGTATCAGGTGTACACTGCATCCTCCCCACCCAGCACCTGTCAAACGACTCCCGACACTGCCAGCTTTCCTTGCGATATCGCAAAGAAGATCCAGCTCTGGACATGAGCAGTCAAATAGATCTCTGCAGGAATCTTGTGATTCATTCATCAATTGTCCCATTGCCTCAAGATACGACAGTGATGCGCTCTCAGGAGCGTTCATCATGAGCTCTGCAAACTTGTTCACCCGTAGTGACTCTGAATAAACGTGCGTCGCCCTCGATCTTAGCTGAAATCTCTCGGCTCGAACTATTGCTCACAATATTAGTATAGATCTTTTTACGGTTGAATAGGGTGGTGTACGTTCGTACTTGGAAAACGTGTCATATATCTCTCCGTAAGGGCCTCCGGGGTAGTCTCCAGTATCTCTGCAATTTCCTCCTTTGTATAGCCTTCCTCTTGAGTAAGTGTCTGCTTGACAATATCAACCAAGGTCTCCAGCTGCTGGACCACACCCGGCACCGTCCCTTGTTTCTCGAAATACTTCTTCTGGAGTCCACTTAACGAATATCCAAGGGGTCCATTGTCGCTCGGTAAAGACCCAAGTCCTAACTTCTTCGCGAGAACAACCGCCGCTAGAGTTGTCTCTACTACCCTTAAATTATAATGAATTGGTGCGGTAACCTTCTTTTCTGAAGTAACATATGTTTGAGCGATGAGAAAACTTAGGGGCGGATCTGATTTGGGAAACGAGAACTGTTTAGCCTTAAGTTCAGGGACGAATGACACGTATAGTGCACTGTCCTTGCCACCGAAGACCGACGCAGTCTGGTCCATCCTATAAGAAAGAAGTAGTTAGCTGGTTTGTTTTATTCCCAAATCTAGCCAAGCCCAGACTAGCTGGCGGTGGTGGTGTGATCGCCTATGTTAGAGATTATGCAGACAATGCACTCACCCTCCGCTATTCACGCCCACAAACCGCTCACTAACAATTGCAAGATTGACTAATTTCGATTTCTCAATCTCTTTCTGCCCATTCGCTGTAAAAACTGCCAATGCACTTGCGCAAGTAAATGCAGCACTGCTTGATAAACCGCCGCCTGATGGGATTGTCCCGTGAACGAGGACTTTGACACTAGCTGGTATTCCATTCCATCCCTCATTTCTAAGGAGCTCGAGGGCGCCTCGGATACCACATTTAAAGTAATTCGACCAATGATGATCATCGCTGTTTATTTCAACATCACCTTCTAGAGGGATGGTAAATTCCCTCGACGGGAACTTATCAGCGGACAGATTGGCTATCTCTACTGTCGGTTCTTTGCCCTCTGGTGTAGGGGTAGCGGCGACTGCAACTAAGAGATCAATTGCAACGGCCATAGGCATAACTTCATAGAGCATGTAATCGATGTGCTAAGTTTGTACCATGCGCGTGCATGCATTAGCTATAATAAGCCCTTTATTTGGTTTAATACCGGTATCGATACGAGAAATCGAGACTAACCTCTCCAATGATGTTCACCCGCCCTGGCGCTCGAGCGATAAAATCGGGTGCTTTTCCATACAGTCTCTCGAATTCAGTGGCCAGGTCGTTCCATCGTTTCCCCTGCGAAAGTAGAGCTTCGGGAGCGTAGATCTCATCCAAAGATGTTACCTCTGGCACATATACCGTTGACCCCGCCATGGCTTCTTCCGTCCCGCTTTTCGCTACTGCAGCTACTATTCTTTGGTCAAGGGACAACGTTGACACCCGCTAGCCGGTGGAAAGATGGGACCAGATTTCCACAAATTGTTTCTAGTGGTTTTTATCTGGTAAATATACTAAACCTGTAATTTGGAAATTTAGGAACGCTCGGTTGGGTTGATTGTCAGGGACAGGATTCCAAAGCTGCAGGCACTGTATATGGGATGATTTTGTTAACGGAGTTACCCCGCCGCCGCGCACGCGGTTGATTAGTGAGGTCATATCCCGGTCATGTTACAATTCCTCGGTGGGACTCCACCCGCGACGTCGAATCGAATCAAAGCAAATGACAGCAAACACATATTTCCATACATCATTCTGCTGTAATAATGTACCGGTATCTAATCTTTAGCATACCTTACTACGTATTGGTAAATCTTCTATACATACACTTATTCACGCCAGGCCATAAAGGGATTCGAGAGCTCTAGTCAAAACCCAATATTTCCTTTAAAGTATGCACATAGTATGCTCATTGCACATACATCTCCTGCACTTATCTGTCCGTACAATATATATACGTACTGCATCTACTAGATAAATACGAGTCATTGTTAATTATTTATAAAGTCCAACATTTTTCTGGCCCAATCGAATCAATATAATCGTTATCATGATATCAATCCACCTTGGGGGAACGAAGCATTCGAACCGCGAGGTTTCAAATAACCTATATCAGCAGCGCCTTGCATGAACTTGGTAATTATATTCCGTCTCTATACTGACTCGCGACTACGGTCAAAATAAGGTTTAAATTCCGTATGTAGGTAGAAACTAAAGCCTGCCTGCACATGCGGATATATTGTAGGTATTGCATTCAAATATGGAATCGAACGAACTTAACTCCCAGTGCAGTGACAACCATGCCCGTTCCTAGCCGCTCGAGAGATCTACAATCTAGGTCTCCGTCGTGAAGGATCAAGATCACGGTTGCACATGTCTTATTAGATATTCCCGTTTGATAATTGGAGCGCTAGCTTGGGTGATGGAGCGACATCGGAACAACCCTGCCAGGTGCAGTAAAACTGTTCTCCACACTCTCGGCTGAATGGCCTGCCCCAGCCGTATGGCTAAAACCCTTTCGGTAAAATTTTCTGTCAAAACCGCTCCATGTGGTAATCCGTCGTCGAAAAAAAAAAAAGACTGGCGCCAGTCGACATGAATCTGTTACGAGTTGGATGCTAAATGGCCACCGAGAGTCGGGCCATTGTCTGGCCAGAAATGAGTCAATCGAAGCAGCGGTAGTATAGTCCAAGAACCTAGGTTAAACAGTTCGTCGGTAATTAATTAAAGGGTTCTTCCAATCGAGAAATATTTTTATATCCGGCCAAAAGTCCGCATCCCAAAGTTGTGAAGACTCATATTCTCTCTCACACGTCTTTTTTCCATTTTAATAACCTCACCACAACCAACATTACCACTCATCAGATCCCTCCCTACGAATACACTTTGGTCGCCTATTCCTGATACATGCATGCATAGAACTTTCAATATCGCCGTTTTATAGCTCACATTACCTTCACAATGATTCGCAATTCGGCGACCAGGGCGTTATCTCGCCAGGCGCAGGCTTTTACAAAAGCTGCCACAAGACCCCTCCATACTACAACACCGGCCCCAGCTGTATCTTTTTACAGGTCTCTGCGATCACAGAAGAATGAACAATTGAGAAACCAGACTACGTCTACTGCTGCGTATGCTTCTTCTTCTACTTTTTCGTTTTCAATTGATAATTTGGTGGTATGGATTGGCAGCTAATTCGATGTTCTTTTGCTTCACTACAGCTCCACGAGACCTGTTCCTTCACCCTCTTTCCAGCAAGATGCCCCTCCTGCAAAGGCAGATCAATTACACCCTCTGCAGGATCAGAAGCAGCCGGAATACGATGAATCGTGAGATTTTTATTCTAGATTTGACTTTTCTCAATGGACAGTTGGCTAACCAGTGTTTTGCCACCACACAGCTTTGTTGGCATGACTGGAGGAGAAGTTTTCCACGAAATGATGTTAAGACATGATGTCAAGCATATCTGTAAGGAACACATTGGAACGAAACGATTAGAATTGAAATCTAACAATATGACTCAGTTGGATACCCTGGTGGAGCCATTCTCCCTGTCTTCGATGCCATCTACAACTCGAAACACTTCGATTTCATTCTCCCTAGACATGAACAAGGTGCTGGTCATATGGCCGAGGGTTACGCTAGAGCTTCTGGCAAGCCGGGCGTCGTCCTCGTCACTTCCGGACCTGGTGCCACCAACGTTATCACCCCAATGCAGGATGCTCTGAGCGACGGAACTCCACTGGTCGTCTTCACTGGTCAAGTACCCACCACCGCTATCGGAACGGACGGATTCCAAGAAGCCGATGTTGTTGGAATTAGCAGAGCATGCACAAAATGGAACGTCATGGTCAAGAACATCGCTGAGCTTCCAAGACGTATTAATGAAGCGTTTGAGATCGCTACATCCGGTCGTCCTGGCCCCGTTCTCGTCGACTTGCCAAAGGATGTCACTGCAGGAATTCTAAGAAATCCTATCCCAATCCGATCAACCTTACCGTCGTGCCCATCCGCTGCTTCCCTCGCCCTACAGGCTGAAATGAAGAAGCAACTTGAATCTTCTTTGAAGAGGGTCGCCCGCCTCATCAATATCTCCAAGAAGCCCGTCATTTATGCTGGACAGGGTATTCTTGCTAGACCCGAGGGCCCAGAACTCCTGAAAGAACTCGCCGAGAAGTCCAAGATTCCTGTTACAACCACCCTCCAGGGATTGGGAGCTTTCGATGAGCTGGACGAGAAAAGCTTACACATGCTCGGAATGCACGGTAGTGGTTATGCCAACATGGCTATGCAAGAAGCCGATGTTATCCTTGCTCTTGGTGCTAGGTTCGATGATCGTGTGACTGGAACTATCCCCAGTAAGTATATTATGAAGAAATTACCCACGGAATTATACTAACAAATTTTCTCTAGAGTTTGCCCCTGCAGCCAAACTTGCGGCAGCTGAAGGCCGTGGTGGTATTGTTCATTTTGAAATTATGCCCAAGAACATCAACAAAGTCGTTCAAGCCAACGAAGCCATTGAGGGCGACGTCGCAGACAATTTGAAGCTACTCCTCCCACAACTCGAAGCCGTTGAATCCCGCCCAGAATGGTTTTCTCAAATTGCAGACTGGAAAAAGCGTTTCCCCTTCAACTACGAAAGGAATCTCCCCAGCGGCTTGCTGAACCCTCAGACTGTCATCGAAGAGTTATCGAATTTGACTGCCCCTTACAAAGAGAAGGTTGTTATCACAACAGGTGTCGGACAACATCAAATGTGGACTGCTCAGCATTTCAGGTGGAGACATCCAAGATCTATGATTACCTCCGGTGGACTTGGAACCATGGGATATGGTTTACCTAGTGCCATTGGCGCGAAGGTTGCAAGGCCTGATGCTGTCGTTGTCGATATCGATGGCGATGCTAGCTTCCAGATGACCCTTATGGAATTGGCTACTGCTGCACAGCACAACATTGGCGTTAAAATCATTGTTCTGAACAATGAGGAGCAGGGTATGGTCACACAATGGCAGTCCCTGTTCTACGAAGATCGATTTGCGTAAGTCCTCACCCATTTACAAAAAAGCCTAGAAGAAACTTCAAATACTGACTTTTTGTAGACACACCCACCAAGGCAACCCAGATTTCGTCAAATTGGCTGAGGCTATGGGACTCAAAGCCCTCCGTGTGTCAAAACCCGAGGAGCTTAGAGCTGGCATGACATCCTTCTTAGAATACAATGATGGCCCAATCCTGATGGAGGTTATCACAGACAAGAAGATCCCCGTCTTGCCTATGGTTCCCGGTGGAAAGGCTCTACATGAGTTCCTTGTCTACGACTCCGCCAAGGAGGCAGAGAGACGAGCCGTCATGAAGAAGAGATCTGGCCATTAAAACCCTGCCTTTTTCTCGTTTTCCTGAGGAGCGTTGTTGTAGTAATGTTCATATGATGTGGCCTTTTCCTTCTGTAATGTCCTGTTATGAAAAAAAGTTCTTATCTTCGAGCCTATAGGATGGAATTTTGATGGGGGCTCGAATTTGAGTGTGTATACTTCAAATGGGTTTTATTTTCCCTTGGGCGAATGGGGCGTATGCATGTATTGTACTTATTGCTGATCATGGAGCTGATGCATTTTTGCTTGCATAATGAAGTGGAAGTTGGCATAGACGATCGGACCATGGACCACTCCAATAATATGAAAGATCATTCCGAACTCTTTATAGGCCTTTGAAGCGAATCATTCTTCGTGATTTTTAGTGCAGCATTTATAGATTTAAGTAGGTGAATATGTAGTATATTTGTGCAAACCTAGAGCTCATGAAGCACAGTTGTACAGACGTCTCGATATCCCAGCTGTAGTATACCAAGGAATCTAGCCAATCGGGAAGGGTTCTACGGGTGACCGGGAACACTATATATCGATCCTTGGCACTGAGGCTCAAGCCCAACCACTCCTAGTGGGACCATCTGAACCGCCGGCCCTTATACGCTGGCTGGCTCATGAAACTCATAATGAGATAGTAGTAGAGCCTAGAAATGACTCTAGAGTGTTGTGTTAGACGAATATCAAGATATTGATATGGTGATAAATGATATCCCGTATAAAAGCTCGGGGCGCTGTTAATTCCGTATTACCGGACGGAGAGGGACGTAGACATGCACATAAAATTTCTAATTTCTTTTTAAGATATGAAACATTTCAAATGCCATTATACACAATTGACACGCCAGCTACCCCCTCCTTCCATCACCCTTGGTTTTTCAAATATGTACAAACCGCTTTTATCTTATCAAGTCACCAAGATCTCACACCACAGCCTCGGTATTTTAGTGATGTGCTGGCTTCTCCTCTGCAAATGCAGCTTCCTCATCGAACCAATCATCGGCATTCTTCACTGGGACGGCACCTTCAGCAGCAGCAGCATCCGGAACACCAGACTCAGTCTCAACAACCTGAGCCTGGTAAGCGGAGATATCGGATGTCAAGGAAGCTTCACCGAGATCTGGGGTACTGGCAGTAGCTGGGGCCTTCCAGACACGGACTTGGCCTTCGTGATCGTTAGCCTTTGGAGGAGTAGGCTTGTAGGTTTTGAGTTCGCGGAGGTAGAGGTCCTGGACGATATCGGCTATAGAGTGGCGGGGTTAGTATGAGGTTCATGTCGGGATTACAACGGTTTCCGGGAACACTGTCACGAAACCCCATAATTGAGGTTATAGGAAGGGTAAACTAACATCGTCTGGATGCAGAAACAGCGAATGTCCTGGTCTGGCTTTGAAGGGCGGCAGAAGCGCGAGGGAGGATAGACCTCTATGAGAGATATTGACATTAGCAGACTGTTTCAAGACACCCAATTGAAGACCGGAATAATAACCATACCGAAGCCCGTAATGCGAACGACATGTTGAAGGTATTGAGGAAGAGAGGAGAGGAGAAGATGCGTTCCTGCGGGTGGTTGAAGGTCGAGATGAGGTTGGTTATGCGGGTCAACTGACGACAGGCATTGGTACTACATACTCGGTCGTCCATCGGACTCACAATTTTGCAGCCGAATGCTGGTTCCCACAGCTACGCATATGTCAGGCGTAGCTTTCAGCACTAATAATTCGGCAGAGCCGCAACACGGAAAATTTGTCTGCTATTATTAGTCATTCCCCTGTCCACAAATAATCCTCGAGTATCATCGCTGCACGAACCTCAAACCATCTCACCTACACCTCACTCTTCACTATCACCATCGCCATCGAAACTTCGTCTCAACCACCGAAGTCATCGAGTATCGTCCCCGCTTTGATAGCAGCAGTCCTGATACTCATCTCGAACCAGTAAAAAAGCCTCCCGACGGAATAGCAACGTCCTCGAGTCTGGATCCTTCCTTGTCTCGATCTCCCGCCTCTGTTGTCCTATCACATCGGCACTCTTCAGATTGTACTATCTCTACCTCCCCCGTTTTCAGCCTTTTTTCCCCTCTCAATCTGTTCCAGATAGATTGCCCGAGAGAAAGAACAAAACGGCTTGGTGGACACCTTCATTGGTTTCTGTAGCACAGATCTAAAGTCACGGGAATTAAAAAACCACCTCGCTTTTCACAACATCGATCGAGGCGATTCTAGCACGCACTGCGAATCACGACCATTCTTCTAGATTCTAATACGCTTGCCTAGTACTAACAAAGGCAATCTTAAAAGGTACTATGACCCTGTACTCACTTGATGTGTGCTTCAGGTGGCCAGGGAAGTTTTGTTACGAACAAGGCTGACACTTCTCAGAAACTGAAGACCTGAGCCAGTTCCAACGCGTGCAACTCGCAAGGATCGTCTTTTTTTCGTTGCAATCCCACCCAACCTTCCAACAAGAACGTCTGGGATTTCTCTAGACAAAAACATAAGCCCACCATGATGTCAGCTATTGCACCCCCGTATGTCCAGAATAATGGCATGGTCAAACCCGGGGTCCCAGCTGCCGATCGCCCGTTCGAAAAGAACTTGAACATTCACGTAATTTGCAAGGATTGTAAGGAATTCCCTCCAAATCTTGTGGAAGAGTTCTCGTCCGGAGATATAGTGTGTGGCTCGTGCGGCTTGGTGCTCGGAGACCGCACTATTGACACCCGATCGGAATGGCGAACGTTCTCGAACGACGACCAGGGCAATGATGATCCCTCTCGTGTCGGTGATAGCGCCAACCCTCTCCTCAACGGTAACCAGCTAGACACTGGTATTAGCTTTTCCGATGGTGGAAGCGGACGTGCCCGTGACCTCCATCGTGCCCAGAATAAAGTCACGCACGACAAGTCCACCAAGAGCTTGCTAGCTGCCTACAAAGAGATCGGCGCCTTCTGCGATTCTACTAACCTCCAGAAGAACGTAGCCGACACTGCGAAGCAGCTCTATAAGTCTGTTGACGATGCCAAAGCCTTCAAGGGCAAGCCGCAAGAAGTTATCATTGCGGGGTGCATCTTCATCGCCTGCCGAAAGTGTAACGTTCCACGTACCTTCCGTGAAATCTTCGCGATCACCAAAGTTCCAAAGAAAGAAATTGGACGAGTCTTCAAGGCCCTCGAGAAATTCTTTTCGCAGCAAGGCGAGGCTACTGTGGCAGAAATCGTCAGTGGCGGTGGCATCGCTAACGAGAATGCTGGTTACACTTCAACTACCTCGACTAAGGCACATGACCTGATGATCCGTTTCTGTAACAACTTGGGTCTTACGCACAACTTGATCTACATCTCGCAGGAGCTTGCAGAACGTGCCGCTCAAAAAGGAACACTTGCTGGGAGATCTCCAATTTCATCCGCTGCTGCGTGTATCTACATGATCTCGCATCTTATGCGTCAACCCAAGAGTGCAAAAGAGATCTCAGCGGTTGCTGGTGTCAGCGATGGTACTATCAAGACTGCCTACAAGCTGCTCTACAACGAACGTACAGCATTGGTCGATCCCAAATGGATCGAGAACGGCAAGGGTGACATTGGCCTCCTTCCGTCGTCCTAGAAGAAACACGCGAAGAATCAGGGCGATGTTGATACCCCAGCAACTGAACAGTCGGCAATAACGCAAGAGAATAAAACGCAAGGAGGGGCACCAAATACGGGTGCGCAAGAGGGCAAATACTTCACCGAGGAGGAAATTGAAAAGTTGGCAGCACAGCTTGCTCAGATGACACTTGCCGCCGAGCGAGTGAGGCAGCATGGGGACCCGAAAATAATTGAGGAGGTTGAAAGAAGGCTCAGAAATCTTCACTTGTCATTTGAGAAGGCCAAAGCTTTTTCAATTGCTAGACGGGAACAGACGAAATTCTCTTCTGCGTCTGGTTCCGCCTGAGGGTCTACCACGAGGGTTCATAGGTATAGCGAAGGTGATAACATAATGCCACACCGTCGCAACATCTCTAATCCAGGAAGCTCCTCCAACCCGTTTCAGTTCACTCCAAGTTCTCTTTACGCCGGTCTTCACCTTCGAACGCAACATCGCACTCCTCTGACATATATATTAATTCTGGTATTTTTTTTAGGCATCCCTTTTTTTATCTTTCACGGAACTGTTTATTGTCCTCAACAACTAATAATACAAGTTCATACCCTTTTCCCTTCTTGCCTTTCCTTCTCCAGGTTTTCATTGCAGTTTTGCTTTTATCTTCCAAAAAACATTTTTTTAGATCGAATACCCTTCCACGCCATCAGTGCTTTATTAATATAAACTCCCCATAGATCGCACTAGAAGCTGCCTCTTGTTTATTCGTTTTTTACCCGTTTACTATTTTCTGTTCTTATGTATCTTTTCTCCCTCTCCCCTTTCCTTCATCCAGGTACACTAAAAATGGGTTCGGTTTCGTCGTTTCTGTTTTTTTTTTTTTTGATTTCGTCCTTCCATGACTTTTTTCTTTCTTTTTCTTTCTTTCTTTCTTTTTTTTTTTTCTTAACCCAGTCCCTGCAAATTAGCGATTCTGTTGCCTTCCCAGTCCTTATAGTTTCTCTCATTGTCGTTTTCGAGGTAAGTATCGACCATATGGTCAGAAATATACAAAAAGAAAGAGTCAAAAGACAAAAAGCTGAAAGGGGGTTGTGAATATGCTTATAGGACGCTGCACTAGAGCTGATAGACTGGATATTATTACAGTTACCGCCTTCGATGTTTGTATTCGAGGCAGCTGTCCTGCTCACTATGGAAGATGGGGAGGTGCTGATTTTATCATTTATGTTTACGGGGCTTCATTGCGTCATGGGTTCGCGGGATCCGGGATATATACTTATACCGGACGCCAAAAGACCGCCCACACCTTCGAGGGCGCGCACTTGTCCCCACTATGAAAACACAATTCTACAAAAAAAAAGAAGAAAAAAGGAATTCAAAAAAATCAAATCAAAGATTGATCATGATAGCTTCTGCTAATTGCGCCTGTCGATTCTTTCTCTGCTCCGGTATAGTCCTGATGCTACTACCTCCAGCTCTCGTGCGTCCCATACATGTCAAATAGAGAATTGAATGCAGTAGTTATTGACAAGATCGTTTCTCTCGATTACCCGTGACCCGTGATCCGTGCCCGCTCCGACCTAAGAAATAATATATTTTGACTATAATACATAGATAAATAGAGTCCCTGTATCAATCCATATCCATCTCATTATCAGACTCCGCATTACCATTACCATTATCAACGTCCTCTCCAACCGTAGGGTTATTCTGCCCGATAACCGGCGTAGCTTGATGAACATCCAAACACACGTCTTCCACCCTCACAAACCCACCTCCGGTCCCAGCCGCCGCCCACGTTCCATATCCCAAATTATTATTCCACCCGACTTTTGTAATATTCGTATGATACGTATAGAACGGCAAGCCAACTGCAACTCTATTCCGATGAACCACCATCTCCGGTTTAAACCCATCCAACATTCTGAACAACCCCGTGGTAGGCGCGTACTCCAATTGAAACCATACCTGCTGCATAGCCTGACATTTCGAGTAAAAATATTTTCTTACTAGATTTGCTATCCTGACTTTCCCGTCCCTACCACCGTTTAGAAGGAATGGATGGAGACCCGTTCCGCAACCCGTTGATGCGGCTATTGTATCCCCTGGGTTGTTAGAGCAGAGGAATCCGCCGGATTTTTTGGCTTTGCGGATTCCCATGCATAAAACTCCCGAGAGATCTTCCGGGTAACAAAGTGATTGGGCCATTTCGCACCAGGCTATCGGTGTAGACATAGCTACTGTTCTGGTTCTGTGGGAGAGGGTATTGGAGATACCTGGCTCGCGGATATCGTGCATGTTGAAGCTTCCATCCATAGAGTAAGTGGCAATCATGTCTGGAAAACTGGGGGCTAAAGAAGAGATTGAGCAGATGTAGCTGGCGGCAATGTAGTGGTATGATTTCGGGAGGTGTTCTTTGCCTGGGAGTGTTACGTTTAGATCATAGATTGCAACTGAACCATTTGCACAGCCGAATGCAAGGGTATGGTGGTTTATCCAGGTAAACACTGTAAAGAGAGTATCGTTTAGATAGAGGGTTTGCATGGGTTCTGTGAGTTTGTAGACCGGAGCGGTTGAAGGAGATGTTGATGGGGGGTGTTCTTTGACTTCGATGAGACGGGCTTGGCCATCTTCGAAGAGGGCCATGAAGTGGCCGATGATACCTTCCTTTTTCACAGGGGCATTTCCTGGACGCCATTTGATCTCCGTTGGAGCACCCCAGTCTGTGAGGAGGGTGTGATCGAGCGTCGGAGGGGGTTTAGGTGTGGTGTTCGGTTTCGAGATCGGGATACGCCAGATTTGAATCTGAGAAGGACATACGCAGGGTGCAAAACCTGGTGGTAATTCCTTGATTGCCGGCTTAGCTTCCTGGAATTTTGTCCCTACCGCGAGGAATTGATTGTCGCGACCGTCTTGCTGAGTTGCCCAGTCCAAAGACTGTATTTCGTTGCCGCAGTTGATAACCCATCCGTTTTTACCATGGAATAAGTCAGGTGCTGTTAGGCTGACTGATTCGTGGATATTTAATTGAAACTTCTTTTGTTGCCCGGATCTCGTGAAGGGGCCTAGCAGCAGCGATAGTGGCTTCTTAGGGACCTGCCAATAATACTTCGCGATTTCATCGGCATCTGCAACCCTATCGAGCAAAATTGACTTTTGAAAAGGCATCATTCTTTCGATATAGATGCCTTTAGCCAGTTCCTGGGCCTCTCTCTCGGGATCGAAATCCAGGACCTTGCCAACATTTGCTCGGGCCGGAGCAGATATGTCGTAGATAAAGGGCCTAGCTATTTCTTTTCTCCTAATGGCCATCGGATCAACTTCATGATCACCCCAGTACGAGATATCCTTCATTCGTCGAATCATTCGTCGGTGGAGAGCAACAGGTGTATTCATGCCCTTTAGCTTTTTCAGCTTGGTAATTCGACCTTTCTTCGTAGGAGTCATAGGGCCTATCCCTTCATCTTCTCCATCATCAGATGCTCCATCTTCATCCGGGTCCGCTTCATCCAGTGACATTTCATCGGGATCCTCGCCATAAACCTCCTCTGGCGCATCTCCTTCTTCTGAGTCGGATGCTCTAGAGGCCCCTATAGAGACTTTTTTAGGTGCTTTGGCAGAGGCCTTCGTAGGGGCCTTCGTAGAAGCCTTTGGGGACGCCTTCGTGGCAGCTTTCGTGGCAGCTTTCTTCGGTGCCTTAGCCTTTGGTTTTCTGGTTTTTGGTGTAGCTTTAGCTCGACTCGGAGGCTGGAACTTATCGGAGCTCTCGAGAGCATCAAGCTCAATCATAAGTCGCCGCTCGCGACGTGATTCTTCCGATTCATCGGAATCTGTGCCGTATTCGCCTAGGACAATTGGTTTTCGCTGAATAACAGCTTGTCTTTTCGGTCTTGATGGCGTCGTAACGGTTGAAGAAGCTGCTGCAGCTTCTCCATTATCTTGATCGGTTGCCATGATGTCTTAGAAGTTATTGAAGATTCAATTGAGAGCTCGGTCTGCTGTGTTCCGTCTGAGTCTATTGCGAATGCTGGTTGGCGGACTAAACATGATATCGCTGGTTTTTCCTACGAAGCTAAACTGAAAACGTCGATACCTCCATACACCCCGGTACGTAGGGAAGTCGTAGGTGCGATTTTGAGTATGTACTTGGGGACTAGTATCGCTTTGATCAGGCCTGGTGCCTATACGAGTGTTAGCTCGATATCGGATGGTTCGATGGTAAAGGTTCGAGGTCAAGATAAGAATAGGTTAAGGTTGCAGTGGATATATAATCGGACGACTGCCCTTGCATGAGCTAGCGCGGTCGTTGACAACCGCGGCAAATCAGCGACAAGGTCCCCAACCTCCCAGTACAAGCAGGCAAGCTTAATCCAAGAAAACATCGCCAACAAACCATCCACAGTCGCTCTGGGCCTCGCCAACGTGTACAACCTTTTTATCACGAAAACATACGACGCTTTCACATCCGGTAGACAGTACACCTCCTCGCACGCTGATCATCGAAGTCGGTCACCTCCCACGTTAACGCGCCGAAAAATAGCCCCACGCTTACTTACATACCTCACATCGCAGCCGACATAACGCTAGTCTCGCTGTGCGCTGTCCCACATTCAAGACATAGACGAACAGACCCGCACATACACCACATACACACGATGTCGCATCTACAAGCACAACGTTCGGGAACCCGAAGGACTAATTCCGGAGCCCCTGAATCCGATACAGATGCCGGCAGGCTCTCAGATTCTACTCTCATAAACGAAGAAAGCTCAGCCGAAGAACCCGGTCTATTGATCCCGCTCAAAAGACAAGCATCCATCCCCGAATATGACGAAGATGATAAATGTTGGATATGCCTCGAAACAAGAAGGGATGAAGAGGCTTCTCCGTCTGCACACGGTATCTGGAAGAAACCATGCAAATGTGCACTCACGGCACACGAAGGGTGTTTGTTAAACTGGATCTCGGATATGGAAAAAACTCCTTCGAGGATGAGCAAGACGATACAGTGCCCTCAATGCAAGTCAAATATTGTATTGAAGCAGGAGAGGAGCGCGATAGTTGACCTGGGCAGGATGGCTGAGAAGCTTGTCCGACAAACGAATTCGATAGCTATCTTTGCCGGTCTTGGCTCAGCCTTCTTCGTTACATGCACGGTATATGGTATGAAACCATTGCAATAAATAAATGTTAGGGCTTATATCATGAAACTAACGATTTACAGGTGTCAACGCGATATACTTGATATGCGGTACCAAAGAAGCAAATTCCATAATTCTAGGTCCAAACGGCCGTGATTTTGAGTGGACATGGCGCCTTGCAACAGGTTTGCCGATGCTACCTATGGTCCTCATAGTTTCCAGGACAAGGCTGATGGATGCTACTCTGCCAATCCTTCCTCTCATCTTCTTCTGTCGGGATGAGCCGCTACACCTGTCCTTACCCCCTTCGCCGGCGGTTACCCTCGCCTTGTTGCCTTATGCGAGAGCCATCTACGAAAGTGTTTACAACAAGTATCTGCTACCATACGACAAGAAATGGTCGGCAGAGATCGGCCCAACAACTTCTACTCAAGGATCCGAGGAAGATAACGTTGGATTAGAAATACAAGTCCGAGATATAGATGGCGGCGAAGCTGAAAACGGTAATATGGATGAAGGAGAAGAGGGTGCTGTTGCCGGTGATCAGGCAGAAGCCTGGAGGGTAGAGAGGGAATTGGTTTTGGGACCAGAAACTGCCAATCTTGTCGTTGGAGCGCTGTTATTTCCGGGCGTGGTTGCAGCAGCAGGCGGTGTGCTCGGCAAGATTCCGTTTCTTCGCAGAATACTTCCGGAAAGATTTCACCGAAACATCTTAGGTGGTTGTCTCTTCGTTTTGATCAAGGTAACCCTCCAAAGAAGAAGAAAATTGAATCAGTTCTTAAAAGGTCCAACGGGCTATGCTAATGTTTATTGGTATGTTGGTAGGATATATTCACGTTGTATTACAAGTATAAGCGCGCGAAGCAACGTCGAAGCCGTGAGATCTTGAACTATCAAAAACGGATAGTCCGTCAGGATGTCAATGCAACAACTGCGCGTCGAAGATAGACCTTCAGCTACCATTCTCCTTCCGTCGCATTCGCTCAACTGTTTCAGATTTTGTTATTCAACTCACATGGCATCGGGTAGGGTATGTATGTACACAAAAAATCGGCGTTCAGAGACGTATCACTCGGGAACCTATATGCGTTTTGTTTGCTTGTTGCTTCCTCTCAACTCTGGATGTTGGAATGTTTACAGGGCGTAAGTGGACTGTTTGCAGCCTTTTGTTTTGTTTTTTTTATGTTTCAATCATTGAATGGTTGTTATAACTTGTACAGATAGCTAGCTGTCTAGGAGAGCTCTGAGAGGTAACCAATAGAAAGAAAGAAGATGGGAATATCCCCCCCCCCTGTCTAGACATCTCCAACATCTTTTGGAGATATACGACACGATAATATTTTACTCTCGATATTGTACTTTTTTGGCCTCCGGAGATGGTAATTCGGTTCGAGGCGTTTTGGTGTACTTGTCATGGAGCTCCTCCGCTCGCCTACGACTAGCTTACCAATATTGCGGCTCTCATATAAGGCAGTCATAAGGATTCGGTACTATAGGACTCATCCTAAAAGGAAAAGGATGCACGTTTAGGTTGGGCTTTTTGATATCGTCTAGATTTAGGAGATAGGCGCATGCATCTTTGCGAGGGAATAGAAATGGAAGGGCCGATGTTCCGTGGTAAGACGGAGCGATGACGAAGGTGTGACTTGTGAACCATCTACCAATGCGACCAAAGTAAAATGTGATCAGGATCGAAAATGCTACCCTTCAGCGAATCGACTTACGTACTATCCCGATGGATACGGTTATGAAAAAGTGATCTCAGGGGTATATACGAAATGGTATTTACCGGCGGAATACGCCTCGAGTTCACGAGAATATGCCGAACCCTCCTTTTTGGTCATCTCACTCGCACCACAAAAGGGAAAATATTGAATTATGAATCCACAAAAGTATATAGATGCGACAGCAATATCAGGCTGAGCTAAGACGATTTTCGTTTTTCTTCCAAGTCCCATGATGCAAACTTTTTTTTATTATTCATTCTTTTTGATGATGAACGAAAAAAAATCATCAATGAGGTGAAGCTATGACCCATTCAACATCGATAATTGTCCAATCACAGATCAAATCGATATGATCTTCCCACCATCACGGTAATCGGGGTTTATCAGGGCGCTTCCAGGTAGTCGGATGGGCCAGCGCCGAGACTCTGCTCTTTTAGCCCTCTTTTAACCTTTCTTTTTGGCTGAAACTTCCCCATATGAAGGTGTGGTGGGGAAGTATCCACCATATCGTTCATCTCCACACCCACCACGCAAACATTTTGGCTATTGGAAGACCCACGAGCGCAGGTGACTTGGAGATTCCGCAACCTATCGAAAATGGCGGGACATTTTCCAACAAACAGTTACTGCCAACCCCGCCCGCCCCTCTACCAAAGCAAAAAAACCGACGAAGGGGGAAAAGAATGACTTCCCGTGTGGATTTTGTATTTGCTACCGTCGATGATATCTTGTCGGGCGGCACGGGTCGTTTTTCACTGGTTGGATAATTTATTCTTGACGTAACCAGAACCTTTTTCGGGGGATAGCTCCCACCCAAGTCACGGGGTTTTGGGATCTAGAATTAATACGAGGATCAGTCGGGTCTGTCTGGGTAAAAAAGAATGCAAATCGCAAATGATACCGCACTCGGGTTTCCCAAGAAGATGGTTTCTGGGAAATTTTCTTTTGGGAAGGCCTATGTATGGATTAAAGGAAAAAAAAATTCGAGGAAGCCGGAGGAGTTGCCGACTTTGTCAGTGGGTCCCCATAAGTGCGTTGGATTGTTGGAAGTTGGACAATGTAGATGCTGAGTGCAGCTTGCAGCTGCAGACCTGCTTTGGCTTAGTCTTCCAATTCTAATATTCTAGCTTCTAATATTATCAGGCATCCACTGTACCAACTTCGAAGTAGTTAGTAAGTAAGTGTGAAGCTATAATTGGTTGGAAATGGGAAACCGAGGCTTCTATGGAGGAATCTAATCGCAAACAGGTATGCCAATGTACTGCCAACATAGCACCCTCAAGCACAAGCACTAGCTCTAAGCTTGTAAAAAAAATAAAAGAAATAAAAGAAAATAAAAGAAATATTTTCACGGACCAGCTGTTTGTGTGACGGACGCAAGGAGCTTGCATGTCCCTTCGTTTCTCGTCTAAAAACATGTAAGTCGTATGTAGGGTGAAGCCGCGTGAGTGTACGGAGGGATATGCGTAAACAAAAATGAGACGAACTGAAGCAAGGGGGGTAGGAGAAATCCCAATGACCTCAGCGGCTCTCGGTACGGAGAAGTACTCTCCGCATAGATCGTACGGTTTAAGTGACAGAGAGCAGATCGATCTCGGGATTGGAACTCCACATGCATATTGAGAGCCATATCTCGTATCAGGTATTTTGAGGATTTACCGAAGAAGAAACATGGAGATGCGCATATGCATACTCCGTATAATCCGCATTCGCACGGTTGGACATGTATTTTTGATTCCTTTGATTCTCCACGTTTCATGCATCGATATACATAGTAATAATGTATCCTCGATGGGGTATCCTCCTCGATGGGTCAATTTGCAAAGGAGGCTCATAGGTCCAATTGGCAAGAATTGATCCACTTCGTACATGAATGAAGCTTGAGTCGGGGAGCCCGTATTTGCGAGGAGCCGTCCACTAGCCGTACTAGCAGCCGAACTATCCACTCATCGATGTCGATTATCCGTGCATTTAGTATACTTCCGTTGTTATTTCTCCGGTGAGCTGATCCCGATGTCATAGTCGACTCACGAGCTTAATTGTGCCACAGGTAGCTGTTGGATTTTTTCTTCCCGTTGAGAAGATTACTACTGGCCAGCTCGGGAAATGCTTTTCGTTCGGATGTGTCGACCGAATTAAGGACAACTACCGCTTTCGTGTATCTCCGTCCTGCTGTTAGCGCCTCATAGCCTGACGCCGTCGGTCGTGTGCAGATGGCCATTCGCCAACTGTCCCCGTCCGAGAAAGAAACACCTTGGTCTAAGACCATTCAATCTCGCGTAGACTTTTTTTTTTGGCAGCCAGGGTTAGACATGCAGAAGGGAGGGTTTCGTGCGTGTTCAATGGCCTGACTCGGGAAAACTCTGGGCTTGGACGACGTAACTACTCGACAGGGGTCATTCTGTTGCGCCACAGTTGCAGCTGCAACTGGGAAGAATCTAGACCGCCGCTCCGATTGATGGCGGTGTCCGACGCTCAGGCAGCACCACCGAAAAACTAGTCTCCTCGGACTTAATTCTTCCAGTCCGACCTTCGTGATATGCACGCCAAAATACCCGACCAAGCTAGACGAGTACATTTTTTTGGCTTTGCCAAAGCCAGGTTCATCTGAGCAAAAAAGGCGGTCAGCTCGGACGCCATACATGAGAGACTTGCAGATACTTCCTATACTTGTGCAACTTATTGGAAAAGAAGCTGCATATCCCAAAATTCAACCCTCATCTAGCTGGTAATTTTTGACGATTGGCATTCTTGACGACTGCTTTCGGCAAAGCTCGAGATCTAACAAAAAGCTTTTCAACGCCATTTCTCAAGGATGTGCTCGAACCCTTTCCATGCTAGGTAATTAATAATTTGCATGGGTCATACATAACATCATGAGGCATGATTGCAAGGATTCACAAAAAAAAATTTTGACATCTGCAGCTAGAATAACGGGTAGATAATCGGTTGTTCACAAGACAAGTTCGGCTGCGAAGATGTACGCTGTGGCAGGGTCTTGAGATCTCCGGACAAGCATATATCCAAAATCATGATTATTCTCCCTCGTTTATGCATGGGCAGCCGAGGACATCATTTTTGGGGTGAATCTTGCGAGGATGATCCAACAATAGAACAAACTAGAGGGCATTCTCAACCGCTGTAGACGGTCATCCGGACGCTGCGGATAGAAAGGAACACCCGATCGGTTCCCTAGATCAGGATCAGGATCTCCAGTCCTTAACAGCATATTTCCAGGAATATTACTGGTCATCTTCCGCTTAATTCCCGTTTGCTCATGTAAGGGGCAAAAGGGAGTGAATATTTCAAAGAGAGAAAAATGAAAGATCAAAGTGCACATGACTGACTATCTCGAGGGGAGACGAGCTCGTCTTTTTTTTGGTGTCTCTCAATCCTTACACCGATTTCGAATATGGGCTGAGGAAACGGAACACAATCATGTTAAACGAGGATAAACGTGGGAAAGGCATGCCGTGATTGTTATCAGGGTGGGTCATAGCGTGTGAGACCACGTTTTATGCCCTTACTCCAAGACAAAACCCTTTGAGAGCATTTCTGAGGGAAACGAGGAGGTGCATTTCTTCGATTACCCAGGGATCAGATGATCATGGGCTCGTCGAGACCTCTCTCGCTTCGAATTTGATGATAATCCCATGTAAGGCTACGGGATGCCACACGAAATCGAGATCCACTTTGTAAAACTCTCCTTTCTGTCGCACTTTGGTAATATCGTTTAATTGCTTGACCGAGCTGACCCGAGTGCGAGATGATGATCCAAGTCTTGGGAGCAAGACATCAAAAGCGAAAAGCGGCTTATCCGTTAGATGGAATCTCCCAGACACTCATTCTCGGTAAACGCACGGAGGCCGCGAAATAAGCAGTCCTCTCGGGTTTGGGAATTTGCCGGCTGGGTTTTCTGCAAATGAACACTTCAGGAATATTAATAACAGCTGTTGGATATTTGGAACTCTCTCTCGTCCGATGCGCTGCAAACGGCGAAGCCCTTGCTGCCTTACAGTAGCTCAAGGCTTATGCAAAGGAACTCCTCATAATCATGATGTAGAGCTTTTTTCCTTCTTTCTCAGAGGGTTTGTCGAATTGGGTTCGATCGAATGATTAGGACCGTAGTTGCTATAGCCTTTCAGGCCAACTTTTGTGGCCGACTGTGCCGTTTTGCCCGCAAATTGCGCATATATGGCCCTCAAAACGCTTGGGCATTTGCCTTGGCCATCGAAAGATGATATCTGAGGATGAAACTTTGGGTGGAGCCTCTTCGAATCGCAATCCGACCAAATCCCCACCGTGTACGAAACACAGGTGCCAATGCCGTCCCGATAGCCGAGTAGAGGAAGGCAAGTGAGAGTGCTCACCCTTTGATCTCCGTTGTTTGCTGGCTAGTTTTTGCGAGGGCCAAGTTGGAGTGCATGTGTTAGTTTGCGATCCATGAATTCAGATTGATTGTTTTCAGCAACCGGAGTCGCAATTCGACCAAACGGCTCAATCAACTTCATGCGATGGGCCACTTTGCTGGCAACCCGAGATGTTTCAATTCGATATAGTGGAAACGATCTGCTGGCTCATGCGCCATCATGATTGGGTGGGCAAATGACCTCGAGGCGGAGGACAACGCATAGTCACGGCAGGGGGACTCGGTGTACTTCGTGTACTTCTTTCCAGAAGTGCGGTACTTCCATACAGACTGGACCACGAGGATAACCAGATGCAGGACACAAGAAACCAGCATTAGCATGGACTAACTAAACATCAGACCAGGCTGTCTGTGGAATGGAAATGAATGTGCTGGAGATTTCTGGCAAATGAGAGCGATGACCCAACGCTAGCAGCCGCTAACCATAGACAGCAATTATCTTCAAAAACCATCTCGTCGGTGTCGGTTGCTCCAATCAGCGATGTCTCCACGGGCTTCCCAGCAAGCGGAAACCGAAAATTCTGGAAAGGAGGTGTGGGTGGGGAAGGGCTTGCCGACGATACAGATGGGGGAAATCCTGATTCGAATTTCCCCAACGTCCATATTTGAAAAACAGCCTGATTTTCTGGTGACTGCTCCGCAGATTGACGTAAAGATTCCCTGCTACTGCTTCAAGGTGGCAAAGAATGGCATTGCTGAAAGAGACCACCTTCATATGACTAAAGCTGAATATCGTCCGATCCTTAGCCAATCAGAGCCCGGCCGCGATGAGCGATAAGGAAACATGCCCAGGCCTGTCTCTGATTAAAATTGAAGGGATTTTTCTGGAGGAGCGCGCCTCCCAAGAATAAAATCTGGGTTAGACCAGCACAGGAAGGAGACAGGGCCTCCCCGCAAGATGTGGCTTGCACGGACGGAATGGTATCTTGGTGACAGTGCGCAGCCTGGTTAGTGTCTTGAATTCGCAAGATCCAGCATGTGGCTGATATCATTCTTTTGCTATTGTTGCCTCTGGATTATATTAACAAGAATTTTTATGCACTCGTCGAAATCCGGTCGGCCATGTTGGGAGCAAGAACCGATATGTACAGGTGAAGAGAGAAAAACTGTACCTTTTCTCCATGATACATACATATGTACATCGTCAAAGCAGGAGACTCCACTTCAGCACGAGTATCTGGAGATCGGGCTTATTTTCGTGGCTCCAATCGGTTAGCATTCGGCCTTAGCTACTTTTGACATCGCCTAATTCTGATGACTGTCTATTATTATCAAAAGCTACTGTATCCTCTCGGCTTTAAGCCCGTGGAAGCGACTTCCCAAATTAACAGCGTGAATAAGGGGAAAAAACTTCTTAACAAAGTTGCATATGTGTGGGGTGTGTGAAGGAAGTAACAATTTCAGGAAGCTCAAAGCTAATATTCATGTATATAACGGTAAGCTATAACGGTATAGGCGACAGCCTATAGGCCAACGTTCAATGTCGGGCAAGGAAGACTCTGTTTCGTCCAGGTATGGAAGTAGCTGTCAGAGCAGCCATTGTCTTGCGGTATGTACCGCTTAGCAAGATTATCGAAAGCTAGTTTTCCACGATGGACGTACGAGGCCTGGACCCCACCAAGGGGATGGTCCAAGGATCGATCTCGATACTAGTGTAAAGGGTAAAAAGATGCCTAAATAGCATCTGCTCAACCTGTGTACTTGTTAAGTACAGAGTATTTTCTAGCCTCGTAGATCGTTCAACTCAGCCCTTGCACCAGCCAGCGGCTGTAGATACTTTGGCAGCATGTATTGTACAGATGGGTACCTTGTTATTGAGGAAGGATCAAGGTACCTTCTTGAGCTTCTTAGCTTGTTTCTCTCAACGAAATGCACGCAACCTAAATGCAGAAGCGAGATAGTTTATTTTTGTTGGCAGATTGGGGCGAGGAGCGTCTAGTTTGCAAATGTATTTCTGATGTACCAGCTATACTTCCAAATCGTTACCCTGCATGGAAAGTCCGAACGGGTGATATGCTCCAGTCGACATGCGAAACAGAGCAGAATGGACCTGGGGTATACATGACACCAATACGGGGGGCGTTTTGCCTCAGAGACGGCCTAGAAGGGAATGGGAATTTAGTATTTCGACATATTGAATCCTAATAAGGGTACAAGCAAGTCATTCGACATGTTTTGTGCCTTCAGACCGAGCCGAGCGGAGTAAACAATCATTTTAGCAAGCCATCAAAAACAAAAGTTTAAGTTTAAGTTATCATACAATACATATATGTAAATAGGTTTTATTAGGGAGCGTACTGTCACAAAAGGGAATATGCGGCTGCTGGGGTCTATCAGATTACGATCTTATGGGCGGCTGTTGCAGTGCCGGTTTTCTGACAGCGAAATTCGAATCTGAGTACGTACCGAGCAACGTTATTAGTGATCAGGAGCATGGGATCGGTCGATCTGATGACGCCCAACGGCTAACGTATAACCAATGAAGACCTGATCCATCGACGGGCCTTCTAACTGATGTTACTTTTATAGTTCGCCAACACACTTAATAGGAATAGAGGGTGGCTAGTGACTAACCTCAGGCGCAAGAGAGTGTTTGGCCTGGCGCAACATTGTTGAGTTATAATATATATTATATGAGTACAGGTCAACGTTGTAAAACACTAGAAGCCAGAAGTTTGTCCTCACATGTGATAGTACTGTATTTCCAACGGATAATTATGTATACATGACTTCGGCGAGGGAAATCTTTCGAGTCCAACCTCATTGCATGCATCAGTTGGTCTTTTTTATGATGGCTTGCTGCAATTCTATGCAAGGTTCTAATGATGCATGCCTTGGGCTTAAGAATAACTAACATTTTAACAGCCGCGAGGAAATTCAAAATGCAACAATACATACTTACTAAGTACTTACTTAGAATAGTACTACATCATCATTTGATAGTCGGTCTATCATAAAAAAAAAAAAAAGAGTACAAAGAATGGCCGATATGTCATTCGAATGGCAAAAATCATAATCAAATGCGCCAAAGAAAGTAGCCTTCCGAGTGGGCCAGGTACTCAACGGTACTCCTATTTCCTTGGCTTTCGCGTCAGCCCGCGTAAGGGCAGGGGTATGGCCAACCAAGCATACCATTATCCAGGCTGTCGAAGAAAAGCATCCATCGGCACAGACTCCATATCAAGATTTGAAAAACAAATCATGGGGGGAAAAAAAGCGACCGCCGATGACCAGCGTGCAGACTGCGCATCTTGGAATTTGTTTTTTTTTAGATTGATTGATTGATTCTCGGTTCTGTGGAGTCGTGTATTGTCTGTATGTCTTGATGTATTGATGTATGTACCTGCTCGAGTTTTCGCCGCTTGAGCAGGTACTTCGGCATGTAGGATACCTATCCTTCTCCAGTTTGTTCACCCACCATCGTCACCTGGTACCTTTTGGATCGCTCTCGCAAGGAAAAAAAGCAGGCATAAGGATTCGAAGTAACACTCCTCACAAAATGACTGTCAAAGTACAAATCTGTACCTAACCGACGCATGGCACTGGGATTTGGAAGAAGAATGGCAAACCAAAAAAGCAAATCCTTGCCTCCGAGTACATACATACATACCGTGTACACAGTACGGTGCTGTCCTCCTTCACACAGGATTTCCCTTTGCTGCTAATTTTGCTCAGAAGTGTGTGTACTGAACCCAGTCTAGTCTCTGGGTCGTTTGAGTCGTGTTACTCTCTCGTGGGTCAGGTTCCATCCGTATTTGCTCCGACGAGCCACTCATTTTGTTCCAAATGATATGCAATACATACACGCACATGCATGCGGTCTGAGAAAAAACAGAGCAGGCAGGCTACTGTACAAAGCTGCGGCTTTGGAGACGCATACTCACACACGTACCGACCCTAAGACGAGGGCAGTTCCGGAGGGACCAAAAAAATGTCATAGCCATGTTTTCTTCTTCGCCATATCGTTAAACCCTCCTTGTTGGAAAGGAAGGGAAAAAAAGAAAAGAGAAGAACAGAAAAAGAAAAAGAAAAAAGTAATGTACATATGTACATTTAGCAGCTTGTAAGCCAAAAGGCCGAAGGGGAAGTATTACACATTCAGGAGACCCTCTAGGCATTAGCTGGTGGTAGCTCCTCCAAGAACAGACTCTTTACCTTTACCTTTACAGCCCCCAGACTAGCCATACCAGACCAGACCAGACCAGACCGAGGAGAAGGAGAAATTTGCTGGGTCTTGTTAGTAGCTGCTTACACTTCATATCGGTCATAAAGGCACTTTCACTCAGTCGGGGGCAGAGTGGCACACACCACCGAAATCTTAATCCGTTCAAACTTGGGTTTTTTCCCCCCTCGCACTCGTCACACCGCAGAGACAGCCAACAGCCCAGCCAGCGAAGGATAGTACTATAGAAAAAGCAAAACCAGTAGGGTTGAAAGAAGAAAAGAAAGAAAAGAAGAAGAAGAAGAAGACAGAAAAAGAAAAGAGAGAAATAAAGAAAGAAAGAAAGAAAGAAAGAAGAAAAAGCAAATTGACGAAGAAGTTCTATCATTCGCCCTTAAGTTCGTTCGATAATAGAACTCTCCCCACCATTAGCCCTCCACACCCCTTGCCTGCGGTGTAGTGACGAATAAGAAGAAAGGACCTCGCATTGCTTGTACAACTCAGTTCTCCATACTACCGGACTTTCCTACTTATAGCATTATTGCTTGCTTTGCTTTGCGACGTTCCTCAAATACCTCACCACTTCCAACCTCGATTTTTATATATCTTCACTACATTCCCTCTATACTCAAATATTTCTATACATACACTCATACATACTTATTATTCTATTGCTTCGAATTCTGTTTGTTGAATTTCACCAAACAGACAGAATATATATCTTGCCAGATCTTTCTCTTCGACTTGATTTGACTTGCCGGATGACATTGCAGTAATTCGAAAATCGTCTTTTATATAACATCCAAATACATCCCCTACCGACACTTTCTCTATCTCTATATCTCTCTCTCTCCGACAATTTAACTACTACTACTACTTACTACTACTACTACTACTACTACTACTACTACTACTACTACTACTACTACTACTACTCTCTCTATATCTTATTTCTACACCAGTCAGTCTCTTTGTGCTGCAAGTTCTCATTCGCTACCAAGTTCAACCTCATCACAACACATCTCACAACACATAAACATGTCGGACATCTCGTTACCCTCCCAGGTTGCTCTCACCGCCAGACCAGAGGACAGAATAGGCCACCTACTCGCTGGTAGAATAGAACTCACCGGCATCTTGGGTGTTGGTGCATATGGCGTCGTCTACACCGCGGTCGACATTTACACTCACATTCCATATGCCGTCAAGGCTCTATCCAGAGTTGGGCTCGATTCGCGACAGCGCAGGTTCCAGGAACGGGAAATCGCCCTGCATCACCGTGCTAGCGCACATCCAAATGTTGTCAACCTTGTCAAGATCATTTCTGATATTGACTGTACTTATGTCATTATCGAATACTGCCCAGAAGGTGATCTCTTCACAAACATTACCGAACATGGTAACTTCGTAGGCAACGACATCTTGGCCAAGAGGGTCTTCCTTCAACTCTTGGATGCTGTAGAGTACTGCCACTCCTTGGGAATCTACCATCGGGATCTAAAACCAGAGAACATCTTGGTCACCGATAATGGAACCCAAGTTAAACTCGCAGACTTTGGTCTTGCTACTACAGAACCAATCACCTCTGACTTTGGCTGTGGTTCCACTTTCTATATGTCACCTGGTAAGTACACTCACACATATCGATGATATATAAAAAAAACATCACATGATGCTAACAACTTTTCTTTTTATAGAGTGCCAACAGTCTCCATCTAGAGGATCTGCTTGTTATGCTTCTGCTCCAAATGATATCTGGTCCCTTGGTGTCATCCTTGTCAACCTCACATGTGGACGAAACCCATGGAAGCGTGCTTCGCAGAGCGATAGCACTTTCCGAGCTTTCTTGAAGGATCCCGGTTTCCTCAGGACCATTCTTCCATTGTCTGCCGAATTGGACTTGATTCTGCGCAGGATCTTTGAGATCAACCCAGCCAAGAGGATCACCATCCCAGAGCTTCGCTACAGGATCCATCACTGTTCCAGATTCACCACCAACAGCCCACTCGACAGCCCACCACTCAGCGAGACTAACTCTTCTCCAAATATCTCTGTCACCGACATGTTCCAACTCCCACCCCAGGTTTACAATGGACAAGTTCCAATCCCAGCTTCTCTCCGAAATAACAACCATGGCTACTCTTCAAGATCATCCAGCAATTCTTCTGCAGGTACACCAATTACACCATCTGTTGCAGATGAGTACGCTCCTCTTTCATTCCAATATAAAAACGCCTGGAGTCCCTTCGATGGAGTCAAATACATCGTCGCACAACCACCAGCACTTCCTCAAAGCATCCAAGCCTGCTAGAGGGTGCTCTAATAACCTTTCAATTCTTTTATAAAATATATAACCTTCAAATGATTTCCTAATTTTCATGAAAATATACGGCTTGGGGAACTATGATTTCTTTTTTCTTTTTTCTTTTATCTCAACAATCGTTACAACTTGATACCACTGGAGCTTGTTTGTCTTTTACAACCACATATAAAGCATGTATGGAGTTTTTTTGGGGATTTTATCCGGCTGTTTGTTTTTCTATTATTTCCTATGTCAAACTCATTACCTATGATACCTGTATGATTGGAGGGCATTATTATTCTAGCAAAAGATGTCATGGTTTTTATTCTTTTTGATTACTTTTTGGGGGGTGGGGTTTATTCTATTACTTTTGGGGCACTGGGGAGCATCACAATTGAGAATATCAAACTCGATCGTTTCCATTTCTTCTTGCAATTTTATATCATTCAAAACGGGATTTTTCTTTACATTATACATCCTTCTGCTTTTCAGTAATCTTTCTGGCGCAGTCTCTATCATATCATTTAACGTCTTTCTTCTCAGAAAGAATGGTACATATTTTCCCTTTGCTTTCAAAAAAAAATGATATCCAAAATATACCGCTTTGCAGTTTTATTCCCTATCAATTGTTTTGGGATTTATACTGGCTCTTTTCGCTTCTCGCAACTTTTTGTATGTCTGCAAACGACCAGTTCAAGAAGTTTCAACTCCCTTTCGAGTTTCTCTTTTTTTTTTTTTTTTTCCACCTGTGAATAAAAAAAAATTGGAGGTTCATCCTCCTCTTTCAAAAGGATCTATCTATTCATAGAAATCAAACTACTTACAAAATGGAAATCATAATAAATCTCCCTTCCGTGAACGAACACATATGCTTTTTGCTTCTAGAGCTCCCTCCTCAACCTTCTAGTGCGGTTTCCAGCCAAGCGCACATGTATAGAAAACAAAACACACCAAAAAACAACCATACCCAAAACAAGTAAAATAGCCCGCAAGGCGAAGGACCCGGCTGTCAGAAAAGGTTATAGGGACGACAAATTGCAAACCAGTAAAACGTCACTCTTGTTTCCCATTTGTGGCGACAGATGCGACATATAACTTCCCGGGGCGGGGGGTAAAAGTGCAAGCATGGCTTATCGTTGCCATTGTTTCCGTAGGTTGGTTTTTTTTTTAATTTTGGGAGAAGAGAGAACAAATTTCGGTTCATTTTTTTTCATTTTTTTAAAGTTGTTATTTTTTTGAAGTTCAGCTCTCGCGGGCTTTGCAACAAGGCACAAAAACGTGGGAGAAGGCAGTTCGTAGGTTTACGTGAAACGGCGCTCTCGAAAGGCCGAATTACTCTTTCTCTCTTTCAGCCTGTTTGTTGGTTGAAAGGGTCCAATTACGCTTTTGTGGAATGAAGGACACCCATATCAAAATGTCAACGGTACTTTTGAATTCTGTTCCAAAAATAAACCAGGGAATGAGAATACGGAGGAGAGAGAATAACTATAGGCAAATACTTAATTATTATTTCTTGAAGTTGATAAGTCTGCTGGCGCATGAAAATCGACAAGAGTTTGGACATGCCGGGATATGTACCAAGCCGTCTCCTAAATTTATGACCAACAACCGCTGTAGCCGGGGTCCGTCTGAAGAACCACCCGCCGCCGGTTATTACATACAAACGCATATATCTACTTATTTTATTGGTATCTTTTTTGGCTTCATTTCACGTACGAAATTATCAGGTATTTTGAGATATGACATTACTCTGTATTATTTTGAGATATCAATGCTAGTCAGCTTTTTGCGCCAGTCATTTTAAGGTTTACTCTGCTGCTCGTCTCCTCATGCGCTAAAAGCAGCCATGCTGAACTCAAAAATCCGCAAAAGTCAAAAGGGGGGAGATGTATGTTTTGTAGATGCTTGTTTGATTATACATATAATTTACTGACTTATGTACTTACATACATAACATCTGGTCATGCGGCAGACCGCGGACGGCATTCTCCAGGGTACGCACTTACTGACATACATCCAGACACACATGTGCATACTTTTACCCCATAAACGACCACAAGCGGAAAGTTAGTATTAAGATTCCACAGAAGCAAGGTCTGACTGTCGAGTCTGCCACCGATTTTTGCATTGCGTGTATATCACATACTCCTGAGAGCCGGCCGTCCCTAAAAAAAATAAAAATAAAAGAATTCAGGAACGGGACCCCAGCTTTTGTTGCATGACTTAACGTTTGCCCCCCTATATAAGCCAATCAAATGCACGGAACCCGGTGTCTCACCACACTAATCGTAATCGAGAGGATCCAAGGCTATAAGACTCTCGGTGTTATAAGCCGATCCATGGCCAGAGGGGTAGATATCGAAATCACATTCGCAACCTCGCGTCTGACCGCAAAAGGATCCTCAAGGGCTAAACTCTCGATCTTCAAGGTTTTAGGTAGTATCGTACGGACTTATGTATGTATGTAAGGTATCGTGGGTATACATACCAAATAGTCTAGTTTAAGCTCTAGGTTTCTACCAGCTGACGTTCGATTCGCCAGCAACGTGTGGATGAACAATCAATCAATCAATTTGCAGTCTTAAAGCATGCGGCACTGAAGATCGAGGTCTTCGATATGCAATCGTAAAACAGCCGAAGTAGACACGCATACGCAACCGCTTACCAGGCAGTATTGGTTACTTACTTCTCAGTTGTAGGCTTAGTTTTTTTTTTTTTTTTTTTCCCCGAATGGCCTGGCCTTGGCCTTTGGTTCATAATGGTCAGTTTTCCGACTGATCCGGCTATAAACATGCTGTTAGAGTTTCGAAAGCAGCCTCAAAGTTCAATAGATTGTCACTTTTATACTCCGTAACTTGTAACTTGCGACACGGCAACTTTGATGGCCGCGTTCGCCTAGTCAGACGATTACCACTGATTGGTAACACTACCCTGCCAATCATCCCAAAACTTTATGCCCAGTAAGTGTTCGACATCCACGGGCTAGACTACATCCCCTTCCTGTTTTCTATTCCTTAGTGTATAAGAATCCAACTTAAACATTTAATATCTTGGAAACCCAAACCCTTTTGCGATACAGCCGATGCCACTGCCGGGATAACTTCATGTCATGTACTATGTACTTTGTACTTACTTACTTACTTGCATCCCGCTGTAGGAATTCTGTACAGATAGAGCTTCAAGGGGCTGATATATTCTAGATGCAGGACCTGACCTTGCAGTGTAGATCCTAGTAGATTGAGGAAGGATCACTCTGACATGGAGCAAGGTTCACCGACTTATACATTCTTCGTACCAAGAACTTAAGTACTTGGTATATACTATACTGCGGAGTATAGACCTTCTATGTATGAATATGGCCTCGCAAGCTGGCTTGGTATTTGGCTCTTCTCGGCCTCCACAGGCCTGTCTACGTAAGTATGTATAGAGTAGTATAATACGTTATAATGACAAAACATGCGTCGGTCTTGGGACCCACAGAACCTGCCCCTCGCCTATGTAGCTTCGATGCACATTCCAACGCCTCGAAGGCCAAGGGGGCAATACCTAAAGGGACCGATTTCTTACCTGCGAGGCTGTTTAGACCTTCTGTGTATGAGACATCATCTGCTCGGATCGGTGTGCTACAGCAGGATCTCGAGACGATTACCCTGCATTGCCTTTTTTTCTCGCCTGCAGCACCGCGGGAAACGAAGGGTAAAAAAAACGCAAAGTCTGGTTTTATTCCTTGACCATTTATTTCCTTCAGAAGAACCTTCCTTTCCTTCCCCTCTCTCCTTCTTGTCTCGCCACCATGCTATGCTGTAAGTGCTGTAGAAACTGCCATGTGCGAAATGTAATAACACGGGAAGTTATATGCCTAAGAGGAATTAACGGTCCCACCCTCGTCAATTCTCTCGCGGTGGCTTGTCAGGGATGTTTAGTTTGCGAGAGACATTTTCAGGTACCAGATACCCTTATTTCCACAGCAAATCTTAACGGCGACAAGTATCCGAACCAGCAGACTTTAAAGTACTTTCGGCTTCTGAAAAGTGGGTCTGTGCTTGCTTGCTTTGCCTGCTTTTACTTTTACTTTGCCTACTTTTGCGGCCTGGTTTGTTCTGCAACAGCCTCTCTTACTCTTTTAAGTGATATCGTGCCAGCCTCTCCCTTCGAAATCCTGTCCAATTCCCCACATGAAAGAGTTATTAACGTCGACTTATTACCCCACCATCTAATACCTAAGCTTACCATGACATGATATCGCGATGTGCTTACCCAATTTCATCTATCTTGCAGCGCTCGCTGCATGCAAAGAAAGAAGCCCAAGTAGTTCGTTCGGGATGAAAAGACACAAACAGGCCCCCTTAACTTGCCTATTTGTCTATTTCACTCAACATCAAACCTCGCCAATCAATCTAGCCGTCCTGCATATGCCTTGCATATAGGATTGGAATGGAGACAGCTCTCTTTCTCTCTCTCTCCCCCCTTCCTCTGAGGGGTTGTTCCGCGTCTTGAATAGCCCCCCTTTTGTGCATTTGCACATACGATACGAGCCTCTGACCTAACCTGCGGTCGGTCGGTCGGTCGGTCGGTCGGTCAAAAGCTGATCTGTACTCCAGATGTAGCCCATAGATTTTACAGGCCTGCCATGATGGCGTTTCATCCGATAAAAAACGAAATCAGAAAAAAGTGCCGAATGATCCGCCTTGATGGTTGTGGCTTGCCCCAAAAAAATAAAACCCTCCTAAACTGTACCTAGGTATATTAGGTATGTACACAGTGCAAGTGCTGTGCACATGGCCAATATGCTATGCAATGGATGGTGAATTTAGTTTCTGGACTGCAGTGCAGATGGATCCGCTGTCAACATATCAGTGGACCGAAGACAGTCATGTTACATGTTCCACTCGATCGAGGAACTTTCGATGCCTTCCTTTTCTTTTCTTCGAAGGTGTCGACTCACTGACTATAATGACCCACTTGTCCTTCTAAGTACTATTGTATATGTAATTAGTATACTATGTACTATGCTCACCAGTTTGTGATATCATATGCGGCCACTATTATTACAATATACTCCTATGTAAGTGGTAGAAGGGGCCAAGAGGCCCACAAATCAGCGACACTATTTGCGCCGAATGTGCGAACCAAACATGGCTATCGGGACCGAAGAGGGTATCCACAAGTTGTTAACCTGCCCAGCCGGCCGTTTCCTTTCGACTCCTGGAATCACCTAGTAATCACCAGCATCCACTATCAGGCTTTGTGAGATAGTTTAACGGTACTAGCAAGGAAGTTTGCAAATCATCATGATACCTATAGATCTCGGGATATATCCAAAAACGAGCCTGTTTGTATGTAAAAGCGGATACGAGTACTCCGGACATGGAATGGAAGTTCAAAGGAGGCGGGCGAAAACAAAAAAAAAGGCCCCGCTTCTCCAAACACCAAAGATTACCTTCATATCATTTCAATTTCTAGCCTGGTTTCGTCTCTCCGCCACGTCTTTACAAGCAACTGCATCTCGATCGCCGCTATCATGTTCCCACCGATATACATTAGTGTCTACAAGGGGACAACCCACCTTTTTTGTTTTTTTCTGTTTTTGCTAATCATGAACGCGACGATACGGAGGGTACTTACGGCTAATATTGCCCATGTACTGTCAAAAAAGTCTAGCCGATACGAATCTGATACATCACACACCACATCACCAGGCCTGCCGTTGATCAATAAACGTGAAAGATTAATACCGGCTGCGCTGTCAACTTGTTTTATTCCCCATGTGCTTGTCTTTGATATACATGAAATGCCTGTATACAATATATACTTATACATACAGACATTGAACAGGTACCCCCACAGCTAACGAAGAAAAAAAAATGCCCAGCACAGCATTCCATATGCATCGGTATAGACGGAAACCGCAGCTAGCTAGCTCATCCAAAGCAAGGGCGGATTTATCCCGGAACTCTGTACCGCTAGCCTGTCGTGACCACAGATCCGGTACTTCTGCTCCTTGGGGTAATATTAAATACGAAATAGAAAGCAAAAAAAAAAAATAGGAATTCAAAAAAAAATGCACGCATATCACATTGGATCAGAAAGTCAGGTCAGACTAAAATAAATTCCCCAATCCCACATGTGGAAAACTTTTAGCCTGACATAGAGCGTGGATCCTTTCGGATATCAGAACCCATGGATAACGGGCTGTCACATACATATGTACATACTACATATTCCCAAGCCCATTTATTCGGAATTTATGACTAGCTAACACCCTAGAATGTTCGAGCAATACCAAACTTTAAGTTGGTGCGGTGGAGCCGATCTATACTTTTGTCGGTCCTTTTTTTTTTTTTTTCGAACGAGCTCTTCGAATATACTTAGTCGTAAGTTTGATACCTAATACATGCGATTGTACTCTCAAAGCCAACTACAAGGAACAAGCATGTGAAAGCCAGCTGTTCGTGTGCTCTTGAGATGAAGTTATATCGAATGCATATACTAGCTAGCTATAGCTATAATTTGAAAAGGGAAATTGCAAATTATTTTATTCTGGTTGGGGTAACGTTGTTTTCGCAATTAATAACACTGCTCGAATTTCATATTATATTATTCGTTATCTGTGACATCGCTAATATGTCGTTAACGAACCCCGTGATATGACCTTTCTACATCACACAAGGACGTAAAAATCGCTCTGTTGTTTCAAACAACAATATCATCAAAAGAGTAATCTCAAATTCGAATTCGGGCTGAAATGTTCGACGGGGATATATAATCTTGTGGAATCGATGACGGAACCAATTACCGAAAAACCCTTACGCCATATGCGCCACATACGTGTGCGAAGGGGTTTGAAATCTAATCCCCCCGGTTCACTGTAGCCCCTCACCCGTAAGCTCGTATACTGCGAACCCATACAGAGTACTATGGTAGTTTGTACATACACACATACATCCTGGTGTTTCGAAACAACTCCAACCGCATTGCTCTACTGACACTTATTCGATGACGAGCTTTCACGTTGGATCTTACATGGGAAAACTTTAGGCCGTGATAGGCAACCCAACATTATTATTAATATTAATTAACAAGCTTATTTCCTAAAGTGTAAGCCTTTTTTTTGGTGGTGTGGAATTAACAAGCAACAGCAGTGAAGCTGGCCAAGCTTTTGATTGACATGCTGTGCCTCGTTACTAATGTGATTGTATGTAATGCGCATGTACTCCGAACGCGCGTTCGAATGTTCGACCGTCGGGGTCAGACGGACGGCTGTGGCCAATCCAAGGAATAGAATAGATATTGAATTATCACACATGTGTGCACACTCACACACACTCACACACACTTACACATCCAACATATAGAAAGAAATGTTCCAAGCGAGCTCTAGAATGTTGGTTAGAAGAAGGCTTGTACATACATTGCATACATAGATTTGTATGGATGTACCACATCCATCCCTCCTTTCTCCCGATCC